GATCTCTCCAGTGGTTCCCATGGCTTAAAAGTCAAGGTGTTTAAAAAACCAAATGGTGGCTTCTTTCCTTAGCAGTGGGAACTGCAATTACATAATGTACAGTTCCAACTTAGAATGTAGTTTCCTCCACAAGGTCAAATGCAAATATGAGAAAGTGCGGAAATGCGGAAAGGGCTGTATAGATAGGGGTTTATGATTGCATAGATCCTAAATAAAAAAAAAACCTGTCACAATAAAAATTTGGGAAAGATTCACTTGTTCATTGGATTTAAGTGTTTGTATGCCTACTACTTCATAAAGTGTAATGGAATGTAAGTAACTGAAGATGTGTTAAAAATGTATGCCTCAAAGTGCAGAAGTAGTTCAGCTGTAATATGGGTAAATTGCTAGCCAAACGTTTTACCTTCAAAATCCAAACCAGTATATGCTTGCGTAGCAAGCTGCTCAGACTCATTGACGGGTGCAGCAATAAAACAACTAGCACATTTGCAACGTTAAGCAGAGTCCAGCTTGGGTTTTAAATTGGATGGGGAACCGCAAGCTGAGATTCCTGCATCGCAGGGAGTTGAACTAGATGACCCTTAGGAGTCCCTTCCACCGTACGATTCTGTTGTTCTGTGATTCTATGCTCCCTTGTCTGCAGTGGGAGCCGAGTTGTGGCGCCTATGAGTGTCTGTGCCTGCGGGTGGTGTTGCATGTGGCTCCTGTTTGCTCACCGGCTGGCGACAGCTTGCCCTTTGCCTAAGACAGCGAAATGGCTTGTGCTGGCCTTCCTCCAGATCCCTTTACCCTCTGAAGTAAGGTGATCGTTGACCCAAAAGAGAGCATTTTCAGAGGTGGCACACATACTTTGTAATCCTCTCCCCAGCAGGGTTTTCCTGGTAACTACATTGCTGTCATTTCAATGCCAGGCAGAGAGTCTATTATTCTCCCACTTTTTAAAAATATTTCAAGCCATGGTTTGAGTTCTATTTTATCTATCTATCTATCATCTTTATCCGCTGCTTATTTTGCAGCTTTTTTGGTGCCGTCACTGGTTGCATTATTTTTTTTATTGGCACTTGATCAGAAGGTGTCAATGTGGCGCAGTTGTTGAAATGTCAGTCTAGAATCAGAAATACCTGAGTTCAGATCGCCATCTAACCGCAATGCTCAGCATTCACCAGTTCTCAGCTTGGTGAGAATCTGCTTTACAAGGTTGTTTTGAGCATAGAATGGGGTAGGAAAACCATGAATGCTTTCTTGGGTTCGTTGGAGGAAAAGTGGGGTATAAATGAAATAAATAATCTTAGAGATGGGACCAAAAAGGCACTCATATTTAACTTTCCGTATGTTCTTTATTACAGTGATACACAAGTTTCTCAACTAAGGTGCCACTATTCTGGATAAGATCTGAGGGAATATTCACTTAAGTCCTATCAGTTAAACTTTCTCATTTCGCTCTTCTTTGAAGGCGACTTAGTTCAGATTACCTAACAGATGATATATGACACCTGCAAAGTTAAATCAAATATTTGGATTAGACACTTTTATCTGCTAGAAATGTAATGCTTGACAGGCAGGCTTTTATTCTGTTTTGTGTAGGTGTTCTTTGATACAAATATGATGGTTTCAAGTGGTTAATGTGACTGCTATTTATGTATTTATTACCTAAAATTGTGCTGCATTTTTTTTTTTTAAAGAAGCCTCCACCTGCAGGGTTGCAGTCTAAAAGTAAAAGTAAGACACTTTAAGAAGGAAAAAGGAAGGTCAATTGGGGAAAGGCAGGATGAACAGATGTTTCCTGAGGTAAAGGTAAAGGGACCCCTGACCATTAGGTCCAGTCGTGACCGACTCTGGGGTTGCGGTGCTCATCTCGCTTTATTGGCCGAGGGAGCCGGCGTACAGCTTCTGGGTCATGTGGCCAGCATGACTAAGCTGCTTCTGGCGAACCAGAGCAGCGCAGGGAAATGCCGTTTACCTTCATGCCAGAGCGGTACCTATTTATCTACTTGCACTTTGACGTGCTTTTGAACTGCTAGGTGAGCAGGAGCTGGGACCGAGCAACGGGAGCTCACCCCGCCGCGGGGATTCGAACCACCAACCTTCTGATCGGCAAGTCCTAGGCTCTGTGGTTTAACCCACAGCGCCACCCGCGTCCCTGTTTCCTGAGGTACTCAGAGGTAAAAAAATAAAAAAGAGGAATAGAATCTGATGCCTCTCAGGGCTGCAAGGACATTTCAGGGCTAGAAAGCAGCAAGGGAAAAGGGATAAAAGGAGGGGAAATACAGTAATCTTAGACTTAGCTAGAAGATTGTTACATATAAAGAGTCTGGGGTTAAAGATAAAGAGCAGGAGTGGGCACCCTTTTTGCTGCCAAGGGTTTGCATGCTGGCAGACAGAGGCTACTTGGATTTACCTAATTCAAAATAAAGACCAACAGGATTAAAATTTCACCATGGCTACCTCAGGTTTTGCAGTCTACTGAGAAGTAAGTCCTAATGAGTTTTATGGTTACTCTCAAATATATACACAGAAGGGCTTTGGAAGTACAGTGGTACTTCGGGTTACAGACGCTTCAGGTTACATACGCTTCAGGTTAGACTCCACTAACCCAGAAATAGTACCTCGGGTTAAGAACTTTGCTTCAGGGTGAGAACAGAAATCGTGCTCCGGTGGCACGGCGGCAGCAGGAGGCCCCATTAGCTAAAGTGGTGCTTCAGGTTAAGAACAGTTTCAGGTTAAGAACGGACCTCCGGAACGAATTAAGTACTTAACCCGAGGTACCACTGTACGAGAGTTTATTACAGCAACTATTCTAGAAAGCATACAGTAAAAGTAATTCCTTTCTTTAGTACAGACAGCACATACGCAATGCATATGGAGAGAGAGAGACAAGACTATCCATTTGTTCTGAGTCAGATGGTTTATGTGTGGAGAGGAAACTTATTTTTCCCAAGCCATAACACTGGGGATAAAGTAAACTCTCATCAACTCTGATGAGATGGAAGAATAAGGCCACATAAAATGAAGCTTCCCCACCTGTGATATAGAGCAGTATGGTAGGCAGTGGGTAGAAGCAGCTTAAACTGGAGATGAATTACCAAGGGAGTTCAGAGGAGAGGAGAGTATAAATATTTGAATGAGCAGCAGAAAATATCAACCAAGCAAGAGTATTTTAAGACAGTGGCTTAAGAGTAGAAACAGGAAGACCCAAATGTAGAATGTTCTAATAAGCAGTGAAGGAAATAACAAGAAATTGAACTAAACTTGCAGTAGTGGCTCTAGAATAAAGAGAGGAAATTCTCAATATATTTACCAACTGAAAACAGCAAGACTTGCTTGACAAGACTATGGGCAAAAGGAGGTAAAGATTCCAAACCTGAGAACAATAAGCAGCCCTTATGGTATGATCAAGAACAGGCTGAGATACAGGAGAAAGAGAAGATTTTTAAAAGCCAGACAGTGGGAATAAATACTGCTGAAATTTGATGTTTCCGTACTGATTTTAATTACTGTATGTTGAAGGTAATAACTTGTAAGTAATTTTGCAAGTTATTACTAACGTGGCTGCAAAAATTGTGTTGGCAGGAAATGTGATTCATCCCTACATTATAGAAAAGCTTTTCAAGGTTTTAGAAATCGCACAAATGGACGAGCTAATGGATATGGTTCACCAGAGCAACGGAGGGAGTTGTTCCTGTTGAACGGTACAGAAAGCTGACTCCTTTTAGCTAGAACTGGAATGCCAATTGTAATACCTCGAAAGGTCATAGGCACCTACTTAGCATTTCATAAACGATTGAAAAACACGCAGACCCAGTCTCTTGCTTGTTAGATAATGCCCTGCAACCGCTTGAACTCTCAGAGGACTGTGTCTCACAGCAGCACGAACTCTCCAGGTATGTTGTATAAGCTGACTTTGAGAGTGGTGGGAAAGCAGTTGAGAGAGCTGCAGAGCCTGGGGCCACCGCGCTTGTGACACGAAGGCGAGAACATAGCGGCATCAAGTGAGACTAATTGTTTTATTCAGTCTCTTATGAAAGAAAAGTCTATTTAAAATCTGCAGGAGACCTGTAGAACTACTTGCTGCATTGGGGATGGGGTGGGGCCTGTCAGGCTCAGGTGTTAAAAGAAAAAGTGACGGGATCGTGGTCAGGTTGAAATAAGAGGTTGAAGGAAATTGGTCATGGCTTCCTGTTCAATGTGGCAGGGCGAAGGTCATGTTGTGGCTGCTTTTCTTTATTTGGGCATGCGTTAAGTACTGTATAATGGTTTGACACAGAAATGAAAAATGACTAAATGTATTTTGCAGGAAAGGTTCAACATGGTATTTTTCCCCACCATGGGGCTATATTGAAACCGAGGAGAGCACTTTGAAATCTCATTAGGTTAATGATAAACTAACTGATGGTTGTTTCTCTGGTAACTAACATGTGAGTGTTGTAACCTGAGATCATGTGAGAGGTACTGGGCTGCAAAATCTCCATCTTGAAGGGAATTGCCTTTTAAGTCTTTTCTCCCAAACTCAATGAATGTGTAAAAGCTCTCCTGAAGGGAGAGTAAACAGTCTGGAGGCTGGTATGCAGATGGTGGGGAGAGTAGACCTTTGCTTTTAGATCAGCTTGGATCATTTTCATATTTTGTAAGATGCTAAGCCTATGCTGGACATCGTATGTATATTTTGGGACCCGTTTCATTTGATGTTTTCAGCTTTATTTCAATGAGTTCTGCCAGTAAAAGTTTGAATATTTTTATGGGTGTGGACAATGAGGAGCCGTTTCTTATGCTTCATATCTGCAACACGTTGAGTGCTCGTCCAGAAAAGTTCAGACCCTCCAGTGCTAGGCTCACGAGGCGCTTTCCTTCTCGTTGCATAGAACTTCGTAGCAGCGGGGGAAGCGCCAAAAAAGCCCCTTCAGGGCGCGCGGGAGGAGCGAGCCGCCCGCTTTCCCGCCCTCGCCGGCCTCCTGGGGCGCACGCAGCGCTCGCGCCCTCCGCAGCCCGCCCAAACGCGCGGCAATGCCGGGCGAGGCGCCCCTCCGGGAAGCGCGACGTAGGCGCCCCTCCTGCACCCGACGGCCTCTCCTGCGGGGCTTCTAGCGGCAAGCGAGTGTGCGCGCAGAAGGCGGCGCCTGAGGCGAGGTGGCGCGGCGTCCTGCTCCCCGCCCCGTTTCTGGGCTGCCTCCTCCGAGCCGGCAGGGCGGCTTCCTGCTATTAGTGCCCGGACGGGATTGGGGAAGCACCTGCAGCGCGCCGCCGAGAGGGTGCAGCTTGCCGGGGCTTGAAGCGTCGCAAGGAGCCGGGGCTGGGGAGCGCGCAGCCTCGTCCCTTCCTTCCTATCCATCCGCGGGGCAAAAGAAGAGAGAGAGGGGAAAGTCCGCTTTTGGTTGCTGCCGGCGCTTGGCGAGCGGCTTCGCAGCGCGAGGGAAGGAGCTAAGCGGGAGAGTTGCTGGAAAGTGGAGGTGAGCGAGCCAAGGAGCCGGCGCCGAGGCGTGCGGGAAGTTTGGGTAGGAGCTGCGAATTGGTCAGATCCGTTAAAAAAGGGCTCCGCGCGCAGCCCGAGCCTTGCGGCGTGATTCCTCGGGTGCAAGTGCCGCTTGTTCCCGGCGAAGACCTCGTAGCATTGCAGCCTTAAAGCGCGAGGATAGCGCTGTAGCTTAGCTAAAGGGGCTAGATATGTGCATGAGATCTGGTCCAACTTGATTTCAAAGAGAGAACCAGTTCCAGCATCTAAACGCCTCCTGCTTTTTTTAGGTTACCAAGATTCTAAGGAAACCCCAAGTGCTCCCTTCCTTCTTGCCGGGTGCAAGGAACTGGGTGGCGTAGATTGTCTGTAAAGCCGTTGGCAAGGACTTTCTCTGCTATTTTTCCTCTTGAACGCCTCAGATTCCTGCTGAAATGGAATGCTGTGGTGCATCGCCTGTTATCAGCCTAATGGTTCATCACATGTAATAAGTCGAGTGAGTCTCCTTTCTTTCTTCTCAATGCCTGGCCTCCGTTCCTCGTTAGGCAGGAAGAAAGCAAACTTCAGGAGCTGCTATAGTTGATATTTTGCATTCTGACTTAATAAACAAGGGCATAAAACAAAAGAGAACCAAAAAGTGAGATTGCTTACTTTCTCTTTTTTTCCTCCAAAGTCCAGACCTCACTTTACTCAAAATCTGCTCAGGGGCAGGACCAAGGTGTGTATGGTTTAGAATAGATTATCGTGTCTTGCATGGTATGTTTAGTGTGGTCTTGAATTCGTGCGGGACGGGTGGTGACTTGTAGTTTCTGTGACCCAGAGCCAAGCTGCTGTCAGGTTCTCATCACCTCCTCCATCCATAAGATAAATTGTTGGTACTAGTAACTGCCCGCATGGGAAATGGCACCCACTTTACCCCCATATGAAAGTAGGTTTTCCTGGAACTGTGATAGGTAAATAAATTTAAATATAATTTATAAGTGTGATATGCATCAAAGATTAGTTTTTTTGAAAAGGTTGCATGATGAAAAATTAGTGGATTTTATTTTTAGAAGGAGAACGCTATGTGTGTAAGCTATAATTGATCATCACTGTTTTGGCTTTCAGATAATTGGGCTTAGTTGTCATTATAGTGCCTTTTTATTTTCCTAAAGTGAATCTGCCTCTGCATTTTATAATGCATGGATGAACATGGATGAACCAAGTGACCCTTAAGAATAAAACTTCACTTTTATCAAATTTAGGAGAAATCAGTCATCCTTAGAACGGAAGAGCTCAGTATGTTTTTAAACAAGGGGTTATGGTGTTTTCACTTAAAAACTAGATGCCAAAATACTGTGCATATTATGCTTAGTATTTATAGAATATTCTTTCTGGTTGCATGCACTGTGTTCACTGTACTGTGTGTAACAATATAATTTAAGAATTCATCTCTGTCGGGAATCTAATGCTTGTAGTTTAGCTCCCTTGTGTCCATTGTTTAAGGTCTCATTTGAAATTTAAGTGACAAAGAGGACTTGGACTTGTTTTGTTTGAGAGAGCCTTGTAAATAGTAAGAGCTAATCTTTCAAGAGCTGAAAGCATAAAGTCAGCTGCTTATTTATATTCAGGATAAACTTGTTTTAGTTATTCTGTACATTGGTGTATGTGTACATGAGACACAGTCCTTTTTTTGTCTTGGTCAAGCCCAGGTAAAGTTAAGGGAGACCTTAACTTGGTTTATGTCTTAGAGCAGCTTCTTAGAATTTGTTCCCTGCATGAGGTTGCCACCTGCAGAGGCAAGCAGTGTCAGTATGACATATATATAGTTGCACGCCACCCCAAACTCTTGAGTGGTGCAATATTCCAGGTTGTAGGTGCTTACACAGGGATCATGTTTCCTTCAGAATGAGGGTCAGTGGAGATGGTATATTTATGATACACGGTTTATTTACACATACAGTGGTACCTCAGGTTACAGACGCTTCAGGTTACAGACTCCGCTAACCCAGAAATTGTACCTCCGGTTAAGAACTTTACCTCAGGATGAGAACAGAAATCGCGTGGTGGTGGCGTGGTGACAGCGGGAGGCCCCATTAGCTAAAGTGGTACCTCAGGTTAAGAACAGTTTCAGGTTAAGAACGGACCTCCAGAACGAATTAAGTTCTTAACCCGAGGTATCACTGTATATCCAACCTGTGATGGAAGGGATCACAGCATTAACACCCCAAGAGGGCCTTGCTGCTCCCATAGTCACAGCCTTGGATTCAAACAGAAATCAAACATTTCTCTGCTTGCTTTCCCCACTCCCACCCCTTTCTAGCTTCTAGCTCCTATCACTCAACTCTCCACTCTGGCCCTATGTCTTTCTAACTACCAACAAGTTGAGGGAAGGTGGGCACCTACCCATTTGCCCTCTGATGCTGAGCCACTTCCTTTGTTACCTTAATGGCCCATTTCCTAGGCTATATACCCTCACCAGGAATTTGAATCCTTGCTTATATTTTAACACTTGTAACTCTTGCTGGATCCAGAGATTAGAAGGGTTGCCAGCATACAGCCTACTCCCCTCATCCCAAACTCATACCACTATCATAAAAAAAGGATCCTGGCTGCTCAGTCCTATGCAGGTCTACTCAGAAGTAACGTACATAGGGCTAAGTAAGGGTGTAAAGGACTGCGGCATAAGTTTGCCTGTTTAATCATTTATGACACATTCTGATTTGACAGTGGTGTAACTGGAAATGAGTCTAGACTCAGTTTCAGATATGAGATTCAAATTAGCTGCGAGAAAGCAGTTGACTTCCATCTGACTTCATGGGCCATTTTACGCTAAGAGAGTTTCTCCAAGTGTTTTTCATGCATATCCCCCCTCCCTGCAAGGCCCCCTTCTAGTCATTTTATAGCAAGCAATCTTGACTTTGTACCTGCATCTCCATTTTCACACTCCTTGATGTTTCCACAGACTTTGCTTGTAGAGTATGTCAGATCTCACAAAGAGATATATCCCCTTCTGTAGTATATGGGGGGAAATGTTTTCCATGTTATGATACAAAACATCTTTCATTTGGTAATATCTGTTTATTACCTCAGCCAATGTATTTTCACAGTTGTTGATCCATTGGCAAATGACATTTTCCTTTTATGAAAGTTATTCAAAATTTATTTATTCATTTTTTTTTATTCTCCCTCTTTCTCCCAAGGAGACCAGGCCAGTGGGCATAATTTTATTTTGTTTCTTTTCCCACTGTAGGTTAGGATGAAACATGGTGGCTTGCTCAAAGTGTCACTGAGATCTTCGTGGCTGAGCAGATCCCAGCCTGATCCAACACTTTGTATGCAATCATTCAGACTTCTGGTGGCACCACACTAGCTCTCCATTTATGTATTTTATTATTATTCTGCAAAGTCCTGAGTACAATTCACAGAGTAATCCTGTATATGTCTACTCAAAAAGAAACCCTGTTAAGTTCAATGAGCCTTCCTCCCTGAATGTGGTTACAGTGGTACCTCGGGTTACATACACTTCAGGTTACATACGCTTCAGGTTACAGACTCCGCTAACCCAGAAATAGTGCTTCAGGTTAAGAACTTTGCTTCAGGATGAGAACAGAAATCGTGCTCTGGCGGCACGGCAGCAGCAGGAGGCCTCATTAGCTAAAGTGGTGCTTCAGGTTAAGAACAGTTTCAGGTTAAGAACGGACCTCCGGAACGAATTAAGTACTTAACCCAAGGTACCACTGTACAGGATTTTAGCCAGATCCTGCAGTCCTGTAGCCCCTGATATGCTGATCCAGCATCCATAGAAAGCTTCTCCTTCTCCAAGTTTGGAGAGAGAGACCTGATATTAGATGTTCTCTAACTACCGCTGCGGAAACATGCATGGGTCTTTTTCTACTTACATTGGGGTATTCTAAGGACACACCAGGAGGAGGCTTGGATCAAAAAACACAGAACCAAACAAGAGATGAAACTATGCCAGCCCAGGAACTGGCATATTTTATTTCCCTCTTGTTCCCAGTGGGAGGAAAATTGTTAACAGTCTCACCACCAGCATCCACACAATAAACAGAAAAGGATGGTCCCCTGACCTCACTTCCATCCTGCAAGGATGATAAGTTCATTGGATTGCAGTGGTTCAGCTACCTTTGGTAGTCTACCCTTGCACTGTTAATGCATTTTATATGGTGGAAATGCCAACGAATGACAGCAGAAATGAGAGAACATGCATCAGAATTTACACACACTGTGCCTAATCATGTGGAATGGAAAAAACAATTTTATTCAGGTGTTTTTTCGCTTTTTTTCAATTAGTTTTCTTTTTCATACCAGTACATTTCAGATGAGAAAACATGGAGCTCACAACACCTTGAGACAGAATATTCTCACTTGATATGTTTTGTATCAAGAATAAGCTTTTCAATACTTTTTTAAAAAAAGGTAAAGCTGTCATTTTTCAGAACTGAATATGGCTTAAAAATTGGAATGCAGTAAAATATAAGATTGAAATACTGCATCAAATAAGCAAACATGTAATATAATTTAAAATACAACAGCAACGGGAACACAGTGGTATTGTTCCCCTCCCCCAAAAAGTTAGCAATACTTTAGAATGGGGGTGGATAACTTGTTGTCCTCAAGACTCCCATTTCCATCAGTCCCAGCCAACATGGCCAATGGTCAGTGATGATGGGAGTTGTTGTCCAATAACATCTGGAGGGCCACAGGTTCCCTGCCCCTATTTACAAGGTAAGTGGAATGATGAGAGGGAAAGAATTACTTTCATGCAAGATCAGGAAATTAGTTTTTCCTTGTGTTTCATATAACCTTTGAAGATGGGCATTTAGCCCACGCTGGAGGAATGGCAGATGAAACTTATGGACTATATGGAATTGGCGGAAATGACTGGTAGAATCCGTGACCAGGGAGAAGAGTCGATGGAGGAAGACTGGAAGAAATTCAAAGATTATCTTCAGAAACACTGCAAAATTAAGGAATGTTAGAGTGATGTTGGACTGAAAATAAGTGGTTTCCAGCTGCACAGGTTAAAGTTAAGGATAGATTAAAATTAAAGATTAAGATTGAAGAAGTTTAAAGAAAGGGAAATTTGATTTTAAAAGGGGAAACTTTAAAGTTATATGATATTAAGATCAAGGACTAGGTTTAAAAAAGTTGAAGTTATATATTTTAACATTTTATTAAATTAAAGATTGGGATTAAAAAAGTGGAAAAGAAACTGCTGGACAAATAATGTGGACTGGAATACAAAGGAGGGAGGTTTGAGGAAGTCTAGAAAATAAGTTATGTAAAATTGGAAATGGAAAAGAGAGTTTGTTTTTAATTGTTGTGTTTTGTGTTTCTATTGTTAAGTTTTGTATTGTTTTTTGTGTGAGTTGTTCTGTTTTTTTTTGTTTTTTTTGTTTTATGTTGTTTTAAACTTTAATAAAAAATTATTTAAAAAAAAATGAAGATGGGCATTTAGACTGTAATTCTATAATCTTGGAGTAAGCTCACTGAAAACGAGGATTGCTTCTGACTAGATGATGTAGGATTGTTGTGACATAAAATCCCAGTTCATCCTTGATTGATGTCTCAGGGTCTTCTTATATTGTCTAGTTTCTTGAGGCCCCTGGAGTGGGGGTAGATGTAATAATTGACAGTTTTTGTGGTGCGTTCCAGATAGCATTGTCCTGTAGCAGGTCTGTAGTTTCGTAGCATCCAGCCCACAGTATTGAGCTCCTGAAAAGGTGCAGTTTTGTTTGTTGGCTCACCCATTGCCTCAGTGAGCATTGTAGGATTATTGGGGACATTATTGGTTAGTGCCTATAGCATCAGTTGAGGTTAGTTGCTTTTCAGCTACAACAGCAAATTAAAAAGGAGAAAAATACTGTTCTTGCATTAATTAACATTAGCATTTGTTAACATTAGTGTTATTTGCAAACCTAACCAAGATAGAATAGAAAAGATTGAACAGTCAGGTGGTGGCTCTGTCCTTCTGGCTCCTCCAGAAGGGTGTTGAACTCAGGAAGCCAACTGCAATCTCTTCAAGAGTCTCAGCCTGCACACATTAATTAACTTAAATATTAATTAGCTTAAATATATGCAGTCTTAAAATAGATCGTTGCTTGCAATTGCCAATGCAGTTTTAGGCATGGTCTATTCATTGGTGAGTCCCAGATATGTGTGTGTAGGACTGGAGTCTTAAGAATATAGTCCTGTGCATCTTTACCTAGCAGCAAGTCCCATTGAACTTAAGTGGGGCTTACTTCTGAGTAGAACTACACAGGATTCTGCTGCATCTAGAGTGTGCTGCTTCTTACTGGAAAATTAAGGGCAGGTTAAAAAGGTGAAAGCCCCAAAGAGAAAGGAACCCACTTTTTAATGTTTGAGTATGACAGAATGGGTTTAGAAAATTAATGAGAGCTGCCTGATGGAAATAATAAGAGTAATATCCAGATGGCAGGCTTGATCTGCTCTCAGTTTACTGTTTGCTAAATGGGAGGACAATCGGGTGCTTTGAAAAACATTTTTTTTTGCTTTTGTTTTATTTCCTGTATTATTCTTGTCATTGAGCCTGTCCTTGCCCTGTCATCATGGCCATTCTCAGTGTTGATTTATGGGAAACTAGTATCAGGTTATATTGATTTAAATCAGGGGAATTTAAGTTATTGACTTAAATCCCAAAGAAAATGGGACAGTTTAAAGTTCTGATTGAAATCAAGTTTCCAGATTTCTGATTTATATTTTTGTACTGAGTAGGGTATCCTAATGTATACATATTGCTTGCCATAACAAGTAAAACATATCTGCTTGCAACTAAATAGAGATGTTATATTATACACTACAGAATATTTATATCTGCAGAATTTATGTATTTGCACTGCAGAATTTATATCTGCATCCTGTAGCAACTTGATAGAATTTTAAAAGTAAAAAAAAAATCTGATCTAGCGTGTTTTAAAAAGATTTATTTGTTTTTAAATTGTTGTTTATTTATCATTGAAGATTTATTTTTGTTCACCCTGGCTAGTGGAGGAGGAAGACACAGCTTGCTGTAAATCAGGATAAGCAGTGGATCTGTTCCTATAAAGGATGTCTTTATATATTAATTTTTGTCGTTTGTATCTCAAGAGTTGCCCCAGTAATCTGTGAACCACTATGGTGCAGGTATGAATCTTTAATGTTCTTCCTGTCCAGTAGTATCTACAGTACTTGAATCTACATCAGAGAGAAAGAGAACAGATGATCTCCCAAGTTCCACCTAAAAAAAAGTTCTGCATGTATTCTATTTGTGTGTTTCTTTCTTCTTCTTTTTTTAAGAAATACTTCCAGCTTTTAAGTTAACCTCTCTCCAGTATAAACGGTATAACATATCTCTGGGGTACACTGAGTGTATTAATAGTTTAAGGCTATATAAAGTTTTACACATAAATTGCTGCATATAGTTATGTTTGGTTTACATTTCTGAAGTTTTCTCCACCATCGTAGCATCTAGAGACTTAATTATTTCTGAGGAAAGCTCAGATGGTGAAGAACAAGGCAGTTGCTTCAGAGAAGTGCTGATACACTATACGGCCATGCACAGGCTGCTACCAATCCCTTGTTATGCAAAGAGAAGAGAACAAAAAATACACATAAAAGGCAAACACATTGAGGCTGAACAGATGGCCCCAGGGAAACAATTTAGAGTAGGACCTATCTCATGAGGGTATTGCCTACACTGGGATTGCAGGACCCTGTACAGCACTAGCCACAATGACTATTCTTAAGCAATTTGCCAAGTGTGGCAGGAGAGGATGCCAAGTGTGGCAGGGAGATTCAACGACAATCAAAGAAACTCATATTTTTTGGCTATACAACCAGAAACAGTATCCATGCCTCTCTTCAAGAGCGTGAGCTAGTCTACAGTTCTCCATGAAATATTGTTGTGAACAGGGTTTTTAAACTCTGACAAATATGAAAGATGAGAAAAGAGAAAGCCTTCTTTATATTGATGAGATGAGAGTTTCTTTGTCTCAAATTAGACCTAATATAAATAAGATTACCTGGCAAAAGTAAGCTCACACCTCTCATGGGATTTATATACATAAGGGACGTAGGTAAGAGGTTTGTTTATAATTATATTTGGGGAATGATACATGTTCTTTTGTAGCTGTTTGGGTTTATACTTTCTGGGTGTCCCGTGATCATATTATAAAGTAGTTGTGTTCTAAGTTATAAATCAAGCACTTATAGGAGTTGCTTGTTTTCCAATGTATTTCTTTCTTATCAATAAAAAAAAGCTGTGACATGAGCAAATTTTTATTCTGAAAGTGTGGCCTAGGAAAAAAAGCTTGAGAACCGCTGGACTGGAGAAGGGGAACCTGTGACCCTCGAGATGTTGGTAGGACTCCATATTTCATTGGCCAAAGCCAACATGGCTACTGATCAGAGATTTGTAATCTACCAACATCTTGAGGGTCAGAGTTTCCCAATCCCTGCTGTAGGTGTCATTTCCTATATATATTGCTCAATTCTTCATCATCAAGGTCCTGCAACTGAAACAACCCTCATGACCTTTTAGGCCTAATGCCAATGTTGCAGACTAAAGCATGGCTTTGAACTGAGAAGATTATTTACTTAATGAGGTCATAAATTGAAGTGATATTCAATGGACATTCCTTAGTTGAACATTTTTATTTAAAGTATAGCAATCAAGATGATTGCCTCTGATGACTTTAAATGTTACTTTGTCCTAGGCTGACCTTTTGAGGAAAGATGCTAATCAGCAATGGGAAAATAATACTAAAACACAGAGCTCCAGAAAATAAATGTTGAGACGGGGCATATGTATCACAAATTCATGTCACTATGTTGTAAGGGTTCATCCTTTTGTTTAGGATGACCAAAAATTGCAGTATGTTTCCAGTATAGTTTGCAAAACTGTCTAGCATTGCTATCATTACCAACCAATTTCCTGAAAAAGTTAAGAATACCCAAAGTTGACCCTTCTTGAATTTGATGGACATTACAATTCTTGGCATCAGCCAGAGATTTTAGAATTTGATCCCCCCCCCCTCCCCTGACAAATACTGCTACTTCTTAGCAGTTCAAAAGCATGCCTGTGCAAGTGAATAAATAGGGACCGCTGTGGCAGCAATGTAAATGGCGTTTCCGTGCGCCAGTAGTGGTTTAGTCATGCTGGCCACATGACCCAGAAAACTGTGGACAAACTCAGGCTCCCTTGGCCTGAAAGTGAGATGAGCGCTGCAACCCCATAATCCAGTTGACTTTGACTGGACTAAACCGTTTAGGGGTCCTTTACCTTTCCCCCCCCCCACCTTATTAACAGTACTGTGAGGCTTTTGCGAGGCTGTTCCAGAATAAGTAATCTGATAATTTCTTACCAAAACTGTAATCAGTATTGCTGAATCATAGAATTGTAGAGTTGGAAGGGACCTCAAGGGTCATCTAGTCCAACCCCCTGCAATGCAAGAATCTCCGCTAAAACACCCATGACAGATGGCCATCCAACCTTGGCTTTAAAACCTCCAATGAAGGCAAGTCCACAACCTCCTGAGGGAGACTGTTGCGCGTTTTAAGAGCTCTTACTGTCAGAAGGTTCTTCCTGATGTTTACTCGGAATCTCCTTTCTTGTAACTTGAAAACAAGCTTGCTCCATCCTCCGTGTGACAGCCCTTTAGATATTTGAAGATGGCTATCATATCACCTCTCAGTCTTCTCTTTACCAGGCTAAACATACCCAGTTCTATCAACCGTTCCTTATAATTCTTTGAGGTTTCTAGACCCAGCTTGAGAATTACTCTACTATAGATACCGGTATTTTTGCGTTTTTGTTTTTTAGTTCCTTAAGAAAATGTTTTATGTTGTACTACAGGATGGTTTCTTTTTAAAATGACGCAATACATTGGGGGGGGGATTGTTTTCAAGAGTTTCATTCTTTTTCTGTTTGGTTTTGAAAACTTTTCTAACACCTGTTTTTCCTCTTCTATTTTGTTAATGTTGTTATTAAGAGCAATCCTCTCCGTTGTAATCGAACACTGTTGCCATATCATATTCAGAAGGTTACAGATGAGTATCTTTTTATGTTGGGGCGGTAGCTGACTTAGAATAACCCATGAATCCAACATCTGCAGGACTCTCTGGTAGAGACCCCTATTAACCTTGATAGTACTTCTTGACAGATTAGTTTACTGGTAAAATAGATCAGCCTTCCTTGATGTTGTGCCCATCAGCTGTGGCGGCTGGGCCTGGTGGGAGCTGTATTTCAAAACATCTAGAGGGCACCAGGTTGGGAAAGGCTGTCTTAGTTCACTGGCACAATCATTTTGAGATGCCCTTTCACACTTTGTCAGAACATGTCTCCCTTGACGGAGACAGCTGAAGCAGGAAGAAAGACAACTAGAGCACAAGTAGTTCTCATCTTTCTCTGAAGCTGGCCAATTGCTAAATATATCATTTTCGAAAGACTATGCTGTGGCAGTCGCGGCTGCAAAGTAACTTCCCTTCTTGGCTGCCAATGTGTCTGCAAAGTCTTGTACAGTAGAGCTGTTTTAGTTGGTAAATGAAAGAGAGAGAGCAGACCAAATGTAAACAGAGCAGAGCAGACAACAGCAGCAAAAGACAATACCTCAGAATAATATGGAAAAATAGGACGTTTAACATTGGACATCTTGCTGTTTCACTAAATTTTTATATATTTTTTCAGTACCACCTTGAAGCTTTGTCATTGTGTTTGCTTTTTCCAGTTGGTGCATGACCTGGTAAGACCCAGCACTCTTCATCTGAACGTTGAGTAATCATCTGTTTGCTGGAATGAATTTGCTGTTGATGGTGCAGGCAAAATCTTTTGAATTCATTTCAGCTTGGGAGTCCCAAGTTAGGATGCAGAGTTTGAATGTTCTTCACCTCAGTTTTGTCCTGTTCTTTTGGATCATTTCCAGTCTGCCTCTCTCTTCCTGAAGCAGACTCGATTGTGGGGTAGTATGTGCCCTGAGTGCTCACTGGAAGGACAGATCGTGAAGCTGAGGCTCCAATGCTTTGGCCACCTCATGAGAAGAGAAGACTCCCTGGAAAAGACCCGGATGTTGGAAAAGATGGAGGGCACAAGGAGAAGGGGACGACAGAGGACGAGATGGCTGGATAGTGTTCTTGAAGCTACCAGCATGAGTTTGACCAAACTGAGGGAGGCAGTGGAAGACAGGAGTGCCTGGCGTGCTCTGGTCCATGGGGTTACGAAGAGTTGGACACGACTAAACGACTAAACAACAACAACATGTGCAAATTAATGGAGACTGGGTTCTTTGCTGTCTGGGGTTGTTAATGCCTCATTAAGAGAAAGGAGGAGGTCAGCTTTGCAATTCAGCTCTGGCTCAAAAAACTACTCTTGCCAACTGTGGTCCTATCGCCAGCCTTTCCTTTTTGAAGCAGACTATTGAACAAGCAGACGCTATTGAATTGCATCAGGTTTCTAGAACCATACCAGTTTGATTTAGTAGTCTGGTTATGACCTGTTATTGCCTTGATGGAGAACCTTTTCTGAATTCCAGAATCCAACCAGAAGAGGGTTCAAGTTAGTTTACAGTAGCAAAATCAACACTTTTGTGGCACCTTAAACTTAACACATTTACTATGGCATGAACTCTTGTATTCCAACCTGTATCAAATTCATCTCCACAAATCAATCAGTATCATATTCAATCAAAAGCAGGACATCTGATCTATTATTTGTTTGTGCTCTGATAACCCAGTAATACTTAACAAGCTGCCCTGGGACTTATCTTAACTGGCTCACAGCCCACGGGGAGCATATTGCTCTTGTACCTTATGCCTACTTCTGTGACAAGCCATAAACCACACACAGAGTGCAGATCCTGTCTTGAATAATAATGGTATCTTCCTTCTGCCACTGAAGTATGTTTTATTACACACACACCCCCAAACAGCATATCAAAAAGTATTGGCTCTACTCAGCACAGCCTAGACTTGAGCATGTTCCTTTGGGACCTTGTGAGAGGAACAGATAATGTGTGTGTTTTCTGAAAACTGCCATTCCAAATCTATATAACTTTTACCATCTTCTGAGTCATCAAATGTCTCTAGTTGGCAAGTCATGTGGATGAGCAGAGGTTCTTTGAGTGTTTCATAAGGTTGCCTGTAAAGCTAGTTTTTAAGTCTCAGCATTGTCTTTTCAGTTTCCCTCTTTCTCCATTACATGCTCTCTGAAAAGTAGAATATTGGCCATCACTTTTGCATTGTTGCCTTTCCAGTTTCACTTTGTGATAAAGGTAATAGTTTAACACAGAGGTTTTCAACCTTTTTGAGTCCACAGTTCCCTTGACCAACTACATGAAGCCGGCACTCCCCCCCCCCCCATAAGATTTATATTCCACTTGATTGTCAAGAAAAACTGCAACTTTGGGGTCCACAAAGCAAAGCATAGCCAACTAACAATGGATTGTGGCTTCCTGGGGGCTCCACAGCTCTTCTGTTATCCACATCAGGCAGACCCCCCCCCCCCCCCGGTAACTTGCCTTACATGGCCTGTGGGCTGGATTCTTCTTGGTCACAAGTTGCAGAGGTCTGTTAAGAAAACCATTGCAGGGCGGAGGCTTAATGACCTGGTTGTATTGCAGCATGACCTGAATAGCTCTAGTGTATACCAGAGACAGAAATAAAGAGGCAATACTTGAGTTTCACCCTTCATATGTGCTGGGTGTAGGATTGCATCCTTTGGGTTTGGCAGAATGAGTACAGGAAAGCTAAACAATGTCTAGTTGGACTTCAGAGAGTTCCTTCAGTAATTCTATGAGGTTGTAAAGTAGAAATGCTTGATTTATTCAGAGTCTGTATTGTCCCATGCTTTCTGCATCTTCCACAGTTAAGAGATTCCATGGGTAAAGAGCACTGGAGCTTTATCATGTCTTTGTAATGTCTTACATTAGATCATAGGATAGCATCAGTTGCTGAAAGAGAGTGACAGCACCTTAAGAATCTTCATCAAGAAACATTGGTAAAATACAGCCCATCATCAGCCAGATTTACAGGCATATAGCCACATTTCTTTTATTAAAAAAAACACACAGGTCAGACAGCATATGGAATTGTGATAATTAAATTATTAAGCTATTCACAGTGATAATTCATTAAAACAAATAATTGTTGTTTGTAACCAGGCATCTTGACACTGGTAGGCTAATTAACACAATTAGCTTTTCTCCAATTCAGTTTACAAGTGATAGTAAGAGTATCCCTCTGGAACGAGTATATGGTGTATGTGCGTGAGAGAGAGACTATTTATTGTGGAGATGGGACAGTTAATTGTGCAAATGAGAACGGGTGGGGATCCAAATGCAGAATTAAGTTTTTTGTCTTCTTTAAAATCTTAATTTTAAGATTAAGTGCACAAACCTATGTATATTTACTTAAAAGAGTATCCACTATGTTCAATAGTGGATAACTGAAATTAACTTCATTTCAGTTAATTGTGAATAGGAGTGCAACCTTAATTTTTTTGGCCTTGGATTCTGTTGTCTTGTTTCATATTAGGTACAATGAAAACTTGGCTTTCGCCCAGTTTTCACAAAATGCCTTTGATGATATTATAAACGTTAACTCTTGGGAAGTAGATAGGATGTCCTTAGAGGAATACTTTAAAGTCTGTTTAGCTTTTAATTTTGATATCTAATATGCTTTCTTTTAGAGTTGCCAAAGGCTTCCAGCTTCCAGTGTTTAACAAGAACATTAATAATAATAACTTTATCAGTGAAATGTAGGAAGACCTACATACCTGGTTATATTTCTGTGTTATTACTGATATACCCTTTACCCTCTGCAATAGACGACCTTGATCTGCCCTCTCTTCCAGTCCCCACCTGCCACACTGGCTTTTCTTATGTGGTATTGACATATCCTCATACGAACCTCAAAACCAGGTTTGTTGACAAGCAGGACTTAGGAAGGCCTCATTATAGTCATACTGAAAAGTTTAAAAATTGCTCTCTAATTTATATAAATGTGCATTTTAAAGTTCAGGATGTTTACCTTTAATGCTGCTATTACATGATGCAGACTTCAAATCTAATAATTTTTGTAGATGCAATAGCGAAGAATATTGGTTCCAAAGGGCAGGGAAATAACCACACCAGCTTCAGGGCAGTGCTCCTTTTCTTCCCTGTCCTGGGGGTCCCTGAATCTGCTCCAGACATGCTCCTATAACTCGCCTCTCTATGGAGCATCGCCAATGGAGCATCCATGGTGGCAGAGCTTTCCACTGCCAGTTAAGGGAAAATATCAGCAGCAGAACACCCTCTCTGCCCTTGGAAGGGGAGGGTTGCACCCTAACTTATATAGAGCACCAGCAGATACATTGTTTTGCCCATTTTATTTCTCTAATTCTCTGCAGTCAGCACATCCACAACATTCTGTACCAAATCATAATGGTATAGGGTTTTTTTTAACTCCGGTAAGAATTTTTGGAAATAATAAAATAGTTATCTACTGTAGTCTCATAGCTGTAAATTATTCAAACCCCCTGAGCTTTATTATCCCAATAAGTCCATCCAATAATTTTAATAAGCATTGTATTTATCCAGCGTTTGCTGTAGAATGCTTATTTAAATCCCACAACACGCATATTTGATACAAACTGTCAATAAAATAGAAATAAAATCTATTACGTAACTAGATCTTCATCTTATTCTCTCACAAAGACCATTTTTCCCCTGTTACCTGAATATAAGAAAATCACAAGTTGGATCGAAAACTGTTATATATTTTAATAGAAAATGTACAGAGATTTCAAGAGAAGTCATTTAAAAGCTATTTCCTAAAGGTACAACAAAAGTGAATGCCAAAAACTGGCTGCAGGGTATATATTGCCTCAGTGTTTCCATCTGCAAGGGAAATTGGTTTGTGTCTTCATATTTGCTGACTGGAACTTTGTAGATAAAATATTGTTAATAATAACATTGGACTCTGTTAACAAATGACAGAATGTTTTGTGCTCCCACGTATAAATTTTAACAAATTTAGCAATAATGTAAAGACGTAAAAGAGAAAGTGAGCCAGAACATACAACTTGGTTTAGGATCTAAGGGCACAGACCTCATGGAAACAGAAGGTCTGGGAGAAAATATAGAATTATCATATTGCCTGCTTTAAATCGTTAGTTATGGGGGATTGGCAGAGACCGGTTAACAACAGTCGCTTAACCCCTGAACATTCTTTGGTGAGAGAGATTGGCTTGGCTGAACTTTTACCATCATTCATTCTATGTCTTCAACAGAATAGTCCGAAGGACTTTTCCCAGGCAAGACCAAACGTTGGAGATTATTGTGCCCTCCCTTTCTTCCCACATCAGGCTGTGGCACCTGTGCAGATTCCTCTCTTCTGGTTAATCATACAAGATGTCCAGGAAAAATAATTATGGATAGATTGGAATGATTAATTTGTGTAGTCATCTATACACAGATGGTGTTAATTGGCCTGCAGCCGGATGCAAATTTACAAGGAATTCACATTGCCTTCTTGTAAGTCATTTGCAAGAAATAAATTAGAATAATGATAAAATGTGAACGACTCTGTGGTTTACAGTTATTTAAAAATGTTACGTGTGCCCTTCATTTAAGCATATAAAATTACTTGCACAAGAACAAGCGGCCCCCTTGTGATACTGTAAATCCTCACCGGCCTTTTTTGGTCCAGAATTCTTTGCTCCAAGCCCATTTTGTACTGGCTGGTTAGCAAGTGGCAGCCATTTGCTGCTGCTGCTGGAGGCAGGATTTACACATTTTCCCTCCCCATATATATTAACATTTAACTCTGAAAATGTAATTGCTTTTGGAACAAATCCTACTCAAGAGGGAAATTGAAGAGCAGCTGATAAAACCCTGAAATGAAATTAAAGCATTAAACCTGGTTAGTTTTGCAGATTTTTTCTTTTCAAGTTCACACACTGTTCTCTCTGGAGAACACAGAAGTGTGGTGACCCATAATAGATTGTTTTCATGTGCTAATAGCTTGGCAAGTGTGAACTTAATATCTGTTTCTAAGACATTCCAGATAGCTCACAGCCATATTGTTAGTCGTCTCTGAAAGTAGCTGCCATTGCACATTAGTCACTATAGTTAACTTCACCATAAAAGCTACAATAAACTAATAACAGTCTTCCTATTTGTTCCTTCCCTTTGTCAGTAACCTGGTTATTGCCTGTCTGCCTTCCTTGGCTAAGCCACATCAATCTAAACCAAATCTGCTTAGAGGAGACAGCAGGCCCAGGCGAAGCCACAAAGATGACTTCACAGTGACAGACAGAAATTGGTATTCACATAGATTTTTCATTTTGTTGAATGCCTGGCCTGTATGCAACTAACAGTCCTTCGGAAGTTCAGGTTATCATACTGTGCCTTGGCAAGAAGTGCTATAAAAAGGATGGTAAATTTTTTTTTTTTAAAACATTTCTATACTGTCCTTCATCAGAGGATCATCACAGGGCCGTTTACAATATAAAAACACAAGGCTCAGCTGTTGCTGTTCCTCCTCCTTCATTACTATGTTCTGCAAAATAGGAAGTCTAAATTCTTTGCCACAAGAAAATAATAAGAATAAGAAATAAATAAGAATAATTTATTATTTATACCCCGCCCATCTGGCTGGGTTTCCCCAGCCACTCTGGGCAGCTTCCAACAAAACATTAAAAATACAAGAAAATGTTGGACATTAAAAACTTCCCTAAACAGGGCTAATCTTAGAATAAATGATGCAGTTGCAAATATTGTGTATGCAGATATACTTATTTGTGTAAACTTTTAGCTCCCTTGCTCTCTACGATTATTCTGTGACTGACTGAATGGCATTCAACTCAGAGTAGATCTGTTGAAATTAAGAAGACTAACTTAGTCATATTTATTAATTTCAGTGGGTATACCTTCCTTTGCATCGTGGTGTCTGATGTTCTTACATTGTCCTTTATACTGTACTTGGTTTAGAAGTGAGCTACATACATACACACACAGACCACAATATACATTCAAAGCACTCTTATACTACTTGAAGAATCCTGGCTTCTCCCAAAGACTCTTGGGAACTGTAGTTTGTTAAGGGTGCTGAGAGCTGTTAGGAGACACTTAACAAACTACAGTTCCCAGGTTTGTATTGGGGAAACTGTAGCATAAGTGGTATAAGATTGCTTTAAATGTACTGTTTGGATGTGACAGCAATGTGGGTAATGCTCCCATTTTGTATATAAAGGCCATTCAGTCCACTGAACATTTCTTCAGGACAGAAGTGGGAGAGCTGTAGTCTTGATTTCCTCCATATGTCAAAAGTTTCTTGTCTCAGAAGAGCAAGCAGGCTTGATATGGAGCTGAGTTTTGGCCTAGTTCTTTCACTGATGTGCAAAACCATAACATCTGAGCAATGGGACTAAGAAGGGACACATTCAGCCCCAGCCTGTGAACTGAAATTCAGAATAAAAGGTTTTAAGAAAGCGTCAACAGCTTCTTTACTTAACAGTAGCATGTATTTCAGTTTTCAAACTCTTAAGGTATGCTTTACCAATAAACAGCATCTGTTGCAATATTCTTTAAACAATAAAGGAAGGAGTATAATGAGTTCCTTTCTTTTTTAAACATGGCTAGTTGCTTTTGGTTGCTTATAAATAAACTGCATAGATGGCAAACTTTGCAAGTTTGCATCTGTGTAACAAGGGATATAAATTTAAAACTGCTAATACTGTATTTATAAAATTCTTTATAAAACCTGGGCCCTGTTGGACTGTTGCTATGCATTAATCTGCCACAAACTTTTTATAAGGACTTCTGTATTACAAAGAATTCTAAAGTAAATCAATTCCTGACAGATGCTGAAGTATTGTGTACTCTCCTCTAATGCTGGATTGAGCAGATGAGACCAATAGTGGGTCTAACGGTCAAGAAGGCTGCAGAGGGTAATGAGGGACAGGTGTCAACCTGGGAAGGTAACCCATCTAGGAGAAGTAAAACTCTGATCCTAAACTTCTGCTGCCTATACTCATGCATGAGAAAGGCTTCAGGGATAAACCCCAAGGAAAAGCCATAATTTGTGAATAAGTCATGGAAAAAATGACAGATTGGGCCAGTGTCGGAGGTTCTTAAATAGTAACTACCAAATATGCTGTTCAGAAGAGTGACTATTGTTTCTTTTCAGACTTGTTCTATGTCAGATTTCTTGCAATGTGCTGAAGCTTGTGTTTATATTATATTCTCTTCATAAAATGGTCTACTGTTAACATAATCGTGAATAGTTAATAGGTTTCCATTGTCATTTTGGCAAAATCATGAGAATGCTAGAAGTTTCTAGATATTTCCCCAGTGAGCAAGAACAAACTGGGTCAAGTTAACTCTCTCTTAGCTTTATCTTATCTTTCTTGTGAAGGCAACGAGGATGGACAGGGATCCATCTACGTGTGCCGTCTAGTGTCCCTTGGAGCAATGGCTAATAAAGCCATTTTTACAAAATGGGCTCAATAAGGCATTTTTAAAGTGTAGTTTAAAATGCCTTATTGAGTCTACCTTCCATTAGTAGTATGGCTTTCCTAGATTACTGTACAATAACAGGATGATGCATGGTGTAGAAGGCACACACTCAAAGATGGCTCTCAGACAGGAGTTTTTGTCTAGGCCTTGATACACACACACACACACACACACACACAGAGAGAGATAGAGAGATAGTTTTATGTGTAATTCATATAGGAAGGAATTTGGGTGGGGTTTTTTTATTTTGTTAACATGAGGAAGCATTAAAAATGCCCAACCTCCTGCTGTCCACTCTGATATCACACCTTTGTTACCTTGTTCTGCTGATGGTGTAGCTTATAAGTCCTTATAGATCTTGTACTGAATAGTTTGTTGGAATATATATAGAGAGTGCTTATAGTTCTCTTATAATGGCAATGGCGCCCACCTGCATTCCGGTGAGTTCTGGCTGAAAAAAAGCCCTGGAAATCAACCAAAGTACCTGTGAACCTACTGCAAGGTGAACAAGAAGATCTGGATTGTTATATCAATTCTGTATTTCCTTGGTTTATATTGTTTAGCAATCATAGTTAGATCTCAGTTTCCTATCAGTTATCCATGCTGGCTTAATTATCTTGTTAAAAATTATTTGTTGATACGACTGATGAACTCAGATGCTTCTTTGAGAGGGCTCCAAATCAAAGATAGACATGATATACTAATTTGCTGTATATAAAGTTTCTGAAACAGAAGTTTTAAACTTAGAAAACTTTTATCACTGAGCGGTGAGGTACTATATGGCTTGTATATTATGGGAAGGCCAGCTGTGTGGTTCAATTTTGTGAAATTATGCCCCTAGGTATATCTTTGCAACCCCACTCGAAAAATGATTGTACAAGCCTTGTGAAGGATGTATATTGAGAATAGCGAGGCAGCTTTTGACCTGCAGATGGTTATTGCTGATGATGATTCCAGTTTGACCTTAAGATCCTTCAGGGAATTTGCAAGAGATTAAAGCTGGAAAGAAAAACAAGCTTCTCTTCTTTACAAAATGATTGCCTTTGAGCTAGCGATCTCCAAGACATACAAACTAAAACAGGATGTTATTTATATGAAGCTACTTTCCAAAAATGTTATGGCGATCTCTCAAATAAAGCTGCACGCATCCATTGTCTCTCCCCACCCGCCCCTGATTTTTTTCCTTTAAAAATTCTGAAAATCGCGTTACCAGCCATCAACAGCCTGAGCAGCTAGCCTACAAGACTGCCAGCTGCCTTGAATGAACATGGAGCAAGTCGTCCTGGGAATAAGAAGGCTTGATGTCATCCTGTCACTACCGGAGAGAATTATGCAGAAAAAAGCATGGCTACCCCCTATGCTTACATAGGGAAAGCTATTCCCCCCCCCCCCATACAGTCTGGCCTTGGGAGAGATGGGATGCTCCTAGGTGGACTTACACTGTGTTCATTCAAGGTTAATGGCAGCAAGGAATCCTCTGTGCTAGCTGCTCAGGATATGAGCAGCTATTTTCAAAAGTTTTAGAGGGAAAAATGGGGGCAGAAGAGAGGCAGCAAGGACTAGATTTAATGGGTCTGCCCTTCCTAAGTAGCTGGCTTTACTGATTTCCCCCCTCCCCTTTGTAGCCCCCATGCTCCTTTGAAAATCCCTACCAAACTTTGCAGTTTTTGTGGCTGCAGTGAGAGGGAGTCAGCAGTCTGAAATTGGGAATCTTCCATAACGGGGTGCAATATTTTGGGATTGTTTTCCTTCCCACTGTACCTCTGCATGACACATCTCTGGCCACCATGTCTAGTAGGTCCTCCTCACATCCTTGCTAAATTGGGGGCACCCCTTCTCATTCTGCTCAGAATGGGCCCTTAATTTCTTTCCAAGAGTTCTGTCCTGAAAGCTCCACTCTGTGCATTGATTTTTGTAGCCATCTGTGTTCTGTGTCCAGGACTGTCTTCTCCCACATGAATATACTCAATTTTAAGATCCCTTGAGAAGCTCTTATTTGGGTGGCCCACCCCTACCCCCGGTTGTGGAGTTATCAGAACTGGACCTTCTCAACCAATGCTTTAGGAATTCCTCTTGTGGGGTGAGGGAAATTAGACTGTCTCCAATTTTTTAGTTTTTTGAGGATGTTTGGTGTGACTTGAGTTCAGAGTACAGAGTTCTCGCTGCTGTCGATCAATTCTCTTGACTTAGTGTTTTGTATTTTATTATGTTTTAGTTGTTGCTTTAATACATGTTTGGTATTTAATGCTAGTGTTAAGAAACCTCTGAAGACACACTGTTCTCCTTGGCCTTGAAATGCTCTTGTTGAGCTGCTGTTGTTTCGTGGTTTACTGCTGGTTTTATCTATTAGTTGTGTTTTATTGTTTGCTTTTATCTGGTAAGCTGCTTTGAGAGGGCTTTTGCCCTAAATATCTTCAATAAATAACTCAAGTAAATATGCTGCCTCTTAGCTCCAAAAGGGTGTGGGGGGGGTGTCAGTATTTTTGAAAACATTTGTTTACTATTCCACAATAATAATAAAAATGTTATGTGCATGTGTAGGATATAGCTTTATGGCAATGTTGGAGATCCTGTGGCACTACAACTTGCATTATTCCTATCAGCCATGCTGGGATAGGGCTGATGGAAACTGGAATTCATTGATATCTGGAGGGCCACAGATTTAGCATAACTCATTACTTCATCAGAAAATCTGAAGATGATGATAGGGGCAGCTTTGCAGATATTTGATAGAAATAAAAAGCAAGGCTAGGAAATGAGAAATGTAATGAAGTAGTTTATGAATAGCAGTGAACTTATGGTTTTGGACATTTTTAACTATAGTGCTTACACAGCATGAAATTAATAATATTAAGTAGGTAACAATTGTCCTTTATCCTTTGAATATGACAGTAGCTTCCTTGCCATCTCATTGTTGTAAGGAATAATTCATTGTAAATGGTTGCATTTTCACTTGTACAGCTAATATATATGTGAGATAAATATATTTAATGGCAAGTTAAGATGGTAAATAAGAATGCACGCTGGGCCCACATTCAGTTTATATATTTTTTGTTCTCAGGGACACAAATACGAGAATTAGTAAGACTTTGATGTTAGAAAAGGGGAAATAGTAGCAGAGGAAATTTCACAAAATGATAAGCAGGGCTGTTTAAAACGATAAGAATGGCAGTGCAGAGAAAGCACCAGATTTTCTTTTAATCTCCATTTTTTATTTGTAACAACAAAGAGATAGTAGTATCAGAAAATTGGGAATTAATTTTATGCTATTTTAGACCTAAGCTGTATAAAGAAGGCTGATAGTCGAAGAATTGATGCATTTGAATTATGGTGCTGGAGGAGACTCTTGAGAGTCCCATGGACTGCAAGAAGATCAGACCTATCCATTCTGAAGGAAATCAGCCCTGAGAGCTCACTGGAAGGACAGATCCTGAAGCTGAGGCTCCAATACTTTGGCCACCTCATGAGAAGAGAAGACTCCCTGGAAAAGACCCTGATGTTGGGGAAAGATGGAGGGTGCAAGGAGAAGGGGACAACAGAGGACAAGATGGTTGGACAGTGTTCTCGAAGCTACCAACATGAGTTTGACCAAACTGTGGGAGGCAGTGGAAGACAGGAGTGCCTGGCGTGCTCTGGTCCATGCGGTCACGAAGAGTCGGACACGACTAAAATAACAATTTCAGCTACTGTTGTTTCATGGTGTCCATTCCTATCTGAATTTCTCAAATAAACTGCATTTCATTAGATTTAATAATAACTGCATGCCTGAATAGAACATATTTCTTCTGTATCTGAGCAACAGCCATGTGTAAAAGTAGAATGAGGCCTAAGTGAATGCCAGCAAAACACACACTCTTTTTTTTCTATTCATGGTCCTTCCAACAAGAAAACGTCTGCAACTTACTCAGGATACAGAGAAAGTATCAGTCCCTTGGATGCACACCCTGCAGCAAAATATGCTTTCTATTACAGTTTATGTAGAAGTGAATGAGCACTGTGTTAAATGGGTGAGTAGTGATTTGACAGAACATGGTGCATGTTTGCCAATGTTACTCTTCTTAGTCAAGCATCATACACTAGAGGTATAAGCACCTCTTTGTTAAGCATTCTTTTGATATTATTTTTTATCTACTACATTGCTTTTAAAAAATCAATAGTGTATAGTCTGGGGTTTTGTCCTTCTTTCTCTAGGATTTAATTTCTGGAGTTTTTGCCTGAAAGACTTCGATTCTTCTAGTATGTCATATTGTGGTGCAGCTGCTGCTTCAGTTGATTTTCTTAAAAAGATCTATCCTCCTAAAACATTTTAGATCTTCCTGTGTCCAAATGGGAGGCATCTGCTATGCAGAAAGCTAGGAGCTGGATGGTAGACACACCATCTTTGCATTCATCTCTCACACTTGAGATAAGATCCTTGGTATTTTCAGTGCCGATTTAGGATTGGAATGGAAGCATGCGGTGTTTTAAGTGGACCCAATAATGTGAATATCTGTTGAGTAAATAAAATGAATGTTCTGTAGGTAGGTAGGGACAACCCCCCCCCAAAAAAAACCTGTTCCATAATATTTTGTAGGTTTATCTATTTGCATGGATGGATAAAATATTAATTTCATAAAACTGCATTGTTGTGATGATTCCATTTTATTTTGAGCCTATGGCCTAGCTAAATTGGAAAGGCCCCTGCCTACCTTTTACAGTATAGAACTAGCTGCTTTCAGGTACTGCATTTAGCGGGTGTTTGTTCCGGAACACTGAAAAGATTAGAATCCATAGTGAGCACTGTATGCATGCCGGGGGGCGGGGGATCAGCTAGGCATGCATACCCTCCCAACAGCCTGGGAACCAAAATTAGGAAGATCCTGAGCGAGACCAAAAATCAAGAGGAAAAAACGAGCACATTTCAGTCCGGCATTCTGGCACAAGCCAGCTGACTTGTGCCAGAACGCTGTACTGAAAAATGGACTTTTTTCTGGACTGGCATTCAGCTGACATGTTCCAGAGTGCCAGACCCAAAAATGGGACATTCCAGGATCCAATTAGAAGCTGGGATTGGCTTCTATAATTTCGGGATGTCCCACTTAAATCGGGACTTCTGAGCAGTATGGGCAAGGCAATTGTGCTTAATCTTGAATTGTTTTGTAGGCAGATGAAAGAGGATATTGGTAAATATTTAATGAAGAGGAAAATTAGTCAAAATCTTAATGGAGATACTGAAAAATGAGTATATGTGATTAGATGATATTATGATGAGGGCTCCTCTGAAGAGCTAAATGGTTTTGATAGGTTTAGGATGGTGACATTGGGTTACAACTGCTAAGATTGCTGTGATCCTTTGATCGGTGATTAGAAATCACAGGTGTATTTGGGGAGTGTATAAGAAACATTGCTTCACAACCGCCTCCTTATTTTTGAGGCTGAACCTATGCACATTTGTCTTTCAGTCAAGGCCTATATTTTCAGTTGGAACATGCATCCCTTTATTTTGGGTTCCAGTGAGGGATACTTCCAATCTAGGGACTCAGCTAGATTGGTAAAGAAAAAGTGTTTTATATGCATTGTATATGTGATATAACACTGTGTACCAGATGGCGCTGTGGAGTCCCGTCTTTCCTTACCAGATTTCCCTGTATGAGTTTACAATGCGTTTAACTGAATCACTTCTTCAACATGTCTATATCCAGCCTAGGAACCCCTTTTAAATTTCTCCAAAAATATATAGATAAAAGTCTCCGTCCTGCAAGGTCTGGTGCTGTGCAATTTTCATGCATTTAAAAGGTATTTGTGTCAGATATCCAAAGTGTCTCAAATTCATATTCTTCTCTAGGGATTGCCAACATGGTACCTATGGGTGCCTGTAGAGGCTTTCTCTTACACCCTTGGTGCCCCCTCTCCCTGCTGAAAATGGAAAGAAGGCTTGTTGTCGTTCTTGTTTAGTCGTTTAGTCATGTCCGACTCTTCGTGATCCCCTGGACCAGAGCATGTCAGGCACTCCTGTCTTCCACTGCCTCCCGCAGTTTGGTCAAACTCATGCTGGTAGCTTCAAGAACACTGTCCAACCATCTCGTCCTCTGTCGTCCCCTTCTCCTTGTGCCCTCAATCTTTCCCAACATCAGGGTCTTTTCCAGGGAGTCTTCTCATGAGGTGGCCAAAGTATTGGAGCCTCAGCTTCAGGATCTGTCCTTCCAGTGAGCACTCAGGGCTGATTTCCTTCAGAATGGAGAGGTTTGATCTTCTTGCACTCCATGGGACTCTCAAGAGTCTCCTCCAACACCATAATTCAAAAGCATCAATTCTTCCGCGATCAGCCTTCTTTATGGTCCAAAAAAGAAGGCTTGTAAGAAGCATTTGATTGTGGCCAACAGAATAGGTTGTGGTGAATGTAGTGTTCATGGGAGTTTATCCAGTTTGGAAATGGGCCCAAAGGTTGGCAACTGATATTCTATTGGACATAATATGAGCTGCTTGCTTATTTGCTTCTCTGTTTTACATTTACTGAATAAATAATGATATTTACAAGCCTGCAGCTTGGTTTAGAAAACAGGAATGGAAAAGATAAAATTTAATGCATTCCTCATGCCTAGTGCAGTCCTCGTTTTAAGAGGTTATGTGTGCCTCTTAAACTATGTAAAAAGTACATAGGACTGTTAAGATTAAGACCAACATTCTTATAGCCAGTCCTGTGTAGCATTTATGTCTAGCTACTCGGATTTATTTAGAATGGTTAAATGGGTTTTAATTCAAGCTGTTGTGCTTTATTAAATATGGCTTTGTGCATTATGAAATGCGGATTCATAAGATTTGTGCATTTCCAGGGGGAAATAACCCTACCGTCCACCTCTTCTGTAACCTGGTGGAATGGCTGCTGCTAGGTGACGGTTTAGCGAGAGGTAGAGTCAAAGGTCGTTAGTGTCTCAGCAGAGCCAGTGGAATTGTCCTGCTTCTTATCTCTTCCTCTGCGGCAGCCGTCTTTGAGAGGTGGGCTTGGAAAGGAGAGTATATCACCTATTAGAGAAATGGCAACCGCAAGAATGCTGGTTGGTTATAATTTGTAAAATATCTTAGTAGAGTTATGGTTCAGTCCCTGGAGTTTCACAATTGACTTCAATATAGGATGTAGGCTTTAATTGTTATGGCTCAATCATGAATATATTTTACTAGGAAATAAGCTCTGCTGATTTCCCATCAAACATCATATTCTTCATGCATATCATCTTTCCTCACTGATGCATGCTTCCTAGACTTTTTCACGAGATTACTTGCCTGTTGTTTCCTTCCCACTAATAGTGACAGCTTCTGTAAGTACACTGCTAACCACTAAAGGATCTTGGCTTATTATAATATGTCAGACTTCCAGATTGCATTCTTTAGTTGACCACCAGAGGTTTAGCAGAATGCTCTTTCTGCCCACTCCCTTTTGAAATAATTGTAAGCTTATCCACTTTTATCCACTATTTTCTTCGCACTTTGGTTCCCTCGTAGATCTTGCAGCTATCATTTACCACCACAAAAATGCCCCCATAAGCACTACACAGAGCTAGCAATTTACTGTAGGAGTTTTGTGAATCATAAAATACGGGAAGGCATTCACATCTCTCCCTGTTGTTTTTTTTTAAAAGGAAGTCATTTAAGCTTTTACAATGTCAGCTAGCTTCATAATGTGCACTGCTAACTATATAGAATCAGCACACAGGGCTCAAAGTACTTTTCTGCTGTTTTTAGTGAAAGATTAGGGTGCCCACCATTTAACTCCTTTTGTTCCTTCTGTCCTTGCATATGGAAAGTTCATTAACACCATATCGGTGACTTAGATTTTAGGTTAAGCTATAGAGCTGACACATGTGAGGCAAGCAGAATCTAAAAAAATCAGCCTATACAACAGTAAGATAAAATTTACAATTAAAATTATTAAAAATGGGATTAAAAGTGTGTCATAATTTACATTCCTTAGGCAAAAGCCGCAAGTTTTCTGCAGGTGCTGTTTAGGTTTTTAGATATTTGTCCTAACTAGGGTTGGGGGAAAATTTTGATTCAGTTCACATATAAAGGTGAACCTACCTAATTCACACTTTCTAAAACATAGCCATCCTTCAACATTCATGCTTCTCTGAATTTTGCAATGCACTTCTCCTGCACAGAATGAACCTGCTGAGTTAAGCCAATGGCCCATCTAGTCCAGCATCCTGCTTTGACAGTGGCCAATCAGATGCCTGCTTGGAAGCCTACAAGCAGGACATGAGCACAACAGTACCCTGAACACTTGCAATTCCCAGAAACTGATATTCAGAGGCATACTGCTTCTGACAGTGGAGGTCGAACATGGCCACTGTGGCTAGCAAGTGTTGATAGCCTTGTCCTCCATGAATTTGCCCATTCCTCTTTTAAAACCATCCAGGTTGGTGGCCATCACTGCCTTTTTGTGAGAGCGAGTTCCATAGAAGAAGAAGAGTTTGGATTTGATATCCCGCTTTATCACTACCCAAAGGAATCTCAAAGCGGCTAACAATCTCCTTTCCCTTCCTCCCCCACAACAAACACTCTGTGAGGTGAGTGACGCTGAGAGACTTCAGTGTGACTAGCCCAAGGTCACCCAGCAGCTGCATGTGGAGGAGCGGGGAAGCGAACCCGGTTCACCAGATTACGAGTCCACTGTTCCTAACCGCTGCACCACACTGGCAGTCTCAATTACAAAGCAAATAGTTTAGCTATGCCCTGCATGAATAAGTACTTCCTTTGGATGTCCACAAGTTCTGGTATTATGAGAGTGGGAGAGAGCATTTTCTCTATCCGCTTTCTCCATGCCATGCGAATTTGTTACCAAGGGAGCCAGGATCTCTTTACACCTTGGACACACCAATGAACTTCTGCCCACCAAGGAGATAGCTGTATATGTGACGGACAGTGCTAAATACTGGGGTAGGGTGGGGTGGAAACCTGCACCTCTGTTGGCAATGTGCAGAATTGTTTTTGTAGTTTAAGTTACCGGTACTTTATGGACAGCCTAGGTTTTCTTTAGATAAAGGAAAGGAGGGGCAAGAACGTGTGCAAAAATGTACATACTATGCTAAATTGTGCATAAAAATGCACAGTGAAGATAGCATTAAAAATGCATTATATTAAGGGAAATTGCTTTGGAAAAAATATGTGCGTTAGGTAAAATTGAACACAGAAAGGATATATTAGGAGAAATCCACCCTAAAGTGCTGATGAATTTTCATGAGAACTTTTTAAAAAAACAAACAAAATGCATACTGATGTGCACATTTGGAAGAACTGATCTTCACATTGGAAAAATGAGAAACAAGAATTGACCAATTTATCCACCCCTAGTTCCAACTCAAGAGCTCATTTCCCTGCTTAACTGATGCTTATCAGGGGTGTGAAGTAGGAGCTTTCTGAGTTTTCCTTTCCAAAAAGGGGAAAGTGGTGAGGTAGCCAGTAAAAGCATGGTGGGGCACTGCCACTCACTTTACCTCTAGCCAGTAGCATCACTGCTTCTTCTCGAGAGATGGAGAACCCTTGCATAATTGGTGGTCCACTGTAAATAGGATTGTGCATGCAGCCTAATCTGCATGCAAGCTGTTTCAGGTTCATGAGAGCCTTTCTTGCTGCTAGGGTCAGCTGAACACATTTATGTTGTGATTTAAAACCTTTCTCAAAAAATTGATTGGATGGGGCAATCTATATTTCTCCCATCTACAGACATTTGATTCAGACAACACACTAGATATATGTGCATGCATGGAAGGAGAAGAACTGTCTCTAAGATCAGATGACAGTTTTTGAGTTTGTGTACTTAAAGATTTTCCAGGTCATGGTTGCTGAATGGATGTGTGTGTGCCTTTGGTACAGATTCCTCTGAATGCATCTCTTTTTTATATCATGAACTAGGTCTCACATTATGGTACAGCATATCTCTTAGTAACATCTGTTCAAAAGAAGGTGCTTGGCTGGTTTTTTTGTTTGAAGGAATTGAAAGCACAGATTATTTTCCCCCAATTGTAATAGGATTTTCAAACATGACACCATTGATGGGGTGAGAGGAATAAAAACCTTGGCAAGCATGAAGTGGGGCATTTTGAACTGACACAGAGTGATTTCAATATGTGTAGCAGAACAATATATGCTTTTTGAGAAACAACATATCCTTTGCAGCTGAAAATAAATGCACAGAAACAAAACCCTGTCACTCACAGAGATTTTTACAAACCTATAACAGGTTCAGTTTGTTATTTCTAAAGAAGAAATTATGATGTTTTCTTCCATCCTATTGCATTCCAAGTTGGAAGTGGAAGGCAATATTTCCAAACAGATGAATGCTCTTTGTATAGAGGGCATGCCCCTTTAGTAATGAAGCCTTGAAAATTATAGGTGAAATGTGAATAATCAGCTTGTGTTTTGTGAAAGACCCTGATTATTCCTTGAACCAGAAGATTTGTTTCTAAACTCATCAGTTACAAGGTAACCTTCCTATTTCAAGGGTCCCTGGAGAATATGACATGCTTCCGACTTATGCCCTGATGTTGCTAGAATGAAGTTCTACCGCCATTTGCAACAATGAGGTATTTGCCTAGCTATGTCTGCCTGAAGCATGTTGTTTTGGCCTTTGGCCTGTGGAGGTCTGCAGAAACACAGCCATGACCTCTTCTCACTTGTTACAACCACAAATTATTAATTAGCCTCTGGTTCCAACTCCAGCAACTGTTGCAGGGCAGTTGAAATGTGGCCTTTTGGAAAGGGATTATACTGGGCATAGCAGTGACACAAAGCTCTTTGAATGACTGCTGTAAAACCACTCTACAAACTCACATTCACAGACTTTCCTTTCCTCCTCCTCCTCCTCCTCCTCTTCTTCTTCTTCACATTTTTCTAATGTGGCATCTTCTTCGAAGTAGTTTATGCCTACAAGACTCACTCTCAGGCACTTGTTTAGTGGGTGAGCATGTGGAGATGTTTACTATGGTTGGTGACTTCTCAGAGGCCGTGACATTGCACTTCTAACAAATGAAGCAAGTGAGGCTTTTCGTGAGGCATATCGATAAACTTAATGGAAAAGCTTCACCTGCTTAATTTGTGTATGCCACACTATACAGTAAAAGGTAGAAGATGGTTGTTTAAAAGATGGCAACCCTAGTCTGTATCTCAGACACACTGAGATCACAGCTGTCAGTCGTCAAGTGTCAACCAGTCCTGGGGTTTCCATGTTGTTAATATGGCCCAATTGTATTGGCCCAGTACAGAAGACCAACTCACTAAGCAGTAAGGTTTTCCCTGAGAGAAGTCAAAAAGCGGAGACTTGCTCTAACCCATAATAAAATAATTTAATGCCCTAATGCTCAGATTACTAGATTGAGGTCTGCTGTAGGAATACCTCTAAAGTTATTTTTCTTTTATGTGGTGCGTGATAGAATTATTGTATGGTAGTATTTGGTGCCATGATGCAACTGTATCTTGGGGAGCAGTGCCAGAAAATAAAATAAGTCCTGCTAGCATAGATCTGGGCATGTTATTAGTACAGGTATCTCTACTTGTAATCCATTTCATTTGCAGCATCCTATATGATACACCTGGAAGCTTTTGCATTTTAGGTTAGTGATGCAACTTCAGTACTACCCAAGGTTTGTCCTCAAATCACCGTACTTTTCTGTCTATAGGACACCCCCATGGATAAGACACCCCCTAATTTTTGGGACTCAATATTAAGAAAATGGGGGGAGATTATCCAGAATGGGAGAAATGCCGGAAAAAAGCTCACCCAAATTCCAAACACTTGCGATCGAACGCAACGTAGAAACCTATCATATTTCCGATCGACACCAACAGCCGCCAGTCCCACGCCCAATTGCCGCAGCAGAGCCCAATCACCAGCAGCCATTGTCACAGCAGCGCCCAATCACAAGCGGACATTGTCGCAGCAACACCTAATCACAAGCGGACATTGTCGCAGCAGCGCCCAATCACAAGCGGACATTGCCGCAGCAGCGCCCAATCACAAACAGACATTGTCGCAGCAATAACACCAGTGACAATCTACTACTCAAGACAGAAATCATTTCCCTCTGCACTACCCATGTTTAAGACTACCCCAATTTTTAAGTGTTGTTTTAAGGTAAAAAAACATTGTCTTATAGACGGAAAAGTACGGTAGCTTCTGTGATGTTTCGCTACTGCTAGGGCATGAATCAATCAATGTTATGACAGTGTGATATAGAAATTGCTTATTGTGAGTAATAATGTTTCCTAGCTGATGCTGTTATATGACACTAATCACTGCAGGCTACCATATACTCCGAATGAACTCTCCTATTTCTCTGGAGAGAACTCCTCACATTCTGGTTTTTATGTATGTTTCATGTTTGTGGCTTTAAATCACAACAAAATAAACTGTGTTTTGAAATGCATTCTGTTCCATGGGACTCTTGCTCATAAGCTTGAACAGGCTTACAGTATATTGTATTCTGATGTTAGAGAAAGAATTGTATATGTATGTTAACCTGCAATTTATGTATCTACTTTCAAGCTTGTTTTAGGTTAGTGTCATATTAAGAGTAGAATGGCTCTTATTCACAGACATTTGCCTTGATCTACCAAAAGAGATTTGTATGTGGATGCAGGCTTCCATGTATGTGGCTGATAAATATAGCGCTGCATTAGTATTCATATTGCAAAGTTCCTCTGAGCCCAACTGAACTGTTTGGATGCTCCTTTTGATCTAGATTAAAGGGAAGTAACATGAAGAAGTTAACTTCAAGGTACAATCAACATGTTAGGTAAAGGTAAAGGGACCCCTGACCATTAGGTCCAGTCGTGACCGACTCTGGGGTTGCGGCGCTCATCTCGCTTTATTGGTTGAGGGAGCCGGCGTACAACTTCCAGGTCATGTGGCCAGCATGACTAAGCCACTTCTGGCAAACTAGAGCAGCGCACAGAAACGCCATTTACCTTCCTGCCGGAGCGGTACCTATTTATCTACTTGTACTTTGACGTGCTTTCGAACTGCTAGGTTGGCAGGAGCAGGGACCAAGCAACGGGAGCTCACCCCATTGTGGGGATTCGAACCGCCGACCTTCTGATCAGCAAGTCCTAGGCTCTGTGGTTTAACTGGTCAATTATCTGTTAGCAATGCAATGGATTATTATTATTTTTTTCAGATATAAGTACTCCAAGACTGAAACTTGTTTGGTAGGAAGAAAAAGGCCCAGAGTTCCATGAGAGTCCCCATCATCTCTGGCTATCCCTGGCTAAAGGCAAATAGCAGTTCCTGTATTTTAGAACCAATGTGGTACCCTCCAGATGGATTTGAACTGCAACTTCCATCTTCCCTGACCACTGGCTACTACATTAGTCAGAGATTATGGGAGTTGTAAGCTAACATCTGGAGGACTCTACCTTGGCTACCCCTGCCTTGAGAATATAGGTTGGGGCCATAGGTCAGTGGATGTAATTTTGCTTCCCACCTTTATATTTTGAGTCATATTTGGCAGCAGGAAACATTCCATTCATAACAGCAACAAGTGCTTCAGCAACTTTTTAGCGTTTCCTCCATGCCTGTGTTTTTAAAATATTGGGAATTAAATTATCAAGTGCCTGAGGTTGTCGAGTGAAGATGTAAAACAGCTGTAGATCTAATGCATTTTTGTCATTGAGTTTATATACACAAATGAAAGACTATAATCGTCACTGTTTGTGGAATGGAAGTAGCAAGCCAGACATACCTGTAAAGTAAAATATACACACATCAGCATTCATGCCAAAACAAGATTGTTTACCATATTCTTTTAGGTGTTTAGATACATGAACACTTGTTCTAAGTATGCTGAAATGGAAAAAAGAAATCATGTTCTGGTCTTCTCAACTCTTGAGATACAATGCAAGGAATACATTGGAAAGATGGCACCCACATATTTAGCTCTGAATATTTTATCTTAGACGAAGCATGCAATTGTGTTGACAGTGCCCTTTCCTAATGTAAGTTGTCTGGACTTGTTTGTTCTTCATGCACTTTGCAGTTATGACACTTGCTGTTTCCACTCCACTTGTGCTCTGCATTGTGTGGCTTAATTGGTCTAGGGCAGCTTTTTGTCTCTTCATTAATACATTTATGTTGTCACAGTGACTAAACATTATTTCGTCTTGTGTAGTTTAAGCAAGTTTAGGTAAACATTATTGTTTAGATGGTTTGATTAAATTACTTTAAATGCTTAAAATATTTTTAGTACATGTACAAATAATATTTTTAAAGTAAAGAATACACAATACAGTGGTACCTCGGGTTAAGTACTTAATTCGTTCCGGAGGTCTGTTCTTAACCTGAAACTGTTCTTAACCTGAAGCACCACTTTAGCTAATGGGGCCTCCTGCTGCTGCTGCCGCGCCGCCAGAGCACGATTTCTGTTCTCATCCTGAAGCAAAGTTCTTAACCCGAGGTACTATTTCCGGGTTAGCGGAGTCTGTAACCTGAAGCATATGTAACCCGAGGTACCACTATATAATAAATCACATTCCACAAACTTACATCAGTATATCTCACTAGTTAATGGATGGTTAGAGTACCTTTTGTCATTGTAGATGAGCTTTAAGGACCACTTACTGATGGTGAGTGGTGACTGCAACCCAGGATGATCGCAGTCTGAGCCAGGGACAAACTTTTGGTCCCACACGGCCTTGGGGGGGGACAAGACTCCCTTCTCCTCTGGCCATGTGGGTTGCTGGGGCATGTATTTAAATGGAGTTATCATGTGCAAGTAAAGGGGCATGGCTTTCATTGTGGACCTGAGTGAAGACTTCAGCCCCTAGTGTTCACTTGGGTCTGCTCATGAGGCATATAAAGAAGCATCACCCAGACTCACCAGCTCAGTTGGACCTGGATTCCCTATCCTCCCATCCTATGTAGCATATGGTCCTGAGCCTGAAGGTGAGAGGGCAGGTCCTTCGTAAGACCTTTCTATGGAAATAGTTGGTTGCATATTCAGAACCAGGGAGAAATTTGTCTGCAGACAAATTGGGCCTGTCAGGCAGTTTTGCCTACCTCATGGCGGGTATCCTTGGGCTGGAGCCTTAATCTAGGAGGGGGGGCTGGGAGCCCACCCACTCCTGCTTCAGGTAATTGGGGTTAACCCATTAAAGGGGTCCAGGTGCAGGTGCTCTCCAGATGTCCAAAGGAGGCCAATGGGCCATGGAAACACCCCCCCCAGCTGAATGACGGTCTTAGAGGGATCACCCGTATTGGATGTATGTCACATAGCGATTCTTAACCCAGGACAGACCCTGCAAAATATTAAACCAGCAGTCGGGCTGAACGATTCAGGATATAGTGGTACCTCTGGTTATGAACTTAACCTGAAACCATTCTTAACCTGAGGTACCGTTTTATCTAATGGGGCCTCCCGCTGCCAGCGTGAGATTTCTGTTCTTATCCTGAGGTAAAGTTCTTAACCTGAGGTACTACTTCTGGGTTAGTGGAGTCTGTAACCCAAAGTGTTTGTAACCCAAGGTGTTGTAACCCGAGGTCCCACTGTACATACCCACTGCCTATGTCAAAGCCTACTTACATTTGTAATCAATAAAGTTGTGGTCTATTTGAACCCAAGATGTTTGTCCAGTGTGTCTATTGTATCATCCCATGCTTTGGACCTTGCTGGTTGCAGGTCTCCTGCTCCTGATCCCGCAAGCTTCTCTTGCAAATGATGTGTCATTGCTTATTTTATGTGCTACATTCAGATGTTCAAAAATCCTGTTTTCCTTTTCTCTATGGGCAATAGGAAGTTAGAATGATCCCAGCAGAGGTGCTCAAAGTTTTAAGAAATGCAGATGAGATTTGTTTTGTCATATAAAAACGCTAACTCTGCCACTCTTGCTTTATTTTTAGACTGGCCTTTTGTGTCCCCACCAGTCAAGAAACTACCATTTCTTTGAATAGGCTAGGCACCCCCATGAACGTAACAAATGTATCAGGAAATGGCATTGCTCCCTGGGCCCACAGATCCCGAATTCACCTCATATTCTTACAACAACTTGGAGACACTTTGCGAAGTGCAGGCAAAGAAAGGATTCTTCTACAAAAAGGCCACACTTCTGCGTCCTGGGGAAGACTTGTGTTGCTTTGCCCACCGAGAGGACCGAACTGCGTATGTGATCATCAATGTAGGTGGCATCAAATACAGAATCCCATGGACCACATTAGAGAATTGCCCCTTGACCAGGCTTGGGAAGTTAAAATCGTGTAACAACTACGAAGAGATCATGGATATCTGTGATGACTATGATGTCAATTGCAACGAGTTTTTCTTTGACCGCAACCCATGTGCCTTCAGGACCATCATGACTTTTGTGACGGCTGGGAAGCTCAGGCTGCTGAGAGAAATGTGTGCCCTCTCTTTCCAAGATGAGCTGGTTTACTGGGGGATAGAAGAGGAACACCTGGAGTGGTGCTGTAAAAAAAGGCTGCGACAAAAAGAGGAAGAGATGGCGGAGGCTGCTCTGTTTGAAGAGGAAATGCTAGCTAGTGAAGAGCCACAATGTGCCTTCGAGGACAGTAGCCGCTTGCAGTTCTGCATGAGAAAGCTCAGGGATATGGTGGAAAATCCTCACTCGGGGATCCCTGGAAAGATCTTTGCTTGCATATCCGTTTCCTTTGTTGCCATCACTGCAGTTAGTCTCTGTATTAGCACCATGCCAGATCTCAGAGAAGAAGAAGACCGGGTAAGTGAACAGAAATGCATTTTATAAAAAGTAATGATGCTGAAAATAACATAAAGTGCTGGTGAAGGTTCCACCTCATCCCCAGCATACATCCTGATAAGTCCATGTTTGGTGCATCAGTTTCTGTTTTCTGTAGATGAAACCTAGTACATTATTATGGAGATACTAAATTTCAAAAATTAGTTTGAGCAGATGTCTCCCAAAGTTCTGTTGCCTAGCTGCTGCTGTTGTATTGCAACCTTTGGTTGGATCAAAAGGTTTTCTTTTAGTGACAGAAAGAGCTTTGAGAAATTGAAATGCCGTCTAAGCAGAGTTGACTGAGACTTTGCTCCTTGATCCAATGTGTGTCTACTCAGGCTGCATACACACAACAGTTCATTCTAGAATCAGTGGAGACTGAGTACTTGCATGTGTACAAAATTCTGACCAGTTTTAAGTGAATTGTTTTTCAGAATTCTTACTTAAAACCTTACAAAATTTAATATGCTGTTAGACCTTTAAAATATCCCCTTCTAAATTGCTTACAAAGTTTGCTGCTTCCCTCAGCACAAAAAAGACCACACATTTGGTAAGTTTAAAACGGTTTACTTACAAACTCTTCAAAGTTCAGATTTCATAGGCTTTCCTATACAGCAGCAAGAAAAGACAGGCAGTATAACTTAGGTTCCAGAATGGTAGGAGTTTCTAAATTATTTGTATAGAAACACAAAGATGGCTTGCTCCAAGTGGTCAAAGCTTGGAGCATTCTGCTTAGACCTCCTTACTGGTAAGGTTCACAGGGCAGAAGGATGGTGGAAAGTGGGAGAACAAAGAGTTTGGTAGCCCTTCCTCTCAATGTGAGCGGATGTGACCTGGCTAAGCCTAGCAGGACAGCTTGCTCTATGGTGCTTAACCCCTTCATTCATTAATCAGTGTTAAGCATGTTGGTTATATGAGGCTGATTTATCCCACACATACAGCCTGAAGCACTCCAGAGGTGATTATGTCCTCGGGCAGTGACTGCTGACAAAGTTTCAAAAAGTAATTTCAGGATAAAACAAATTGTCTATGATAATAAGCTGGTATAAAAATGTAATATCCTTGAAGCAGCATATTATTGTAACTGATGGTGACAAGCAACAAAGGGCAAATAGTTAATTAATTAGAGCAGTGATAAACTGCTTATTGATATGCCAGGGCAAAGCATAAAATGGAACATCGTTTTACCACATATATCAAAATCCTAACCTGTTGCTGCCATACTACAAAGGTTTGATTTTCAGGGGTCTGATTCTGCTGTAAAGGGGCAGCTGGTGGCAGAATCTCATGTAACTGCAGATTCAGCAGCAACCATTGATGTGTTGTCCTGTGAAAGTGGGGGCAAGACTCCTTTGCTTTTTCAGACCCGTGGCAGCCATCTAATACTTAAGGTGGTATTGGGAAACTAATAGAAGAGATAGGCACTTCTTAATACTTTTAACCAACTAAGCAACCTCCTGCCTGCTTCACTTGATTAATAATAATGGCTTGCTTTTAACTGTCTTCTGACCACTGTTTTACACAGCTGACAAGCAAATAAATATATTTATTTGTCTGTCTGCTGTTTTGTTTTGTTTTGTTTTTTACTAGTTTAGTACATCTTTTCAATATGCAAGTTCTGATATCTTTTTTTACCAAAATGATTTGGCTTTGATTACCCATTGCTTTTCAAGAAATACTGACCTCTGCATCTGGTTCTGAATAGCTGAGAGAAAGAAGAAATTTGGTTAACAAAAGAAACTTTGCATTTAACGTTCACCAATTCCTCCCCCAAACTAAGGCCGAAAAGGAAAGAAAGAAGAAGCTGCCTAGCTGGCCTATTACTTATGCAGAGAAAGGTACTGTGTGCCCATATCAACGTTTATTATAATGGGAACAATGCTGTTTAAGTAACATCTGTGCAAAGGAGCCTCGCTGCTAGATTCTCTTCTCAACTTACAAGTGAAAAACTGTTGCAATTAATGAAATTTTAATAGGAATATGTGGTTCAGTAGTCTTGAATTGGACACTGTGTTAGAGGAGGAAGATTTGTAGGTATTAACCATTATAACTCATACAGAGAACTTGATATTGTCAGATTTTTTTTTTTATTTTTTTTTTGCATTATACTACACATACTTTATTACACTTCTTGTTTTCCTGTTTTGTGCAGCAGCCATGGTAGGAGATGCATGTGAAAACAAGTACTCTGTTTTAAGAATTGGGAACTAGAAGCTTTGCTTCATAAAACAAGCACAGACCTTGTTTCACATCCAACTGGCAATTTTACTAAAATGGTTTCTGTTGTTTATATATCATTTTGATATATAATCTACTGTAACTAAGTGAATCAGTTTAGGCTATAATTTGAGGATCCAAGAAGTCAGAAATCTGTGCCCTGGTAAGTCATAAAAATATGTGGAACTGCCTTTAACTAAGTAAACCTGGACTCAGCTCTCTAATGCAGTTCTCTAGCCATGCAGTGTATACAGAACTGCATATACTGGGGTGAAGTGTCCATAAGAATGTGTATATTAGTGAAAATAACATGCAAAAAGGCATTATTTTAGAGGAAATTGCATACAAAAGTGTATGTTGGGATAAATTCTCATGCAAATGCTGGTTAATTTTCATGAGGACTTTAAAAAAATCTCAGACTGATGTGGAAATGTGGAGAATTGAACCTAGGGTTCAAAAAATGAGAAACTGAAGTTGGCATATTTGTGCATCCCTACCGTCTTCATCTGTTTTGGTAGACCATACCTACAAAAATAATAGGAAGTGCTAAAGTACCCTTTACCAGTACAATATACGGACAAATCTGCACTCCATAGGAAAAAAAGTATCTGTTTTCTGACATGAATGAGGATCACATAACCAGAGTCAAAACGTGGAGGAAAAAATCGGATATGGAATTATGAAAAACATTGATGATGATGAGAGGCAGGACTATGATGTTGAAAGAACTTCAGAATTCAGACCGTCGGAAGCCAAAACAAAAATTATTACAATTTGGAAGACAATTGGACTTTTTTTTTTAGTTTTTTATTTTCATTGGATTTGATTTGATATGTTAATTAGATGTTCTAATTGGAAAATTAATAAACGCTTTAAAAAATATTAAAAAATACCCTTTACCACAACTAAGAGCTGGGACATAGTGCTATAAGGACTTGTGAGAATACTGCACCCAGGCTAATATGGATTTAGGAGTTGCCACAGTGTGGAAGCACCAACCTTGCAAAGAAAATGACAGCCTAACATTTTAGGCAAGTGGTTGCTTTATAACCTTTGTTGAGAAAGCTCCTGTCAATTTGTGTCTTTTCAATGGTAGTGCTGGGACTAACAGAAGAGGGAATGCCTTTGCCAGTATTGGCACAGAAGAGCGAGCCAAAGCCAAAGCTCGCTCCAGTTGTATGTTTTCAGTCAAAATGATTGGTTGCTGCTTAGTTTCATGCAGTAGGTCACTCATGAGCCAGATGACTCACTTGAAACAGACTGTATCTAAGAGGAAGTGTTAGGCTTCTAGTTCACTGGCAGGAAGCATGGCTTAGAGCCTCATCCTTCTGGCTTCAGCAAACATTCCTGGACACAAATTAAACTACAGAGGGTACCACAAATATCCAGGACACTTTGCCATCTTGAAACTGGAAACTTGATTTTAACGGGAGAGATATTGCAGGAGTGTGGTTTTACTGATTTGATACTGCTTCCCCACATCTCAGCCCCACAAAGCATTTGTGCAATGATCTTTGATACGTAGATCTTGATGGCTGGATTGATTAAATTCTCCACCCTCAAGTGGAAGAACCTGTATAGCTGTCCAGTAGAGGGGACAGATACAGTGGTACCTTGGGTTACATAAGCTTCAGGTTACAGACTCCGCTAACCCGGAAATAGTACCTCGGGTTAAGAACTTTGCTTCAGGATGAGAACAGAAATCGTGCTCCAGGGGCACGGCGGCAGCAGGAGGCCCCAATAGCTAAAGTGGTGCTTCAGGTTAAGAACAGTTTCAGGTTAAGAACGGACCTCCGGAACGAATTAAGTACGTAACCAGAGGTACCACTATAATAGCTTAATTGCATCCACATGGGGTTTCCTTGAACTCTTTTCATCAATAAGTAATCCTAGGTATTTAAATCTATGTACTTGCTCGAGTGTATGACCATCTAATGTCCACTTGGACTCGGTAACCCTCTTACCGAATAGGGCAACCTTAGTTTTGGCATATTTAACTTTTAGGTGTTCTTTTTTACAGTTGGCCAAATTTGACCAGCATCCTTCTGAGTCCAGTTTTGTTGAAAGAGAGCAGGACTAGGTAATCAGCATAAATCAAAATGGACACTTCACTGGTTTTACTGTACAGAACTAAAGTCAATGAGAGAAAATGTTTTTCTGATATGGGTTTGTTGACCATGCTCACAGTAGTTCTATCTTGCATTCACTTCAATTTTCTAATTCTCCTTCTCAGTCCAAGCCTTTAAATATGAACATAATTATGTGCCCACATCAACACTTGTCACAGTTTCACAGGGCCAGATATAATCTTTGAGCAGGATTCAACTAATGAGTCCTGTCGGGCAGAACCCACGCCCAAGGACTCCTGCCTGCTCAACAGGGCTTTCCCCGCCTCTCCTCCCCCATGTGCTTCCCAAAATCAACTCTAGGAGTGTTGGGAGAACCGCCAGAATGACACACATGGAGAGGGGGTGGGAGATTGTTCTGACAGGCAAGCCAAAACATTTGCCCTGGCAGAAGGGTCACCTTAGTGTGGCAATGGGTTCCTCCTTTTGCATGCTTCTCATCATACATACAAAATGGCACAGTATAATTTTTAAACATGAATTGTGAAAATGATGTATATACCTATACATCTTTCTTTGACTGGGGAAAAAATGGAGTTGGAGACTGGGGTCATTATGACTTGAGAAGAGACGGTAAGATTTCAGGATCGTGGGGCTGCCATGTTCTGAACTTATGCTAGTAGACAAATATTGCAGTTGCCTGGAATTCCTGTGCAGTTGTACAAGCCTGCCAATTAAAAAAAAAATCATATAATGAAGAAGGGACAATAGTTACAAAAAGAGCAACTGTGTAGGAGGAGCAGGGTCATGTGGGCTGGTCCTTTTCTCAATTCCCTGTGTGTGTGTGTGTGTGTGTGCTGGAGCGGGTGCTGCTGCCATGTGTGGGGATGTTGGGGATGGGATGGCCCATGCGCCCTTGTCTCCTTACCAGCAGGAATGCCTGCATAGTGCTGTTGAGCGACCTGAATCTCACAAAAAGCTAGTACTTCTTGGTAAGGTGCATGGTTTCGTACAAAAAAAAAGTGGAGCACAAATAGTGGCAAATCGCAGGGTGCTGCAGTGATTCTGTCCCTCCTTGTGTCTGTTATCAGGAGCAGATTATCATCTTCTGATGTGGAGGCCTATGCAGGCTGACCACAGAATCATAGAATTGCTGCAATTAGTTTGAGGGAGAAAGAGGAATGGTGACAAGACTCCACAGCAGAATCTTCTTTGTTCCTATATCAGCTGCAGTTGTACTTACTGTGAAAGAAATCATAAAACTTCATATTTCGGGATTTAACTGGTGACTTTTAGTATGTATATGAGCTCTGTTCAGCTCTCAGTATCACCTTTATTGAGGACCAGGCGTTTTACTCTGAACGGATTAAGGGGATTTTTTTTTTACTGCTGTTATCCAGTCATTATATTATTGGCTCTTGTGTTGCTGTTTAAATGGAAAAAATATCAATTGGCTTAAAACATTCTGAGTAGGATTAAACATAGTTGTTGGGAGAAAGCAAAGGCAATAAATAAATAAATGTGGAGGTGTTCTCTGACAAGTGCTTTAGTTATGTAAGAACACCTATATACAGTAGAGCTCTGGCATATTTTTCAGATGTTATGACTATGCACACACAAGTATCGACCTGTGAAATCTCAGTAGATTTCCCCTGCTCACTATATTTTGCCCATTTTCATGTGCATGCGTCCATTCACTTCTGTTGTATTTGTACACATATCTTGCAGTTATGGAGAAAGTGCTATGCGTGCCACAGATCTTCCCATAAGGAAGAATGTTTTTTTTTAAAAAAATCACCAGGCACCTCCATTCATGCTTTCTTCTGAACATATACAGGTTAGGGGATCTCCTCAAAACCCTCCCAGGTGCATTCATTGCCCATGAGTTTGACATCTCAAAAGTACTAGAGCTATACTATATTGAGGCAGTGAGGAGGTGGAACTCAGCTTGGTATCTTTAGTATCTTGGTAAACAAAACATACACTGGTTACTATTTCCTTTGATATCAGGTCTCCCCTGGTATGGGTACATTAGTATTATTATTTGTATACAGTATTATCTGTACATTCATATGTGGTGCCATTGCCTCCACTTGGTGAGTTTTTGGGACAAAGACTTCAACCACCTGACACTAAATACTGTCTTCTGGAACCATCCTTGGAAATAAGTCCAGCACCACTGTAGGAACATGACCAATCTCCCACAGGAGGACACTATGGTCAATGATATCAACAGCTGATGAGAGAACTAAGAGTAACAGGGTTGTACTTCTCCTGGGCCTCCCCTGATAAAGGCCGTTCATCAGGGCAACCAAGACCAATTCAGTCCCAAACCTAAGTTTGAACCCAGATTGGGATGGGTCTAGATCAGGGTGGCCCAACCTCTAAGTGGGCCGCAATAATACTTTGCCACGGGAACTCATGGGCTGCACACTGCTTTGTTGTGCAGCGGGAGGGAGGCAAAAATTTGACACCTTCCCCAGTCCTCACGCTTACAAAGCTGGTTAGTGGGGTGCTGGGCTTTGGGAAGGAGGTGCAAGGCTCTGGCAGGGTCCTAAAGTGATCCTGTGTCCTTCCCAAAACTGGGAATGTGCTAAATAGGCTTTGGGAAGGAAGGACTGTAGGACCCTGTCAGAGCCCTCATGCCTCATTCTCAAAGCCCAGCACCTTGCTTACCCCTGCTTTGCAAAGGCAGCATGAGGGCTGAGGGGGCATCAGATGTTGCCAAGGCCATTAAGAAAGGCCTCAAAAGCCACACGCATTGGACCATCTTGGAGACAAATCTGTTTCCTCCAGGAATGCCTGCCTCTGCGGCACCATGACCGTCCCAACTACCTTGTCCTCGCTTGTGACCTGGCAGTAGTTGTTAAATACCTATCAAGTTCAGAGCATTTTTTTCAAGAGTGGTCACACCACAGCTTCATACAAAGACACCATACCCTGGGCACACCCAGTAATGCCCTCCCCCAGCCTCTTAGCTCACCCAATGGGGAGAGAGCTTTATTGTAGAGATACAAGAAAGTATTAACTCTGCTGTTCAGTCTGATATCCCTGTTTGTTGAGGATAAGACTATTAGTGGCTTCAACTCATGATGGTTGTACAACCTCCAGCATCCAAGGTTGTATGCCTCTGAACACCAATTGCTGGGTACCATGAATTGAGGCTGCCCTGCTGATGTGCTTCCCACGGTCAGCTCCAGTGAAAGTAGGATGAAAGTAGGTATTACATCCAATTCATCAGGGCTCATTTTATATTCTTAAAATACATGCATCTCTCTTCACCTGAGGCAGAATAACAATTTATTATGTGAAATTTGTAAGTGAAAACAACTCATGCTTATCATCCTAATAAACTATCTGTCGTACAACCTATTTACTTTCTGGAGGTGATTAACACTCCTAGGGAAGTTAATAGCAAAAAAGCTAACAGTGAATTGCAGCTATATTTGGAAGTGGAAGAGCAATCACAGAAAAAAATCATCGTTATTATTCTTCATTGGTGCTTAAGTGCTGTGAAGGTGAGTTAGTTTGTTGCGTTTCAAACGAGGGCATTGTTCGTCTTCTAGTAAGGTACTAATAATCACTCATTCAAGCAAGGTTTTGCGCCAGAGATAAAATAAAATAGCAGTGATTAGTTTTAATTTATATATTGGAGGGGAAATTGTTCTGTAAAACAGAACTAATAGAGTTCTGTTCTCATAGAGAAGCACTCTTTAGTACAGCAGCACTTTTTAGTACAGGATAGTTGTTCTCAGCTTTTTTGCAGAGGGTCAGGACTCATGCATGAACTGCGCTCAGTCTCTTGCCTGAACATGAAACACACTATTTCTGTGTGCTACTTTGACAGTGCTTTAACACTCATCTGTGGGATTTTGACTTGGGGAAATAGCTGCTATAAAGATATGTAAGGATTCAGCAGGGGGTCTTATCAACACTAAAGGTTAGAACGCCACCTGCTCCCCCCCCCCCCATGGGGGCAGGTAGAACTTTTCTAAAAATAAAGCATTGCCACCAAGACTAAATCCTGAAAATGTAGGGCTTGCAATAAAGAAGGCGGGGCATTTCTTTAGGGACGAGGTCATTGCATATTCAAGATAATTACAGTTTTAATTCTACAGGAAATTACTTGTGTATGACATTCGAAAAACATGCATATGCACTGGCATAGCATGGGCTTCTCTGTGAATGTAGCAACCGACAACAAATAATGTTGCTAGCTAGGATTCTGTATGCGCAGAAATGGAAGGAAGAAGTGGTTCCAACCAAAGAAGAATGGATAAATAATGGACTATGCAGAACTGGCAAAATTAACAGACTCTAATGATGAGTGTTTTATGGAAAAATGGATGCCTTTATTGGACTGTTTAAAGAAATACCATAGTATGATGTACTTGTGAGCAGGATTTGAGCTATGAGTAACAGAAGTAATTTGATTATAATATTGTGGTTATGATTTGATAGATAGAAGATAGGCTGCAACAGAAGGGAAAAACAATAACTCCATGGGAAATGGGGGTGGGATGTCGACAAAAATGACGAAATCATGTTTTGACTGTATATGTTAAAAACGTTGAAACTTAATAAAATAGAATTGGAAATGTTGCTGCTGTGCTACGTGACTCTTTCATTTTCTGTCTTCTCCACAGGGTGAATGTTCCCAGAAGTGCCATGACATCTTTGTTCTGGAGACGGTCTGCGTGGCTTGGTTTTCCTTTGAGTTTGTCTTGCGCTCCATCCAGGCAGAGAGCAAATGCGCCTTCTTGAAGACTCCACTCAACATTATAGACATCTTGGCCATCTTGCCTTTCTACATCTCTTTGATTATAGATACAGCCTCTACCAAAAACACTGACAAACCTGGGGGTAGTGGCGGTGGCAGCGGTGGTGGAAACAAGTACTTGGAGAGAGTGGGCCTTGTCCTCCGCACCTTGCGAGCCCTCCGTATCCTGTATGTCATGCGCTTGGCCAGGCATTCACTGGGGCTGCAGACCCTGGGGCTTACTGTACGCCGTTGCACGCGGGAATTTGGGCTCCTGGTCCTCTTCCTTTGTGTCGCTATGGCACTCTTCTCCCCACTGGTTTACCTGGCGGAGAGTGAAATGGGAGCCAAGCATGAATTCACCAGTGTCCCCAGCAGTTACTGGTGGGCTGTCATATCCATGACAACTGTTGGCTATGGCGACATGGTACCTCGTAGCATTCCTGGCCAGGTGGTCGCCCTGAGCAGCATCTTGAGTGGCATTTTGCTAATGGCTTTCCCTGTCACGTCCATATTCCACACTTTTTCCCGCTCGTACATCGAGCTTAAAGAGCAACAGCAGAGAGCTGCTAGCAGACAGTACCATCATGTGGAAGAAAGCACCAGAACTCTGAATGAGGACAGTTTCCATGAAGGAGATGCCACATGTTCACAAGAGGTTGATGCAGAGGTGGCTCACGCAGAGACTGAACAGGGAACTAAGAGTTGCTGACTCTAGTGAAACTGAAGTATTGTAGGAACTCCATGGGAACGAGGGCGAGTAGATATTTGTCGTATCTGAAACAGCCCCTGAACTGCCCATATCAGAGTACTCAGCCAAACACAGTGTTGGAGAAAGACTGCCCTTTTAAGCATTGGCTTAAGTGACCAATCCTGTTTCTTAAAATAATACTGAAGACCATTCATCTGCAACATCCTTAGAACACAAGATACTTTTCAGCACTCAAGAGTGATCTTGAAGGAACAGCAGTTTAAAAGACAGGTTTCCACTGTGCACATAGGGGGGAATAACACTGCAAAAACAGTAGTGTGTATGTTTTTAAATAAGCGCCCCAAATTCAGGGTAAAATACATGTGCCATAGGACTGGGAGCAAGAGATAGATTGCACAATAACATTTTTTTCCTAAAGCCTGTACCACAGGTGGTTTCATGGTTTTGTAAAAAGTCATGGAGTATTGCACAGAAAGGGTTAAAGGTAAATTTGAAAGTATGGGGACAAAGGGCCATTTCTGACAAAAGCTACCCCTAGTTTACCTCTCTGTTTAATTTTTTCTTCAATAGAACGAAAATCAATAACCACAATTCTGGCTGCCTGCCGACAGGTCTGACGTGTGCTTTAGCTCTTTATGCATTATTTAATAAAACATGCAGATTTAGCACAGTAAGCTTTTGCATCCTAGCTTGGATGGCAGACGTATACAATATGTTCCTTTTTGCTCAGATTTGAATGTATATTGTTTTAAAATGATGCTTTTTACTTTCAATGTTTGGTATCTTATTGCACTTCTCAGGAGGTGGCGCCCATTGGTGCCAAGATTTTCAAAACTGAAGAAAACATATCTAAGAAAGGTCAGTGTCTGGTTGGAGGACATTTAGTTCCCTCCCATCATCCACGAATAACTAAAAGGCAGGGTGCCCCCCGCCCCGTACATAGAGTTTGTGAACATAGGTGAGGAGGTAGGAAAAAGAACAGGGAGATGATACTACATACTGTATAGCCAGGGCGGTTTGTAGTCATCCCCCCTCCCGCCAAGGGTAAGTAGGCATGCCAAAAACTCCCATTTGTGTTTATGAGAGCTGTTTTTCCAATGCCTAATTGCCCCACCAGGATGGGAAGCACCTGGTGGGAGAACGCGAGAAGGATGAGGCAGGAGGGAAGAGAGATTAGGTATGTGGATGTGAATAGAGGGATAGGGCAAGGGATGCAAGAGGGAAAGCCAAGCCCTCCTGTTGCCTGCTCAGCCCTTGGGGAAATAAAGGTTCCCCATCCCCGATGTAATAGGAACAGTAAAGACAAGTGATGCAGTATTATTATTATTTATTAAATTTATTAGTAGCTTTCTTGCCATGGCAACTCAAAGCAACAATTTTAAGCAAAAAATGAACACATGCCTACATTGAATTAATAAAAGAAATCTAAAAAACCTTTCTGATTGATTTTTTTAAAAAAGTAGATAAAAGCTGTAGGTAATTAAAAGCCAAAGGTGTAATGAAAAAGGATTGTTTTTGCCTGGTGCCTAAAGACATGTAATGATGGTCCCAGGTGAGCCTTCCTGGGGAGAGCATTCCACAAGCGAGGAGCCACTACTGAAAAGGGCACACAGTTCTCATGGTGCAGAGGACAGCATATGAAAAAGCTGAACTTTCAATGTTGTGAAGATGCACAGAGAAGAAGCACAAGGCTTTTTGCTTCCTGTATCAGTGATATGCAACAGCTGCTGTTATGATGTAGAACAAAGACTGAAAGAAGTTATGCTCTAGTAGGATTGAGAAATCTCTCTCTCTCTTTCTCTCTCTCTCTCTCTCACACCCACACCCACCCACACCCCAACACCCCAACCACAAAAACAACAGAATACTCCTTTCTCACCACAGACTTGGTTACATGTGGAGCATGCAAACAATTTCTTCATAGCTGTCCTACACAGAGTGAGCAGTAGCTACAGGAGTCGGCACTCTGCTATTTTCCTACTACAGTCAAGCAGCAGTTTGGCACATATCTTAGTTGCCATGAGCCTCACCCCATCACCCTACAAAAGCAAGTGCTTCAGATCTGAGCAAAAAAATAAGAGCATCATCAGCCTTGGGGTTGTTTTTTTTAAAGTTTCTAGTGGAGGAAAGTAGTAACTAGTAAGGCAGATGTTCAGCTTCTCTTCAGATGAGTTAATTTGTGGTCAGCAAGGTTGTGAGAAAAATGACATTCCAGATCATATTCAGGACCATGGAAGTCTATTGATTTCAGGTTTTTTTTACTAACAAAATAGCTACTGTTTTTCAAAATGCTTCTGTCCTTAGTAAATAATAATCATTTTAAACATAGCTTTGAATTAATATTTCCTGTTTCTCATTACCACTTGTTCCAAGATATTTGAAAATAAAATTCTCTTGAAGCACCCCCATCTAATTGTGCTTTCTTCTTTTACTTACGAAAGCCAATCTATATCGTGCATAAACCAAACTCCCAATTTCTTGTCCTGAACCATATATGCTTTTATTTAATGTATAAGACAGTTCTGCATATCCTAAGTACTGTGTGAAAGCCAATCTTTAATGTAGGGAATTCTCTTTGGTGTATGGTTTTATAAACAATATGGTGCTTCTTTTGCCGTTTTGAGATTAGCACAATTTTGGGTCTGTGTTTTTTTTAAACTCCCACTAAACCAGAATGCTAACATAGGCAGAGAGACAAGGCGAGCAGCTCATCCCATGTGGCTGCTGTATTTACACACATCGTGTAGTTGTGAGAAACAGCATCCATAAGGTTGCAACTGTCTGTGAAGGAGGCAACCAGTTAACTGGCCAGTTTAGTCCCTTGTCCTGTATATTTTCTTTAAGGGCCACTTCACAATGTTCAAATCTATATGTTAATTCTAAACAAACCAAAGACATTTAAGCTGGGTTGGGAGGGAATCAGCCAAAAGCCTGTACAAAACATGGAGGGTGTAGGAGGGACAAGAATCAGTGCTGGAGCTGGAACCAGGTATATGTAGCAGAAAGGCAAACACTAGAGGTGCAGACTTCACCCTGTAATAGAAAATCCCACATCTTGTGAAATGCACCTATATGCAGCTTAAGTTGTTCCATGCAATCGGGCTCTACTAAATACCATGGTGTCTATTGTAATAAAAGATGAGAGTCTTGCTCCAGCTGGTCTCATCTCCTTGTTCAACAGTAAGGATACCTCCAGACATGATGTTTTCTGTGGGTCTGAATCAGAGTACTAAGTGATCAGCAGCCTACACAGAGTCTGGCAGTATAGGCAAAAGGGAACAGTGTCACTGCACTTGGTGTTAAACTCAATGCTAATAGTAAGTCCTAGCCCCACCCTCCATTTTGGGCACTCTGGTGGCTCATCTGGTCACTGAGGAAGGCCTGTCTGAAGGGTGCCAAAGAAAATGATTGAAGTTTCTATTAGCGCCCCTCAGCCTCTCCTATACAGAGCAAATAGACCCCAATGGGAGCCTTCTCTCAACCCTATTTGATTGCCACGCTGAACAATTTTTTGTGGGAGGGAGAAAGAAGGTGGAAACGGCAATTCCAGCTCCTTTTACCCCTGGCACATGACATCCATGAGATTACCACTAAGAATTCAGCCTCCAACCTTAACATCTTTCCCCATTCCAGTCCTAACTGTTCCTTGTCGCTTTTCTTAATTTGCAAACATGAAACCCCTTCTTGAAATTCAGTTAGGCTACAATTAATGTCTCAGATCATTATGTTTTCCTTGCTTTTAGACATTGAGGGAGTAACTTCCCACTTTCCTTTGTTCTGGTAATGTTGGGCATCGTGTTTTCCTGCTTCCACAAGGCTCTCACTGTTGCAGGAATTTAATAAAATACTTATTTTTTGCTGCATAATAGCAGCAGCTGCCGCTTTAATCCACACAGTACTACGCCAAAGGGAGCCTTTGATAATAGCAAGTGCCACAAAACAGCACTGTCTCCATTCCATTCAGTGCTCTTGATAAAAGAAATGTCATTTCCCTGTTTTATATCCAAAAAAATGTTGGCCGAATTAAAAGCTACACACTTGTTTGTTGAATGTAGAGGGGAAATAAACAGCAGGCTACGTCGCTTTTCAAGATGTTGTGCTGAGCCACTTGGCTTCTCAGACTGCAAACTTTTTTGGAGAGCATACCATAGGATGCAGGTTTGGCCCGTACTTCAGACCCTAGGATCAAGTGAATATGCCAGGGGCTATAAAGGGATTCTAGTGTTCTGGGCTGCAAAGAAAGATTAAACAGATTAAACCAGGCTTAGAACTACTGGAGATATGCCCCATGCAGTGTCGCAGAAGCTGTTTGCCTTGTTTTTATTGAGCTGTATTTTCACACATTTGTTCTGAGAAGCTGGTGGAGATTTTGTAAGAAATAAAATTAAAACCTTTTTTGTCTTTCCCTGCAGAAGTGACTGGTGGAAATAATTTGAGAACTATTTCTTTTCCATGTGCCCCAGTCTCAAGAAAGTTACTCATAACTAATACTCATTGATTACATCTGGTCCCATTACTTTTTCTGGATCAAAATGGTTATGTACTGTTGAACACAGTTATAAAGTATGGGCTGTATCCAACTAACTTCTATACAGAGTAGAGCGACTGACATTAATTGACCCAAGTTAGAAATGACCATTGATTTCAATGGTACTACTCTGAGCAAAAGTTGAATACAACCCTATATTTAATTGTACAAATGTGTAACCCTGTTTACTCCATAAACTTAATTGCAAAACAATTTGCTGCAGCTGATATGCGAGAACTTAAGGAATAAACATAAAACCTGGTAAACCATATCCATCTGATACACTCGCCAAGAGAGTGGATCAGTGCCTAGTATGAGCCTGTGTGAATAATGTATTGGATTTTCAATCTTGGGGGAAAGCCTTGCTCAGCTATGTTCCACTAGATAGCTGAAGCACTAGACAAGACACTCAACTTCATCAGCAAAATGTACACTAAAAAGGGCTATACAAATGATAAAATAATAATTCTGATCTGTTATTTTAGGAAACCAATTTATGGTGTCTGGCGCTCATTCACACCCCATCAATTTGTAGGATGGTGAGACAAACTGATTTCTACTGACATGCTGAACCCCCGCCAAAAGGCACTTCTCTATCTTACATTTGAAAGGAACAACAACAAATTCTGTGCACAACTGATTGGTTTATTTTTTTAAAATGCAACTGATAAATCAACATTAGTGCCATTGAGATATTCCATACATTCAGCAGAAAGATGGATTTAAGATTTACTTAATCTCTGAACTCTGATGCGATCATGGTTACACCGATTTCTTTACCTGTAAAAAGAACTGCATTTTTTTTTTAAGCCAGTGATTCACTGACCACTGAGGTGCCCTTTAGATAGTCTCCCGGATATGTGGGATCTGTTTGTATGCAAGCAGTTCACTTGTGACTGGGAAAATGTTTCAGTGATCCAACCATGGAGCAAAAGTGATGGGGTCTTTGCTGCAGAACTTGCACTGGGTCATTTAAACATTCTCCCAGGCACATAGAAGCCGATCACAGACTAGCATTCCTACACACCTGGGAGAATGTCTAAAAGACACCTGAGATAGCTGTGGTCCCACTGGAATTGTTGTTAACTGGCATGCCTGAAAACAGCCCTTGTGCCTTTCCCTAAATACCTTGATATCTGGGATTCAGGGGTTCCCCAGCTCCTGTTTAGATGCCACAGATGAAAGTAGCGTTTTTAGACACAACTCTATTGGCTTTTCTTCTGGCATCGGCAATCCTGGCATGAAGGAAATTGTTTGGATATTGACAACAAATGGTTATCAGTTTAACAGATCTAACTGTGAATCTGTGCACAGCGTCCTGGGAAATATTACCAATTTTACCATCAATAATACTTGTTAAACAAAGAGGCATGGGGGATATGCACAGACTAAGCTAACACACACTAGCCAAGTCTTAAGCCCCTTTTCAAAGAAAAACTGGGCAGGGGGAGAGACTGCCCCATACAAAAATAAAGCACAGCGTTGCAAGTTACTGTTATGAAATCCTGTTGTACAAGTAGAAATACAATCCTCATTACAGCAGCATACAAGGGAAATAGAACTGTGGTGGAAATTTATAATTTAAAAGACAAATGCCCAGAAGTTCTAACACAGCCAGAACATTTGTGAAAAGGAGAGCAATTAAACATTCATATTCTGCCATGCCACATAACATCAGCTAGGTAAGGTCACTTCAGGCATTAGGGAACAAGCATGGTAGCCAATCAATAGCACAAAGTCTGAGGTCAACCATAGCGCTTCACACTAAGCTCTCAATAAAACAGTTTTCCTGAGGTTCTGTTTATATGCCAGCCAGGGAGGAAGAGATCCATACAGCTACTGCAGCGTGGTAGTAGCCTCTCCTCTTTCTTCTTTTAAAAAAGAACAGTCTGATCTCCAGGACAATTTGCTCCTCAGACATGGAGTGTCTAACTGGATAGAAGAGGAAGTCCAGCCAGTTTTGAGGTTGTTCCGTACTCAACAGACAAAGAAATTAGAAGCAAATGTGCAAGTGCAGAAGGCAAATAATTCCTTTCCTTTCCTTTTTTTAAAAAAACCTAATAACAATTATGAAACTTCTCTGCCTTTTCAGTACAGAGAAGATTTGGCACAGCCAAATGTATCAAACGAGGAAGATGCCCAGCTAAAAACAGCTTTCGTAGATCAGACGTGCAGGTGCATCAAGTTCATCCATTTTTTGAAAACGTTTTAGTGGAGGAAAGCAACCATTTTAACAGGTCTCTATTGCTGACCCAAAATATCATCCACGTAGCAGTTTCATCTAGCACTGGAGAATATATGTTTCTGGACAACCATGGCTTGTGGAGAGAAGAAAATAGTTCCTGAAGCACAGCATGACTGCATATTCCTTACCGGGTCAAAGCAGGTTCCTCCTGGCAAGCGGCCAAAGAGGAGTGGTTTGAAAAGTGGAAAAGTGGAACAGTTCAAGCTGTGCAGTTGCTGAATTCTAGATCAAGTCTTCAGTAAAGGAAATATGCAAGTCTGAAACTGGCAAACATACTCTAGGTACAGATTTTCCCCAATCTTCATCTACGTTGCATGTGGATAACACAAATTCCCACCTGTATTTCATATACTATCTCAATTACTGGCCATGGAACTTGCAAAAAGGAAGCAATCTTCATGATCTTAAAGGGCTAGAAATACTGTTAGGATTCTTCCTCCTCAATATTTGGCTAATGCAAAGAAGACATTTGGCATTAAATAATACTAAGGAAAGTGTCAAGTTTCAGCTTTCTTTTTGAAAAAGAGGCCTGCTGTGTTATTCATCACTAGGCAATTGCTCTTCTTCCTCTGAGTGGCTCTTGCCTAGCCTGGTCTACCTTTCATTTATTGGAGCAGACCGTACACCCAGGTAGTTTATTTTAGTTTAAGATGCAGTTATATAGACAGTGCTCCCATTGTCAGTGCAGCTTAAGACTGTATGTCGGAAGGCATTTCACTGTGCCCATGCTGGAAAGTCTCAGCTATGTAACACTGCTGGCTTCACCGCCAAACATATATGGGCACACAGAGTTCAGATTAAGGCCTAGGCTACACATTTGGGTTCTTTCTGGCTTTACCCCTTCCAAACGGCTACTGTCATAAATCCTTCATTGGGTCTTTTGGCATTTTCCCTCAGGTCTCTTATGACTGTAGCCACTTCAGAAAGAAGGCTGAGTTGTATTAGACGCCTTCCTTCCCTTCTTTCTTCACAGCAACAAGTTGAATGCCAAGTCATTATTTTTTTCATCTTGGCATAGTATCACCCACTCCACAACCACACCTCACACTTTGATCTATTAATTGGACACACTGGTCCAGCAGTGTGTGCTTAACACATTTACACTGAATAAAATACATTTTCTTTACATCATTCATTTATCCCTTTCTTCCTAGCTGCAGCCTCCGTCACCATTTGGAAAAAACTATTTTAACATTTCTGCCGATAATTGCATTGCCTTCATGAGTCCTAACTGAAATATAACAGACATTCCAAAAGTATGACCCTTATACATTTTATATAAATAGGTAAAAGCTTCAGACAAAATACTCCGATTCTTGTGATTGAATTTTTTTTTAAATAGCACTGAAAAACATCCAGCCCTTGAGTAGGTACACATACACACACTCACACAAGCACATATATACGAAGCGTGATGAGTGAATAAGACTTATAGATATGTCCATATATATATATATATATATATATATATATATATATATCACCCTCATGTGAGCCCCAAAAAGAAAAATCCATTCCAATGGATTTGGAACACAAGGAAAGCAAATAATTAAAAACAATGCCAGGCCTGATACCTGGCTAGGTTTCCATGTTTGACGCTTCTATTTGCAGCCCATCAGAAACACAGTATTTACAACTGAAAGTGAAGCTGCAAGGCTGGCTCCAAATATTTTGACTGATAGCTGCCTCCACTTTGTGCTTTAAAGTGCCTTCGTACTGGCTGGGTGTGTTGTGTGTGAAGCTGGCTTTTGTGGGTAGCAGCTGTAGAAGTAAACCTGCAACAGGATGGCCATATCCACAAAGACCTGTAGAAGTCCACAGATGGAGAACTGGAAGGGAGCCTGGTTCACAAGGAAGTACATGGTCTTGAAGGTGTCACCACTGGTCCACATCAGCACCATCTTGACACTTAACAGGGAGAGAAAGGGAAAGCACTCTTAAGAAGAGGAAAAATGGAAAACTGAAACAAAGAATTACAACCGTAGCACAGCGTTGTAACTGTGACTGATTACATATGAGTGACAGTTAGGATAAGCAAAGCACAATCAGCAGCAAACTTTATTATCTTCTGCTATAATGCATGGCAAATCTAACATGAATGTGGAGAGAGCTTTTGTCTACTCTTCTGCAGAGTAGCCAGTCATAAGCCATATAGTTCATACTAAAAATCAAAAGAATGTCACAGTACATAAAATAGAAAAAGCAAAATGTCTCTTTCAAACACACAAACACTTTTATTAATTTTTCAAATGCATAAACAGGTTCCTATATTAGAAGCCGTGATATTTAGCTTTTGAAACCAGTTATGACTAACCCAAGGCTATTGAGAATGAGCTGGTTTGGATCCTCATATTTTGGTTTAATGTATGAACTTTTTACCCACACAAGCAGCTCAAATCATAATTAAGCTAGAAAGTATCCAATTAACCACAGTTTCCTGTTTGACCCAAAGCAGATAACTATGGTTACCATTTTCAAAAAAGCCAGACTCTTAACCCAACTTCAAACCACGGTTTTAAAGATTGTGTCTGGTTCCAAAACTAGCAAACACAGTTTCCTAGCTTGGGTGGAATGGAAAACTTTGGTTAAATAGAGCCTTCCTGGTTTAAGTGAGGCTTGTGTGAAGAGAGAAGTCATCTTTCTACTTTTAGCACCAAGATAGTCATAAAGGCTTGCTTTGGATGAGCATAAGATAGAATTTTAACTCAAGCCTTCCAGGTTCACTCCCCCTTCCATTTATTTATATTGGTTTATAGCTTATTCCAACTCACTAGACAATCAGATTATGCACACATACCAAGAAATAAGACAGTGTCTCCAAGTATATAAATAATTAAAAGAAGGAGTACCTTAATCATCACTCATTACTTCATATAAACTACCCTTGTGAGTCCTAAAGCACAATATTATTGAAACTTTTCTTTCTATTCAGGTATAATATTGAAGTGAAGGAAGTCAGAGAAAGCTTTTATAATTTAAAAAATAAATTTTCATTAACACACTCTCAGTAGTGAAAGTCAAAACCACTGCCAGTTTTTAAGTGCCTGTAACAGTCTTAATGCATTATAAATGGACATATTTTTAATGGAATTATAAGCAGCGCCCAGTAAAAGCTTTGGAGTTCATTGTTATAATAACCTAAAATATATTATGCAACGTGTATGAAATATAATTGAAAGCGATGAGCACTTCAGATCTTATTTACAAGTAATCAGACGCAACCATGTGTGTGACAAAAAAGGGAAAACGTCCAGCATTTCTCTAACCAGTGAGAGAGAAAATGGAAGCAAAGAGAAAAGTGAAATGAGACAAGTTTATACTCTAGTTGACAGCAGTCCAGAAAAAGAAGAGAAGATCCATGTTAGGGATATGGTTATTTGTTTATGGTTCAATACAAGCCATAAGTAAAATAAAATATGAGATGTGTAGCACAGTCCCCAACGTGGCAACTAAGAAATAAGCTCCACTGCATTCAATGGTATTTAATCTGTATTAAGAGGGCTCAGGATTACAACCTAAACACAAGTCAACTTGTGTTTTGAAGAGAGCAAAACTATCACAGCTGTGCATACACTTCATACAAACCCAGTTATAGAGATCACAAAATAAGCTTATGCAAGAGATAAATTAATGCTTTAAAATGATCAATTCTGAAGGAAGGGTCTTCATGCTACGAAAGTTGCAATCCTCTCACATGCTACTTAAGATGCCCTGAGTTCTCAGTTTCCTGGGGATGGTGCCTGAAAACCCAGAAGCAAAACAGGAAGGACTTCATAGAAGAAGAGGCAACTTATCATAGGATCCGGAGCTACTGGTGGTGACTGTTGCAAATGTAACTGCAGTCCGTTCTGCTCATGCTAGGACTAGCAGAAAACAAGCTACATGCTCACAAACCACATGGGGCATACACTGGGAAACTGTTGAAAGCCCTGGATGCAGATACAGCTCTCTTGCATGAATCGATACCAAGGACAGCAATCAAAAGTGCAGCAGGGGGTTGCTTTCTGCCTTAAGGAAGACTGCCATTGTACTTGCACAGAGCATTTCTCAACATTTTAGTAACCCATAAGCTCCAACATTAAACCCTATGTATGCTTTGATGTTCTCATTAAAGTATTGAGACAACAGTGTTTATGGTAGCCTTTGATGCTGTATTGTGTGCAGTCTAAGAACAGGAATGATTCTATACAGTGTTTCAGTAATATTCACTACGCATCTTCAATCCCAACCCATGGGAAGGGCTGTGGAGGCAAGACAAAACTTAGAAATGGATACATGGACATCCTAAACTTCTTTTTAACCCTGAACAATGATAAACCTAGGCAATTTATAACATACACACACACACCCCGTCTTATTTGACTGTGCTTTTTAAATGCTGCTTTAAAAAATATTGTGCACCCAACCCCACAGCCCTGAGCTTTTGCACATAAATACAAAAGAAAAACATTTTCTGATGTTTTAGTTAATGCCACATATTTTTTCAATATGCTGCAGTCATTCTTACTCATTTATCAATGCTTTGTATTTCAAGCCCACTTAAGAGGGAAGAAAAGATAAAGCAGCGCAGTTACAACCCCCTCCAGTTTAGTAAAAGTGTGTTTGGCCAGAGGGCCAGGGAGAGAAAAAGGGAAAGTTGCCCCCACTCCATGCCCACTCAGGAACTCATCTGGTACAATTAGTGACACTGGAAATTTCTGCTTCATGTGTGCCCCCATTTATGATATTATTGTCTCTTCACTGCACAAACTCAGCTTCCCAGATGAATAAGGGAATGACTTTTTTTTTTTTTGCATATATCTAAGAAAACCAGGCTAGCTTTGCAGACACACCACTTTTTCCTATTCAGTAATTTCAGAATTTCATATGGGAGAAAGAGACTTTTGTAAGCTGAATAAAGCGTTGCCTTCTGTGAAGTCCAACAGCCGCTCAGAATTCTTTTTTTCTTTTTTTTTTTAGGATGGGGAGAGAAAGAAACCCCAGATAGGCAGGAAGCTAGAAGTAGCACACAATCTGCCTGGAAGCAAGAAAGAGCCAAGTGCATGGACAGATAAGGAGGATTTCATTTCACAAAGGTTATTTTCCCCATTTTGAGCGGCTGTTCTATGGAACAATTTTCCTCTCCATTAGTAGAAGGGGAAAGAGATATGCAACAATGCAATCATTTAATGAAAGATACAAGAAGGCATTTTAACAAGCTGGGAATAAGCTAAGGAGACTTTGAAATCCCGCCGACTTCAAAATAAAAGGTCCAGAATGTGTAGAACTCGAATTTTATTTACCAAGTGTCTAGCAACCATGTAATGTGCCGATCCATGTATATCAAACATGTAACAAGACTGTGTTAATGGTAAAATTCCAACAGGGGAGAATTTAGTCTGACCCAAATGCTGCTTTTACTAACACTAACATTTCCATATTGGACTATAAAATACAATACAGACCCAGGATTCTGAAGCTTCAAACAAACAGCCACAAACAAACAAACAAACAAACAAGAAAACTTGTTGCAGAATTTGGCAATCTCAGAAGTGTAAGATTTAAGACAGAAAATGAATGCTTCCACTATAGTACTGCATGGTCAACTCAAGGACAATCCCCAGCTCCTGGAGTTGCCACCAAGTTCAACTGGTCAATGGCCCCACAAAACCAACATTCACACTATACAGCTCTGCAAAATGCAAGTCCTGCTGCAGCCTCCAAATTTCCCGAAAAACAGAAAACAAGCAGTATATGCCAGAACCCACAAAGCTAATACAGTGGTACCTCAGGTTAAGAACTTGATTTGTTCTGGAGGTCCGTTCTTAACCTGAAACTGTTCTTAACCTGAAGCACCACTTTAGCTAATGAGGCCTCCCGCTGCCACTGCTGTGCGATTTCTGTTCTCATCCTGAAGCAAAGCTCTTAACCCGAGGTACTATTTCTGGGTTAGCGGAGTCTGTAACCTGAAGCGTCTGTAACCTGAGGTACCACTGTACATTTACAGCTTCAACTTCGTTAGTGTGTATTGATCACAGGAGGCTCTCCTCGCAGAATTTAGTTTTTCCAACTGCAGAATTAAACACACTTTGTTGCAGATCTCCAGTGGGCTGCTCTTCTAAGTTACTGTGATTTGTCACTAAAGGACCCATCAGTTAGGGAAATGTTAACGGCTCCATGGCTGTCAGGAAAACAAAGCAGCAGGGCCAGGCGGGGATCAAGCATGTGGTGAACTGAGCCGCAACATGGCTGGTTAACTAGCAAGAGGTGCAAGAGTAACATCAGGTCTTGCAACAACACATATGCCAGAGGGAGCGAAGGAAGCAGGAGCTGCTCTGAAAGAGATGTTATTGCCAGAGGCTCAAGCAACAAAAATAGCACTTCCCAGCAATGTAATGCACTCCAATGGTATCCAGTGACAACACACCTCCCCAGTACAAGCGCTTTTCTTATAGCTGAGCTCTTCAAAATTACTACTTTAAAGAACGGTATGCAAATGCAACAATCCAGTTATGCAATGCATAAATCTGCATTTACCACACACCGACCTTTTTTCAGCAGTACAGGCATGTAATTTAAAATATGACAGAATTGATATTTATGCGACTGCAATTTATTCTCAGAAAAAAACACCCAGCAACCCCCTCTCACTTTCTTAGTCAAGATACTACTTTTTGTGCACTGGCAAGGAGCACCCTGCTATCCATGGGAAAGATACATTTTATTTTATATTTTGCATACCACGTGCCACATTAAAAGTAAAAACTTCAGTCAGTCAGATTTCTACTGTATGTAGCAAGTGGTCATTACAAAATTAGCGTACACAAAAACAAGACAGTCCAAGAGAAAGTTAAACATAGAAAATATTCAGAAATGCAAAAAGTCAAACGTTAAACATTATTATAAAGTTCTGCAAGTCATCTAATACTTTTTTAAAAAATCTCCTTTGACAGCACTGCTTTGGGTCAAACCTAGTATGATTGATATTTACACCTGCAATGTTTAAAAAAGCATGCTCAAACCTAGTCATCTCCAGCTTTTTCTAGACCTAAGCAAGACATCATGGATTCAGGGTTCATATTGAAATATTTAAGAAAAGGTTATCCTATAAGCTACCCCAGGCAATGCAGTCCATTGCCCTGCTACTCTTTCCTTGAGATTTTAATGTATATTTCCCTACATTCCACTTTGCACACTGTCAGGTTAGCACTTAACCTGAAACTTGGGAAGCACTTATGAAACAATCTCTGAATACAGAATTAACCCATTTTTGAGCTTCAAGCATTGAAGAGCCAGTTATGCAGACTACAGTGAAGGTCTTCTGTAATGTGGACTGCCAAGAAGGTGCATGTATATTCATTGCTCTGGAAAAGCATCAAGTGTCTTTCAAAAATAGATGAAGATGTGTCCTAAACCATTTCTATTTAATCCCTTGTCTGTGTCTTTCTACTAACGAGAATGGGAAACCATTGTAGCTTCTCTCCTTTGCAGTGGCCTCTAAGTGTTCGGGTTCTGATCCTGAGCCAAAGCAGAAGTAGAAGCTGGAACCCCAGAAGACAGGGCTGGCTAAACTCTGAAACATTAAGATAGCAGCTGGATTTCAAGGCAATCCAGAAACACAAATTATTAAGGAGAAACAGAGGTCAATCACAATGAAGCAGTTCCAAAGTGGGTGCCATCAGATAGCATGGTTTAGAGGTAAAGCAGAAATCAAAGAAAGAAGTGGGCACGTTTCCAAGACCAAAGTACAGTGGTACCTCGGGTTACAGACGCTTCAGGTTACAGACTCTGCTATCCCAGACATAGTACCTTGGGTTAAGAACTTTGCTTCAGGTTGAGAACAGAAATCACACAGCGGCAGTGGGAGGCCCCATTAGCTAAAGTGGTACCTCAGGTTAAGAACAGTTTCAGGTTAAGAACGGACCTCCAGAACAAATTAAGTTCTTAGCCCGAGGTACCACTGTATTAGCAAAGGTCCAAGGCCCAGGGTCAATGAGGGTAGCAGGAAGTAGGAACAGGAAGTTGGGTGCACAGAGCCAACGACCAGCAACCGACAGTCTTCATTGGGGAGTTATGTAGACTGGTCACCCAGTCCCCACCGACATCTGTTAGCCCAGCCTTCAAGGTTGTCTGCTTCTAAGTAGGTCCTTTTCTCTTGAGAACTCTAGTTCTTTTGGACTTGAGCTGTACACTCAGTTGAACAGTGGATGTCAGTGCCTGCATCTTCTGATGCCAGTATTCAACAGCCGAAAGAGCAGCAGCAGGTCAATTGGGAACATCTTTCATGGGTCTTTCTGGGTCCTCTACTGCTGATGGGCCTGGCGACCCTTCTCCAGAGATGTTGGGGGTGTCTGGGGTAGCACTGGAGTCAGGAGATACCATAAGGTCTTCAGTCTTCATGTCACTGGGGTTTTCATCTGAGGGGTCATCCTGGCTTAGGCCTGGATGACACTTAGCCAAATGAAAACTAGCACAGGGCATGGTTTATTGTTGAGGACACATTCTATGTTAGATGGAAGAAAACCTCTTTTACTGGAGACCATGTGAAACTCCCTATGGATTACCAATTCAGACATTTCCACAGTCTTTTCCCCCCCCAAGGCATAGAGGCCATCTTGTAACGTATGATGACTATATTCAGGAAAGCCAGACTTACACTCAACCAATTTGCCAAAGACAATTTTCATTTAAGCAACTTGGTAGCTCTTAAGTACATGTACCTTGGGTAGCTCAATAACAAAGAGAAATCTTGCAAGTGGGGATTTTTGTGACTCTGTGCTGCGAGAGAAACTGAATCTGCATACAGCTACTAAAATGGCAAAGGAGTTATTCTGGATCAAGTTTGTGAACACAGACAAATGGTCTTGCTTCAGTTACATGCTTGTTGCCAGGATAATGGCAAATTGTTTCTTAAATCCAAGCCACAGAATTAGATTTCTAAAATATACATGACTTTCCAGCACTTCTCTCTCTTTCTCTCTTAGTGGGTAAAGACCTCAGGTGGGTCATTACTACACTGTGGTACATCTCACTGTGCAAAATGTTTGTTTTACTAGTCTCAGTTATAAGACTCCCAGTAGAAATCTCACCATTATTAGTGTCATCTATCTGGTCTGACTGCTTATGCTAGCTTGCATCTGCCCTGAGCAAGTATTTTTACTGTCAATTCTTTGAACTTTCACTTAACCATTACTTACACTTTTCTGCTTGCTACTTGAAATGCATTATGAAAGATTGGGTCTAGGGGTTTTTGTCTTCCCATCAGCTGCCACCACTTTGTGGAGAACCACCACCTCTAGCCCCTATTATGTAGAGGAATCCTACTGTTAACTAGGGATAGGGAGGAATTTGGTTTGCATATCTCTGGGTGCTTAGCAATTTCTAGTTGCTAGGTGTTTAATATCTGTAGGTACAATATCCCGCTTTCTATTTATACACTCTTTTTAAGATTCCTGCCTCATACAATTTAAATAAAACCTCTTAGATTACACTGGGCAACAATTTTTTACTTTTTGAATGTCTAGATTTCTACAACTGATTTAGGGTATTTTTGCACTGCTGAATCAGGAAATGGCATCCGTTTCTCTCCATCAGGTCAGATTTACTGTAAACTGAATGGTGGGCATTGATAAAGGTAAGTGCACGTAAATTGCATGTTGCTTCACCATTTTTCAAACTTCAGGGCTTGAAGTTCCGTTTCTTGGAACTCCTGGAATGCTCAGCGGCAGGGAGGTCTCTCTTCAGAGTCCAACAGTAGTCAGCCATCATGAATGCGTCCCAGCGACCCTGATACCTGGTCTCCATCTCTTTCATGTCCTGATGGAATCTCTCCCCCTGCTCGTCACTCATTGAACCCAGGTTCTCAGGAAACTGGTCCATATGTGAAAATAGGTAGTGCATCTTGACGCTCATGTTGCAGCCCAGGTTTCTGAAAGCAGTCAGCATGTTGTTGACAAGTTCTGCGTAGTTTCTGGCCTTATTGTTGCCAAGAAAGTTCTTCACTACCAGAACAAATGCCTTTCACGCTTCCAGTTCCACTTCGTTCATTGAGTTTCCGAACTCTGGATCTCTGATGAGCTGACGGATCTGAGGATTGTCAAAGATGCCAGCGTTCAACTTCTCCATGGTTAATCCTGGAAAAGCCTGCCACAAGTAAGTGAAGCAGTCACCATCCTTGTCCAGAGCCTTGGTGATTAAGCCGAGCTTGATGTGCAGCGGTGGGAAGAGTATTCTGTCTCTGTCCACCAGAGGGTCATTGATGACGTTCCTTTCTTTGCAAGGCACCAATTCCTCCCGCACAGGCCAATCCTTCTTCGTGTAATGCTGAGCACAGTCTCTACTATCCCACATGCACAGAAAACATGGGTACTTGGTGAAGCCAGACTGTTGTCCCAACAAAAAGTTCACCATTCAGGCAGTGGCGTAGCGTGGGTTGTCAGCACCCGGGGCAAGGCAAGTAATTTGCGCCCCCTAACCCATGGATTTGCGCCCCCTAACCCTAACCCCCAGATGTTGCACCCGGTGCGGACGGCCCCCCCTGCAACCCCCACGCTACGCCACTGTCTTCAGGTCAACACAAATAAACCACTTATGCTGATCATAACCAATTTTCTCCAGCACATACTTCACCGCTTCATAGTTCTCCTTCAGTGTACTCGAGTGAGCCAGGGGTATAGAGGCAAACTGGTTGCCGTTGTGTAGCAGAACACATTTCAGTGATCGCTTGCTGCTGTCAATGAACAGTCTCCAATCTTTGGGTTCGTACTGTGGCACTCCAAGCTTGAGCAGAAGCTGCGCAATATCTGCACAGTACACCAAGTCCTCCTCTTCCGAGAAAAAATGGAGGTACTCTTGATGCCTGTTGCAGAGGAAGCTGATGCGAGCACCGTCAGAGAGATTCAACTCCTTTTGGGAAAATGGATGTGGAGCATCATCTTCAAGAACCACTTCTTCTTCTTCATGTCCTTCAACACTGGAGGCATCTTCGTCACTAATGTCAGGAAGTTCTCCGAAGATAGGCACTGGAATTTCATCACAATGAGCTACAGGACGACGTGCTGATTGAAGATCAGGATACTTCGTGGGGCGGCTGCCCCATTAACTTAGTTTTGATCCCCCAACTTTATGCTTTGCCGCACCAATTTATGGAAGATTTCGAGGTTTTATGACTTCAAACTGATCCCTTTTCGACATAATCACCCAGAACTATCGGACGTGAATACTTCTTGTCATTAAAATAATCATTTCCAATCAAAACAATTATTCGACATGGCATTTTACCCCACCAACTTCTTCTAAAATGCTCCACACAAGCGTACATGTGAACAAAAACGTAAAAAAACCGACATGTGGCCATAGCTCAAAAACTTGACCTGATTGAGCAAAACCAATGTGATTTTGGGATTCAGCGCATCAGATTCATCCTAAATCAACTGAAAAAACGCAGACAACAAATTTGTTGTTGACCAGTGTTATCAATGCAGCATTTTAATTCTAACTTGTTTCTTCAACCGCCTTTTACTACACATAGTAGCAGAGTATAGATATGAGACAAACAGAACTGGAAAATATGCCAAGTTTATTAAAGATAATATAAAATAATAATAAATGGTTTGCTTGCAGATTGGTTATTTAATAGTATGTGGTATAATAACTGTTAAAAATAAGTTGCTGTTGTTTTAAATCTGCTACTGTCACTTGGGCTTTGACTAGATGATCCTTGTGGTTCCTTCCAACTCTAAACTTCTATGATTCTTTGACTCTTGAGACTGCTGCTGTCCACCTGACAGACATACATCAGTTTTCCTCTGAAGTCTTCTTTCTGCTGAAGGACTTAGCCACAAAGGTCTTAACAGGTGTCTTCCTGTGGCCAGCTACTGACTAGTCAGAAGTTAAACTGGAGAATTGACTCCGGGGTTTCGCTTCCTGGGTGGCTTCCCTAAACTTCTGCCATCAGGGATTCTGAGCTCACTTTCTGCATCTTTAGTCTTTTCAGTATCTTCACCCTCTGACCAACCAACTGCTGCTTTAATGACTGACAGACTTCAAACAGTATTTTGCCCACCCTTATACTGCCTCCAGCCAGAACCAATTTTACCAATCATCAGGTCCTTTCTGGAATTCTGACTCCTCACTGGTGTACACCTAAGGACAAATTCTGAACAGAATAGCCACTAAAGGGCCAATCACAATTTAACCCTTGTCAATTCTCTTGACCCACAGAAAAGCTAGATTCTGCTATTAACTGCTATAACAGAAAACCTTTCATGTTGACAAAACACCTATTTGTAAAATGTTCCAGCCTGAGTAGTTTCTCGGCAGACTGCCACTTATACATTGGCCTGGTTTGCATGTTAAAACTAAGCTGAATTATGTCTAAGCATGAACAAGTCTACATGTGGGTACAAAAAAACATGTCTGGTTTGCTCCTGCTACCATCACGCCGCTATCATGCTACCCACAGCCCTGCTGTGGTTTGCTTTAGTGTTACACAAGAACCCACGTGCAAGGTTTGTCTCACTACAGACAAAACTTAAGCTGTAGCCAAAGCTTGCTCTTTGCTTACTGCCCATGGTCTGTCTGGGAGACAAAAACCATGGGCTTGGGTGTGGATATAAGAAGACAAATCATGGCTTAGTTCTGGTTAGTGCTTTGTCAGGAAGGAGCAAAGCAGCTGCAATTTTTGCAGTAAGTACTCACAAGCTCAATTTGTTCATGCTTAACCAAGGATTATCACTTAGTGTGAACTAGGCCTTAGTATCTTTTCTGGCTTCAGTCAGAAGTGAACTGTCAGTTTTTCCCTACACAGTTGACCCTTTACATAACAAGGTACATTGACATTTTTGCTCATGATGCAACCGTTTCTTCATATATGCAAATACTGCCAAGAAAATAGAAACAAAGAGAGTCAAGAATGATAAAGTTTCCTCTCTAAAATTCTAGAGTGCTTTCACCGAACAAGTCAGTACACAAATTTTAAAATGCTATATGTCTCTTCCTCGATGTAATGACACCCTAACTATATATATGCCACGAACATCAGTGCAAGTGTTATTCATTGGACAATTATGATGCCCAGAATCTTAAAAGGCTCTTGCAGCAACCCCCCCCCAAAAAAATATGCTATAATAAATGTGTTAGTTTTCAAAGTGCTGAAAGACACTTCGCTGTTTTTGTAAGTAAATTTTGCACATGATTGCATTCTTAGTATGGCTTTATTGCAGTAAGTCTATGACATGTGTCATCATAAATTTATTTATTTATTTATTTGCTTGCTTGTTTGATTTATTTATCTCCCAGCTTTCTCCCAATGCATGGCCCCAAGGTGGCTCACAACATGAATTAAAAACAGACAGCAAGGAAGCTAGTTAAAGGAAAATGCAAGCCATGAAATCAAAGAAGCTGTTGGGAATTTAATGGCAATCAAAATTCCAGATTGGTAATAATAATGCAATCCATGTCCCAAGCTTCCAAACAGTGTGCTTTTATTAATGGGGACATTTTTAAAAGAACTGGCAGCTTATGACAATTTCACATCAGATTGCACCCTAAAAATATGGAATTCCTGAATGAGCAGGTAATCGTCCCTCTTTAAAGGCTGACGGGATGCAAAAGTTGGTCAACCATTAGGAGTTCTAAATTTGAAACTCATTCCGGCATGCCAATGTGCACAACCTCAGGAAGGAATTTCTTATGTCACTTTGCAGCAATCTCTCTGGCATTACAGCAACACTGACAATCTCAAGAGGAAGCAGTATGTCCAGCCCTCGTCTATCACAAAAACCAGTTGACCGGAATTGGGAAGGAAGAGCTCTGGCGGTTATTTTTAGAACATTGGCATGAAGCAGAAACCATATCCCTGAGTGAGTGGATAACATAATATCAGTGGTTTGTTACAGCATACTTTTTTTTGGGGGGGGGGGTATACGCAGCCCTTCAGTAAGAACATATGATAGAAGTTTCGCAGCAGAGAAAGATGATCCGGAGTGAAATCTGTGTCACGCTCATGAAACAACTACATCAACTTGGAATGTGTTTACCATTGATGGACTTGCCTCAGAGTGGGTGGGAATTAAGGTCAAATTCCTCTACCAATCACAGAGAAGCAGAGGTCAGCAAGAACCTACTCACGTCAACATCTCTCTGGGTGGTTAAACACTGGCATCAAGCAGCACATGTGCGGCACACAGATTCTAAGGCTTCCAGGGTATTTTCTCATTTGCAGTGTGTTTCCTTGGCGTTGCTAGATTCACATTAGCAGCTCACCCCACGGGGTTATAGTCCAGAAGCAGCCTTATTCCAAGGATAGTGCATAAAGCAGACCTACAGGCAACAGCTGCTTCATGAACACAGATGGCTTCTAGATTTTCTCTGTGTGTGCGCGCGTACACACATATATATTACCCTCTTGTTATGATCAGAACAATATATTGTGAATTTTGATCTCATGCAACCAGTTCTCCCAAGCAGATACATGTTGAATCAAATGGATCCCTAAATGCTCTTTTTTTTTTGGAGGGGGGTTATCTGATAAGCAGAGTCAGCAGTCTTGCTCATGGAATAGCACAATACGTGAAACCATCAACACAATTGCACCCAAGTTCCCATTTCCAATGCTGTGAAGCTTCCTGATTTGTCAGAGACCTCCAAACAATGACACAGGCACAAGACCTGTCATGAAGACATCCGGAAACACACTAATTGTGCCTACTAAGTGGTGGTGAGGGCAGAAAAATAAACGCTTACATTGCTACGTCCATCACATCTTCAGATATCAATCCAGCTGAGCTTTTTTGAGTGGTTTGGGGTTTACTTATGTCTACCCCCATGTAAGAGCAGCTCGCTGTAACAACTCTGCAAAGCATTCTGAAGACAAAATTGCTCACCTCCATGGCAATCTGTTCATCACTGCTGAAACAGTATCTGATGAGGCATCCAATGCACTGTCTTGTCCTATTTTATGGCATCAGTTTCAATTTTCAAGGCCTGAGAATGTGGACAATTGTAGCAGGATGGCTTTCTTGCCTATTGTGACTTCTTAAAGCTACCCCCCACCCCACAGAATGGACCTGGCAGTTTATTCCAAGGAACCAGAGGTTTATTCCAACTATTGTTCCTTTCTGTGCAAGGTGCCTAAGAGGGTGTGTATTAAGTTGCAGAAACTGTTGGAGGGAACTGATTATCTGGAGCCATTTCAATCAGGTCTGAGGCCTGGTTTGGAGACAGAAGTGCCCTAATGGATGCCCACCTCTGTGAGAGAGGCAGGGGGAATGTGACCCTGTTAATCTTGCAGATCTCTTTTGATGCTACTGTTCACAGTATTCTCCTGGATCGTCTCCATGCATTATTGGCCAAAGACATTCTTCTGAATCATCTCTACACACTGGGGTCAGAAGCACAGCATTTCAGTGGTTTGATTACCACTTGCAGGGCAGTTCCAGAGAGCAGCACTGTGTGACTGTGCCACAGCCCCCTGGCAAACTGTGGGGTGCTGCAAGGCGCTACACTGCATCCAATGCTATTTAACATCTATATGCAGTCACTTAAGTCATATCTCCCTATGACTGCAGGAGAGCAACACCATTGGGAAACAGGGGCTATGAAAATGGATGAGTTGTGCACCCTAAACTCCAGGCCACGGTGCACATAAACAAGCGCCAGTTATTTACCTTTTTATTCATAGAGACAATTGAGAACACCAAGTGCAATAGTGTTCTACTTATTTCTAATATGAATTCTACAAACAATTTAATGAGAGATTATTATTGCTTTGGGGAACAATTCTTGCAGGCTGAGGGTCACAGCAGAACCCACTATTATTAAATATAAATTTATTTAATCCTTCTTCTTGCAATCCCCTCAAGAAGATATGAATTTATAGTGGTAATAAAATATTTAAACCCCAAGTTCAATTTAGCTGGTACCATGCCAATGATTCATATCTTTGTCTTATTATATTCTCTCCACGGTCTGTCCATGCTATTTAAATATTAGGAGGTTTTCAATTACAGTAGAATATGAAGTCTCTCTCTCTCTTGTAAATATAAATATATATTAAAGTTTTCCTATTATAACTTTAATACTCCCCATAGCCTGAATCAATGGTCTTAAAATACATGTGTTCCACACGAGAGCTAGTGAAAATATCCTTAGTTAATTTTTGTGTCTTAATCACACCCTTCAGCAAGAGAAAGCTTTGGTACATTTAACACCAGGGACATATAAACTCCATAAATGGTGTTCTCCTCTACTGTTTATCTCTTCTCCCATGGCCATCATCAGACATAAGGAGCTTCCCACAATGCACTTGAATTCATCAATCTCCTTGTAGTGCTCAATCCCGTTTAATGTTACCAACAAGGTAATAAGCTGCAAGAAGTAATTTGTTTAGAGATTGTAATGCGTGCTGACTGACACCAAAACTGTTCAACATGACTGAAGGGTAGAGGAACAACAGGGCTACTTTCAAGAGTTTTTTTGAGTTGCCATGGGGTGGCGAAACTCCAAAGGACCAGTCCCTGAAGCTGCTGCTGCTGCCTGGCTGAAGAGCTAGAGGACCAGCAAGTGAAAACACAGCCTGGATTATTTATCCAAGCAGCACCAGCTCCAGCTTCTTGGTTCTGATCTGGCCTTCCCACACACAGAGGGACAATCACAGGGACATCTCCTGGATGGAGCATGCAGGCACATATACAAGCTCTCTTCCAAGTGCACTGCTCCAAAGCATCAAATGAAACTGGGGGGAAAGGGAAGCTCAAAACCTGTGAAGTTGCACAGCAACCTCTCCTTCCTCCCTTGTCCCGCACTGCCCAGTCTTTCATCTGGTGAGACCATCTAACAACTAGTGAAATTGCAGCTACTGAGAAAATGCAAGAGCAGGGCCAGACCTGGCCTCTGAGGAGAGCTAGAGAGGGGTGGTGAAGATGTGGCAGGGGGAAAAGGGGTTGACATGCCCTGCCTCATCACACATACTGCCCCCCTCAAATTGGTGGGCATTCTGCAAGTATGTGTGGTCAAACAAATAAATATAAGCAATAATATTTATTTTCTTACGTTTATATCTCACCTTTCTCCCAATCATGGAACCCTAAATGGGGAGGTGGTATCAAAAAACCAAAGATATTCTAATGAAAAAAACTGGGAAATGAGTCACTGTCTAGAGCAGGAATGACCAACGTGCTATCATACAGATGTTACAGGAGTACAATTCCCATCATCCTTGACCACTGGCCATGCTGGCTGGTGCTGATGGAAGTTGTTAGTGTCCAACATCTGGTGGACAGCACATTAGCTACATTGCTCTTCAAATTTTACACAGCAAGCAACATTACCTGCTAACATTGAACAAAGTCAAACCATTGACCTCTCTAGTCAAATATTATCTGTTCTGGCTGACTGTGGCTCTCCAATTCTCAGGCAGAGGGCTTTACCATCACCCGCTACCCTTTCCTAACTGAAAATGTTGAGGATTGAACATGGGACCTTCTGCAGGCAAAGCCATTGCTCTTCCACTGAAATACAAAGTAACACCATCTCCTTCCAAAAAATGGAAAACAAAAAAGGGGTTCCTGCTTACTGCATTCACCGCTCCTTTGAAGATAAACAGCTACTTGAAAGAAACCATCCTAACTCTGAAAACTGTTCATATTTCAAATTGCTCTCCTGTTTCATGCTGATGTAACAAAACAAAATAAAAAAGCAACAAAAGACAAAAGCAGACAGTTTCAGCCACCAGATTTCCCTGCATGTGCTGCCAACAACCATTAAAAAACCTCTCAGACCCATGACTCATCGGCTTCTGCTGGTGCACCTCATTCATAACTGCAATCCATTCATCAACACCAATGTGGCATTTAGTGATTAAATGAGGCTGGTTCTTTGCAATTCTTCTTTGAAAGAACATTCCTGAAGTGATTAAGAAAGAAAGAAAAGGCCCTCGCCTTGCATTAACCTTTGTAGAGCTCAAATCTTAATCAGCTTTTTTAAAAGACAAAGCAAAACAAAACAAAAACCACCGGACAAATGGCCATAAGAGAGTTGCCCAAAGTGTAAATAAGATCTCCAGAGTTTCGGAAAATAGTCTACATGGCCACGAGTGAGCTGATTAGCATAAGCACAAAACGAAATAACTTTGGAAGATAGAGTAAAATGGTTAGACAAGGATGGGGAACCTATTGCCGTCCATATGCTGTTGGACTCCAGCTCCCAGCATCTCTGACCACTGGCCATGCTGGCTGGGGCTGATGGGAAGCCCAACAACATCTGGGAGGGCCACAGATTTCCCATCTCTGCAGCAGAGGAAAAACTGAAGAGCTGGCAAAGAGTATGGTGAAGAGTAGCGGCTAAGGCAGCAGGTGAGGATATGATGGTTATGAAGGAAGAGTAAGGAACGGTTAAAGGGGGTGTGGTAGAAGTTAAAGATGAAGAAGACTTGGTAAGAAAAGGAAGTTTTAGAGGCAGATACCCAGTTTCGGACACCAATACCATTTTATGAGCTATCATCTTTCCTTTTCTCAGACGTCACATTCTTGCAATATGTTAACATCCGGGAACTCTGAAATGATGCATTTATTTCCTAGTTCTTTTAATCAGATGATGTCAAAGAAATTAAACATAATCTAACCACCAGTGATAAATTGAATCCTCTCTTATAAAACAATTAACTTCCATTAAAATACTCATTTATAACAAGAAACGACTGGAGACTTACTGAAGTCCTGAGATGAATAGAAATTAAGCAATTCTTTACTTGATAGATGTTACTAATGTGCTATTCTGGGAGCTCTAGTACTTGGATGTCAAGATTAGAATGGTCATTAATAGAATTATAACTTCTCTGCCTAAATTCTCCGCTCTGCAACACACTCTACACCCAAAATGAGCTCCAAAGTCTTATTAAATAGCAACTGCAATGCAGATCTAAGTGGGGGCAGGGAAATTGGTTTATAAGTGATGCAGGCTTTCCTTAGCATATATTCCAAAAGTATATTAAATTACTGGAAGATACTCCATCTGAGCTCCCTTGGCAAGCTTCTCAGGCCTACAATACAAGTATCAGTGGCCAGGACAATTACTATTCCTCATACACTTCACACATTTTTAACTTTTGGCTTATTTCCCTTCCTGTCCGTCTCATGAATTTCAGAGAAACTCCAGAAGCTATAGAGAAGAAAACAGCTAGGTGGACTGGACTCTGGTGCACTGAGATTTTCAAATGTGTGTGTTTGCATGAGTACATATACACACTTGAAACTTCAGGGTGGTGGTGGGGTTAAAACTGCTTGGGAAAACAATTTCAAGCTGGAAATGGCTAACAAGAAAAAAGCTACACATATCCTGTGCTTCCACTTTGCTTCTCCTTATCAATCCTCCCCTCCTGGAAGCAGCTTTTTTCCTTTTCTGAAGGGGCCATCAAATGCAAGTTTAATTGCAATGTGGATTGGACACTGATGGACTCACAGATTTTCAAATGGATGTCCTGCATGGGTATATACACATGTGAAACCCCAGGGAGGGGAGAAGGGTGAAGGTATAGGTATATTAAATTACCATAACCCAATGGCCCTTTTAGAAAAGGAAAAAGCTGCTTCAGAGAAAGGGGGCAATAAGAGAAAGAAGAGGCAGAAGAGTTCTGCAGCCCTTTTCCCTGTTTGCCATTTCCAGCTTGAAATTACCTTTCCAAGCAGCTTTCCCCCCTCGCCTCCCCAGAGAGTTGTTGTGTTATTTTCCTGTTTTAATCAAAGTAGTTCTGGGAAGGCTGCCGAAGCAATGAGAAATAATTACGTGTGTGAACAGAGCCAGAAACGTGACTGAAGTATTTTAAGAGACATGCATACCATCTTACCTCATTCCTTCCGTTGACCTATTCTGATAGTTACGATAGAGCTGAGGGATGCCCAGCATGGCTTCAGTGAACACGGCAAGGAAGCCCAGAGTTTCAACAAAGATAGTTGAGTCAAGAGAAAGGTAAGTGATGTATCCTGTGACTCCCGTGAAAGCCAGAACACATTGCACATAATCTGTAAACTTGTTCCAGTGCCAGAAATAGTTCAAGTCAAAATCTGAAAGACAATGTTCATATTTATAAATAATAAACAAAAGCACCAAAATAACCAATTCAATCAATAGTCTTTGGACATAAGGGGGTGGGGAAGTAATATTAGAATACTCAAGCAATGTAAAGAAACCAGCACAAACACTAAGCTGGGAGATAAACTTGAGAATTTGACACACACACTAACAAAAAATTAGTAACGAGCAGTGATAAGAAGGGTGAAGGCGGTAAAAACCAAGCATGTGGTGATGGATAAAACTTAGAATATGTTTATGGTACACTGCAGGGCAGCAGAATGAGGTATATTTAGATGACACAGGGTTCAGACACATGCTGCTATGATTTGCCACTAACCATGAGAAGGTTGCATCTGTATACATGAGAGAACAGAAAAGGGTGATCATAGTGCCAAAACACACTTTGCGTTATTCCTGAAAAGTCTTTCAGCCCGACTCCAAAATCTACATAGAATGCAGCCCTCCAGGCCTCTCTACCTTGTCCTTGGGACCCTTCCCTTCTATTTCCAGGCCACATCTATGAATGGCCCTGCTCCATGCCCTCTTCAAGTGCTATTGTCTGTTTTTTGTACGGCGATAATAAAGCTTGCTTATTTATTTATTTATTTATTTACTGACTTGATCACTTGTATGGATGGGTGGATGGAGAGGTTTAAGTATAGAAACCTCTGATTTTTGCATACCTGGAATGTAACCTACTGCATCCCTTGCTACAGCCAGTTTTTTTCCCCTCTAGCTCCACCCACCACTGGTATGCAGACCTGGAAGGAAAAGTTCTGGAGGAAAAGTTAGCCATCCCTGATTTAAGAAAAACAACAAGAGACTGAAACAAAAGCCATGTTGATAAAGCACTGAGATATTACCACAGAGTACCACGATCATGCCACAGAACGAATGGCCACCAACAGAGAAGTCTGAGAATCTCAAGGCTGATTCACACATACATCGTCTCACAAATTCACTTTTCAATCAGTGTGGTTTATCCGGTCTTAGAGCTTGTTTAGAATATCTCCAGAGCCATGGTTTGGGGCATTGTACAAACGCCCTTTGCAAAGAGATGCATGCACTCCCAGTGGTGGTACAGCTCACAAGCATATGTCCCCTTTGAAGATACAGCTCATACAACTCTCTTTATCAGGAATGGGGAACCTGTGGCCCTCCAGGTGTTTTTGGACTCCAGCTCTCATCACTCCCACCCCAAACACCCAACGGTCAGAAATGATCCTCCTAGCCCTGCTGCATGGGGGAATATGAGCAAGTTTTACATTTGCATGCTACTAAGACATGGAAAGCGGATGCTAATCATTCCCTCATTTTCTTTGGTCCAGAATTGTATCTAAAGTTAGTGCACACTGATGGGCTTGTGCACATGTTACACTGGAATGAGAGGGAGATATTACTAGGTGCTTTACTGGAGAGAAATCAGTTATCAAAGTTATGCTAAAAGCAGTCAAATGCATTCTTAAGGGTGCAATTAAACAGATGTATTTTTTAAAAAAATGCAAGTCTATTTTGGTGCATAATAATTTTTTTGCTCCGTTTCGGATATCACCAGCCCTTTCTTCCAAGAAGAAGTAAATAATGTCATGTTGCTTTCCAGAATTTCCTTCACCACTCCCTAATGTTGCTAATCTTTCCTCAGATAACTAAACTAGTATTTTAAATCATCACAAACAATAGGGTTTGAATATTCTGCAAAGCTGTTCTAAATAAGTCACGTTACATGGTGAAATAATTACTTCTAAATGCCTTGGGGAAATATAAATAAAATGATATAGCAAATGACACTCCTGTGAAACATTGCTTCCAAAATTCACCCAATACCTTTGTGGCTTTAAAATATATTTTAAATGACTGCATCAGTCTAGATTTGGGATAATTGTTTAGCAGCAGTTTATTTAACCCTTCCGTTCTACATCTACATGATGGCTAACAACTTTTTAATGATATAGATGTCCACAGAAAACGTAGACAAAGACCATAAATTGCACAGTTACAACTTTTAACACATAACTTGATGTTCTCCAAACATTTAATTTCACCAATTTTGATGGATAATATTTTAAGAGTGTTGAAGCATACTGTAAAAATAAACAGATAAAAAAAGAACAAAAAGGATCTTGTCTTCTATAGAAACCAGGTTAAAAGCAGCAGTTGTGTACACACTACCAAAAAGAACAACCCAAAGCAGGTCTGGATGTACACTATCTCCTAAGAAGAACAGGCAAACAAGAGGAAATAAAAGACAACAGGACAATACTGAAAGGAGTATTTGCTCAGAACATTAAAAATGGAAGGAGTTTCTTCCTCCTCCCTCCAAGTTCTACACAGATGAGCATTAACTTTCGGAGGGTAGCTATAATGAAACTCCCTACCCTATTACAGTCCAGTTACCAGCTGGCTATCTGCTCTAACAATATTTCAGAAAGCAGTGTGCCAGATTCCATGTGCTTGTAACAGAAAAGCAGGCTTGAGGGGTCTGGTGAGTACCAGTTTAATTGTTGCCAAGCGGTCTGTGATAGCAGGGCTCATCAAACACGGAGGCAAGCCATGCACTTCGGCTTCCAAAAAGGGAAGCTGCGCTAACGAAAGAAGCAAGGGAGGCAATCCGCTTTACATTTTAAAAAAGGAATAAAAGGCAGAGTGGCACTGAAATCCTATCCCATGGGTTAGTGCGTGTGATCAATAGTGTAAAAGCCGATTAAAACTTCACTCCTTCTACACAAAGGGGAGCTTGAGCAAAAGCCTCTGCCATATATTAGCCAATGTGTGGCGGGAGCAGCAGAATCATGTTTGCCAACTCTACTCCTAATCTACACGCTGCAACATCTCCTGGCATCTGCAGGTGGAGAAGAAGATTGGCTTGGGAGCCCTCAAAGCTCAAAGCATGTACACCGATTTTTCGGGGGGGGGGGCCGCAGGGCCAGCACCTGGCACTCTTGAGCAGGTGCCAGGGCCACAGCACCTGTCAAAGCCTACTTCTATGGCTGCTCTCGGCCCTCCTAACACTGAACAGCATGAGGCAGCTGGATCTAAGCTCTGTTTTAACTCCCAGCAATACCTGCAGCTTTGCATTATTCTGGGACACTGTGAGAAACCAACAACTCTTGCTTGGAGTAGGGCTGGGCGATATCTGTTTTTCAACATTGTGATATATCACCAACTAAGCATAATGATTATACCGATATATCGCGATGTCTGAAATAAGGATGGAACTATGTAGAACAGGCTTCCTCAACCTTGGCCCTCCAGATGTTTTTGGCCTACAACTCCCATGATCCCTAGCTAGCAGGACCAGTGGTCAGGGATGATGGGAATTGTAGTGTCAAAAAATCTGGAGGGCCAAGGTTGAAGAAGCCTAATGTAGAGGCACTGGCTAGCTTCACAGCTTTTCCTGCACTGTGATCTTTGCATAGTGTGTGTGCGCGCGCACACACACACACACAAATCATGAGTCACGATATATCACCAGGTAAAGAATTATGAAACCGATATCATAATATGGACTTCAAACCAGTTTTGGACAATATATTGATATACAGTGGTACCTCGGGTTACATATGCTTCAGGTTACATATGCTTCAGGTTACAGACTCCGCTAACCCAGAAATAGTACCTCGGGTTAAGAACTTTGCTTCAGGATGAGAACAGAAATCGTGCTCCAGCGGCATGGCGGCAGCAGGAGGCCCCAATAGCTAAAGTGGTGCTTCAGGTTAAGAACGCACCTCCGGAACGAATTAAGTACTTAACCTGAGGTACCACTGTATTGCCCCACCCTAGCTTGGAGCACTGCCATTCCAGCCAAACAAGGCTGCCGGGACCATTGACAGGGAAAGCCGCTGCCCTAGACCACCTCAAGCCCAAAGCCAGCCCCAAATGGGGGTGAGGACAAGAGCACGGGACAAGCACATCCAATGGGTAGAGTAAAATAGCGCAAGCTTGCTTCCTCATTATTCACAGCTTCTAAGCACCATGAAGTTTGCCCAACCTCATCGTCTGAGCTGTACATCAGCTCCAGTCCACTTGGCAGCCTCCCTTGGCTGTGTTTCATTGGAAAAGTGTCAAGAGAGCCAGTCACAAATCTTCTACATACCTTGGCTTGTCTTCCTCTATCAATAAATAGGCAATTGCCAGGGCTAAATTAATGTATATTGAATACCAACATCCTCTCTGAGGTTAGTCATAATACCATTAACTTTTCCTGCTTCAATCTTCCTCAGTTACCCCACTCTTGCCTCTATGGGTCACTTCTACTCCAACACCTTGTGGTGTGAAGTAAAGTCTATGGGCTAATTCATATGAACCGGCAAGAGCTGCTTTCCCAGGCCACACTATACCTTGTAATATAGGGGTGGTGAATTAAAAATCTAAATCATAGTATTTTTTCCTACTGACATGAAAATGAACACCTGATTTCTTTCCCCCCCCCCCCACAACAACAACAACAACAACAACAATATAATTCACCAGTGAGCTGGCCTTTCAAAAGTGCAATGAAAAGGCAGAAGAGACTTTGCACCAATTTTAGTTGCTAAGAGCACGCAAGCTCTTGAGCTTTAGGCACTTCAACCAAAAACCACACACACACCCACACCCAAACACAGAGCTTTATAAAATGAGAAAGCTGCAAACTGCTCTGTCTGTTCCATCCAGGGTCACATCTCCAACACAGCAAGAAGGGGGGGAGTAGTGGTGCAAAATGACCTGGCAACAAGCCCTCCCAAGAACCACACACAGACTGAAGTGAAGTCAAGATGACATTGGTTTGCAGCGAAGTTAAATAAGCCCCCCAATGTGTATTCAGGATGTTTTTTGCACAGCCACGTGCACAGAATTACCACAGCACTCTATCCTTCTTGCAAAAAGGAGCAACTGAAAGCACACGCATTGGCATGGTTCATATGCCACGTTAAACTAAATGTGGTGCTGAAATCGTGGGTATCCTCCCCACTCCTGCAGCTGGTCTGGCTCAACCTTACGTCTAATCCTGGACTCATGGTTTGCTCCCCACAAATAAAGCATGAGTGGCATGACAAGAATAAATCTTGGTTACAAGCTCCGGGATTGACTGCAGAGAAGGAAACCATCAACCCAGATTTAGACATCACACGAAACCAGGCTATGGGTTAGTTCCTGACATGTGGAAGCATGAGTGGCAGAGGAGCAGAGTGTCCAGGGCCCAGGAGAGGGAGGTGCAACGGGTACATCATACCCTTGCACGGGGTGAAAAAGGGGGCCCGATAGCAAAAAAATCCCTGGGACCTCAGAAAATGTTTGCATATACAGTGGTACCTCAGGTTACATACGCTTCAGGTTACATGCGCTTCAGGTTACAGACTCTGCTAACCCGGAAATAGTACCTCGGGTTAAGAACTTTGCTTCAGGATGAGAACAGAAATCGTGCTCTGGCGGCACGGTGGCAGGAGGAGGCCCCATTAGCTAAAGTGGTGCTTCAGATTAAGAACAGTTTCAGGTTAAGAATGGACCTCCGGAACGAATTAAGTACTTAACCCGAGGTACCACTGTAGTGTGAAGACTAGCATTAACATTTTATGTAATCCTACATAAAATGCCATGACACGTCGTCCAGTCCCCCCCCCCCCGCTTTCTCTTCTGCCAAGTGCCCCACTTCTTTCAGCCAATCCAGAGAGGCGATACTAAAGTTTCAGCAAAAGATCTGAGAAGGCGGGCTTGCCTAGTCTCTCTTGCAGGTGACGTGCTCCACCTACTGAAGGGACTGCCATCTGCTGGCGAAGGGCAGCGGGTGTCAGCACTGACATCAGTCTGCCTTCAAGCAAAGGAGGGCAAAGCAACTCACTGCCGCCAGTATCATGAACAGATGAAGAGTTGACTACATCTGGCAAAATTATTTTTCCCAAACAACTCTCCTAAGAATCAGGAGATAGTTGGTATTTGCACTGATTCAAATTATATTTGTAAAGGTCGTGATAAAAGCAAAAACAAAAAACCCCACTCTACCAAAAGAAAACCCCACCAAAGATATTTATACTTACTGGAACATTCTTCATCTCTGTGTACAGAAGTACCTCAGGTTACATACGCTTCAGGTTACAGACGCTTCAGGTTATAGACTCCGCTAACCCAGAAATATTACCTCGGGTTAAGAACTTTGCTTCAGGATGAGAACAGAAATTGTGGTCCAGCAGCGCGGCGGCAGCAGGAGGCCCCATTAGCTAAAGTGGTGCTTCAGGTTAAGAACAGTTTCAGGTTAAGAACGGACCTCCAGAACGAATTAAGTACTTAACCCGAGGTACCACTGCATTTTGATTTGGACATTTTCTGACAAAAAGTGTTGTTACATTGGAATTACTGGTTAACTTGAGAAACAGTGTTGCACAACAATACAAGTTATTCTGGACAACTTGCAACAAGCTGCAAAGTTTGAAGGGAGCTCTTGCAGCATTGTTTTTTCTTTTGGTCAAGTGAGCACAGCTAGGTGCTGCATGTCAGAGGCTTAATGCTGTCCAGCTGGCATAGATAAGACTCCGGGCTCCCAGCCAGTTCCAAACTATTTGATTTATTTGACAAAGTTCAAACGTACATCTCCAGCGTTTAAATTAGCGTCCGTCCCGTTGTTGCGCAGTTGCCGCCTCTAATCTTTCTTCTTCCTTTTCCGTATCCAGCATGCAAGTCTGTGGAAACTCCTCCCCTGACTTCCTCTGTGTACAGAATGACTTGTTCCAGGCTCATCCTCCTCCCCCTCTACGTCAGACCCACTGTCAGACGACAGGCTGCTGATAATCTCTTTAGGCTCTCTATAACTGCTGGTTTCTGTCCTTTCATCTTTTCCTGTTTGCCTCTCCCTGACACTGCAGTTTTTACTTATATTTAAATTTTTGCTTACAAATAAAGCTGAGACTGGCAGAAAGAATGGTGAAGCCCGGAGAACAGTTTTAAAGTTGAACAAAGGGAGATCAGATTCAGGTAGGTAGCCGGGTTGGTCTGACGCAGTCGATACACATGATACACAGATACACATGAAGAAGTGTGCATGCACACGAAAGCTTATACCCAGAACAGACTTAGTTGGTCTCTAAGGTGCTACTGGACAATTTTTTAATTTTTTTATTAAAGGGAGATCAGTTATAGCATGTAATATTTTACTACAGAGGAAGGCGGCAGCTTTAGTCACATCCCAGCAGCGTCCCCCTTAATTTTGTCTCGTATAAATAAACTGGAAATAGTGGGCAAAACAACTCTCAGAATGTTCCACTCCTGTTTAGGAGCAAATTGTTAGGTAGGTAGTTGGCTCCTCTAAAAATCAAAGTATTAAATGTATTTGAATTTACATAGGGAATACCTCACTACTGTATCCCTACAACACTCCACATCTGCATTTCTGCCTTAAGGTCTTAAATGCTAGTTTTGTGTGAGCTTTATATATCATAGTTGATGGAAATTATGATAAATAATATTATGTAGTGTTGAGAAATTTAATGGTATAATGAATAATATCACTTACTTTCAACATAGCATCACTTTATCAGAGTGATTTAACCCTTAAATGGATAAGTGGGGTCATATTTACCCCACTACTTTCCCATTCTATATCACCATGGCAACAGCTTCAGTACTATTTTATGACAGAGTCTAACACAGCATTGCCACATTTGGTACTAATGTACCAGATATGGTAGAATTTTGAATACTAAAGTACAGAAATATTACTACTAATCTGCTACCACTACTTCTACTACTACTAAATTATTAGTATATAATATTTGTCTTTTTATCTTCCCTTTTTAAAGATATAAAAATATTAATTTATAAATCATCTCTCCAAAATGTATTCTCATGAATTAGGAGGCCAGCAAAGAAAATACAAGAAAAATGAAAAGGGGGAGGGGGGGTCAACACTCTTTCCATGTGGATTGAGTGTGGCATCAAAACATTTATTCAATGAACTCACCTATAGAATTGAAGCAAGAGGAAACTGTTGGAAACCTCATCACCATATGAGGAGCAGTTGATTTGGTTAATCATGTACAGGATTTTGATGAAGGGGCAGATGCAGGAAATGGAAAACAGAAAGAAACAGACATACAGACACATATGGAAGTAAATTTGGAAGATGAGAGGCGTGATCACAATGTAGGCCTTGACATTGGATGTATCACCACTGAGATTCCATCTCAAGAGAAAATTAAGAGAGTATATTACAAATAGTCACATTCCTCTGCTTAAAACATTCCCAAAAGACAGCGGCAATCAAGTTTGAATCTTGAGAAACAACACATTTTGCTTGAGAGGCTATCTGCAAAGTACTTTGCAGCAATAGTAGATTCCACACCAGATTCTTCCCACATTGAACATTTCTTTTGAGGTATGTACGTTTAAAAGAAACGCAGCATGAGATTCCAGTAAGATCTCTCAAGTCTGTAGAATGTAGCAACAAAAGAGGGGAAGAAATTGCTCCATTGATAACTGATACCTCGAAAGAACATGCTATTCCTCTCGGTGATTGTAGAGCTCAAGTCTATAGTAATGGGGCAAATATGGCCGGAAAATACAACGGCACACAAGCAAAGATACAAGAAAAACGCTCAACAGCTATTTTTTTTACCTTGATTATTTTCTAAGTATAGATGGATAAAACAGTATTTCCATGTCATGTTACTTTGCATGTTTCCACTCATAAGTGCATGTTGTTCTATTTCTATGTCAATCTGCAAATCTTTTAATCTACCCCAAAATTTGAATTTTAAAATAGTTATTTTAAATATGCCAGCATAACTCCCCCATCCTGATTTAGCCAGGGCAAAACCAGCAGAAGTTGTGGGACTGTGAGCCCTGAAAATTGGGTGTTCAAGGGGAGGGACAAGGACAAGGCAGGGCAGACTGACTCTAGATCTTAACATTGATCAGCTTGGTCACATGACCCAGCAATCCTGAGGTAGGTGCACTAGCAGAAAGGATGGTGTAGGTCAAACTCTATTTTAAAGGCTTGTTTCCTCCCTGTAGGCTTCGGTTGTCTGAGCCAGCAGTAGCCCCACTACCAAACAGATTTTGGCTCTGGTGTACTTTATGCCAGCTTAATGTAAGGCGCTGTAAATTACACTGGCTTCCAATGCTTAGTATTGCTCCCTAAATTTTAATGGAGAGCTCCACTTAGTGTCAGCTCTCATGCCTTAGAAAGCCTTAAAGGTGCAGAGTTATGAAGATAGGAATAGTGAATACAAATAATTAAAACTAGGGCTATAGAGACTTCAAATTCTGAGGCAGCAGCATTACCTTCTTAGGAATCACTCTGTACATAGCTGTATTATTATTATTTTAATGCTAAAACCAAAAATGTATAGAGTGTACCTGGTAAAGCTCTGTTTTAACACCTTTTTTCTACATGTCTGTATGGAAACTCTTTAAAGCTTCAATGGATTATTCTATAATCCAGTCTTTGTAATTCAGGAATGCATGAAACAACAAAATATGAATTCACAAGCAGTTTGGCGTTGAAAGCCAGTTACACTCACAAAAGGGCTAAATGGGTATTTTTGTTAAGGCACTTACACCCAGGTTTCTAAAGCAGCTGCAAAAAAATGTTAGAAACAAAATGATGTATTTGTATTCTGAACCTACCATCATTTAACATTTGTAGCACATCAACAAGGCACAGCAGCACCAACAGCCAAATATAAATCAATAAATGGGGGGGGGGGAGAGATGACATCAGCTCATGTGCTGGTTGTCTGAGAGTTGAGCTCTTCTCTGTGAGTGCTGTAATTTGCCATCTAACTTTGCTTTTGTACTTCATTGGGATACTTTTATTGGTAGATCAGGCAGTAAGAAAAGCAGTCAAAAATAAGGAAAGGAGTCAAATCTGGAAAAAAGAAAAAACTAAAACTTTATCTCAATCCACATAAAAATAATAAAAATCTCTCTTTATCCCAGCAAGGGGACTTGAGAACAAAATGGCTGTTGTATCTCAAACAAACTTAGACCAGAGTGTCGCTAAATCTGATCTGTAAACGATTATGCTGGCAATTAAACCAAATCAAGAGCAGATGATCCCCAAGATTCAGGCTTTACTGTAGCTGAGGACATTGGGGCAGGATTCATCAATGTTGTGATGACATGTGTTACTATATCTTTAAGCTGAAGACAATCTTACAAACTAGCCTGTCAGTTAGCGCTTTACTTCAGTTGCTTGATATTGCACAAATATGACTGCTTGTTTATTGATAGCATTATCTATTCTAAATTACTACATTGAATATAGAACGTCATATGGGCGACAGCACAGATGTGAACTGTCCAGCCCGTACAGAAATGCAGTGAGGCTTCAGCCTGCAGGACTAAGTTATATGACCTCAAATGCGAAACTGATCTTACTTCCCAAGGTCAACTACCTGCAAAATGTTTTCATGGCCTTGTAGAGACATGCAAGAATAAACTAGATCCTGTAGCCATGGTAAGATTCTAAATCCCAGCTGAGGGATATGACACTTTGCTTCCTATGCTATTGTTTCAAATACAGTGGTACCTCTGGTTACGAACGGAATCCATTCCGGAGGTCCGTTCGTAACCGGAAACTGTTCATAACATGAGGCACGCTTTCACTATTGGCGCCTCTGGTGCGTGATTTCCGCTTGCATCCTGGGGCAAAGTTCGCAACCAGGAGCAGCTACTTCTGAGTTAGTGGAGCTCGTAACCTGGAGTGTGCACAACCAGAGGCGTTCCCAACCAGAGGTACCGCTGTACAAAAAATTGGGGGGGGGACACCTAAATGGACTCTCCTGTTCCAAATGCAGTTTTCTGATTTTATTTCCAAGACACACTGCATTTGCGAACACTAAGTATGTACCATCTCCATTGGACTGTCATGGGAGGAGCTACCCTCCTTTAAGTTTTTTTGCTAAGTATTACTTTGGGTTTTCCCAAACATACTAGAACCTCCTTTTCTGATTAGTCCAGTTTTAGCTACAGTCCTGTCAGCACTTACCACCTGAGTTTTCTGTTAGGAGACGTGGTACCAGGTGCTTAGTAAAATATTTTATTGTAATCTGTTATTAAATCCAGATGCAAAACCTACACAGAAAAGAAAATATTGACTCCTGAACAGTAATGAGTTAGACAAAAGGAAGGAAGTTGAAAGTTGGAAAAACACTGTGCAAACATAAGGAGGTTAAGCCTCAGCGAGTCAGCAAGCTCAGAAAGCCTTCACAGCAGGACTGAACTTGTGTTTATCCCATTTCTCTAACAGTTGGCGGAGAGGGAGAAGGTTTGTGCTATCAAAAGAGATTTCAAGGTTAAGAAGTCCTGGCAAAATAAGAAAGATGCATACTCATCACTGTCAGCGGAAAAATAATTGGGTAGCAGAAAGAGTGTGTTAAAAATACAGGATTCGGCAGCAGGAGAGGGCAGAAGACCGTCGAGAGCTCAATTAAAACTGTCAAAAGAAAAAGTTAATGTTTCTCAGTAAATTTAAATAGAAATAAATACCCCACAAACTTCCACACAAAGTAGAGTTAAGCTCCGAAATTGTATGGATAGCATTCTCAACTAATGTGTTTTGAAGTGCTTTCTCATAATGAATAAGAATTTTTATTCAGGAGAGATTTGTCGGATCCCTTTTATTGATCTATTTGCTTGCTTGAAACGGGGGGGGGGGGGGTTAGAAGAGAAGCCAGGCAGGTTTAAAAAGGGCTTTTCTTCAGCTTATCAACTGTTTCATCCATTCACTTGACACAGAAACAGATAAAAGTTCTATGGTCATAATATTTCTAAACATTAGCAGGCAGTGTTTGACTCTGAAAAGCAGAGATGGCTGGACCTACTGTTTCCTATACAGTGGTACCTCTGTTTAAGAACGGTCCTGTTTACGAACAATTCTGTTTACAAACTCCGCAAAACTGGAAGTAGTGTCCCTGTTTGCAAACTTTACCTCGGTCTAAGAATGGAATCTGAACAGTGGAAGGGCACTGGTGGCGGGAGGCCTCAGAAGGGAAAGCCTGCCTTGGTTTAAGAACAGTTTTGGTTTAAGAACAGACTTCAGGAAAGGATTAAGTTCGTAAACCGAGGTACCACTGTACTAGAAATTCTGACCCCTGTTCCCAAGCTGTGTGGGAGCTGGTTGTGGGACCCAGTAAAGGCACTGAGTCGGATTCAGAGGTACCCAGAGCAGAACTCCAGTAGCTGTGGAGGTAAAGGCTTTAAATTCACTGGGCTTGGCTCAGTCGAATGGGGGGGGGGGGAATATGCCAATGTATGCCAAGCTGAGCCAAGGGGGTGGGGGGCGGAGTTTACACCAGCATAGCCTGGTTGTGCTGGGAATGTCCCAGGCTCAGCAGATATCCATTGGATCCCAAGCCATTTCCTTAAGACTTGCCTCCTCGATCCTGAATGGCTCCCTGATCCTCCAGTTAGCTTTCAACATCTATTTCATACTGACCAGAGATGAGTCTTAGCATATACTGCCAACAAAAAAAAAGGATAAACCCAAGATTGTGCTTTGAACATACCTTCAAGATCAGGGGTAGGCAACCTAAGGCCTGGGGGCCAGATGCAGCCCAATCGCCTTCTCAATCCGGCCCACGGACGGTCCGGGAATCAGCGTGTTTTCACAGTAGAATGTGTCCTTTTATTTAAAATGCATCTCTGGGTTATTTGTGGGGCATAGGAATTCGTTCATTCCCCCCACCACAAAAAAATATAGTCTGGCCCACCACATGGCCTGAGGGACGGTGGACCGGCCCACAGCTGGAAAGGGTTGCTGACCCCTGTTCAAGATGCTAACTCTGAACCCACCTTTAAGATGCTTACTCTGTTAGCATCCTGAAATATGAGTCAAGAAGATCACTGCTGAGAAAGGAAGAATGGGGAAGAGAGTGGAGTAAAACAACCTAGTGCACGGATCAGCAAACTTTTTCAGCAGGGGGCTGGTCCACTGTCCCTCAGACCTTGTGGGGGGCCAGATTATATTGGGGGGGGATGAACTAATTCCTATGCCCCATAAATAACCCAGAGATGCATTTTAAATAAAAGCACACATTCTACTTATGTAAAAACACGCTGATTCCTGGGCCGGATTTAGAAGGCGATTGGGCTGGATCCGGCCCCCGGGTCTTAGTTTGTTTACCCATGACCTAGTGTATACCGAGTCCATTTTAACAACCACCTGAGCACCCAGAAGCTTTGTTGGGACAAAGCCTACGGAAATGAAATCCAGTGAAACATTTTGAGAAGCTAGGTGTAAAAAGTGCAAATGGAAAATAAATACATACACCCACACGCATATTACAGTGACTAACAAAACAAATTTTAAATCCTAACAGCAAACCATTTCAGCTTCTGCTTCATCCCTTGCTCTGATTAAAATGATGCTGTTTCCAAGGTGGCAGTTCTGGAGCTTTGAAGGTGGGCTATTAGAAAGATCCTCATTTGCTGAAGCCACGTGATGCTAGTACTATCATCTAGATTGAGGTCACGTGGGTCCAGAGTGTCCACCCAGTTGTGTACATCCCTTTTTGCTAACATTGCTGGATCTGTTGGCATGTCTTTAGCAATTTAACAGGCTGTGGTTCTCAGAACTGGATCCTACCAGGATCCAGAAAAAATTTGTCTGAAGTGCTGTTTGTTGCTTTATCTGTTAAAGATAAAGGAAAAAGAAATATACTCAACGAGAACTTGCCTTTTTAATGAATGCTCCAATTTGTTATGCATCTTCTATACAGTGGTACCTTGGGGTTAAGTACTTAATTCGTTCCGGAGGTCCGTTCTTAACCTGAAACTGTTCTTAACCTGAAGCACCACTTTAGCTTATGGGGCCTCCTGCTGCCGCTGCACCGCCGGAGCACGATTTCTGTTCTCATCCTGAAGCAAAGTTCTTAACCTGAAGCATTATTTCTGAGTTAGCGGAGTCTGTAACCTGAAGCGTATGTAACCTGAAGCGTATGTAACCTGAGGTACCACTGTACTTTGCCTTTGCTTCCGAGTAGAGAGAAGGAATCACCACCAATGTATTAATATAGGAAGATGCATACATATGGCACAGCTATTTAATTTAATCATTGCAGGCAAATACTATTTAATTTCAAGAGAGCTTTTTCTGCTCTGCTGGGAAGATTACATAAGGCCCAGATGCTGTAGTAAGATGCACCACATCTCTAATATGCCACATTGAGACTAGACATTTGAAAATGTCAGCAGTTTCTTCTGCATTCTAGGTCTCAGCAAGACCAGTTTTTGCTTTCTTCCAGGTTGTTTTGATCTTTTCTTAGGATAGATCCAAATAAGTCAATGTTCAAATAATTTCTCCCTGTTCTATACTTGGCCTACAATACATGTCCTATAACATGCTCCACTTCCAAGGGATTTCATGAGCAAATTGTTTCCTTGCAATGGTTTTCGAATATCAGGGCTATAATGTATGAGCCAGCACTGTGGTAGCATAATACTAACAATACAGCAAAATAGCTGGAGAGTACTATAGGGGCACACCCTTTGGGAATTGGTCACATCCTGGTCCCATCTTTTCTGGGTGCTTTTTTGCATGTGACAATATTACAGATGGTAGCAGTGACAGTACTTGCAGGAGGTGATATATTTCAAAAGCATTAGCATATTTAACATATATGTAATAACATACAAGCTAAATATGCCTATGATTTTGAAATGTAACTAATCTTGCAATGCCACCACCTGAATTAGGCCGTAAGTATGTTCTTATAAACAGAAAGCTGTTTGCCATCTAAAATACAGTGGTACCTCGGCTTAAGAACTTAATTTGTTCCGGAGGTCGGCCGCACAATTTCTGTTCTCATCCTGAAGCAAAGTTCTTAACCCAAGGTACTATTTCTGGGTTAGCAGAGTCTGTAACCTGAAGCGTCTGTAACCTGAAGCATCTGTAACCTGAAGCAGGTACCACTGTACCTGCTATTTGACAAAGCTGAGTCTCCAGAGAATATTTTATCTTGGAAAGTGGGAAAGGGTAGCGGTGGCAGGGGCAGTGAAAAATCCTCCAAGGCATGGAAATACAACCACTGTACAGCCTGTTCTTCCTATTGTGCCCACTGAAGCAGTGCAAAGTGAAGAAAATTCAGGGCTGTGATCACATTACTTCCAACAGGTTTAATCTCTAGTTATTCGTGGTGGGGGTTTTTTACTCCAAAAATCACAGTAATTTGGCTCCAATAAATTTTATCCTAAATGTATACTCATCATGCTTACATAAATGCTTTCAATATTTAATGGCTGCATTTGTACATTTTTTCCAAATATAAAAAATCAAATCAATTTCCTCCTTTCTTCGTCCCTCCCCTATTCTGTAAATCCTAACATTTGAATGCTGCAGATGAGCTACATCTACCAATTACATCCACTATCAGAACCCTGAATACCAGAGAATATTGGTTCTTGTTTTCCCTTAAGAGCTGAAATTGCTTCTTTTAGTTTAACTTATACAAACTGAAAACAGTAGTTTCAAGATCTAAGAGCACCCCCATGTGGTTAGATACAGCAGTTGCATCTTTTCTAAAAGTTTAATTGGGATTTTCTTTTCTTTTCTAATAAGACCTCATTTCACTCTTGCAGGGGGGCGGGGAATGTTTCCTGTTACCCACAAATGCTCTTTTTTGAAATCAAAACCAAGTGCTCTTTCAAAGTGCAAGACTTTACATCATCAGCACTTATATGATCTGTGTCTGGAATTAATCACAGTCATCTTCCTTTTCCATCTCCTTATTTTGACCAGTTTCAGGATGGAAGATTCCTGAAATTAAGAATCAGACTGAATTCCAAAACAACTGGATGCTGTGCTTAGTCTCATCATTGGGTATGGAAAAGGAAAGGAATGCTAGCAAGAGAAGCACCTCAGCTGAACTCAAATAATGGACTTAGACTCTCTCTCTCTCTCTCTCTCTCTCTCTCTCTTGTTTGCTTTGATGGGTAATATGTTAATTGGTTCACTATTTTGGCTTCTAGTAACAGAAGAAAGTGGTAAGGAACAACAGGCTGAGCTCCAAAACTGTAACTGCTTAAAGTAGGACCTTGCAATACACGGCAGAAGCAAGATAATCCACTGTTGAACTATTCATGTGTTCTGGTATCAACCAATTAAGGCAGTCACATATTTAATTCCATATATCTAAGTGAGGATCATCTTCTTGAGGGAGCCTGAAGCAGTGGCTCTCAAACAACACAAACGCTTTGACCCTCATTAATCTCTATGAAATGGTAACTAAATTAACATTCATAACTGGAAGCTGGCTGATGATTTCAGCAGATGGAGACGAGAAAGGAAAGGAAATTGGTGGAGGAAGTGAGGACAGATCATTTTAAAAACACAGGAAGAGGTGAGTGGTGCCACCTGGTTGTTTTTAAATCAGCACAGCTTCCCCCCCCCAGCTCCTCAGTACATCCTATCATTTTAAATTTGTACACATGTATAACTTGGAACATATAAATGCAGCAGTAATTTTCTCTCCCCACATATATAGCAATCGTTTAAAAAACAACCAAGGAAGACGGATTAAGGCAAAAAAGGGAGAAAATACCAGCACCATGACACTATTTTAAAGCACTATATAAATAAAATTTTATGATTAAAATATATAGCACTCCCGTGCTGAGTTGGCAGCAGCCAGTACGAACAAGCGCCCTAATACTCCAGTCCTGGAGATGGAAAATGGTCCCATTACAAATGTTCATAATTACATCACACTTTAAAAACAGGAATAGCCAATGTGGGGCATTCCAGATATTGTGGACTACAACTCCCATCTTTATTGACCATTGACCGTAATGGCTGGGGGTGATAGAAACTTAAACCCACAACATCTAGAAGGTACCACATTGGCTACCCCAGCAATAAAATTACATATGACAGGTATTTCCTCGAGGAAGTAGAAGGTTCACGAATGATAAAAGCATGAGGACTGGTTTGGAGGTAGTTGGTTTGGTTGCCCTTCCCGACAATATTGATCCTTATGTAGACAATAGTGTTTGAACCTGCCCCCCAAAACCAAACTGCATGCAGTATTAGCACACTAGCATTATATATTCATGGAGGTGTAGACAGAATCATTGAAACATAGACTACTGAGTTGGGAGGGACCCCAAGGGTGATCTAGTCCAACCTGCTACAATGCAGGAATCTTGCCTGCAGCCATCCCTGGGTGGGCTTGAACCACTGACCTTCTGATTAACAGCCAGACGCACTGACCCACTGCGCCACAGAGATGCTGATAATCTTGAGCATGGTAATTTGAACACACTTTATGACTAGTGGAACGGGATAAGAGGTCTAGTATTATCCTCTATGTGCAGATCGCAAACACAACTGAGGAATTTTGATGGCAACCAAGAATGGCTAGATACTGCAGCAGGGTATCCATGAACTGCCATGAGATATCATAACTAGATCCATATAATACAAGGAACTTAGCTTCTCAAAATCTAGAGACTCTAGTTATCCAATTTCCTTGGTAATTACCAAATCAGCTGGCTGGGGTTGGTAGGAGGCCTATGAGAACTATGTTAGCGGTCAAGCAAACTTTTCATCTCACCTGTGACACTAAATCCACAACAGCATTAACAAATGACTAATTTGTTCAGAGCATTGTTGTAAACATCTAGCATTCTCTTGATTCAGAGAATGATTCTTCTAAGATGATAATCCAAACATGTTACAAGTGTATACCGTATTTTTCGCTCCATAGGGCGCACCTAGTTTTTAGGGGGGGAAATAAAGAAAAAAAATTATTCCTCCCCCCCAGCCCCAAAGAGCAAAGAAGCCAAGACAGCGAGTGGGATCCATCCCGCTGGCTGTCTTGGCTTCCTCTTTAGCCGCGCACCACCTCTCCAGCCGGGAGAGGCTGCGTGCGACTTTGGCAGAAGCCAAGACAGAGCGGGATGGATCCCACTCGCTGTCTTGGCTTTGTTTTTAGCTGCGGGGCTAGGGCGGGGGAAGCCCGAGTTCCCCCCGACCCCAGCCCCCAGAACGGGTCTGGGAGCAAAGGCAAGGTTGGAGCTTGCTGCTATCGCTCCCAGAGCTTGCTGCTATCCGCAAGCCTTCTGAGCCTGGCGGGAACTCCTGCCGGGCTCTGAAGGCTTGCGGATAGCTGCCTGAAGCCCGGGGTGCGCAGCGGGAGTTGGCGCTGCGCTCCCCGGGCTTCAGGCTGCAATCCGCAAGCCTTCGGAGCCCGGCAGGAACTCCGCACCGACCCCTCTCGCTCTCCAGGCTTCAGCAAAAGCCTGCATTCGCTCCATAGGACGCACACACATTTCCCCTTCATTTTTGGAGGGGGGAAAAGTACGTCCTATACAGCGAAAAATACGGTAACTTGTTGTTTTAAAGGAAAACATTAATCACCTTCAAAATATCACTAGCACTTATGAGTTAAACAATGTAATGGGGGGGATCAAGTTTTTTCAAAATAAAAAAATACTCTGTTAATTTATTAAGAGGACCAAAGGCTTAATTTGAATATTACAATTTGCTTGAAATGTTTTATTCATTATTTTTGCTCCTCATTTGTTTCCTAAGTTGTTTCTATTCGAAAACAGAAAGCTACCCATACGCTTAAGAAAATAAATAGTCCAGTTTCAGAATAAAGTACTAGTTAAAATTGTTCTCCTAATTTTTCTTTTTGGGTGTAGAAGAATCAATGACACTAAGTGGTTTGCTAGACTGCTGACAAATATGCTCAAGAGGGACCTCAGAGAGCATAAGGAAGTAGCTCAGTTTGTGACTGGAAGGTAATACCAAATGACAGCTCCAATATCATATATCAGGTTTACTGAACTTCTATTCATCTAAACCCCCTAGGTAACATTGTCACTCTAATATACTATAGCGTGAAATAGTAGTGACAGTTTCCAAGGACAACGGATACTCAGATAAAGTGGAACACATCCTTCTTTGAGCTAACAGCACTTTACAAAACTGTTTTATCACCTAAAAGCTCTGGTTTAACCAATTTCAAGGGGGGAAAAAGGAAAGTATTTATTTTAGCAACACATACATTTTAAAGTGCATTCTGCAATATGCAGGCATAAACAACTCTCATAATTCAATCGACGCACACACAATTTAGATATAAAAAATGCTTTAAATATGAGAAAAAACAAGTTGTTGCTCACAGAAAGAGGAAACAAACCACCCCAGAATATGATTAATAGTTCTCTTTAACTTAATTGTCCTTCCCTGTATTCAGGAATCCCATTATAGAAAAGTTTTTGTCTCAGGAAGATCTTTGCACCGCAGCTTCTCAGCCAGCAAAGTGAGGAATGTCACATGATCCTTCCCAACTGGTTGGCAACATGCACAGTGTGGGAGAATGTATAACATTGATCTGAATGGCATGGCAGCAATATGCAAATCATTCACCTCGCTGGCCATTACTTGGTTCCTTCCCTTTGCATCCACCCCAGGCAATATCATCAGTAGGCAACATCACAACACCATGCCCACCAGTGGCATTCTAAGGCACTGGTCCATGAGGTTGAGCCCCAAGTACCACCTGACCCTCAGGACTCTGCCCAGATCATGCCCCATCCCAGGTCACACCCCTCACTGGCCCTGCTCCACGGCCTCCTCAACACACACAAACACAGATATCACACATATATAAAATGCCACATATTAATATGCATACATACATCACCCTCTGATTTTTGTGTGGCTGAAATGTTGCCTATTGTTTATAGGTAAGAGTCATTTTCATATCCTCTGGTGCACAGGCTGCATCATTCTCATTTTTATAGGACGAAGGACCCATCTCCTTCAAGCCACCACACTTCATTATCAGTTGTCCGCTACTGCAAGCGACTATACAGAGTGTGCTGAGTCACAGATTCTGGCATGAAAGCATAACTGGCAAAGCTCTTCTTCACCTTTGAAGGCTACATATCCATTTCAAGTAGACATTTTGAGAACTCGCACACCCATTTTAATGAGCTGGAGCCAGGTCTGTAAGCACACTTGAGCCACTAAGGAAAAATATTTGGCTTTTTGCCCCCCACAATCTGCAAGTTTTGCTAAAGCACTTACTTTTCCACACATTCACAGAGTGCACATTTTCATTTAAACCTTGAACCAGGTTTGTGTGACTCCCAGCACATGCCCTGATTGATACTGAAATTAGCTGGCAAGTCTGCTATTTGAATATTGATAAATAAATATGCATTAATGCAACACTTAACTTTCTCAGGCTGTATTATTTATTTTTTTAACTTGAAACACTTGCTAATAAGAGAACTTTAGTAAGCTTTTTCTGTGCTACAGGAAAAAAGACAAATGAATAATATTTCTAACCTTCAACATATTATTGTTTTCAACCATGCACCACAAATAAGACAGGAAGCAGAAATGTAAACAGGGAGTTTGAACCAAGTTTACATCCTGTGAGTTAGTAGATCTTTGCACAGCACACTGGTAAAGATCACTACAAGCTAATGATGGAAATCAAAGAACAAAAAAAGATGCAGCAAAGGTTTTGCAAAAAAGAAAAATCCTTTTTGGAAAAAGATGCAGCAGAAAATGTTCTGAACAATAGAATAATTAAACTTGCACACTGAGAAAATGTTATTTCCTCCAATTCCAAAATGTAAGGAATGTAAAATACTTTGCAGCCTCTTAAAAAAGTGCCTACTATTGCAATCCATTCTCTTCTGGCTGCTTCAAGTCTTGCAACAGATTCAAACCTATTATAGGCTTGGATTATATTTAATCTCTGTGGCAGAGTTGTCACACAGAAACCCATCTGTTCAGCTCTAAAATGCAATAGCAACATCTGCAGGTGCCATATCTCATAAATCACCTGGATTTTATTTTCCATCTCCTACAATTTACCAGATGCTGGCAAGGGAAGTTGAAACAACCTGGCTATGGTACTCTTACTCTTGAACTTCAGGCATGAGAAGAATACAACATTATTACTGAGTGCATAAAAAAGGGGAATAAAGATCAATTAAGAATGTGCACATCAAGGGACCTAAAAATTGGCCAGGAAACTAACATAGAATAATATTTTGAAGATAAAATGTGTGGAAAAGAGTAAAAACTTGCTTGAGGAGCAAACCTGAATGCATCTTTTTCCTCAGTCAGTGTTAAAACTGAAGTGGGATTTTATTATTATGAAAAATGTAGCACAGGCATCGTCTTCGTAGAAATGATAATCATGCATTCATTTCTAACACGACAAAAATATTAAAAGGGCAAAAAGTAAAAATAAAAAGCAGTGAAGAACAGATGGTGTTCAGATGGCAACCTCATGCAGCTTGGGTTTGTAAAGTACATACCCAGAAAGGATCTCTTGGGAGGTGTTTTGATTTCTTCATCCTTACTATCTGCAGCTACATTAAAACATTGAAGAGAAAGCAAAGACAAAACAGACTAGTTGACTCCATATAATAGCCAGCCTCTTAATTTACTCTAAATTAGTTCAGGGTTAGTATATCTTGCTGGTAGTCATGCTGGAAGGATTTGGTTATTTTAGTACCTGTGCTGTCTACAAGACATTCTCCCCTGGATTTTGAAGCTAGATACAGTAATAACTGAGTCACAACGCACTGCTTAAAAAACATATGAGAAATAATCTGAAATATATATTTACATAAACATAAGAGAATCCACAGCTTGAGCAAGTATTTAATGCAGTATATACATCAATACCAAACATGAATTATGTTGTCTTTTTACACTACTCTTAAAGAAAATTTAACAGAATGTTTCACTATAAGGCTTACGGAAGTTAAAACAGCATGAAATAGTTTACCCTCAGCATTTTGATAAACATTACTTAGGGATAGATGGCTTGATTGTAAATCAGTGACCATGCACATTGCATGTTCCATGTTCAAACTTCAGTGAGTTACAGAATATTGGATTCTTTGTTATTTCACTCCACTTGAGATAAACAGTTGCACACACTTCCTCAGAGTGCTACAAAACCAACAATTACTTAATTTAAACTCTATAGCCATGATTGTGTATATTCTGTGCTTAACACAATTAATTCTGGGCAGCTACCTCAATTCTGCGTTCTGTAAATTATGAATTATGAATGAAAGTTTTGCAAATCAAGGAATTTAATATGCTTGCAGAGGTTCTGTTACTTTATTTTGCTTCTTCTAAGGCAACAACAAAATCAATGTTCTAGTCAGCTCCATGGCTGAATTAACCTTGATTCTACCTGCACATTGGCTAGCCTAACTTTGCATTCTAATACCTGGGCTACAAACACACACACCACACAACACACACACACACACACACACACACACCACACACACTCACACTCAGGATATCAAATCTGAACTGTACAGCTTTTCGACACTGGAACACAGTGACCTAGCTAGTACAGGCTAGTCAATTAAGTGCAAAAACAGACAGATCACAATTACATATATGTCTACTCAGAAGCAAGCCTCATTGAGTTGTGGGACTTATACCAAGGTAATCATATATAGAACTGTAGCCTTAGTGTTTGCTACAGGGGTGTTTCAGGTGTTCATTTTCTTTCTTCTTCTCCTTCTTCTTCTTCTCCTTCTTCTTCTTCTTCAGCAGCAACATAGCAGGCATATCAGAAACTCACAGATCAACTGTGATACATTCCAAGATTCAAAGTCTTGAATTTTGAGGAAACAGACGCCAACAGGGTTTTGAAATGGGAGCTCTCTGTACACATTGCTCCAGAAAGTAAAGTATTACCACAAAGGTGAAACAGGACATGATATTAATTGTGCAAACACAATTAAATGTGCAGGTTCTTGTTGTGTAAACAGCAATCAGTGTGAGAATCCAATGGAAGCTTTCCCTTAATTGCAAACAGCATTAAACAGAGGCCTTCTTACTAGGACTGTGGCTGGGAAATAAAGAGTTAAACTACCCCTCCTCACCCTTCATGACCCCAAACCTGCTCAGGCTTTCCTGTGGCTCCTATTTACATAACAAAATGCATGCACATTATTTGCATTCACACAATTAACACCACATCTAATTTAGCTCTAAAGCAGCTGGAAGTTGCACTTGTATGAGCCCTATGATATTTTTTTGGGTTAGGCTGGACTTGTAAAGAGAATTATTTCCAGAGCAAAAAGGAACCCAGCAGAAGGAATGGCTCTTCTAGTCCAGCACTGTTGGCCTGATAACTATATCAATGTGATGGAGAAAATGTGAGGGGGAAACTTTTATTTATCGAATTTCAGCCATGACCCCCCAAAAGTCCATACAAAAGCAGAGCAGAAGTTGCTCGCAATTTCAACATTTATTTCCAGCTTCCCAAAGTTATCTTCTTAAAAGATACTTAAATTGGAATTAACAGAAAAGCATCTCTTCCTACCACCTTTCCTTATTCCTCCTGGGGAAAAGGGTATTTCTCCATTATATGCAAATGAATGAATACAGTCAAGGAATACCTTGTGCTGATCATTTCCATGGTGCCAGCATTCAGAAGAAAAGCTCCAAAGGATCCCCCCCATCTGACCCAAATACAAGCACACAGAGTGAGTTTTGTGCTACAATATGCTTCATTCTCTCACATTATCTCATAGCATATTTCATTAGAAAATGTAAATGCCCTAGGCCAAGCAATTCATAAATTAAGGCAGCTATCTTGCATTTTAGGATTGCAGCATTTTCTTTTTTAATTAAGCATATATTGAAGAATCAAAACAAACTGACAACCAACAAAGACGTAATCAAAACAAATTACGGTAAAACTACAACCTGGAAAGTATCAGGTTGCTCTTAGGATTGGAGATCAAAAAGTGAGACCACCCTTCTCCTACAGGCAAAATACCATTTTGTTCTGCAATTAACCCAGAGCTCAATTGAATTAACTTTTGCAACAAAACATGATGCCAGCTACTGAATAGGATTTGACATATTCATAACAAAGCATTTTAAAAACAAATAACAAATTTCAAAAAAAACCAGCCCCTTACCACAAGTCAGGCTGAATGTTCTTTTAGTACAGGATTATTATTATTTTAAAGACAGTTTTATATAACATGTGCCAAATTACAGTTCAGTAACAAAAAAAAACCCCAACTGCAAATGCAGAAGGGAAGGACAGTACATAGGATCACTGGCCAAGGGCTTCAACTAACCTGAAAAGGAGCGCCGTTTTATGTTCAGCTCATTTGTCACACGTACTTCAGTGCACAGTTTCAGCATCAGTAACATTGTAATTATCATAATGATGCTCTGCAACAGTAGAGGGGATTCAAAGTGCCTCCCAAACCTGGAAGAAAAGATGACAAGTCAAATCAAATCATGAACATTCATTCTACCAACTTCAACAGAAATAGTCTCACACACACACACACACACACACACACACACACACGTGGATCAAAGAATTCCACTTGGACTATGTTAATACATTTATACTCCATACTAGCCCAAGTGTTATTCAACAGCCCTAAGCCTAGGATGCATCTGGCAAGCTGCTGGCCAAAGCTCAGTGGTAGAACAACTGTTTTGCATGCAGAAGGTCCCAGGTTCAATTCCCAGCATATCTGGGTAGGGCTGGAGAAACACCTCTCTGAAACCCTGGAGAGCCAATGCTACTCAATGTAAACAAGAGTCTGACCCAGGACAAGACAGCTTCCTATGTCCCTGCAGCCAAGACAGGGCTATTGCAGCACCAGACAAGAGCAAAACATTGCAGCACAATGCTAACCAGAAGTCAGTCCTACTGAGTTTATGGGGTCACTTCCTGGTAAATGCAGGCTGGATTGCAGCAATGGCCAACTTTTTTAAAAATAAAAAATCCCTCAAAGCAGGCCTTTTCAAATGTGGATGTGCACTTCTTTCTAGGGGCATAGGTTCCCCCCGGGGAGATGTAAAGGTTTTTTTCCAGGTCTACCCTACGTGGCTCTTTCTGACCAGGCATCAGACGTTTACTTTTACAAGCAATTTGCAAAATACAGTGAGTAAAAGTAGAAAAGGATTTTGAGGATATAAATTTTGTTTAAACAACCCCATAGAAACAATCCCACAGAAGTTGCTTAGCTGGGTGGTGATCCTTTGCGTTAACTAAAGGATTCATTGCAGTGTTTGAAACTCCCATTGTTCTAGGTGCATTTTGCGACCAGGAATTTCATTAGCGCAAGCAGTTTCTCAGCTCTGGGCACTGTAGTGTCCATATGATTTCAGATTAAAACTGCAGAGTGGAAGGAAAGGAGGACCTTTTTCCCGCCTACTCACTTCAAGCTACTTTCTGAAGAAGAGACCCTCTTAAGAATATTAGGGGGAGGTGGGCAAGTGAAGGACTAGAGACCATGTGAAAAATAAACATAATATTTTAGCTGCAGTTCATTCATTTTTGGCTTTGTATTCTTGTTATAAAAAAGTGCGCCTGGACATTCCATTGTTTTGCCCATAACCTAGGTTTAAGGTCTATTTAGCTTCTAGCTTTCTAACACTGATTCTTTGGAGTAATGGGGAAATCGGGGGATTTTTGAGGATATTTACAGTGAAATGGTTGAGATTATGTGGACATGACTGCCTTTCTTCTGTGCTTCTTGGGGTCACGCGATACAAATGAAGTTATGTAGGGATAGTACTTCATCTTCTCAAGAACTGCTTTTAACAAGAAGAATGCTTTCCCCTAAGTTTAAACTGATGTATAGAATTCAGTCTCTCTCTCGTGAAAACCACTAGAGGGAGATCTCTTCACTTCCTAAGCTTTAAAAATAATAACTGAAAGACACACTCACAGGAACAACTAACTTCCAAAAGATTATCTTAAATATATATTGCACATGCACACATAAACTTACTAGCAACCCAACCATGTGAATGTGTGCAATATGTCCAATCCTTTCCCTGATTTCAGACAAATGGGGATTTGCTGCAGTTACCAAGGGACAAATCACATATATGCTGCACTTAATCTCCACAAACTTCTCACCTTAAAAATGGTTAGAGATAATGCTATATGCACATACAACCTGTGTCACATGCTGTGCACCATACTGGAAATGGGGAGGGGCTGTTTTCTGATGTACAACATGTGCATTAGGGGAGAGTTTCAGCAAGCCTACAGTGGTGAAGGAAAGGTTTCTGCATGATGCTTATCACTCTTTATTATTCTCATATTCCAAAGCTGAGCTGTAGTTTAATCCAATTCTAAGTTAGGTCCCAAGTGGGGTGGGGAGGGAGAGAAAACTAACCAAGAAACTTCACTGAAAACACTACACCATAAATAGCAGATTCTTTTAGTTCTGTCCTCCTCCTTTCCAAACTCAAACAAGCTTCCCACAGTTATAGCACATGATGTTCACAAATCTTCTAGTACTTTGAGAGGACTTGCTAGAAATGATATGTTTGTGAACAGTGTCGCTTCTGTAAGCAAGTTTAGAAGACGGTAGGAGGAGCAACTGGGTGTGTGGCAGATGAGGAGGCTGAAGACTGGTAAGAAGGCCTAGGATGTAAAAAAAAAAAAAAAGGTAAAGGACAGGGGTCCAGAGTTAGGGTAGCTGATAAAAGAACCATAGCAACAGTACGCTAAAAATAGGCAGCCGCGTATCTTCAATATGTATTACTGAGATCCAAGCAAAAATTAATTTAGGAAGCATAGGAAATCAACTAAGAGTGAAATTAAGAAACAAGCCATCCAAAAGAAATTAATTTACTACTGTCTTTTAGCTATGTTTCCTGTGGATCAGGATTTGGATATCAGCCAAATGTTACAGGATAGTCTACCTTTTATGACTGCATTAAATCCTAATCATAAAACCTGGGCATGACCTTCAATAAGAACTGGCTGCTATCCAAATTCTTCTTCCTGAATTGCATAGAAGCCTCCATAATCCCCTAATAAATCTCATGGGTAAGCACAAGCAAAATTGAAGGGTTATAAAAGAAAAAAAGCTGTATCATTCGCTGACTATTCCGAAGACTATTGGATCTGCAATATTTGCAGTTCTACGTATATTGCAGTTAGTGCCAGTTTAATGTATGTCATCATCCTAAATTCAGTTATGGCCTATGGCCAAAAGGCAAATGAACTGTAGGAAACATATGCCTGAAAATTGGAGGCTCCCACTTTCAACTTAATTATTTTAAGGAGTCTTAAATCATAACAATCACCCTTCTCCACAAAAACCCTCTGTTATCCTATGCTAACTCCATTTACTTTCTGTCATTATCACACCCTCCATTATGTAGACATGTAGCAGGCACTAGCGCAGGGGTGAGAAACCTCCAGTTCACAGGCCTAATTAGAGACAGCACAGGTCCCCATTTGACCCGACAGACAGTTTTCCACACCACACTTGCTCCTGATTGTGAACTAGCAAGGCAGCTTTGCTGCCATCACAAATCAGCTGATAGATGCAGACTTCAAGCCTGCTGAGGTTGGATGAGCTACCTGAACTCTCTATGGGGAACTCCGTGGTGAGCAGATCCCAACAGAAAAGTAGAGCCTGAAGTCAGCATCAAACAGCTAATCGGCAGTCACTTCAAGCCCTGCTTGGCTGGGTTCGGATGCTCATTTCTATAGTGCAGCTTGTTGCAATACAAAGGGAAAATGGGTCAACTGACATCATAGTGATGTCAGCTGATTTGACTGGTGGGCAGGTACTTCTGACCTCTCAAACTGGCCTGAAGGTAGAGGAACCTACAATCTAGCTGGCTGATTAAAGCCAATTCCCCACTCCTCCACTAGCATAGTACAAACTCCCTGAGTAGGTCAATGGTCCATCTAGACCAGTATCCCCTCTCTCTGAGTAGACAATACTGGTGTTCAAAGGAAGGGTGCAAAAACAATGAACACTAATCTAGTACTCCATTTCCTGTTTTCACTTCCAACACCAATCTATATAAATTCTGGAGAGAAACTGCCAGATATATTGCTCTTATCAAGCTAGGCAACAGATGTTGATTTGGTGCTTGCTAAGTTGGTTTGTCATTTTTTGAACTGTTTAAAACCAGGAAGTACTACTGTCACATTGGTCAGTCAATCTTTTACATAACTTTGGGTGAGGGGAAGTCTTGTTATCCTTTAGTCACCAGGAAGTCTGGAAGTAGTATGCAGCTTTCCACACACTGAAATCTAATGCAAACACTTTCCTTTATCTTATCTACTGTAAGCAGGTAAGATGCTAACAGTAAGAAAATGTGTTGCCGTTTAGTTAGGTTTGCTGAAAATCTGGACTTGAGACGTAAACCAAATTTTATTCCCTCATTTCAATTCTGACAGCAGCTTGAGATCCACTCCAGAAGATGTAAAAACAATAGGCACAGATACAGTAAGTCGATTCACTCTCAGCGTCTCTGAAGGTATGTTATGGAAACGTGACCAAATAAATTCTGGGAAATGTGTTATGTGGTGTAGTAGTGGGTGGGACAACTGTGTGAGGAGAATTGCTTCCACTCAGACATGGATATCATTAAATCCAGTTCAACTAGCACTGAGGTTCCTAAACAGCTATAAATTACAACAGATTTGTCATGCAATGTCATTTGCTCGTTTGCAAAGATAAAGAAGCACATATTAAAACTTAACAAACAAATGGGTCCAGTTTTCACAAAGCATGGCAGAATAGTAAGCCTCCCTTTAAGAAACAGCAAGTGATATTGCTGTGGACCCCAGTGGCTGTTTGAAGTATCATTTTTTTAAAATAGCAAACCTGAACGACTTCATACTCCATGGATGGGATTCATTCAAATAAGAAGCACGGCCACACACAAGGACTTCCACTAGCATAGAGGCTTGCCCCCAGCTCCCCTCACTCTCCCCAAATTGGCTTGGAGAACCCTCAGAACAGCACATGGGGGAGAAGAGGGCAGACCATTCTATCAGAAAAGCAGAAGTGTTTGCAGCAATGAAGCAATCTGCTTAGCATTACACTGAATTCTTCCACATCTCTCCAACAGTTCTGGGATCAGTTTTCCCACAGTATTTCAGCTTCCCCCCTCCTTAATTAAAAAAAGAAGAAGTTTAAATCCATGTTAACTTATTACGCTACTGGGGGCCTGATTTATCTCTACTGAAATGGAAGGGAAAGCGACACTACTTTGGCCCTATGGATAGTGGACTAAAAGTATCATCAGCCCAAGTCTGCATGGCCGACAGTGATTGGATCTAGAGTCCCAAATCATCTAGAAAGCCATCAGTTCTGATCCCTGATGGCTTTCAGAGTGTAACTGGAGTCCACTCTTATCTCCACCAATTTTCTCAAAATTATACCACTTAGAAGTCTAGTAAATACAATTTTTTTTTATTTAACAAAGTTTATATACTGCTTGATTATAAAACCACTAAGCAGTTTACAAGTGTATAAACTTAGTAAATAAATAAATAAATAAATGAATGGTGGAAAAACCTTAGAATTTTATCTCCATTATAAATTCAATTTTTATGCTGCTACAAAACTTGAGAAGCACTCTAGTAGTAGTTTATTGAGCTAGGTGCTCTCTTCAACACAAGAGTTTTAACACTTTCCCAGTTAAAATTATGGTGTCAAATGTATCTCAACAGTTTTGCTGTTAAACAATATTTTTCTGTTTAAAAAAAACCCTGAAGCCAATTGTGGTCTTTCTTTCCAGCTATAATTTAGAGGGTCCAGTGAACCCCAGAGCAGATGGATACTGTTAAAATAAAAAAAGGGGCAGAGAGTTAACCTTGGATCTCTGCTGTTTCTCCAAACCCTTCCTTGTGTCCCTTCCATCCCACTCAATATTCCTGAGATGTCTTTAAAGATTGCAAGCTTCTATTTCTATGCTTTGTTCTTTTAAGCCTAATTTACACTGTGGCACCTAATGCTGAGACATTTCACTATTAATAAAAAATATTCTTTATATTAATAAAAAATATTATTTTTAGCTTTGACCCAGAAATTCTTAATAAGCAAGACATTTCATTACCCTTGGGTGGCCTCAGTCAATTTTTTGCAATTTCCTAGATCTTTCTCTCTTTCTCTCCCCCCACCCCACCTCTCTCACACACATAATGCTGAGAAGCAACATGAGTTTTCCATCCTTTGACAAATCTGTCCTGCCCACTGTAGCAGGAACACCCCCACCCCAATCATTCAGTTTGTACAAACTTCACACACTCACACTCACACACTACATATGCCACACTTCTGTTATAAATTCATAGAAAAATCAACCATACATTGGATTTGCACTGTTCCATTTTTATTTTACTCCATATGACAAGGACTATCAAAGGGGGGTGGCTTGGTTCTGGTCAGCCATAATCCCTTCACCATCCCAGCACATCCACAGGAGCCCTGCCCAGTTGCTATGCCAACCCTGATGGTCCTAGACAGAAGACCATCAAGATCACAAAGAACTTGCATATGGGAGTGGATTCAGCATGGACTGAAACAAAGGACAATGATCAGATCTTCCCTCTGGGGGCAGGAAACTGCCAACTCCCCTTTGTCTCCTGGAAGTGACTCATGGGCCGGGGAAAGGAGGAACCAGCCAGGTGACAGGACACTCAGGTTACCACCACAACTCCTCCCTCAACCCCTCCTTTCTGTAATGTATGCATGATGTCAACCCCTCCTTTCTGTAATGTATGCATGATGTTTCTGGGAGTGGGCTTGACCTAGAGGAGGGGAATTTCAAAAGTTTTTATAAGGTCTTGCACACCATCTTTCTGGGTCTTTCCTCTCTCCTGCAAGTGAGGGGAACACCCTGTTGCAACAGTCTTTTCTTCAATAAAGACCAAGCCTACTGGCTGCTGATTTGCTTCCAATTGCTCTGGTTGGTGTCTTTGTTTTTGTCCAAGGGAGCCCTCAGATTTTCCGTTAACACCACCCATGAATAAGTTATAAATATGGAATGTGAAACCGAGAGGTTTCTTTCCCCAAGAAAATGGGATATACAGTATAAGTAATACAGGCAAAGGCAAACTCGGCCCTCCAGATGTTTTGGGACTACAACTCCCATCATCCCTAGGTCAGTGATGGTGGGAACTGTAGTCTCAAAACATCTGTAGGACCGAGTTTGCCTATGCCTGGAGTAATATCTGCTCCCTACCACTACCAAACTGACTCTACTTGGCTTCTTCTTTGCTCATTCATATTATTTTTTCCTGAAGACCTGTCATAAATCAACCTTGCCCCACTGACTTTTAAAATAACTGGGTGTAGTTTGGCTGCTCATATTGCATTGCCTGTCTCCTGGTCACTGCTGTAGAGGGATGCTGGAAGATGCTTCTGACAGGCCAGACAATACCTCTTGCCTGAAGTCTGCCTCCATGTCTTACCAAACCTCACTTCCCCAAACTTGGGTGAGTGGGTGTGTTTTTAATTCATTATGGCTCTTTGCCTTCTCTTTCCTGTAAGCCTTTTCCTGACTAAATTCCACCCTAAATTTCTTCCCAGTCCTGTTTGTTTCCTTCCAGCCTATCTGCCCTAGTTTCATTAAATCTCTGCAACCAAAACTTAATCCACCTCAGGTCCTGTGGCAATAAATGCTGCTCTTTTTACAGCAAGCATCCCAGACCTTTTTCTCTTTTTTTGCCTCTCCAACAAGTTCCTGGGGAGCAAAGTTTGCATTGTCCTCTCTACAGCTTGAGACTTTTTTAGACTTCCCCCAAGTTTCCCCTTACCACCATTATGCCAAACCAGTTAATTTGTGGAGAGAAAGTTAGGTCAATACTGTATGACAAATTTTTAGCTGAGATGCAAGTCTTTCAAACAAACTTCGTGAAACAGTTTTTAGATTGAGTTTACAGAGTCTGATTCATAGCATTACTGATAATAAATTAAGATGCAATTTCCATCAGCATCAGAAGTTCTATAATTTAAGCATGAACATCATAGACTTGGCTCAGACAGAGCAGAGTGCAAGACTTTTAATCTCAGGTTTGTGGGTTCAAGCCCCACATCGGGCAAAAGATTCCTGCGTTGCAGGAGGTTGGACTAGATGACCCTTGTGGTCCCTTCCAACTCTATGATTCTATGAAACAGAAATAAATATCTATGAAATTTTGACCATTAGTAGAAGCATAGCAGAAGCATAACCACACAACGGATTACAACTAACTATTGTGCTGATTAAAAGCCAGTTTATGCTGATTCAAGTAGCAAAGCTTTCTCTGTCGTCACTAAACTCTCAACAACTTTTAAACAGGGAAAGGTATAAATGAAAATCCAGTTACAATTCCGCATGTTTAAAAAGTGACAAATGAGTTAACATTTTTGACCTACAACACACACCACTAAAAAGCTAACAGCACCCATTTTATTCTGCTTCAGGCAACACAAGATGAATTTGGACAGTGGCCAATCCTCTGAAGGTCGGATGCTGGATTTACAGTGCAATCCAATGCAATCAACAGAGAAGAATACTCTTCAGTAACATTTGGCTTGTGTCCAAATTCCTGGTTTCACATTACATCCATGAGAGCTATAGCAATCTGACGTAAATGGCCATCCATAAACAAATTAAAATCGGGGGATGGGTATTTCCCCAAGATTCATGGATCAATAAATAAATAGCTTGGTTGCAGTGATAAAAATAAGACGTTGACATGGGGAAAACACCCCTTAAGTTCAGTAATAAGATGATGAGAGTGCACTGAACAGGACCAGAGTGATGGTAGAGAAATATTGGCATAGAGGTAAAACTGAGTTACTCATTCACTGACTTAAAGTCCCAAACTCCCTAAGCCCAGTGTTCATTTGACATTAAGATCAAGTATTGAAATTGTACATTACAATAATCCTAGGGCAAACCCAGTTACCAAACCCAGCACTAAATTGTTACCACTTTACACACTTTGCCTATCCACTTTGCCTATCCACTGTGTTTGCCACAGACAAGTATGGCTTATCAAAATGAAATGGGCCTGTTTATTTCCTGTGTCTTTTCTCATGTTTCCCAGAACTTAGAACAAACACCATGGCTGTCCTTTGATAGGAGGCAAGGGCAGGGAGCAGCGGGGACATTTAAAAAATACAGATGCATTTTCCAACACTGCATCAGAAGAGTATGATTAGTTGTCTGACCTTGTGTGAGGGCGACAAGAGCAGTATAAGGGCTCAAAAAAAGGTCCCCACAATGTGCTTCTTGTACAGTATTTATTTAATACACTGCTGACTGTCACCTTGAAGCACCTATCTCTAACAATACCTGCTAGAAATCACATTCCTAGAAAAATAATGATGGGAATTCAGATGTTTGTGAAAAAATGTTTAGAGGACAGGAAGTTAAAACTACTTGTTTTTGAATCTCTTGCAGACAGCAGAACCACATACTACTATCCCGGAAAAACAGGAGTTAGAAATAATTTGTAAATATTAGACTTGTCACAGAACTATTACATTTTAACATTATTTTCCCAGAGAGGTGGCTGTGTTAATCTGCTGTAGCAAAAACAAAAACATTTTGTGAAGCCTTAAAGATTGCAAAATAATGACACAAACTTTTGTGAACTAAAGTCCACATAATCAGATTCTTCTTCTTATGTTTCCTTTGTGGTAGGAACTTTCCTGGTTTATGATGTTTACATTTTATGCAGGGAAAGGAATCAATGTTCCAAATAAAAACGTAACTATACAAATAGACCAAAGCAGTAAAGAAACCTAAGGCTAGAAGAAAAAATGGCATGTGTTATAGTGTTACCCTACAAAGGTAACAATAAAACCAAGCAGCATGTCAAAGCAGTGGTTGGACCCAATGACAAAATACTCTTTCACTATATTGTAAAATATGTTAACTCGTAATAGCTGTTTGAGACATATCAGGGTGACATGCACTACACAGCTAGCTAGCTATGGATTTCAAGCAAAAGTTTGCAGACATAGGAAATAATCCAAGAGTCTTGCAAAGAGTCAATCAAACACGGTGGGTTTGTTTGTGTATCTCTATTTCTATTCAACAAGTTACTGTAAATATCTCAAGTGCCTAATCCCAAGTGGTGCATGGGCAGGATAAACATTTTATATAAACAAATAATAAGATACTGTTACAAAACCATGAAGCTGAATGATTATAATCAAGCTACCCTATGCACTTTTCACTTCAGTTAGTGGACTATAACCATTGGGGGGAAAGGCAGCAACAACACCAATTTGCCAGTTGCACTCATTGCTCCAATTAACTATACCAACTTTCTTCAACTTGCTGCCCTCCAGGTGTTGTTGGACTACAACTCCCATCAACCCTCACTCCTGGGTCGAGCTGGCTGGGGCTTATGGGAGTTGTAATCTAAATATCTGGAGGGTATCGGGATGGGAAAGGCTGACTTCCACAACTGACTTCTATTATTTAGAAATTAGGAAATTTTAGGATCTTGATGCAAGAAAGCTATGTGGAACAATCTTCTTTGAGGTTGGTGGGTGGGGCATCAGTCCACTACCCTTTGTCTCTTTCTCAGACTAAACTTCTCATAAAATGAGTTGTTGGTTAGGGATAATGCCCAAAGTTAATTATATTTTATTATGAAGCAAAGTTCACCATATAAAGGATTGGTTATGCTAGCTTTAATGCTGGAGCCCATTTTGACACCTGTATAATAAGAGCAGAAAAGTGGGAAATATTTTAAGAACAGTAGAAGGGCCACAGATTGCACACAGGGATATTGTAGCCCAGAAGATTTCTACAATAAATGACTACACAGATCAACTGTTAGAGGACAGCCTCCAGATTTACTGAGTTACTTATAAGCATAACCTTCTAATAGATGTGCCAAAAAATTCACATTCTGTGGACTCCAGCCATAACTGGAACAGTAGAAAGCAAAGCAAGAGACTATTTTGGGGGAAAGTGCAAAGCAACACAAAACTAAAAATTAGGAAGACAAATCTCTCCAGCTCCACACCCTCAACCACTTACGTAAAGAATCCTATGGGTTAGATCCATACCAGGGCTGTAATCTAAACCACACTTAGAGTAAATAGGAGTAAGCCCTATTTAATTCATAGGACTCACTCTAATAAGACATAGTTGGGCTTTTAGCTTTAGCCATGCCTACAGTAAATCCACTGAAATCAGTAAGCATGATTAAGTCTGGGTCTAACCCTATGTGTTTGCAGCCAAATGGATAACAAAACAAAAAGAGGGTATACCTGGGCAACAAAGCATGCTGTGACTCACATGGATAGCAAGAAATCTGTGAAACTATTTTTAACTCAATATTCTGTTTATTTTATTCTCCCATTTTAAGTTTTTCTTAAAAATATTGTGTGTGTGTGTGTGTGTGAAATTAAAGTTTTCAGATTCGGAATCAAAATAGACTTTTCCATAATATTTTACTCTCTCTGCTGTTATATTACTGATAGCCAATGTGTTGCAGCTCAGAGTGGATTGGGATTGGGACCTAGAATCAAATCTAGGATGAATCCTTCTTCTACTTCAGTTTTGTATGACCAATGTAGAATTTATGAATGATAATTCACAAAGCTGTTCACAATCAACCACCGAGTAAAGGAATTGTGATTTTCAAGCAGATTTTATGTTCCTTCTGTGAAGATTTTTTTGTGATGTCCAAAAGGCACTTAATCTCACAGCACCTCTCACATCAACATCCAGAAACTCAAGAATAGAGAAAACATTCAAAGTGGTATAAGAGTCAACTTACCAGAAGAGTATCCTTAAAATGTTTGCAACTAATAACATTAAACACACGTAGGTTGAAAAGCCCTCTGCATTCTGTGTCCTTTTAATATCTCGGTATTGTGGGATGTATGGCACCACACCTCCAAACACCATGGCTGCAGATGCACCCCAGGATATCAGCTGCTGAATCGGAGCCACTAGCCACTCCCAGCCATCCGCCTCCATGATGGGCAATATGAAGTCCCTTAACATCAGGGCAGCTGCTGCAAAGGGATCCCCCTTTTACTTCTTCCTCAGGCTTTGTTGGCTTTTATTCATATCTAAGCAATCTGTCATTCCATGTGTCCTTCTTTAGGCAGCCCTAACAAACAAACAAGCAAACAAACAAAAATCAAAGATAAAATCTCAAACTTGTACTTGTGTAGAAAATGATCTCCTGTTACAGCAAGTTGGGCAAATCACAAAGCACCACAGAAAGTCACTCTTCTTGAATCCAGTCTCAACCAGTGCCTTTTCTACCATGTTCAACAATGGATTGGTTGAGTGCCAAGACTGTGGAAGTCTAGCATCCCTAGAAATAAAATCCTCTCAGAAAGAACGTATATAAAGATGCACACACAGTCACTATAGGCTTTTCAGAAAATAAAGACCGCTCATTCATTATGGTACTTGTTTCAACACATTAGTCTCTCTCAAAATGTAGCAAAGTAACAACAATACAGCAGGCAAGATGACTGTGCAAGTTACTTGGCATACTCCATTATTATTTACAGGAATAACACGTAGCCACTTTCAGGGGCTAGGATAACCGTTTAAGATAACTACAGTGGTACCTTGGGTTAAGAACTTAATTCATTCTGGAGGTCCGTTCTTAACCTGAAACTGTTCTTAACCTGAGGTACTTTAGCTAAGGGGCCTCCCGCTGCCGCCACTGCGCAATTTCTGTTCTCATCCTGAAGCAAAGTTCTTAACCCGAGGTACTATTTATGGGTTAGCGGAGTCTGTAACCTGAAGCGTCTGTAACCCGAGGTACCACTGTACTGCAGAAACCATACTCAAAGCAGAGAGTTCTTCAATGAGTTGCTTCTCTCTGGTTAAGAATGACTGTGCCTTCAAGTTCCATCTCTTTTGGCATTACCAAAGACACATCTGCACATGTTTTCCCCACCCCAACTGAAGATAACATGACACAACCTATGTGGAAAGCATCTTGTGAATGGCTCAATACATTTTCAGGTTGTGAGAGAATGCTTGTCAGGTCATTTCACTGGATTTTTGCCATAAATTATGTGACCTGCACCATTGAACCAAGAGTAAAATCAGCTCAATTGGAACAAATCTCACCAGGAATAGATAGTTATGTGATTCAGACCAACATCTACATGACAACATAGGGATGAAGGAGCACATGAATGAGGTTTAGAGATGACACCTAATTAAATGTGTGTGAGAGAAGAGGGTATTTCTGTTAGAAGACAACACTTGCCAGCTGCACTTTTATAACTAGTTGAATTTTTTATTTTAAATCAATTAAAATCTGCTGCCCAATCAACTGGGAGCACTTTCTGAAAAGTCGCATGGAATCAATTATCTAACCAATTAATCAGTGAAATATATCTCTTTGAAATCTGATTACCCCACTAACTGCTTGTTTGGTGTAAAGACCATAGAGAAAGGAAAGGGAAGTGATGGCTCTAACAAAAAACCCAAAAAGAGATAGAGAAAAGAGAATCCCAAGATGTTATAGTAAAAAGAGAAACCAGATGAAGGAAATGAAAAAGACATGTCAAGTGCTACCGAGTATGGCTTGACTAAAGTGCACAGGAATGGCTGGGGCAGCTCTTCTACATTCTATTTTTGAGGAAACTTTGCAGACTTCCCATAAACGCATCCTACTGAGCCTACATGATCAACTGTGAACTGCTGGGAAACTAAATGACCGAGACTCCCGCACAGCTGAGCCATCTCAGCCTCCAGAGGACAGGCAGGGTTTGGGGGAATTGGCCGCAGCCTTCACAGGAAGAGCCTTATAACAGTTCGGGAAAGGAAGGGGAACTTTTTGGAGAGAGACATAATTCGCTTATCCCGAAGTGACTGATGCCTGCCTTTTGAATGGCAGCCTCCTGCTCTAGCACAAAGCAACCGTTCCACCCTCGACTTCCCTCATACTCATCCTAGCAACTCTCCCAAACACTCCCCGCCCCCGCCTCAAAAAGCAAAAAGGAGCTCTGCGCGAGCTCCCCAACAGCCAGAAAGTGCTCTGGGACGTGACCTCTCGCAGCCTCCATCTCACCTCGCCCTATCAGGAACAGTTACGCCGCCGAGGGCCCCTCGCACCGAAACCCGCGCATCTCTTCCTCTTCCTGCGGGTGCCTGAGGGAGCAGCGCCGCCGGCGACCGACCTTCCTCCTTCCCCCCGCCCCGCGCCCCTCTTCCGGCCCCCGGCCCGCGACGCCTCCCCAGATGCAGCAGCTCGCGCCTCCGCCGTGCAGCTTCTTTTTTGCCGCTGCTCTTTCTGAGCGGCTGGCGACAATAAGCAGGAGCGCTCGGCAGCGAGGGAATCGGCCCTGCCTATGTGACGTCACGACAGCCAGCAGTGCCTCCGTCAATGGAAGGAACCGCCCCGCACCCGGCCCCGCGACTCCCGGGTCCTAGCGCGAGACGCGTCCGTGACGATTTGGAGAAGCGGGCAAGAGGAAGCGACGTCCCAGTTTATTTGTCTTTTTAAGAACGGGTACTTTTTTTTTTTTTCGCCAGTCTCTCTGCCATGCGAGTACTGGAGTGTGCTTGGTGGGATTGCTTTCCCCAAGATATGGGGAGAGGAAAAAAGTGTTTTTTCGCAGAGCAGCATCAAGGAAGGTGTTTCTAAAAGGCTTTTCAAATGACGTCATCCTCGCCAAAGCAACAGCAGAGAACTTGCTATTTTTAACTATTGGTAAAAAGTAATTGCTGGTCCGTTCCCCAAATCAATTATCAATTTTTTTATGCACTGTATGTAAATTCTTGCCTCGAACAGGACTTGTGATGCTTTGAAGCAGTGAACCGATGGATAATTGACTTCCGTTATTAGTAGTAGTATTTATTCCCTTTTTTATATTCAAGGTTGCTTTTAACCAAAGCAGAATTCAGAGTTATAAATGCCAAAACGTCAATAAAACCAGCTCTCTAAAACAGGGCTGGGGATTGGGGAACTAGTGGTCCCCCAGGGGTTGTTCTAAGTCCTTGTAGGAAATGTAAAGCTCTGGAGTGCTACTGATATTCCTCAGAGATTACTTCACAGTTACTGTTTTGTGTGCATGTATACTCTATTCTCACATGGTTGCTGAAATGGTCATATCTAAAAAGGAGGTTCCAGCTCCCAAAGAAAATTCAGGCTACAGTACAATCCCAAGAAGAACACGGTTCAATGGGATAACAACCTTTATGTTAATAGTAGTGATATGGCTGTACAGAGGCACCCCTCAAAAAACCTCTGCTACTGTGGGGGCTCCTGAAGCACTTAGTAAAAGTATGGATGGCTAGGAAGCAACTGGTGGTGGAAGTTCTGCTAATGATAGTCAGTGTAAGACCACAAAACTGGAGTGTTGCAGATAGTGGAGCAGGACCAGCCATGGATCAGCTGAATCCTAAACTGCTCCATTTAAAGATTGGAGGCTTGAGACAGGCTTCTCTGCTACATCAGCCTTGAGCTGGGGCAGCAAAACATAAAATCATTGAATTGTAGAGTTGGAACAGACCATGCAACTCAGTAAACATATTTAAGAAATATGTTACTGATATATTGATAGCAAAGTAATACCAGACACCTGAAAATGATCTAGAATGTGCCTTGTATTTTATTTTAAAGTGATCTGTGATATTTCATGCATCTCAGTTATAAGCTAAATTACTGTCAAGGGGTCAGAGAAACCTTTGTTCCATAAATAGCTTTTCTATGTCAGCTTAAGTAACAACATATACTTCACAGTTGCTAGAGGTCACACATCTCATGTGGCAGTCATCATGCATCTTGTTCTAGCACACACTTGCTCATATCACAGCCTGACTATAATGAATCCCATGCAGTTCTTCTTAATGGCTATGATGGAAGCTAGCTTCAACCAGTCACACAAAACAGTCTACCTCCCTTTATTTTCTTTTATCAAACCGTGCATGAACAAGGAAACAATGTCCTGCTGGAACTGATTATCTGCAGGAGAGGAAGGCAGGAGATGAACCCCCATTGTTAAGCCCAGACACTGAGATCCAGCACCGAGGGCCTTCTGGCGGTTCCCTCATTGTGAGAAGTGAGGTTACAGGGAACCAGGCAGAGGGCCTTCTCAGTAGTGGCACCCGCCCTGTGGAACACCCTCCCATCAGATATCAAGGAAATAAGCAGCTATCCTATTTTTAAAAGACACCTGAAGGCAGCCTTGTTTAGGGAAGTTTTTAATATTTAATGTTGTATTGTTTTTAACACTCGATTGGGAGCTGCCCAGAGTGGCTGACGAAACTCAGCCAGATGGGCGGGGTATAAATAATAAATTATTATTATTATTATTATGAAGAAATTAACCTTTGGCAATGCAGCAGCCTAACAAGCAGGCTTCATCCCTCAATTTCTTTTCTTTTCTTTTTTACTAAGATATCCCACCCTCTTCATTATCAAATGGCACACATCCAGCATTTCCCATCAAGCCTAATTTAACCACAAGTATTCCTGCCAGCCTTTCACCTACAATTATTTTTGCAGATTGATACAATCTGTAGAGCTGGAGGAAGCACACGGTGGCCTCTGACACTAGCCAAGGGGCCAAAGGCTTTTGGAAAGCTGCAGTCCCTGCCCCACCAGGAAGAAACTGTGGGAAGAGAAATACCATTCCATCTTCAATCACATTCCCATCTCACCTATCCTTCCATTACTATTGGATGCCATCTTCAGTTCTCACATCTCAATTGCCAATCCTCAACTTTTCCCCTTATCTTTTGTCACGTCTAACCAACATGGACAGGGGACTTTATAATTATACTGCCCAGCATACTCCTGACCAAAATAAAACACAAATCATATTAAGAACAAAATGGCAGTATTTGATCTGCGGCTCAGCAACGTGTGGGACTCCCTAGCTGAGCTATGGTGTTCTGTGTGGCACTGGACAAGTAATTTTTCCTCCCCACAGTTGCCATTTATGACATGGAAACATTTACAGTTCATAATGAAACTAGAAATGCAGTTGAGATTAATATGATAAAGTTTAAACAACACATATGCATGTAACCATCAATAATAAGCTTTGTAATAATAATCTTTGTCGTTTTTGTAAATACGGATATATTCAGTCAGGTATCCGTTTATCCAGTTTTTTTGGATGACTCCCAGAAAGCTCAAAGAAAAGCAGTCACAATCTACAGTACTAGTATAACTTGTTCTGCCAGTTTCTCACACATATTTTCTCAGCAAATGCAAGCCATCTGTGTACTCAAGAGTGAGCAGGAACATTTGAGAGTATGTTTCAACCTTAATTATGGTTGCCAGACACTCCTTCTTTAAAGAATTCCTCATTGACAACACGGAGATAAGTGGCCTGGGTTTCCTTCCAAATATTGTGGTCAGGATCTCAAGAACTGTGAAACCAGTTCTGCCAGTCCAGCAGGGCTTTTGACTTGTTTTCTCTAGCACCATAGTCTCCTTTCCCTGCCAGATGACAGCTAGCTATTGAAACTGAGGGGCGCCATTGAGGCTCCCAGCCTGTGTGTGTGTGTGTGTGTGTGTGTGTGTGCTTGCGCAAATGGGTGCCAACTGGGTCTTTGACCAGGGTGAAATAAAGCCTTGTTTTGCCTGGGATATGCGTGGTGCACATCTACAGTGGGACATTCACTTAAATAATGATGAAATGACCATACTTACCAGGATTATGTCTCCTCTCCTTTGTTTTCTTGATGTTATGCACTTTCTTATTAATTAAAAAGTATTTTCTTTTTTTATAGAACAGTTCTCTCTTCTTGTTGTTTTTACTATATTTGATGGGGGGAGGGGTTTATGTTCAGAGCCACATTAGAGAGGGAATATAGTATATATTCCTGTATATATACTATATACAGTGATTTTTTTTCTGGGGGGACGCATACCCCTAAACATTGTGTGAATCTAAGTTTGGCCTCATTGAGGGGCAGTATTTCAATATGAGCAGAAAAATGAGAGTACCCCCAAACATTTTTAAAGAGGGGGAAAAAACACTGCATGAATACATCCCTCAACTTGTACTATTCATTGAAACATCCAAGCTGTGCCTTGAACAAGTTGGCAGTTGGCGGGGAGCTAAGCGCGGCCTTCCATCAACGGCTGCCGCCTGGCGACAAAACACGCGGGCGGGCGGGTCGCTACGGGGGCGGAGGCGGGCAGGCTCAACGGCCACCACTACCCCGTCGCCGCGCAGGCGCGGGGCTGAAGGCGCGCGCCGCCGGCTCCCGCTTCTCCCACTGTCCTGCCAACCAGCGGCCGTTTGAGGAGGTGAAGAGCGGGAAGGCGAGGGACGAGGCGGCGGCGGCGCCACCACAGCGAGGGAGGAGGAGGAGGACAGGATGGCGGACAACGACCCTCAGAGCGCCAGGGAGCTCTCTCAGTTCGTGAGTGCTGGACGCTGCCTCGCACTTGGCGGCGCCTCTCGGGGCTGCGTGGGTTTTAGCCCAAAGGCTGCGCCTCCCTCACGAAATGTGTCGCTGCGTGGAGTGAGGGGACGGGTCTCGTCGTTGTTTTGGCAATAAATAGGGCGTGGGAAATGGGGTACTACTTCTAGCGGGTCAGGGAGAAATCCAGCCGTCGAAGATTTCGCCAACTTGTAGCCGCAGGGAAGGCGGTCCATATGGGGGGGCGGGGTGTTCTTGCCTCTCAGAAAAAAGTAGCTGAAGGCAGAAAGGGCAGAAATACGGAAATAGAAGGGACGACGACGACACGGTTATTCCCCCTAACTGAAGGTGTCACGTCCTATGTTGCCACTCTGGTAGTTAATACCACTTTCAACTTTGCCTTTACTCCAGGAAATGAGACTATATACTTTTAATTCGTAAACGTGAAGTATTCAGATAAGTGCAGGAGTCTTAAAACGATACTTTCATTTTAGTAATTAATCCTTGCCCCTGTTTCATTTTCGTACTTCACAGGCGTGTCATATAGGTTGTGCCACACAAAGAAATCTTAGCCGATTAATAATGAGTTTTAGTCAAATCGGTTCCCGTCTGTCTGCCCAAATCAGCATACAAGACAAAGCGGCTTTAAAGGGAGAAACAGTTTGTTCTCATCTTAAACTTAGCTGATGTACACATGAGCTGCAGAAGCAATGAGGACTTGTATTGCATTTCAAAAAACTATTAACAGTGCAATAATCTTATCACTGTAGCTTTTTAGTTGATGAGACTGCTATTAACTAGTTGATGAGACTGCATTAACTTTTAGTTGATGAGACTGCATTAACTAATTAATCAACAAAAGGTTGCTGTACTAAAAGCCACCAACTGGAAATTCATATTTGTTATAAGTAACAAAAGCCACAAGGGGAAGTGTTCCTACTTGAATTCTATATATCTTAATCACAATTGGTAGAGTAAATGTAACTTTTAAAGTACCGTATATACAATACAATCATCCTCTCTCAGCTGGATATGGGCCTGTTTTCTATTTTTAGGATGCTGACAGGTACAGAGATACTAACTTTACAATACACGGTTGTTGCACACTCTGCTTACAAGATTCTCATTTCCCAATAGCATGTTACATAATGGATTCATGCTTGAGCTTCTTTGTTCTTTTATAATCACACATTGATAATTATAGCTTCCATGTCAAATATAAATTCTTGGTGTGCCAAGCACTTATGCAATCATTTCTGCCCCCACCCCTGAGCATATTAGTAGCATTCACACGTAAACAGAAATGTTACAGAGAAAAAATACGTTGTTGAAACAGATTGGCAGAGCCATCTCATCATGATGGGTGGGCAGATTTAATGGTGGAAGAAGCACTGTATCTGAGTCCCACTGGGCTTTCATTCAGTTTTCTTTCCCAACAATTTCAGTGTTCTTGTTTTTTGTCTCATTTGGTTTTCAGTTTTGCTCCTATTGAGTCGCATGGGACAAATTCCCTACACCAGCTCCAGGGCTGGTGTAGTTTTCTTCTAATTTGGAGGGTCTATCCAGGAAATGGAGACTTTGGATCCACTGCCTCATTCAATCTGCCCTCCCCCAGATAATGAGCCATCTCCTTGCATCAGAGCACTGGTGCTGCAGAGCTGAAACCTCTGTGGCCACAGCAAAGAGTTCTCAAAGAATGAAATTCTCTCTCCACATTCATAGTGAGGCATCTACAATATCCTTTGCCCTTGAGAAAGCTTCTCAGTGACCACAGGACTATGCTTTTCCATTCATAATCTTACTTTTCCTCTGGGTCCCTCTATCCTTACTGTATCCAGACCTCTACTGCACTGCTGTTTTAAACCACAATTTTCCTTGGTCCCTGAGCCATGGGCATAGCCAGGATTTATTTTAGGGGGGCAGACATTATGTTGGGGGGCAGAACCGAGTTATCTGCAATGCAATTGGTCAGTTAAGTATTTTTATTTATTTACTTGATTTAGGGGGGCAGCTGCTCCCCCTGGCTACACCCATGGGTCCCTCCATTCCTACTTTACTCAGATATCTGTACTTGTTTAAAACACCCACTTTTTTCTTTCAGGATTCTTTCCTTCTCACTGTACTCAACCTTTTCCCTCTTCCATTCCTCAGCTGACTCATGTGAGAGAGATAAAGGATGTGGAGCCCTAAAATATTCCATTGTATGAAGGTACTTTACGCAAACCTCTGCCAATGTTCAAAATTGCTGTTCTCCTTTGTTTCTTCCATTCCTGCTTTATTCAGTCGCCTGTTGTTTTGACCCACTACTTTATCCCTGTCAGTATCTCTCCCTTCTCACTCCCATGCCATGGCCACTGGTGTTATATAATCTGCCTTTTCTTTTGCTCCACTGCCCTGACTTCATGCAAATTCAGGATTGTGATGAAGCCCATTGCACGTAGGAAGACATTCTTCTTTCTTCTGAGTATACATGCACTTTACAATACCTTCCTTTAGTCAGCCTTAATATGTAGCTAGCATTTCCTATCCCAGTGTACAAAATCCAAGCCGACTATTTTGATGCCATTTTATTACAGCAAATTGATGTACTCATTTTCCAACAGCATAAACACGTTTTGCTAACAGTATCTTTTTTCCAGGCAGAAAATCTACTACAACAGTTACAGGAAAACTTTCAAGCACTGACAGACAAATTACTTCTAAGAAATATCCTTTTCAGTTTATTTTCTAAAACTAATCACAAATTCTCCCGATTGATCACACTTTTGAAGCCATTTATGTAACCTGCTTGATTTATAATTACCAATTTTTTTTTCCAAAATAACTGCTTATGATTCTAAAAGTTGGATAAAAATACATTCAAATATATTGTAATAATTGCTAAAAAGAAATTGTACTAATTGCCTGGAACAGTAATCAGTGATGGGAATCCAATAAATCTTATGCAAATACATAAGGGAGCCCAGTAGCTCTCATTTATTACTTCAGTCCACCAAGGGCCATTAAAGGGCCATAGAGAAGCTATACCAGTCATTTATACTGACCAATGCCAAAACAAAAATCTTATGCCTACACAGAAGTAAGTTCCATTGAATTCACCGAGCATGCATATAGGATTGCAGCCTGTTTTCTCAGTCAAAACCACTCTTGACTGGCATGTCCTTCAGTTTCATGTCACTTTGAGCATTAGACAATACCTGGTGAAAGGGCAATCTGTCTTTCCACTGCTTGATTACTAATGACAAAGAAAACAACCACAATGCTCTTTAACCTTTTATTACCAGATGAAATGGGCGAGCGCATAGATGATTTAGAGAAGCATGTTACTGGACTAATGGCACAAGCTGGGATAGAAAACACCAGTGAAGAACTAACAGTAAGATTCTGGCTTTGTAAAATAATGTGGTATTGATAGTCATCTGTCTGGGAGTATAATATTTTTGAAACACCAGTTCAGACGAAAACACTCTCAGTGTTCTTTTTGTTTGGGCTGCAGTAATACATTACATTACATTACATTGATTGATTGACTGACTGATTGGTTGAAGATTAATAGCCACCCTTCAATGATAGATTTATTGATAAAATCCTTTTCAAAACAAAACCTTTTTCTTTCTTAAAAAGACCAGCAAATAGCTCAACAGAGAAGGCTAAATCAATGATTCATTTAAAAAAATTTAAGTCATGAATACATTTTTTACAAACAAAATTTAAAGTACCTGAACAAACTAGTACATTTTATTTAGCTCGTACATGTCAAAAATCCTGAGTGTAGGACTGCGCTTCACAGAGAAGGCTCTTCCATGTCATTACCAAATTAGCATCTCCTAACAATGGAAAGTGAGGGAAATCCCCCTCTGCTAATATTAAAGCATGGACAGGCTAATAGAGGTAGAAGTTAACTCAAGCCAATGAGAGAAGCAGTTATTATAAGAGTGTATTCAACAACTGAGTACTCAAAAGTGCTTGGGTGTGGAAAAGAAGGTATGAATACATAGTAGTTTAATTACAATGCAAATGTAGGTGAGTTTCTGCAAGACAGATAACACTCAACTGAGTGTAGGGAAGACATGCAGTTACAGATAGTTCAGGGAAACTAAAATTAAGTAGATGCAGCATGTTGCAGAAGAATGGCATAGCAGATGCCTGTTTAGTATAGCTAAATATTCTGTCATAAGAATATTCTGACATTATATTGTTCTAGTACAAAAAAATTCACCAGAAAAATGTGTCTACTCATTCAATGGCATTCTTTTCATTATAAATTAGAAGAATATGTAAATGTGTAATGTGATAATGAAAGTCTATTTAGAGGCCAAATTCAGGCCTGATGGTTTCATTTTCCTAATTTTAACTCAAGCCTTGTGCTAATATTAATTTTGTGCAGCACTGAAGAGGGAGACATGAAAACGACAAAAAACCTACGCTTGGAACTGAATAACTGTATGGCTATAGCGGAAGAAAAATCAAGCAGAACATGTAAAGTCACTTGCATTCATTATTTCTCTAATGAAGGTATCATTTGCTTTTAAACACTTTTGCATGAGTCAAAGTCATTATTCATCCTTGAGATCGGTGGACTACTTAAGTTTACCTGTGTGTCTAACATTGGAATCACCCCAATGAACACTGAAACCTAGTTTACTGTAACAGTGAAGACCATGGTGATTCATATTTTTATCAGCATAATATAAACAAACACAGATTATGTTCATGTAAGTTTCCATTGTATTTTTGCCCACGGGTTCTTATCTTTCCCTAGGGTTGTCCGGTGTGCCAGTTTTGTTGCTCAACAACTTTGGGCAAAACTAAATAAAGCTCAACAACCCTACTTTTCCTCTTGGTAGATCATACAGGGATAAATGTTATGAGCACCAGATGAGAAGAGACCATACTAAGACTAACACAACTGGGAAAAAGTTCAGATGTTTGCATTCTCCTGTGTTCCCTCCCCCCACCTCATTGGCTGACTAGTACCTGTATGAGTTGCATGTTTTGAACTCTGACCACTGCATGCCACTGGAGCACAGACCAGCCAGAACTAAATTGATTTTAATTCTCAGGATAAATTCAAGATATTAGGTGTCTTAATTACGTAAGAACCGTAACCCAGAAGCACACAAGCCCATGTCAACTTGTAACACCATTAATTATGTGAATTACACAAATAAACCTAGGAACCAGTGGCAGGTTTATAGATACGCACAGAATTAGGCCCCCTGAGGCTGAGCAGCCCCAAAATTATTAATATAATTTTTTAACTGAGAGGATACTTTTGAAACAAATAAGGAATTGCCACTGCTGAATTATAGTGCTTTAGTTTTGTTTCTACAAAATATTTGTGTGTAGAGGCCAAACAAAATATTTCTTTTTGAAGGAAATTCCTATATATCTCCTTTCAGTAAAAAGTGTAGTAAGTAAAGGTAATGGACTCCTGGACAGTTAAGTCCAGTCAAACTTGACTATGGGGTGTGGCGTTCATCTCGCTTCCGGCCGAGGGAGCCGGTGTTTGTCCAGACAGCTTTCTGGGTCATGTGGCCAGTATGACTAAACCACCTCTGGTGCAACAGAACACTGACGGAAGCCAGAGTGCATGAAAATGTTGTTTAGTTTCCTGTCACAGCGGTACCTATTTATTTCCACTGGTATGCTTTCGAGCTGCTAGTTTGGCAAAGCTGGGACAGAGCAACGGGAGCTCACCCCATCGCACAGATTCGAACTGCTGACTTCATAATAATCAAGCCAAAGAGGCTCAGTGGTTTAGACCACAGCACCACCCGCGTCCCTTTACCTTTTTAAAAACATAGCATAATTATGCTAAGAGGGGAGGAAATAAAAGAAGGGAGGAAAGTTGCCTTTTTTCTTCAAAGACATCCTGGGACATGTATTTCTTTTTGGCCAGCAATGGATACTGTCTGCCTTCCAACTTTCTTGAAAAATCTATACTGGAACTGCTTTAGGCTCTGAAAGTGGAACACATAAAACACTGACTGAATTCCCTTATTACAATGATTACTTAATATTACAGTGATTTGTATCAGTTGGTGCTATGCATGTTTTCTGGTATCCATGACACTTTAGATTCCCAGATTCTAAAGGTGAGCCTTAAACAATTGCTTGAATCCAAAATTCCTGCTCTGTAAGGCACTTTCTACTTGCTCACATGAGAGGGATCATTCCAATCCCTCCTATCTACAGACCTTCACATCCCATGTCCACCAACCCAGCCATCTGGTGATAGGAGAACAGTATTTGGATCCAAGCCAATCACAAAAATGTGCCTTGTGGGACTTATACAGTGGTACCTTGGTTCTCGAACTTACCGTATTTTTCGCACCATAGGATGCACCGGACAATAGGACGCACTTTGTTTTAGAGGGGGGAGAACAAGAAAAAAAAATTCTCCCCCTCTCTGCCCAGCGCCCCTTCAGCGAAGTGGCAGGAGGCGCTGTGCAGAGAGGGAGAGAACTTTCCCCCTCTTGTTTTCCCGCTCTAAAACAAGGTGCCGTTTAAGGTACGTTCAGGCGGCTACCTTGGAAGCCTGGAGAGCGAGAGGGGTCGGTGTGCACTGACCCCTCTCGCTCTCCAGGCTTCAGGTTCCTTCGACCTGCTCTTTGGGGCTGGCGGGGAAGCCCACCACCAGCCCCAAAGAGCAGGTCAGGAGCAGCGGAAAGGCGCAGCGGAGAGGCTCCTGCCATAGCCGTGCGTCACCTCTCCAGCCGGGAGAGGGTCGCTGGGCTATGGCTACTTTAGCCCCGCGCGCGCTCTCCCGGCTGGAGAGGTGACGCACGGCTATGGCAGGAGCCTCAATAGCCGCGCGTCACCTCTCCAGCCGGGAGAGGGTCACGGGGGGCTGCTTTCGGCCCGCGCGGGCGCTCTCCCGGCTGGAGAGGTGACGGGCAGCTATGGCAAGAGCCTCAACAGCCGCGCGTCACCTCTCCAGCCGGGTGAGGGTTTCGGGGTGCTTCTTTAGCCCTGCGCGCGCTCTCCCTGCTGGAGAGGTGACGCGGGGCTTTAGAGGCTCCTGCCATAGCCATGCGTCACCTCTCCAGCCGGGAGAGGGTCGCGAGGTATGGCGTCTTCGCTCCATAGGACGCACACACATTTTCCCTTCATTTTTGAAGGGAAAAAAGTGCGTCCTCTAGAGCGAAAAATACGGTAATCTGTTCTGGGAGTCTATTTGACTGCCAAAATAGTTCAAAAACCAAGGCGTGGCTTCCGATTAACTGCAGGAGCTTCCTGCACTCAATCGGAAGCCGTGTTGGACGTTCAGCTTCCCAAAAATGTTCACAAACCGGAACACTTACTTCTGGGTTTGCGGCGTTCGGGAGCCAAGCCCTTCAAGTACCAAGGTACCACTGTACTGTATTTTTGTATTTTTATATTCTGATGAAATATGGTTTATGTTGTCTAGAGGCATTTGTTATGTTTCAACTGGACATAGCTCAGTCCATTCCTATAAAAAATAATAGTTTTATAAAAATAATATTCTGAAAAATGTAAGATTCAAAACACTATGTGTAAAAGACATACTTTATTTCTAAAATCAAGCAAGTTTTTTTGCATAAAAAATAAGATAACATATTTACATAAATTCAAAAATATATTCACAATGGAGACGAAAGCAAGAAAGAACACTTTATACAAAGTTTGAGTTTACGAAGCTCCAGAAGTAGACTTGTAGTAAAATGATCAAATGATCAATATCTGTATTTGGTTGAGTAGTCCTTGGGTGATACAACAAGACCTCTACCTTTACGTGCTCCTCTATAAACTGTTTCTATGATGTCAATCATCTCTTGTTTGTCCTCCATTGCCCAGTTAATTTTGTTGTTGTTACCAGTGCCTAAATCAATCATTATGTGCTTGTTTCTTTAAGAAAGGAAAGAAAAATGGGGAAGGATATTATTAATATATTATAGTTACATAGTATTTCATGTAGCCCCCATGTTCTGCAATATATACTCCTCCCTATCTCCATCTACATTTGGGCAGGATGGAGTGATTTACTTTAATGTATATTTCCTTTATACTAAAACTAGATTAGATTAATGGGGTTGTATCCAGTGCTGTACCAGTGGTATTCAACAGAAATTTGTAGGATTACAGACATCAATAAAGTTACTCTATTCTGCAGCTTATTTAGTTGCACTACATGACACAAATAAACAGATTCAGTCAAAAATTAGAGAAAGCCTGGAAAACACTTATCAGCTTAAAATATACAAGTTATAGTATACCTGAAGAAAAACATGACCGTACAGGGATCGTACAGTTCATACATCTTGTTGAAGTCTGGCACTTCGGTGATATCCACAAGATAAATAACAGCAAAATTTTTCACCTATGGGAGAGGAATGTGTGTTTAGAACGTACTACGTTCTAAAACATTAATTGTAAGCAAAATAGCTTCACAATACAGTGTTACCTCGGGTTACAGACGCTTCTGGTTACGCGATTTCGGGTTGCACACCGTGCCGGACCCGGAAGTACTGGAACAGGTTACTTCTGGGTTTTGGCAGTCGCGCATGCGAAGCGCTAAATCACGCTTTGCGCATGTGCAGAAGCACCAAATCACAACCCACGCGTCCGCAGACGTGGCGCTGCGGGTTGCGAACATGCCTCCCGCACGGATCATGTTTGCAACCCAAGGTTCCACTGTATTGAAGTTTACAGAGAAACATGCTCACTGGGATTTGCTTCCCAAAGGATACAAGTCTTTCCCATTTTGTTTCAAAACGAAAGACACACATAACAAGAACTGAAACACAGAATACGGTTTTATATTTTAGATATGTGCAGGTCCGATCCATTTGCACTATGCCCAGTAGCAGCCAGAATTCAACGTTTGTTCTTCTGCAAGCTTTAGGAAATCTCAAGTTGTTCAGTATTAATTTGCACATAATCTTCATTAGTTTACAGCTCCCACCCAATGCAGTAGGTCATACTGATACTGTGGCAGTGATGATTGAAACAGCTTAATTTAAAAAAATACACTGTTCTGTAATTGCCAATGAGTTTAACACTTCAGACATATTTTACTAGCATGTAAGAGATTTGGGAAGGAAGAAAAACAAGAAGGTCAGGGTTGCCAGTGTGGTGTCTGTGGGCCACAGTGTACCCACCAGTATCTCCTATAAGACCCACAAAAAGTCTCAGTAAATATCCCTTCAAAAATTCACAATACAAGAAACTTTGCTGTTTCTGCTCAGTTCCTGTTTACCTCTCCTATATTAGACACACACCTGTAAACACATCCATATTTCATTGGATGCCAGGACTGGATACAAAAAGGTTCAAAAAGGGGTGAGGGGCTGCCAGCTCTGCAGGAAAAGGGTGACATAACTGGGCTCCTGAGCCTCACGGGGGGCCACAGAAAGAATGTAGTTGGTAAAGGGAGCCGTGGACCCAAAAAGGTTGACAACCTTTGCAACACACTAATATACACATAAACCTGTAAGAACCTATGTATAAGTATCTATTTTTAATACAGTGGAATATATGTTTCTTAAGGTACTTATAACCCTACTGCAAGACTTAGAGAATTCTGAAAATTTAAAAAAAATTGACCCTTGTGTTAGTATTAAAACCCTAAAACATGATGCCAAACCCTCAATGCTCAAAGACCAGGAAATAAAAAGTCTCATTATGCCAAGGAGTTCATTTTTGATTTTGAATGCTAGAGACAGAAAGACCCCATTCCGCTTACAAAACAGTAATTTCCAAAATGGTTTTACAATCAATCCATCTCCCAGGGACTATGGGAATTGTAGCTTTGTAAGGGAATAGGGGTCTAGCAGCTCTCAGCTCCTTTGACAAACTAGTTCTAAGGGTCCTTTGGGGGAATCTATGACTGTTTAAAATGGTATGACACCGCTTTAAATGTTTAGTGATGATGGGGTCAGATATGCAGCTCATAAGAACAGAAGTAGACAAATATTCTTAAAAGCCTTTTTCTTTAGCGGCACATATTGGCAAACTTTTTGTTTTGCTGGACCTGACAGGAAGTCACTGTTGTCCAAAACACGTATGTTAACTTTTACACCCCAGAACTGCATGGTTATATTGGAAATTATGCATAGTGTATCAGAGAAGGAGCATAAACAGTGGAAGAACAAGCTGCACTTACTGGAAATTCTATCTAAGATAGTGACCAGCATGGAAACTGGAAACTTCAGTGCTCACTGTCAACTAAATTTTCTCCCAGTGCAGAATATAACTGTAGCATAACAATAGGTTTGCATGATGGTTCTAGTGTAAATATGCAGTACAACTGATTACTCACTCTTTGTACAGCAGTGATATCCGAACAGGACTTGTAAGCAAGAAGATGAGGAAGGATCACCCTCTTTAATCTGCTATTTCTGCAGAGGGAGATGTTCAAATACAAAGTTACATTGTTCTTTTTCGCCCACGTAAAATTTAAGTGCCAATATGCTTGCCAAGTTACTAGTTTTTCAACTACAGTGGACGCTCGGGTTGCGAACGTGATCCGTGCGGGATGCACATTTGCAACCCGCAGCAGCGTGTCTGCACACGTGTGGGTTTCAATTCAGCACTTCTGTGCATGTGCAAAGCGTGATTTAGCACTTCTGCACATGCGCGACTGCCGAAACCCGGAAGTAACCCGTTCCAGTACTTCCGGGTTTCAGTGGTCCACAAACTGAAAAAAATGCAACCTGAGGTGTCTGTAACCCGAGGTAGGACTATATTACTATCTATAAAAGTATTCCAAAGAATATTATGTCCTTTTCCTTGACATTTCCTTGACAATGTTTCTCCCACCTATTAATATTTCTAGCTATATCTTCCTTTAAAATGTCAAAATACTAAATAGTTATGTCTCAATTTTGGTACATGAACTTACTATATTTGCCCTGAAGTTTAAAGTCAATTTGTCTTTTATTGCTCAGAAGCAGTAATACAAGCAATTGGATTGCCTTTAGGGTTGTTTTCATAACAGTTTGAATTCTATGCTGTTATTAATAGCATATGTATGAATTTTATTATTTTAGTTTTCACAAAAACTTCTGCAATGCAATTTTATATAAGGTTAGATCCAAAGGCGCCCTTCATGTGACAGAAAGAGTCCTATTTTATTTCAGCCCCCATAACTTCTGCAACTACCTTTAGCATATTTGCTGCTTTAAAATATATGCCAAACCTCCCTCATCTACCACCTATCCAAGTACCAGTAAATTCTTTACAATGGTATAGAACACTGTTTTTCAAACTATGTTCCAATAATGCAGAGGTTCCTGGAAGCTTGAAGGCATTCTTAATATCAGCACCCAAACTGTGGAATGCCCTTCTTTCCAGATCCAACTGGTGCTGAAACTGATAGATTTTCAGCAACAGTTAAAAACATACCTATTCGCCCAGGTTTTTTGCTAAACTGGTATACAGTTGTGTAGCCTGCTCTCAGCGACTTATCAATCTGTTGTAAGTGATTAAGAATTTTTAGCATTTTATTTGTTTTATGAAAATGATTTCATTGTGAGCGGTGTATTTATTTTGTATATTGTAAAACATTCTGGGATCATTTTTAATGATAAACAGGTTAGATGAATATTAAGATCAGCATTAGGTCTACCCTAAACTATGGCTTGCAAATGCCTATCAATCTTCCTCTCTGATAAAAAGCTAGGGTTCCATTCTAGGATATAATTTCAATTAACATGATGCAATAATCAGATCTGAAAGGCTTATCCAGGCCTTTACATGAGGTAGTTATACCCCTAGAACTTTCTTCAATAATGCAGGAGTGTTGCAGCAGATAGGTAAAGAGCAAGCGTCCTCAACCTCGGCTCTCCAGATGTTTTTGGCCTACAACTCCCATGATCCCTAGCTAGGAGGACCAGGGGTCAGGGATGATGGGAATTGTAGTCTCAAAACATCTGAAGGGCTGAGGTTGAGGAAGCCTGGTAAAGATTTTCAGTAGAAAAGCTGATTTGGAAACAATTACTCTACAGTAAGAAACAGTTAACAAACAAAATTAAAGGACCACAACTGCTTAAAACAATCAAACGAATGGCAATATAACATTGAAGAAATACAAGAACTTTGCCTTGTTCTGCCTCCTTTTGTGATTCTAATTCAATTTCATTCATTGCAACCACAAAGTTTATAAGTTTAGGAAAGTCAGTAACTTTTGTATTCTGGCAAGAACCAATATAATTCATTATTATAGCATAATATGAACTTTCCTTTGCTCCCCTCCCTTGTACCACTCCCACAAAATTGTGCTCCAGGGGGTTGGAAGACCCTCAGGCAGGTTTCAGGAGTGCTACAGAGGGCAGAGAGGAAGTCTCGTGATACAAGAGGAAGCCTACTCACATGACTCTGGATGTGTGCGACCTTTACTGAAAAAAATATTTTACATAAAAACCATGCATTTCAGTTGTTCCTTCTCAGATAAAAATGTAAACAAAATAATTGGCATGTTTTCTCATAAGCTTATGTTATTGGTTTAATATATAAATATGGATTAAATGGATATAATACAATATTAATAAAAATGAAATACCTTCTCAGCAATACTATATAAAACTTCGTCCATTTTCATACATGTTGGATCCCAGTCATGCCCAAAACGAATGACCACCACACGGTCTTCTTCTGAAAGAATGGCCTGGTCTACTTGCCAGCCATTGTGTAAATGTGGAAGCATATACGACATTTTCAAAATATGTGTAAGACCTGTGGGAGAAAACAACAAGACAATAATTTACAGTTCAGGTTCAGGTTACAGAAAAAGGTTTGATTCAAGACAAAGCAATTTGTTAGATTTTGACTGGTAAACTCATGAAGTGAATTCTTGTGTAAGGCAAGCAAATTGTTATATAATTAGTTTACCCCGTTATTGCAGCCAAGGTTTGTAGGAAAATGGTTGTTTGTACCTACATGACAAGATGGATGCCAGGATGGGAATTTACTATAGTTTGACCTTTTGATACTGCAGGCTGTGTTAGGCATGATGAGCGCGTGATCGCCTCATGCAAGGAAGGTGATTGGTTCTTATTGTATGGCTTGATAATGGGGTGATCCCCATATTTGGTGTTTGCCTTGCATGATGATTGATACATTGTTGTACTGTTCTTAATAAAAATACTGGGCTGCAGCTCCAGAGAGAGGCAGGCTGTTAGACCCTTTACAAAAAAGCATCTTGGTGTGAGACTGATTTTTTTTTGTGACGAGCAGGCCCTCGTCATTACGGGCCCTCGTCATTTGGTGCCCCGTGTGACTACCCTCGGACTCTTCGTTGTTTCTCATCGTTCAGCGCTCGCCACGCGTCTTTCATCCGCTTCGGATCCCGGTGAGCGCTCCCTTTCCTTTGGACTTCGACTGATATCGGACTTCGCGTCGCTGCGGCCTTCTCAGCGTCCACCACGCCCGGCCAGGGCTACAGGTACCGCTCATCCTCTCCTAGGATCCCGGTGGGTGCTCCCTTTTTTCGCTCCTTTTCATCCTTTGTGGATCCCTGTGATTTTTTTTCACTACAGTTGCTATCATGGGGCAGTCTCTTTCAGCGCCACAAAAGAAGTTTTTTGATGAACTTAAATTTCTTCTGGCCAGTAACAACCTTGCTGTTTCGGATGCCGATCTTAAGGCACTTCTTCTAGCTTTGGACACTCATTGCCCCTGGTTTCCTCAGGATGGCACTTTGGATTTAAAAGACTGGGAGAAAATAGGACATTTTTTCCATAACCATCCTCAAATTAATGTCAAGGTTCTGCTTGCATGGTTTAAAGTTTATAAAGCGATGTCCTGCCTGACACCAGCTAATATCCTTTTGGCTTCTTCGCCTGCTGCTTTGCCTCTTCCCTCTCCAATTTTATGCCAACCGTTGCCTTCTTCGAAACCACCAGTTTATGTACCTCCTAAACCACCGGATCTCTCTCCTTCGGTTCCTACTGTCCTACCACCGCCTCCCTCTGCCCCTCCTCCAGCTTTTTCACCAGGGGTGCCCAACGTTGCTACCACTCCTCTTCAAGAGTCTCTCCGTGCCGCTGCTCCATTGCTAGCTTTTGATTCTGCCACACCAAATCTTTTTCCTGTAATTGTTCCTGCCGCCGTGGGGGGAGGCCCAGCCCGCCACGAACAGTTTGATTTAAGATTCATAAAGGAACTGTATTCCTCTGTCAGGGACAATGGCTTACATTCTCCTTATACCCTGGGACTTTTTGGCACTATTTTTCAGCAAAATCTAATACCAGAGGATGTAAAATTATTAGCCCGCACTGTTATGCAGCCTCATCAAATGATTTTGTTTATACAAGCTTGGCATTGGGCTTGCCAACGTCGCGTTGATGGCATTCGCAACAATCTCAACAATGCTGCGCAGGCAGCTCACCAAGCCGCGATTGCCGCCGCTGGCGCTCCACCTCCAGCCCCTGTTATGTTGACCCATACTGATGTTTTTGACGGCCTGACAGGTGGGGGCAATTTTCTTACCATCGCCCAGCAGCTAGCCCTTGATCCCATGTATTGGGAAGCCACTACCGCTGCCGCTCAGGAGGCCCTGTCCGCTGTGCCTGATGAAAAGACTGAGCGTGATGGACGTTGGGGCAGCGTCCGGCAAGGCCCTGCAGAGCCTTATGGACAATTTGTCGATCGCTTGTATAACACCCTCAAGCGGCAAGTTCAGGACGTCGCAGCCCAAGAAGTGATTGTCCGCCAGCTTGCGTTTGATAATGCGAATGAGGACTGTAAGCAAGCACTGCGCCCTTTGATGACAACGCCAAATATTGCCATTGCAGATATGCTTAAGGCCTGCCAGTCAGTGGGCACTGAGACGCACAAAGCTCGTCTGTTAGCCGCAGCTCTATCCTCTACAGTATCCCAGAATCCTGCCAAGGACAAAACTTGTTTTGGTTGCGGAAAAATGGGACATTTTCGTGCGCAGTGCAGATCCATCACGCAGCAATGCCGCCCTAGCACAAAGTGCCCTATTTGTAAGAAAGGCTTTCACTGGGCTAACCAGTGCCGTTTTGCCGTGCCTCAACAAAGTCAACAACAACAACAAAAACAGCAACATCAACAAAACCAACTGACGGGAAACCGGCAGTCGGGCCCACCCGGGCCCAGGCACAACAATAGGGGATTCAGCATGTTCTCCGGTTATTCCACCGCCAGCACTACCTCACCTTTCTCTAACCCAGGACTTATGCCTGCCAGTCCCCTATGTACCACAACAGGCTCAAGTGTCAACAGGGGCTGGTTTTTCTTCTTCAGCACAGTGCCTTGTCTTCCCACTGTCAGAGGTTTTGCAGCAAGGGGTCCATCTTGTTCCAGATGTGTTACATGGATTACAACACAATGACCCTTATGTGACTGTCTTTTCTGATCGCCCTACGCATTTGCCGTCTGGTTCTCCTATTGCCAAGATTGTGTGCGCTCCGGAGACGATCCAGAACCATGATCCTCTTGTTGCCGCTACCTTTTCAGTCACAGAGGAGCGCCCAAAGATCCAGATGACCCTTGGAGGCCGCATGATTGAAGGGGTTTTGGACACGGGGCGGATTGCTCCGTGATCGCCTCCAAGGATTGGCCTCCTGCTTGGCCCACCGAACCAGCTTCTTCTGTTGTCGGCGTTGGAGGCTCTGCCTCGGCCCGCCGCAGCAGGAATCCTATTTTGATTCAAGGCTCTCAAGGCTTTGAAATGACTATTTTGCCACTGATCCTGGACATTCCTGTCTCCCTTTGGGGCGAGATCTGCTTGCTGCAGCGGATACCACCATTTCTACAAATTTATGCTAAGGGCTGCCCCTGCCATGCCCCGGACTGCGCTTTCTCTCTGCTGGACCACAGACACCCCCGTGTGGGTAGACCAATGGCCCTTGCCTAAAGAAAAGCTTGCAGTGGCAGCCCAGTTAATTTCAGAACAACTTGAACTGGGGCACATTGAACCTTCCACCAGCCCGTGGAATACACCCATCTTTGTCATCAGAAAAAAGGCATCTGGAAAATTCCGTCTTCTCCAAGACCTTCGAAGGGTTAATGAACAAATGCAACCGATGGGGACCTTGCACCTCCCACCTGACTTCAACCCGCGTTGCAGTTGGAGACATCGCCATATTGATGCACCCTGGATAAAGTCGCCTTCTACAGCTGTTCCGGTGTTTCCTGGCACGTCGAAAGGTCATCTTCGTCCCTACCTCATTGACCCCCCTCCCCCTGGGAAGTCACCATTACCCCTCCGTGGACACTGTGAAGCGCCGCTCTCGTCGTGCTGCTCTTTTGCAGAAGGCTCGTAAGCCTGAACTTTATCATCAGATTTGGACCAACAATACATATGTTAGGGACATAAATAATTTTGCTTCTATACTTAATCTTTCCGAATGTTGGATGTGTATGCATATTCCTCCTCAATCAAAAAGATCTGGCATATTATTGTATGGTATTCCTGTAAATGCTTCATATAAGATTAGTAATAATATGAAAGATAATCGTACTAGTTCACCCCTGTGTTTTTGTCGCTTGTAGAAACAGCGTCTCATTGTTTTCATTTCAATCGTAATAGTAGTAAATTTTTAGGTCATTATCCATATTGTAATTGGACCTATGAGTATGTTAATGGATCTTCTTGTTTTCTTAATGTTACCACTATGAGTGGTAGGCCAAAAGTTTTAGTTAATAATGTCACGACCAACATGACTTATGAACAACAGGCTATGTGTAGAGATTTTTATGTTTGGTTTGATTGGATGAAGAGAAGCAGCAAATCTACATGTTTGCTTCAATCTGATTTATGGTTATTTTGTGGTACTAGAGCCTACAAAGAAATCCCCTTTGCCTTTTCTGGAACGTGCACCTTAGGAATAGTCATACCCCTGGTCTATAAACTGGACAAGCTCCCAGTGGTTCGTTTGCGTAACAAAAGGGAAGTGCGATCACCTATCTCTCAATATACAGGGACAGCCGTCTCTAGATCTCTCCTGCCCTCTTTAGGTGCAGGCATGAATTACCGTGATTTGCACAAATTGGCTAATTGGACTGAAGCCTTGTTTAATTCTACTATCTTGGCCTTAAAATTAATTAACAAAGAAATGTCAGAAATGAGAGATGTGACTCTTGAAAATCGTTATGCTTTAGATGTAATCCTTGCTTCCAAAGGTGGAGTTTGTGCTTTAATTCATTCCCATTGTTGTATGTATATATCTGATCAATCGGCCAATATTTCTGCTACTATTGATTATATGGAACAAATGATAGCCCATAATCCTTTGAATCCTCCCGAAGGTTTTGATCCATGGGAATGGTTGTCTTCCTGGTTGCCTAATAGAGTGTGGTTAAGAAAAATTTTACTAATTGTAATTTTGCTTGTTGCAGGATTTATTGTGTTGTGTTGCTGCATTCAATGCCTACCCTCTTTGTTTGCTCAATGTAGTACCTGGTGGTATCGTCCAAGACCTACCACTGGAGTCACAAGAGGAATTTACATTGCAAGATATCAGCGTTTAGGAAATGAAACAAATGATTCTGATTAGGTTTTGTTAAAATTTATTTTTTACTTTTCATAAAACAAATAAGAAAAGAGGGCATGTAGGAAAATGGTTGTTTGTACCTACATGACAAGATGGATGCCAGGATGGGAATTTACTATAGTTTGACCTTTTGATACTGCAGGCTGTGTTAGGCATGATGAGCGCGTGATCGCCTCATGCAAGGAAGGTGATTGGTTCTTATTGTATGGCTTGATAATGGGGTGATCCCCATATTTGGTGTTTGCCTTGCATGATGATTGATACATTGTTGTACTGTTCTTAATAAAAATACTGGGCTGCAGCTCCAGAGAGAGGCAGGCTGTTAGACCCTTTACAAAAAAGCATCTTGGTGTGAGACTGATTTTTTTTTGTGACGAGCAGGCCCTCGTCATTACGGGCCCTCGTCAAAGGTTAAGCTACCACAGAAGACTGCATAGTCAATGGTGCGACATAACTAGGGATGTGTTGATGGGGGAGGTCAATTCTTCTGGTCCATGACAGTTGGTAATAAGTTCAGATTGTTCTCTCCAAAAGGAAGGAACAGAAGAACTTACAAGTGACTTTGGGGTCTGGCTGGGATCAGCCAAGAGAAAACAAGGGCACGATTAAAGGTTAATGCTAAGTTCTAAATCAGGCATGTCCAACAGGTCAAATGCAATCTACTGGTTGATCACGGAGTGTTCCTGGTCAATCTTTGGACCCCTAGCGATCTTTTTTTTTTTTAAAGGGTAGATCACTGCCAGTTGTTTTTTTTTAATACTGTGAGTAGATCACAGTCTGTTGGGAGTTGGACGTGCCTGCTTTAAATGACCTGGAACCAAAAAGATAGACAGGACCATATGATACACCCCAAATATCAATATCATTTTTAAGACGCCCTTAAATTGAAGGCTAAACCTTCAGTTGCCCTAGGATAAGGGCATTTTCGTGTTTTGTGCCCTGGATCTGTAACACCTTCCCCTGACATCGAGCCTGATCTCCTTCTAGGTGAAGTGAATATCATATGCCCCGGGCTTTTGAAACCATTTTATCTTACATCCTCTTAGTCAAGTCCTCTTCCCTCATGTTCCAGCTGCTCTCCTGTCTGTTCAGGTTTTGTTATATATACAATGATTGTTCTGACACTTCCAAGAGCCGTTCTGCACGTTTTCAAGCCGCAGAGCAACATATAAACGCGGCCAAATAGGGTAGCGTCGTCTTGACCAGGGCTATGGCACGGGCTGTGAGATAAGAGTGGGGTAAGGAAAGCCGAGGCCGGTTTAAGGTTCCGTGGGAGTCTGCAAACCCCAAGGGATGGGGAGCTTGCGGCCCTCCTAACGCTGCTGAACTCCTCCGTCTCCCGACCGTTCACCCGCCCGCGGACTCCAGCCCGCCAGATAACAGCCACTCACCGAACGCAAAGGAATAACGGCTGTAACGGCTCCCCACAGGCGCCTCGAAGGACACGTGCGCGCTCGCGACGACCGGCGGCCGCCGAACTTAGAGGCCGGGCGGGGTGGGGTGGGGAGGCGGGTAAGCGCCGCCTAATGCAGCGCTACGCTTAGCCCCGCAAGGGCAAATGAAGCCGTTTGCCCGCCTTTTGTTTCGCCACTTCCGGAAAGGTTCATTTTGCGACGGAAGTGGAACGGCTGCTCTTCAGTTGACGCTTAAGCGATAGGACGAGTCCATTGCAAAAAGAAAGAGAGGTAAGGGGGAACCCTGGTAAAAAGGGTACCTGTTGCGTAGAAGAGAGTGGTTCTGACAGCTATGAAGCCCGCATAGGCGGCAACCATAGACCTTGGTATGACGTCAACTGTTTGGGAAAGGTTTCCCGCCGAAAGCTTGTCGAGCGGAATTCTTGGTTTTGATGGTTTCTTCCAACCCGTAAGGAAAAGCGAATCGAGAGCTAGGATTGATTGCTCGGGTCTGGCCGCAGTTCTTGCCATTGCCCCCTCCTGCGGGCAGAGACTTGCAATTAAGGCTCTTGCCAGCTTCAGACCACGTGATCCCTTTAGAATTGTATTTCTCCTAGACAGCAGTAATACATATTGTTTTTTACATAGACACAGTATTTTAGCACCATGTGTAAACCATAAAAACATGGGCTGATAATGCCATATTTTTGCACTATAGACAGGGCAAAATAAACATAGCTACCACATATGTATTTTATCCAGGTTTGCTACTGTAATAACTTTTTCCTTGGCTCCTAACGGATAATACATTGAGCATTTATTTTTAATTGAGAAGCTTGTAAATGCTGTTAATAAATATCTGGAAACCAAGCATAAGACTGGGATACAGCCTTGTTAGAAATGTGTGTACGTACTAAGGAACAGATGTGCTGTGTGCATAGCTCACATTCAGGCAGAGCCAAGCCAGCTAAGGGGCCTTAAAAGCAAACAGTTAAAAGAACTGACTGTACTCAGTGTGTGCTGTAGGCATCAAGAAATACGCACATTGTTTAATCCACTCCCCTACCAAAACTGGTAAGTTAGTTACAGCAGAAGCTGTTGTTAATCTTGGTGTAATCTTTGTTAAAAGTTTTAAACATGATTTATTTTGAGTGATTTATTTTGCTGGCTCCACAAAGGGTTTTTAGAATATAATTGCACTGTTACTTCCTTTTTATTCAGAAATGTCTGCTTTAGTATCTGCTAAACTTTCACAACACTAGCTTAGATTTAAATTGTTGTTTCTTGGACAGGTGTTCCCAAAACACTGTGTTTAATGTAGGATTATGCTCAGAGTTAAAGCCTTCTGCTTGGCACAGTCTGTTCAGCTGGCTGCTGCCTGGGTGAAAGTCTCCAGCAAGCACTGGTCTCAGTGGGCAAAGACAAACATTACCTGTGTGCAAAGCTACAGAACTGAGCAAAACAGCACTGGGGGAGCAGCTTACCAGGCCAAGGTTAGTACCAGGAGGAAGCAAATTGCCTTGTAGAAATATTCCTGTTAATGATTGAAGTGATTATTGTGATTATTTATGCTAATCACATAATATACAGTAGTACCTCGGGTTACATACGCTTCAGGTTACATACGCTTCAGGTTATACACTCCATTAAGCCAGAAATAGTGCTTCAGGATTAGAACAGAAATCGGGCTCCAGCAGCGCAGCGGCAGCAGGAGGCCCCATTAGCTAAAGTGGTGCTTCAGGTTAAGAACAGTTTCAGGTTAAGTACGGACCTCCGGAACGAATTAAGTACTTAACCCGAGGTATCATTGTATATATAAACCCATGTGCCTATATTGCATGTTAAGGCTTTGAGTGAGGGAATTACTATTCTTATCTCTAGCTTGCTGAAAAACAGAGTTTATTCCTTAGCAGGAATCAGCTGAGGGTACTTGTACTAGGCGGCCATTAGTAGCCCCTGGACCAAATTATAGCCACCTATATTTAATTGCATCCTGGGAATGGAATGGGGTTGCTGCCAATCAAAGTGGCCCTTTGGCAAAACTCATTGCTGACAAAATCTGTGGTGAAATATGGGGACAGAGAGATGTAAACTATTCCAGTGCTGCAAGACAGCTGTTCCACCACCTCTCATGTGGGCTCGATTGCCATTCTAAGAGAATGAGGGAAGTCTTCATGGTGAGTTATGGCACCTCTTTTTCTAGAAAAATAGCACTGCCCACAGCCTTCCATTTGAACACATTGCTTCACACACCACAACTGATAATTATATGGAAGGGTCCATAGTGTTACATTATGCCTTTTCACTTAAATGAATTCCTAATACTGTCTAATACTGTATTAGACAGAAGTCCAGTAAGCATATCATAGAAGGCAGTAACTAATGGAATCCCTCTTATGTGGGTTGGAGCGTACAGATAAGGCAGAATTTGGGTGTGATGTGTATGTTTTAGTGGGGTGAGAGTTGTATATTGTGACCCAAGATATGCCTTGCCGAGAGGGAGGCTGAAGATGGAAGGGTTCCTTGACTCTTTAAGAAGTTTTTAAAATGTGCTGCTATGTTTTGAGGTCTTTAGGATTTTATTGTTTTATGTTAGATTATATTACATTGTTTCGTAGTTTTTCATATTCATTGTTTCTTGTATATACATATTGTACTTGTTATTTTCAAGACCACAAGGTTACTGCCTTAATATTTAAGCAATATTTAAATACTGTATAGGAAACAATAATTTGCTAGGTTTTTTTCCTGATAAATCATCAAAAGTAGTGTATGCTGTCCTCTTACGATGATCAAAATTAGTTGATGTTGGTGTTTCTATTAAAAGATAAGCAGCTAAATCTTGTGAAGTTTTTTGTCCTATAACTGGCTGCAGCTCATTTCTTTGTACAGAAGCTGACAGTCAGAATCAAAACTGATAAAAGGCTAATTTGATCGGCATGAAGCATTCTCAGACATTTTTAGAGAGGATCCCATTCCGCTCCAGCAACTAAGCATTTTTCTGCATCTTACATGATGAATACAGCTTTATCATTACATTGTAGTGTCTTATTGCCACAACTGGGCAAGAAAATACGCATGTAGAAAGTCATCATCTGTTGCAATTAAATCCTGTTGTAAATTAAATCCTCCTGGGTATATTCTTTTTTTTATGTATAAAATCTTTATAAATGTCTAAACACCACAAAATGCCATAGTAGTGTACAACAATATTAAAACAAAGGAAATAGAAACAAATAAAGCAGATCTCTAAAGAGAAATCTGATACTGCCTGTGAGTCAGCTTGTCCTCCTGGGAACGCTTTTAGAAATAGATGTTTTAAGCACCCAACCAAACGTAATTATTGTCAGAGACTATCTAACTGTTAATACAGAATAATGCAGAATTCTGAGACTCCAGTTTACATCCTTGGATATTTTCCAGTGGCTTTATGAAAGCCTAGTTTTCTGTTTTCTGTTTAACATTTCTCATCATCCCCTTTTTTTCAGGGTATGGGAGAAAAAGAACTGCCTGGTGTTTTGATCTGTGAAATAGGAGGCGCATTTGGTGTACTGGAGAGCCATGTGGAGTTCCTTAAGAAACACTTCAATCTCATCACCCTGAGAGAGTTTCACAGAAACAAGGACGAACTTTGTGAAAAGATCAAGTCCATTTTTGTATTTGAGTGCAGACCTCTCATTGACCGGGAACTTCTTGAAAGCTTGCCCAGCCTAAAGGTGGTAGCAAACTCAGGGGTAGGAGTGAATCATTTGGACTTGAAACTGATTTCGAGCTTTGGAGTAAAAGTCACCAACACCCCACATGCTGTTTCTGACTCCACAGCAGACATAGGCATGGCCTTAATGCTGGCATCTGCAAGAAGACTAGTGGAAGGTAAAGTCATTTTCTTTTGCAGTTTGTGTAAGTTGCTGTGGACACATTTCAGATTTTGTGGGACATAACTTGCACTAATATGTTAATATTTTGAGTTTACCACTCCCAGTATCAATCAGTCCTTAGATCAGCTGATCAATAGTGATATGATAATGCCCATGATATAGTGATAAATAATAATACAGGTATTTGTTCCCTTTTCCAGCTATTCATGTACCAGGTAGAAATTACCTTTTAAACTGAAAATTATGAAGTACTGTACTCCAAATTTTGGCTTGCTTCTAATTTGTAACTGAAATTGAGTCAGAGCCAATATCCATTTAGCTCCACATTTTAAACCTTGATGGGTTGAAGCTCTTCAAACTCTTGAGCAGATGTTTCTCTAATCCTTCCATACGAGATCCCTTAACTAGATTTAACAGTGATGGATTCTGCTACCTTCTTCCTTAAATTTATTCCCACCTATATTTTTATGTGCTGCTTATTATACAAATTCTAAGTAGAAATATGCCTTACAGGGATTCCCATTTAGAGCTGTCTTCTGATTTTCAATAACTATTGTAAATGGTGCAGGCGCGTTTTCTAATTTCTGAAATAAAGCTGTTGTAAGTACTAACACTCTTGTTTCTCATTCGCTGCTGCGTGGCGTCTGCTTTTGTTTTTTTAGGTTGTCATATTGCAACATCTCCAGATACCACACATTTTGCGGTTGACTGGCTGGGAGTAGAAGTTACCCGGGCCACTCTTGGTATCATTGGGATGGGCAGCATTGGGTATAAAGTAGCCAAGAGAGCAAAAGCTTTTGACATGAACATCCTTTATCACAACAGGAACCGTAGGTATATCTTTGATGAAGGTGTTGTACAGTGCAGCCCATGCAAAATTAACATGGGAGTAAGTCTCATGGATCTCAGTGGGGCTTACTCCTGAGTAGACATGTACAGGACCTCAGCCTTAGTTATTTAACTTGCAATGTATTGGTAATCTAGATTTCTATGTCTGTTGGAAGCAGTTGCTCGAAACTACCAGTCTCTGCACCATGTTACAGTGTCAGTCTGTGTGTAGTCATGGAGGCTAAGGGGCTGAGAGAGACAAAAACAATTCCTCCATCACTTGAGACTATTTTCATCTCTACCATTAAAGTGAAAAAGTCATTATATGGTGGGGTTGCCATATTTCAAGAGGTAAAAGTCTGGACACAAAAAGTTGTTTGGCTTCCTTAGGGCAATCACCCAACAGCCCCTCCGCCACTGTTGAGCCTGAGCTGGCCACACCAGAGTCCAGGTTGCCAGAGCCACCCCCACACAAAAGAACCTTCACCAAAATCCAGGACATTTGCTTTAAAATGTAAAATCACACACACACACCCGGATGGGCATGTAGGACCCCAAAAAGAGGACATGTCTGGGAATTTCTGGACGTATGGCAAACCTACGTGTATGGTGATTCTTCTTGTTAATATTTGAACACTGAAGTGGAAAGCAAGTGATTTTTAAAGACATGGTGATTTTCAGACTTACAATATGGTAAAACAACCACACACCCACACCGCCTGTTCAGAATTAATATATAAATCAGGGTTTATTAGATTTTTGTCTTGAATCTGTTTTTGCAGCATGCACAGAGCGACACATACAAAATAAGGGTAATTCTGCTTATCTCCAGTATTGGCAATCAACACCTAAAGCAGGGCATACAAGGAGGTGCACTAGAAGACTAGAAGATATTTTCAAAGGATAGTAATCATTTTTTAAGAAAATCACTGCTAGCCAGAAACACATGCAGGCTCCCATGTTCCTCAAGTTTTAAGATTCTCATGATCAGCCAGCATCCTTTAGCAATGCCCTTTGGCTGCCTTGAAAGGCAAGCGTGTAGCACCATGCAAGGAGCAAAAACTGATGTTCACATGGATGCTGCATTGAATAGGGAGGGATGCAGTGGACTTTAAATGTTGCCTTTTGACCTAAAATTTGGCTACCCATAGGAAAGAATCCACAATGAGCTCCCAGCCCCTGTCAAGTATTTGTTCCTCCCGGGCAGCTCCAGGGACGAGAGTTACTATTACAGTGGTACCTCAGGTTACATAAGCTTCAGGTTACATACGCTTCAGGTTACAGACTCCGCTAACCCAGAAATAGTGCTTCAGGTTAAGAACTTTGCTTCAGGATGAGAACAGAAATGCTCCGGCGGCGTGGCAGCAGCGGGAGGCCCCATTAGCTGAAGTGGTGCTTCAGGTTAAGAACAGTTTCAGGTTAAGTACGGACCTCCGGAATGAATTAAGTACTTAACCTGAGGTACCACTGTATAAGTGACAATTGTCATGTTTATTTCCTTCCAGGAAAGAGGAAGAAGAACAGGCAGTTGGTGCCACTTATTGCAGAAACATAGAAGACTTGCTCCAAGAGTCTGACTTTGTGATGCTGGTTGTGAATCTGACACCTGAGACACACAAGCTCATTGGGAAAAGAGAGCTGCAGCTGATGAAACCCACGGCTACTCTCATCAACATCTGCAGAGGTAGGGGATGTGTGACTACCTAAATGTAAACTTCAGCTATGTACATTTTTCAAATACCTATTTTTGACTATATTCCATCCTTTTCTCTGTATTCTTTTGTGTGAAAGGTGATACATTTCATCAGCACTAACAAAGGGTGAGGCCAACAACCAGTTTTCAGTGTCAAGAATCAATATGGATTATTTTGAAACCAGTAGTATTGGTGGGGGGGGGGCAATCAGGAGTATGGTACACAAGAAAAAGAAGGGGGAAATTCAGTGGTAAAGAAACATACATTGGGTACATTGGATTTGGCACAGCTGTGGGTTTCATTACACCCTAATCCAGATGTAGAAGGAAGGAAGAGCAATATCACATGAAGTGGCTTTATTGGTGAATTTTAACAGGTTTGCTGCAAAGGAAATGGATTAAGGACTGGATTCATAAGCCTTTTTACTATTTTGGGTCAATCAAAACGTGTTTGGGGAGATAATGTGAAGAGTCCCTTAGCTCCTTAAAATGTGTTCTTTGGCTGCAATCCTAAGCACACTTACCTAGGCATTAACTCCACTGGACACAATGTTGTGCTTTTCAAGTGAACAATGCAAGAAACCAGCTTTCAGTCTTTATCATGAACTACTTTATGACTTTCTGTCCGTATCAGGTGCAGTAGTTGATCAAGATGCTTTGGTAGAAGCGCTCAAAAATGGAGTTATTAAGGCTGCAGCTTTAGATGTGACTCACCCTGAACCATTGCCAAGGTAAAATATTACCCAAAAAAACCCACCTTTGCTGTTGTTGTTTTAGTCCTGACATGGAATAATTATTATTCATTGGTCCAAAACTTCAACATTAAGGCATAGATGATCATGATTTGCCTCTGTTGCCGCCTCCTTAATGCTTGATGTGTTCAGAAACCTGTGTGCATGGATAGTCATAAATATGCCTTCTTCTGAATTCATTTTGCCATTTCTTCTGACTGACCAGAGTCTCAGAGTATTTGGATTTAAACAAACTGAAGTAACACAAGAAATCATGATGGTAGAGGTATTAAATATAACCCATTACAAGCTCTGTAGTACAACAGCACAATAGCATTTGTGTTCAGGGCTGAGATAGCAATCTGTCCCTTGTCCTGAGGTCCCAAATGCTTTTCCTTTGCCATCTAACGCTTTGAAACAAAACAACCTTCAGATTGTATAGTAGGCGGCAAAATTTGTTTTGCTGCTTTAATTCATTTTAACTCAAACCTGTACTGTGCATTTGAAATGCAAAAATAGAGCAGAATTGTAAGGGGGAGTTCTTGTTCTAAGCCTAGAACATAGACTGCATTGTTCTAAGCTTTCTATCTAACAGTACTGCCATACAAACAAGTTTATAGGTGATGAGAACTTTGATTCAGAGCACCAGTCACTCAAAAGCAGATCTTCATAGGGCTAGCTCCTAAAATGATTTAGTAGATCATATCACACTTAATGATTGTGACCTACACAGTGTATAGAAGACATCTCAGTGGAAGCTAACTTACCATTAAGCCCCCCCCCCCCCCCGAATTTGGAGTCTTTTTCAGTGCAGTCATATAGCAATATAGTTACTTTGATCTGCCCGTGCCAGATGACTTCTGATTTTTCTGTTATGGCTTCCTTGCAGGGATCACCCATTATTGCAACTGAAGAATGTTATTATAACTCCTCACATTGGAACTGCAACTGTGCAAGCCCTGCTTATGATGACAGAAGAAGCAGTGGAAAATATACAGGCTGTTCTCAATGACCTCCCCATTCCTAGTGAAGTGATCCCCCAATAGTTTGATGGAGAACATTAATAATCAATGGCTGGTCAGCAAAAGGACATTAACCGCTAAGTAACAATGGAGAATGAAAATCAAAACTTATCCTACGTAGTTTTCATTTATGGCTTCCCATACTGTAACTATTTTCTGTAATTATATTCTTAAGTAAAATAACTAATAAATGTTGCTCCAAGGCTTTCGAGCACAACAGCTGGCTTTCTGATTCTTCCAGCCCTTTATTTGTACAAACAGATATTCACTGCAGCCTACATTTTCAAATCAAATGGAAACTGGTTTGAGGGAAAGCACTAGGATTCTTCAAGTAGCTTTAGGATAGTGTTGAAAACATCTCTGTCACGTGAGAGATTTCACGGGTGCCATTTGCTCACCCAATGGAGACTGGTGTCTTTAGGATATAAGGTTTTAGTTACACATATATAAAACTTGAGTATAGGAAGGAGGGGCTCACACTCCAGCACATCTTGCTTCCCCATTAGGAAGAGTATCCACACCCAGTTGTCTCTGGCAACATCACAAACTTCCATCATGCAGAAGGAGGGTGCTTAAGAGGGCCAGCTAGGTCATCAGCTTAACAAAGAAACTGGTTTGAACAATCCAGCAGTTTCTTCTACTACATGCCCCATCTTATAGATACAAAACTACAGGCTTGGTGGAGACCCAAAGGTGTAATCCAAACCAACCTCCCAATCCTACAAAAATAGATACGAATTGTGACTGTCATGGGTACTGTATTCCAAAAACCAACAGTGGGGAGCATCCTGGAGCCATAGAAAATAGGGAGCCTCAGTCACTTTCAAAAGTAAAATAATACATAATACCCAGTGGAGTTGCAATACCAAATTCAACCGCAACTGATTAAGAGGCTGCTTGGTGTTCTGTTGGACATACCATGTACAGGTTCAGCTTCTGTACCCTTAAAAATGTGAACTGTCCCAAACAGCACTGTTATATCTTGTCCTACACGTGCCATTTGCATGAGGAAGATGACACTCCCCAATATGCTGCAGTAGCCATCTTGTTTCCCCTTGCATTTTTGGTTTCCCAAGAGAACTACTGACCACTGTTGGCTACCCCAGCTTTTGAATGTCTCACGTCAAGCAAAAGTGGAATCCATTCATGGCATAACAGAAGAGTGCAAAAAAGTGGTTGTTGGGGTTTTTTTACATACTAAAGCAAAATGATTGGATTGTACCCAACACTATATAAGAGGAGTTCAACTTGAGCAACACCACATTCCCTACCTCTCCCTTGCAGCCCCCTCATGTGTCCCCAGACTCTGCTCTGGGGGGTCCTTCAATGCTATGGAGCAGATTTTGAGTTAGGGGTGCTGCAGGGGAGAGGAGTGGGAAGTTTTGTGCAAGTGGAAGTCTGCTGTGCAAGTGGAACGGCGGTGCTGGATGCAACCTGTTGTTTGCATTTGAAAACATTTCTTTATATTATTAAGACAATGTTGAGGTTATAATCAAATAAAGAAGTGCATTGTGGTTGAGTCAGATTTAGCAAACAATGTATTTGGAGTGGTGTTTTTTTAAAGAAACAATATGCCAAAGTTCTCTCTGTTGATTTACTAGTAGAGAATTATGCATATCTTTAACGCTCATGGATTGAACTTTGTTGGATAATTAAATATGTTTAAATTAGTTTGGATTATACCCATACTTGGCAAGCAAAATGGCTTACAAAGTAACTTGATAAATTCCAGTGTTCAAAGTTCAGCAGTGCTGAGATTTGCATGCTACTATTTCAAGACATCCTTTCGATGAGCACAGCTTCACAACCGGTATTGTGTTAATTTTTGAAGTTTCCTTTTCTCTTGAAATAATTGCTTCACAGATAATCAACCACACAGAGGTTTTCTTGCAATCAAGCGGTATATACATTTTGTTAAATAAATAAAACAAACAGGAATGAGTTTATGAGTGCTATCGTACAAGTCTTGACAGTTTAAGGATCAGGCTTTGTGAAGTTTGATTTTAAGAGATTCAGAAGAGACAGGTTTACATCTTTCTGACCATGTTGGTCTTCCACCAATTCTTTGTATATTGCATGTCTTGCATATTGTATCACAATGAAGGAAAATAATCCAGTATTTTGTGGCGTGGTTCGATTGTTCTCTATGCTTTTCAGAAAACTAGTTCGAAGATCATGCAAGATTCCAAGTTGCCTCTCTTACTGATCCATGAAGTAGGTGGCACCCGGGGAGTCTTAGAAGCGCACGTGCCGTTTCTGAAGAAACACTTTCAACTTATCACCATGAAGGAATTCCTCGAAAGCAAAGAATACTATTGTGCTCAAGTCCAAGCTATTTACTCGTGGTGGCATAAGCCAGTCATCGACAGGGAGCTGTTGAAAAGTCTGCCTAACTTAAAAGTGATTTCAAGTGCAGGAGTGGGTACCGATCACCTGGATTTGAAGCTGATCTCTGGGTTTGGAGTGAGAATCGCCAACACTCCTCATGCTGTCCACAGCACTACAGCAGACATTGGCATGGCCCTGCTGCTGGCAGCTGCCCGAAGACTTGTAGAAGGTAACACTGACAATACTGTACACATTTCTTTACAGTTACCCTTGTCTCATTTTCCCGAGCAGTGAGAGGTTCCAGGGCGGAGCACTTATCCAGATTTGATTCCCTTTGGAAGGAGGTAAATTGAGGCTGGTGTCAGGGATGAGGAGTCAGATTATTATTCAGGTGATGGAGTGGAAGACTCCAAAACAGAGGACATGTATGGCCAGACCCAGAAGTGCTGCTACCCAGTGAGCTTATGGAGTCAACATAAGCCTGGCCTGAGGAAGTGGCCCTGTCATCCTCTGACTTGGAAGACTCCACGGAAAGTGACGTGCAACCAGAGTCTCCCACGTTCTGTTGCAGGAAGAGATTAATGCTGAGAGCTAGGCCCCTTTAAGCAAAGCAGCACCTTCCAGTATGGGTGAGGCTCACAATGGGGAGGTATCAACGCCGCTGATATACAGGAGAGAAGCTCGCTTTGTTCTTTGCTGAAACAACATACAGTAGGAGCTTTCTGTTCATAGAGCCTCTGCCTTCAACCTGAACCCTTTTCTACCTAATATTGCATCAGGTTGCCCTGTATCCTGCCTGAACCTCACCCTGCAGTTTGCAGACATTTTTGTAATGCTGAGTTGGTCTGCTAACAGGCCTAGTGCCTGAAGCCAGCTCCCGGTAGAGCAATTACTTGCATATTTATACCCTGTTTGTGAATATGAAATTTTGTATGCAATATGACTTTTGTTGCGATCTAAACAAATAATTTAACACTGATATATAATGAAAAATCACCTATTACAGCCTCAGCTGAATAACTCAGATTTCTTACAAAAATCACTCCCCCCCCCCCGAATTCTGTTTTTAATGAACACCTCTTCTCCACCCACCACCCCTTATTTTGTCATTTTGCAGGTTGCCAGATTGCTGTTTCCCCTGACACAGGCTATTTCTCTAATAACTGGTTAGGAGAGGAAGTCACTGGGGCAACTCTGGGTATCATTGGAATGGGAAGCATTGGGTATAAAATTGCTCAGAGAGCCAGAGCTTTTGAGATGAAAATTCTTTATCATAACAGGAACAGAAGGTAAAAATACACAGTTTGATACCATACAAAATAGAGTGTATCTTCACCTCTAAAGCTGTTTTATCCGCCAAATCTTTGTGCATGGGTGTAGAGAAAGATCAGCTGGTCTTCAGAAGTGAACAAACACAGCTGTACTTTTCAACTCATATTTCTGCTTAATGTGATGAAGAGAGGCTAGCCTATCGTGCTTAGAAAAGGCGAGCCATCCGGTGAGAAAAAGATAAGGATAAATAAGGGCCATTTCACACAAACAAATTTCAGTTCTTAGTAAATGAGGAAACTGGCTAAGTAGCTTGTTCCAGCATTCACCCAAATCCTATGAAAATATGTGAAATCTTTCTGCCAGTCTTCCAACCCTCCCACTTTTTTCTTTTTTCAACTCTCCCACTTTTTTCAAGAGAGCCATGATTTAAGGTTGATATTCATCCTGAGTGATGTCTGAATTTGGCTTTTGCTGTGTTCCGTTTCACCCTCACTCTGGTTTTCTAAGCTGTTGCTTTGCTAGGGAGGAAACTAGATATTACAAAAACCACAAGGACTGCTGAAAAGAGCCAGGGGCAAAGCTCTCTTCTTCCCTTCAGTAACACATTGTGGAACTTAGCTGTAGTTCTCCTGTACTTCAAATCAGGATATTAAAAGAACTTAACCTCATCATGATGGAGGGAGGGAGAAGCTCTACTACATGCGGTTGCCATTTTTGGTGTGTGTTTTCATAATGTCAGTTTGCTAGGAAAAAGTACACAGCTCAACTCATTTTTAAGCTAATTTAGATGGTTTTATTAAATCTCAGTGGCTTGATTGTAATATTTAGGTTTTTCAGCTTTGAAAAAAGTATTTAAACCTTCTTAATTTCTTTGCTAGAAAGATAAATATCAATATACAGGGGAGATTGGAACATTATTTGTGAATTCCACCCCCCAAGAACCAGCACTTGTTAAACAGATCATCCTTGTTGTTGTTTTCTGTCAGGAAAGAAGATGAAGAACAGGCTGTGGGTGCCTGCTATTGTGGGGCAATAGAAGACTTGCTCCAGCAGTCAGATTTTGTGATGCTGGTTGTAAATCTGACACCTCGGACGTACAAACTGATTGGGAAAAAAGAGTTGCAGCTGATGAAACCCACAGCTAGTCTTATAAATATCTCTAGAGGTAGGTCATAAAGAGCTGCTTGAAGAAAAATATTGAGTGTTAGGACTTCAAAGCACAGCACTGTCTGAAAGTCGCTTTGCAAAAAGGCTTTCAAACAGCCCAGTGTTCCCCTTTTGAGCAGTTGCTTTCTGAAGAAGCCCTGCATTCTTTATCACAACATGTGAATCTGTGCTCAGCTTAACATCGTAGTTTGTTTTGAGAGAAACAAACTACGAGTGTTGGCTCACAAAGGCTCATGGTTTGTTGCTCCCAGCTTGATGAATGGAGGTGTGTAATGAGATCAGTTCAGCAGCATGTACAGTACGTATGTTCTCCTTAACTCGGAAGGTGGTGGTATCTCCTTGATTGGAGCTTTTATAGCAGAGGCTGGATGGCCGTCTGTCATGGATGCTTTAGTTGGGATTCCTGCATTGAAGAGAATTAGACTAGAGGATCCTCGGGTGCCTTCCAACTCTATGATTCGATGAAACCATGCAATGCACTGTTACCCAGCGGTTATCATAAGAACATGATTTCCACACAGGGCAAGTTGTAGACCAAGATATGCTTGTGGAAGCTCTTCAGACTGGTGTTATTAAAAGTGCTGCTATGGATGTCACTTATCCTGAACCACTGCCCAGGTAAATAACTATGTATTTATCTATTTTAAAAAATGAATGACTATACTGTAAGCACATTGTAAAGACTGCTGGAAAGCATAGGAGTAACCAGTGCTAAAGTTCAGACTGACATCTCTGCCTTCTTCCACTGTATACCCTGGGAAGTAGTAGGAGACCCTATATAGTACACAACATGCTTCCTTTCCAAATTGAAGCCATGAGAAAATGGAAGGACAGTGTGAGCAGGTGCTAAGTAAATGTTTGAGTTAGTGCTGAAAGCTTTCAACTGCAGCTGGGATTCCTAACTGCATCTTAAAAAATCCCTTGCCGCCCACCAAGGCCCCTGTCCCTCCCAATTTGTTTAAAAAGTGTCTTTGGCTTTTTTGTTACTGTTCGTTTGGGAGGATTACTTGCTTTTTTGTGGAGGGGAGTATGGTCTGCTTTTAATCTTTGTTTTATTTGGGGATGGGGTGGAGCCTATTTTTGGAGGTGCAGTTCTGAGCATGGTCAGTTTTTTGTCTATAAAATGGGAATTTTATGCTGTTCCCGGGAGTTTGTAGATTTCCTTATGTTCCTCCAGACCAAAAATAGTTGGGGACCCTGCAGTTCAAATGGCAGTCCTATAATTGTAGTGATTATCCCTGCACCACAGTTATACAAGCATTATGCCAGTGCATTATAGTTGAGATCCCATGCACCTTTTATCACGCAGATAAGACAGGAAAGGAGGAGCGTTATTCCATTCATAACAAACAGCCAACCCTATTTCTCAGTGCAACATACATTGCTCACCTACACCCACTTCCTCCCAAAGACATGGGCTTATGGTCAGTTGTCTGACCGCATAGATAGCTGACAGAATACTCCACACATGAACGTATGGCATCATTGTGATTGGAGCATTTTGTGAAAAAGTGGGCCATATAGTCCAAGAAGAGGAGGCACTTCAGCCATGAGTTCTTAATGTACAAGGAGTTATCCAGAAGTTTAGTGAGAATGAGCAACGCAATGGGAGACAGAGGGTGGGGTTTTGAGTCGTCCGGGGCTCCCCACTGACTCCAATGTGAGTGTTTTCATTTTGCATTACCTGTTCTGCAGTTATGATGGTGTGCTGGTGCCATGGACGCTACCAGCACCTGAGTTTCTCTCTCCTTCTACCTAACGCCCAAACTTCCTCAGTTCATGTTGGTGAATCAGTTAAACATGCATTAAGCAGCACCAACGCAACAGTGATCCAACACCAATGTAATCTACAACACTTGCATGTTTTTGAGCTTCTAACATGCAGGTGGGCTCAGGGGTGACCCAGTCTCTAACTGCGAGTGTAAGTCGTGGGTAGGATTGCTCTGTTAATCTTCTACTTTAAAAATATAAGTTACATAGATCTATAGTGATTTATTTATATATAACTACACATTAACTATTATACTCTACTAAAGCACCTGTATAATCAGAGGGAGTAAATATTAACCACAGGGGCTGAAACTGAAGGGTACACTTGCCTATTTTCAAGTCATTTGACTTTGGTACATTGCTAGAATATGGATGCTTGCCAAGTGAGATAACTAAAATCCTTCAGATGGTGGATAGCTCTAAGTACTTTTCCTTCATTTGTTTGAATGAAAGCCACTTCCTATATTCATAACCTGTCTTTTTTATCTTCTTCTTTTCAGAGATCATCCGTTACTAAAATTAAAAAATGTTATCATAACACCACATGTTGGTATTAAAACACACAAAACTACTTTTATGATAACAGAGGATGCAGTAAGCAATGTATTGGCAGCTCTTAATGGTCTCCCAATGCCCAGTGAAGTGTTTCCTGACTAAACTTGTGGGCTGTCATCTAACATAGCAACATGGAACTATTCTACATTTTTCTCTAGTGCAAGAAACATATTGACAGATGTATAAATTCAACCTGAATCTCATGCCTCATGCAGCAGTGTTTGTTCTGGACTGAAGACACAAAACAAGCCAACAGGAGATTTCATATTTTGTTAACTCCTCATCATAGTTATAGCAGATAATGTCCTTTGTTACCATTCCACACAATTAAATTTCAAACAGTGCTTGCTCGTTAATATGAAAAACTGTTGTGAAAATTTCTATGCTTGCATTTTAAATATTATATACAATATTTATAACAAATAAATAAAAATAATAAATGTGCTTTGAAATTTGCAAGTGAGTTACTTCTTTCACAATAATTTGTAGCCAAACCGAGCTTTGCTACCTGGTAATCAATTAAAAAATTGGAAACTCTGCCTGATTGCCATTTCAAAGTAAACTTCTTCTAAAAGGTTTAAAATAAAATACCACTACCACGGCTTTAAAAGTTATAAATTGGATAATTTAATATCTTGATGACAGTTCTTCCAGCCCTTTTATTTTGTCAAATCGCCCCTCAAAAACTAAGTTTTCTGTGAGGGCTTTGGCACAACTCGCTTGTTCCATGCTACCCTAACTAAGCCTCCTACACTGTAATTGGAAATGTTCACACTTCATTTCTCTACCCTAGCCAGTGGGAGCAGTAAACCATGCAAAACAGGGAATATTTGAAAGACTGAACATGTGACCTCTGTTGAGAATAGGTTCATCAATGGCTGCTAGTTACGATGGCTATAGACAGCCTTCAGTCCCTGCATGTAAAGCACATTTCAGGTAATATTTTTTTAATGCTAAGAACCTCAAAAAAATTAATAAAGTTGAAACATAGATTTTTCTTTTCATTTGTTGGGGGGCAGGGAAGAGTAGGTATTTTTGTGACCAATGTCAACATGCTCAAGCAACCTAAGTTTTATTGTCTTAAGCTCATGTGATTTTGTTCCTAACATAAAATTTATTGCCAGTTCACCAATGAGAAACTAAAACTATCAATACAATAAAGGCTAATCAACCTATTGTCTATTTTATTGTATGAGTCTTATCCAAGAAACCATGAACTTTAGAGAAAAAGAAACAGAGATAGTCTGAGTTGTGTTGCATGTCATGCTTCTGGTTGTTTTATTCACATGTGAAATAGAATTTTGAAAAACTGTTGGCAGAACCTGAAATTTTGGGAAATTATCTTTAAAATGATATATGAAAATTAAAAAATGGGTTTGTATCTTGACATTTTCATGGAATTGCGGTTGGGGTGCATCAACAGGAGAAGACCAACACATTCATGCTCTGCTGTTTGTTTCCCATAGGCATCGAGCAGGGCTCTGCTCATGTTATTCCATAGTTTGTTACACTATGGTTAGTCCCATGTTCATTTTTTCAGTGGAGGACAAATGAGTAAGTCTTCAAATGACCCAATTGTGGTTTCAGAACTGTAGGAAGAAGAATTGTTTGGTGTTGCTCTTTGACCATCTTCCTGAACTTTTTCACATGCCCATCATCAAACACACAATTTCAAAACTGGAAGGAGCTGTTTGATATTTGCACACCCCGTTTAGTCTTTGCACACCCTCACAGATAGGGCTGGATTTAGGTTTGATGAGGCCCTAAGCTACTGAAGGTAATGGGGCCCTTTGTATGTCCAGCTGTCCTTTGTCAACAACAAATTGTCGCTGTTTTAGTGTGTTGAATATATGCTATATGGTAATTTATGGACCTAATAGGCATCTAAAGCCATTTGCACATAACAAAATATGTATTTTATCAAAGTAATTGTTGAACCGAAAGACAACAAGAAGTATATTAACAGTGAAATACAATTAAAAAGAAGTATGGGGGGGCAAGAGAGTGGGGCCCTAAGCTACAGCTTGTTTAGCTTATACATAAATCCAGCACTGCTCACAGATAATATTTCATTAAGGCCGGGGCTCCCAAAATACAAACAATTCATTCTAAGGGAACAGGTGGCAAGTTCTGTTTATGTGTGGAGGCAGGTACTGAACTTGGGAGAGCAGGTGCAGGCTAGTAGCTGGACTATGAGTGGAGAAGCCTGTATTTAAGATTTCCAATACCTATCAAGCTCATTGGGTAGCCTCAGCCCAACCTACATCAAAGGGTTGACGTGAGGATAAAATGGAAGGGGAGAACTGCCGTTTACCATCCTGAGCATCTTGAGAAGTAAATGTAAATAAATGACAGCGTATCCAGATAATGCCAAATTGTAAAATACTTGTTATTCTGATCTCTTTTTCTTAAACTGATAAACTTATCTCCCTTCCATTGCTGCTGGCTGCCAATATTTCCCCCTTTGGGTAAAATAACCGACAGCAAGAGGGCTGTGATTACCTCTAGTTACTCTTTTATCTGTACAGCAGATTTCCTCCTGCAGGTCCTCCTAGCTGAAAGAGGCTTCACTGCAGCTTCGCGGTTTCCCAACCCAGGGAACAAAGTCCTCCTTGCCGACTCCTTAGCTGGGGAGTCAAAACAGTCCGGAGTTTATTCCCGGGTGATTTCCACGTCCCTCAGCTCTGCTCCGAATCAGCAGGTACCAATTCAAGAGCAACCTTCCTGAAGGAGCTGAAAGACGTTTCTTTCCACAGGGTAATTTGTATTTCATCTCTCTCTCTCTCTTTTAAGGTTGCTAATCTTTATTATCCTTTTATTTGATGCCTTTTTCCCTTTTGCATCTTCTAAGGGGCTGCTTGTCTGTGTAGGAATTTCGTAAAGGCAAACATTCTCACAAAACTAGCAAGCATACCAGCCCCTGCCCTAAGCGGAAGTTCCTAAATTCCATGGGGTTTATGGCTCTACAGAAATGTCCCATCGCTAATTGTCATTTGCTTGGGTGGGTGTTTAATTCCAGCCAATAAGAGGGGTAGATGCAAATTAATAGAGAGGGGCGGGGTCCTTATCTGAGCTTTTTCCGGGGAGGGGGCGCTGATCACATTGTCTCTGCAGCTCAAGCTTTGCGACAGTAGGTAATTCCATTCTCACCGGGGGAGGGAAGGAGTTGTAACAGTCAGATTTTGTTTTAAATTGGGGCGCACTTTTTCGGAAAAAATACACTTGGGCGAAGTGTTCCTTCGTTTGCATTTGTTATCCCTGAATAGCAACTGGAGGCGTCATTTCACGAGGTGATGGTGACTCACGTCTTGTAACACTTGTTTATGAAGTTGGTTTTGTATTTAGTTCGTTGAATTTCTTCTTAAAATCCAGATATCTATTAAATTAGGGGAAAGAGTTGTGTGCACTGCAGTGCCGGAGGAGGAGAAATACAGCATTCAGAAGCATTGTGTGCAATAATATTTACAGCAGGGTCCAAATGTTCATCTTTTGATATGGTCAGGATTAGATTACAAAACATCTAGTATTTTTCATGCTGGTGTTTAGTTTTTCTCCTTTATGTAAATCACTAATCTGTTTCTCAACAGAATTTATACTAAGAACACTCCATTCTTGCTAATGCATCAGTAGTGGTATAGATTACCCGGACTCCCTTGGGAGGAAGGGAATAATAATAATAATAATAATAATAATAATAATAATAATAGCGAAAGCCTTGAACCTTGATGGGCACTTCCACCTTGATCTTATTCGTGTTTACTCAGAATTAAGCCCTGCTAAATTCAGTTGGGTTTACTCCCAAATTAAATCTGCATAGATTACACAATTTTGGACTGAACGCTCCAGAATGCTAATTAGCAGTCTTGGATATCCCCGCCCTTATTGTATAAAGGAACTACCCTGTTAATCACAATGAACTCGATAAAAACAATAATCTGAAGAGAAACACTGCTGTCTTCACATTAGTTTTAAAAAATGAGTTTTGATATATAAATTCTTTTTTCTATACTGTATACAGACCATGGAAGAGAACGAGCATCCATATACACTGATAAATGTTATAGGAGGCACAAATGGAGTATATGAAGACCATGTGGAGTTTCTGGAGAAACATTTTAAGCTCATTACCATGAAGGAATTTACTGAAAACAAGCAAGATCTTAGTCATAAAATCAAAGCAATTTTTATGTGGTTTCACAAACCAGTGGTTGACAGGGATCTCCTGCAAAGCTTGCCTAATTTAAAGGTGATTGCAAACTGTGGCGTAGGCGTGGATCACTTGGACCTAAAACTGATCTCCAGCTTTGGCGTGAAAGTAGCAAACACCCCATTCGCAGTTTCCAATCCTACAGCAGACTTGGGGATGGCTTTGATGCTGGCTTCTGCCAGGAGGATTGTGGAAGGTACACTTTAGCTTTCCAATTAACTTGATTTAAAACATGGTGTGAATGCAACTGATTGTGTACGGGTTGCTGTGCTTAAAAGTCATAGAGTGATCAGATAAAGGAAATTATTAAATGTCGTTTGTTGATAAAAAACATTTCCAAACAAATCCACCCTAGAAAACATATTTGGTCTTACAAAACACCTGCCCTGTAATTACAGTCTATTGGATTTTGCAAACAATTTCTTGGACGAGGAAGTTTTTTTCTCATGGTCTACAAGCGCTTGATTATATAGGCCTATAATCAGAATTAGGCATGTGCAGAGAGGTCTATCTGTAAAATGTCAACATAGTCAGCAGAATGTCTGTATAGGTTGGAGAATGCCTTGTTGAACTAGCAAACACATGGATAAACCTGTTCTACATCGTTTCCAATATACATAAAATATACAGCCTAGCTGCTGAATACTGAAAGTGGGTCACAGATAATTGCACTCCCACAGATGTTTGATTTTGATCCACTCGCACAGGTATCCTTTGAAGGATGTGATGACATCCTGCTGTTGGTAGTACTATATCTTCATATCTGTTAATTTTATATGTTTATACTACGTTCCAGCTCAGATTAAGAACTCCCACAGGCAAGTTCACAACAGTCCATGTCTTAGTTCGCAAAATCAGAGAGCAGTGAAAGACAAAGTAAAATGTTTAGAACAAAAATAATAGCTAGCAAGATTAAAACACAAGTATCATGACATAATAAAAATGTCTTAATTGTCAAAAAAAGGAGGGGGACAGATAAACAGCCCTAGGGAGAGATTTCCATAATTGGGGTTCTGTCAATGAAAAGGCCCTACCCCAAACATCCCCACCAATCACTCCTCGGATGAGTATAACTGTACATTTGGGCTAAAAAGGTGTGTGCCTTCAAGGAAGATTTGGGACCTGGTATGTAGTATTTTAGAAATCAAAGCAGTTGTTGTTCAAATACAGCTCAGAGCTCTTAAAACCAGAGCAATTTTCCAAGTTGGGATGGGTATCACACCGTATGTTTGTTAGCTGATCTCCTAAAACACTGCAAACCCTCATTTTCTTTTGTCTGTCTGAATTTCTAGGTCATCAGATTGCAGTTTCTCCTGACACTAAATGTTTTATGGCTGACTGGTTAGGAGAAGAAATTAACGGTGCAACGCTGGGGATCATTGGAATGGGCACTATTGGGTACAAAGTGGCCCAGAGAGCCAGAGCTTTTGAAATGAACATTCTTTATCATAATAGGAACCGGAGGTAAACCTCTGCCTGATCTCGGTGTTTTAATCTGATTTTACCCACCTGATAACTTCAGCATTAATTTTGTCACTGTCTGCATAAATCCATTGTGCTTTAACTGAGTTTCCCTGGACTGCCTAAACATTTACTGTGAATGTTAATAGAGTACCTATTAAACAAGGCCTACTTCTCTGAGAAGTGACAAGGTCATGAGTAGGAATAGAAAGATCTGTCAATTTCCATTCTTTCAGTTTTTCAATCTTACATTTGGTTCTCTATATCTCTGCAACAATTGGGGAATTATTATTTTTTAATTTTCCTCATGAGAATTCATCAGTATTATAATGCAAATTTTCCTGGGTGAAGACATTTTGGATTAAAGTACACATTTTTGCAAGCAATTTTTCCTAACACAATGCAGTTTTAATGTTAGTTTAACTAATATATTCAGTTTTATGCACACTTTCTCCTAATATACAGTATTCATTTTTGCTAACATTGTTTGTGCATTGCACAATTCAGACAAGTACAAATTCCCAAGGATAGCTGTATTTTCATTTCACCAGTCCTTTCTAATATCATCTCCATGTCTAGTCACTGGGCTGGTCTTGATTTGTTTTGGAAGGAAGAGGTCACGGGGGACTTGAGGTGTTTTGGTAATATCTGGGTTTGTTTACAAATATAAAATGTGATCGTAGGTGGAAGCAGATAGCACAGGACTCCTATAAGCAGAAAAGCCACTGCTGCCCCATCCAACATCCATAGGGAAGAAGTATTCCCAAATGCTTTTTTCACTTACAGCTCGGCTGTTTTACTGTCCCCCCCACCGCCTCCTCCAAAATCCTGCCTTTTTACACACACCTTAGCTGGGAGGAGGAAGAAATAGCACTTATTCCGCCACCCCCACCCCCCCGGCTCCTCATAAATTTCTGTTTTGTAGCCCTGAATGCTGGTTGTGACTCGGAGACATTCTTGCAACCTCCCTTCTCCCAAAAAGGATGTATATTTCTGGTACACTAGCTTTAATTTGGCAAAAGCACTTCTAGGTAGGGTTGCTATATTTCAAAATGTGAAAATCTAGACAGCTTTTTTTTTGCAAAGTTGTTGAGATAGTTTTGGGATTTTTTTTTGGCCAGCTTTTTTCCCCCAAAGTCTCAAAAAAAGAAGATGTTTTGAACTATTATAAAGGAAATTAACCAAAATTTACACTTCTGACATGGGTTGCCATATGTCCGGATGTTCCTGGACCTGTTTCCTATAGCCGAATCCCAGCTATGTCCGGGAAATTCCGGACGTATGGCAACTCCTGTCACCTGTATATCCAGAGGTAATGCTGGTTCCAGGAGAATGCCCAAAAAATGTACAGTTCCATCCAGAAGAACCTGAAAGTTTGTTCCTGGATTAGTAGTTCCACTCCTAGTTTGTATCTTCATTAAAAAAAAAAAGTTTCAGTTTATTATTAGTCCTTCACTGATCCTTGACAAAAGGTCCAGGATTTTGTTGGGAAAGGAAAGAAAGAACTAGGTATCATCTGTATATTGCTGACACTAAAACTCACATCCCCAGATGACATCTCCTGGTGGTTTCATGAAAATGTTTAACGACAATCTACCGTATATGCTATTTTTGTTAAATGCTTAACTAGAGCTAAATGTTTGTTTCCTGCAGGAATGAGGCTGATGAACAGGCTGTTGGTGCTGTTTATTGCCCAAAGTTGGAAGACTTACTCCAGGGTTCTGACTTTGTCATACTGTCTGTGAACCTGTCACCTCAAACACAAAAACTGATTGGAAGAAAGGAGTTGGAACTCATGAAACCCACTGCTACTCTTATCAACATCTCTAGAGGTAGGATACTGAATCATGTTTGGGCAGTAAACCACATTTTCCTGGAAAGAGGCTCTAGACTGACGACGCTCCATTACTTTGTGGAGTCAACACACAAGAATGAGAGATGTTGGGGGAAATCATGTCATCTCCAGCAACTGTCCACTGCACTTGTTTCAGGAGATTAGTCTCCTCCTTTTTAGGCACTTCAGAGCTAGATAAGCCTCTCCCAACCTGGTGTCCTTAAAATGTTTTGGAGCACAAATCTCATCCATTCCAGCAGGCAGCATAGAGTGGTCCATGGTAAGGGATTATGGGAGTTCTAGCCCAAACCTGGAGGGCACCAGACTGGGAAAGACTGAGCTAGATTGGAACAGATATTGGACACACACTATCGTTCTGCAGAAATCTCGGCTGATGGTATTTCTATATTGCTGTCTATATTGCAGTCTATGTTTTGGTTCAAATAAAACAGTACGATTTTTCATTTAGGTCAAGTGGTTGATCAAGATGCATTGGTGAACGCACTGAAAAATGGAGTTATTAAGGCCGCAGCTTTGGATGTGACATATCCTGAGCCATTGCCAAGGTAAGAATGGTTCCACATGAAAATGTTTAAGCAGAAATCAGAACCAATGTTTGTCCATTAACTATTTGGTTTGCCATCGATTGCCCCATCTTTGGCATAATCTATGTCCCAAAATGTATTCTGACTCATTTCTGATTTGTCTAAGGACGGATGAATCAGTTTTGGTCTTCTAAGTTTCTTACTTTTCTAATCTTAAATTCATTTCTCCACATTTCCACAGCAAATGTGCTGATTTAAAGAAAAAAATCTTCATGGAAATTCACCAGCATTTTTGTACAAATTTCTCCTTAAAACCACATTTTTATATTTAAAAATGTTTGTAATTGTTTTTTACATTTTCCCCCTTTTATGGCTGCAACTCTTCTGTTTGTTTTTATGTGTATTTTGTAATTGTATATTTCATTGTTGTAGCGCACCCTGGCACTTCACATTAAAGGGCCAGTTAGAAATCTAATACATTAAAAAAATAAATATAAACATCTGGAGGGCTCCATCACCAAGGGCAATTTAAGATGAAGCAGCTGGATATTTACTCCAAACCATGGCAATTGTTAATTCTTCAGGTTACTGTAGATGTGATATAGGGTTGTTATCTAGGATTAGTCAGGGTGGATCCATTAAATTCAATGAATCTAAGTTGGAATATGACTTAGTTGGAATATGACTTAGTTGGGTGTCACTCGTAGTGTGTTAATGCAAACTTTACATTGTAATGGCTCTGAAATGTTAACTGGTTTGCATAGGCAAGGTGGTATAATTTTAAACCCCATGATGCACAGACAATACTTATGCAATCAGTTTAATAACAGTTGCTCATGGACATTGGAATTCCGATTCCAAGGCCTCCTTTGACCTCATATGTGCAAATCTCCTTAAGTCATGGGTACGCAAACTAAGGCCCAGGGGCCGGATCCGGCCCAATCGCCTTCTAAATCTGGCTTGCGGAAGGTACGGGAATCAGCGTGTTTTTACATGAGTAGAATGTGTCCTTTTATTTAAAATGCATCTCTGGGTTATTTGTGGGGCATAGGAATTTGTTCATATTTTTTTCCCCAAAATATAGTTCGATTCCCCACAAAGTCTGAGGGACAGTGGACTGGCCCCCTGCTGAAAAAGTTTGCTGACCCCTGCCTTAAGTGAACTGTGAAATCACAGTACCTATGCAAATGGCTGCCATTGCAGCATAAAAGTAGATCAGTCATTCAGACCCCTTAAGCCTTGAACATGTTAGCAGGCAAATCAATGGACGCAAGCAACCTTTTTTCACTATTTCATTGTATAATGCAGATGTGAATCGTACTTGTATTTTGTGTATGCAGAAAACAATCTGAAGGTTCCTTATTCAGTTCCATCTCTATGTACACTATCTGGGACTCCTCAAATGAAGGAGAGGATACAAATGTTTACAAATAGATTAAAATGTGATGTGTGACTAGCGGACACACAGAACATACCTGTCATTTAGATACCTTTTTGCAGTGCTTTTTTCTGGGGCGACGCATACCCCTAAACGTTTTATGAATCTTTGTACTTTTGTCCATTTACTGTATTTATTTCCCCCGATTTGAACTATAAAATGGTGATTTTCTTGAGTCAAAATGACAGTAGCCCTAAACATTTTTTAAAGAAAAATGCACTGCCTTTGTGACCCTGAACTGATTTTAAGACTGGGATTTGATTGTGCCTGTGATGACATGTTTTAGTTAGTTTCCTTCCAATTATAGAAAGGACTGAGAGCAGTGGATGGTTCTGTTGGCACATGAAGGAAGGTAATTTTCACCCTCTCTGTCCTTCATGCTGTTCTGAAGGGTCCCGCAACCCTTTGGAGCAGATTTTCATGGTCATGAGACATTTCAGGGAGAACAAGGAATCAATCAATCAATCAATCAATCAATCAATCAATCACATCTTCCCCTTCTCCTGGCAGAAGCATCCTGTGAACAGAACTCTGTAGGAATGTTTTTGCCAGCAACTGGCTTGTTAGGAACCAAGCCTAAATTAATAATCTGTTCATTTTCACAGACTTTTTGTGGTAAAAATAGTGGCATAGTTTACTAAGATTTTAATTAAATTTCTGATTTATTTTCTTTCTTCCTTCAGAGATCATGCTTTATTACATTTAAAGAATGTCATTATAACTCCTCACCTTGGAAGTGCAACTTCAAAAGCACGCCATCTGATGATGAGAAACATGGTTGAAAGTATCTTGGCTGGTGTCAGTGGTCTCCCAGTCCCTAACGAAGTGCATGTGTAACATTCTCCATATGATACAGATGAAATGTTAATTCTGTGTACATTTTGCTGTATCTGCCTCAAAGTTTTCGTATGAAAATTATGTATTCAGTTTTTATTTTCAGTACGGAAAAAAGTTTGTAATATTCAGATATGAAGAAGAAAAATGAATGAATATTCTATTTGATGTGTTCCCTTTATTGTATTGTTCAATTTGTTTCACAGGGCTTTGCTAAATGAAATGGAAACACAAATTTAAAAAATAAAAAGTTGTAATATGTCATTTTTTTGTTTTTTAAAAAATATTGCTGAATGAGATCTTTAGCACTGGGATATTAAATGAGTGTGCTGTAAAACATCACAATAATTATTCTGAAAATGTCCATGACATTTGTATAGCTACAATCAGTCCAATCCAAATAACTTTTTTGTACTAGCCATTGGCCATGACAAATCTGAATCAAAAATAAATACAAGCGAGAGGGGTGTTGCACCACAAATAATGGTCTCTGTTTAGATCTCTGCGTTTCCCTTACAGTTCACTGCTATATTGTCCAGGGTACAATCTGTGTGACATGCTGTGGTTTCTCATATATTAAAATTTCTGTTTTGAGAATTATGAAATGAGATACACTCATAAGAGAAGCAATTGATGGTGATTTATTTTACTGGATTACATTTAGGTGCCTATATTTTCTTTGTAAATATGATAGCCATAGTTGTACGTCCGTAAAACAAGAGTTGACATTTCCATCTCATCAAGGGTTTGGAAGCAGGAAAGGTTATAATAATGGTGTTCAGGTTTAAGAACGAGAATCACAAGAGCACAGTAAACAAAAGTTCAGAAGAAAAAATGGTATGTTGCCTGATGATCCTACATAAATTCAGCGGTAAGTACTACCAAATTTAATGAAATTTAATCCTACTTGCCTGGGAATAAATTCAACAGAATTTTCTTCCGCGTAGATATGCTTTGTTATTCCCTAGCAAAGAAGCACAGGATTCAGCCTCAGTAAATACTCAACCATTAAAAGCCAAATAAAAATAGTCAATAGAGGTCACATACATCTTCAAAGCACAAAACATACAGCCACATATGCACAGCATTCCTCCACAACGGTTATCTGTCCCCACACACCAAACACATCAGCCCTGAACAGCACACTCCAGCATTAAAATGAGATTGATACAGAGGATACTGATCACCAGCTCATCCCTTCTTCAAAAATACATATTCTGGAGCGGCTGCAAACAGTCCCACTCTTGCACTATTTGGGGTTTGAAATATGCAGCCTTACTGAGAAAAAAAGAAGGCACTCAAATGTATAATGAATGGGTACACATTTCAACCTTAATCGGCAATGAATTGCATGGAATTTGGTGGAATGCACACGATTATTATTATTATTACGGTACAGTCATACCTCGGGTTAAATTTCCCTCAAGTTGAGCGCATTCAAGTTGTGCTCCGCGGCAACCCGGAAATAACGGAGCGAGCATGACATCACGCGCATGCGCAGAAGCGACGAAAAGCGATGCGTGCGTGCGCAGACGTGCCATCACTAGATACGTTTACCTCTAGATGCGAACGGGGCTCCGGAACGGATCCTGTTCGTATCTAGAGGTACCACTGTAATAATAATAATTTGTATTGTCACCCAAGATATCGGACATACCATCCAGATGGAGCAATGGGAAAAATTGTGGAAGCAAGATAAAAGATTTATTGCTTGTTATACAATAGGAGAAAATCTTATGAAGATGATGTATAGGTGATATATGACTCCCTCTAAACTGGCTATGATCTACAAATTAAAAACAAACATTTGTTGGAGATGCAATATGGTAGAAGGAACGATGTACCACATATGGTAGGATGTGGGAAAATCAAAAAATTCTGGAGTAGTATTCACGAGGAACTGAAAAAGATGTTTAAAACATCATTTGAGAAAAAACCAGAAGCGTTCCTGTTAGGCATTGTATCAACAGACATCCAAAACAACAAGAAAAAAGTGTTTTTATATGCTACAGCTTCTGCCAGAATACAAATAGCCAAAAATTGGAAAGGGGACATTGTCCCATCAATAATGGGTTGGCAAAATAACCTACTGGTATGTGAATTTATAGAATAAAAACAGCTTATCAGATATCAATCCAAATAGAAACTAAGGAAAGAATGGGAATGCATGGAAGAATATATGACAAAACATCGTTCTAAAACAAATTTATTGATATGCATTGACAAAATTTCGTAAAGCTAAGATATTGACATACATTTTATGGAGAAAATACAAACAAAATACACAACAGAATAGAATAAGAAACAAAAACAAAAGAAGCTGTAAAGTGATGGAGGGAAGTCACAAAGGTAGGAATAAGGAAAATATATATACATATTTACATATGTTAAAATGTGTAATTGAATGTAATAATGTAAATAAAATTAAAAATATCACCAAAAAAGAGAGATCAGTCATAAGGTCAAGTCTACACCATACATGGTCCCCCCCCCCCACAAAAAAAAATTGTATTGTCACCATCAGCATATAATTTATTGTCGTAATAACGAAGCAGCAATATTCACTGCATGTGCACAGCCACCTCGCGACAGGAGCGATCGCAAAGCAAACCCGCGCGCGCATTCATCAGAAAGCGAAGCATGACTGCCGAAGGGCTGCGCTTACCGACTCAGATGCGCTGGGCGCCGCCAGGTGTTCAGGGCTTGCGAGTGCGGATGCTTTGCGGCGAAAAGAGCGCTTCATGGCCGCTGGGGGCGCTGCGGCAGCTTCCCGCGACAGAGCTTGCTGGGGCCTTGCGGTGCAACGAGGAGCAGCCGCGGCCGCGGAGCTGCTTCCAGCCGACGGGGAGGTCTTGGAACTCCTGCGCGGCGAAGAGTCCCGAGCTCGCCATGTGGGGCGTTCGAAGCGCGGCCGCTGCAGCCTTTGCCAGCAGCCGAGCGACTCCGCCTCCCGGGACGGCAGCCTGGTGGCGGCGGCCTCAGGACGGCGGCCTCGGCCTGCCTCCGCTGGGCTGCCCCGGCTGCCGGGCTCTGCGCTGCTCCGCCGCCCTCTGCGGCTCCAGGAACCAGCTCAAGAAGTTCCTCTCTAAAAAGAAGTGAGTAACGCACCCCCACCCCCCCAATAATAATAATAATAATAATGGACAGTCATTAGTTTGTAACACTTTCCTTATCTTTCTGAGTAAGGCAGACTTCTTTTGGGAAAGGATAAAGTCATAGAATTGTAGAGTCAGAAGGGACCGTGAGGGTGCAACCCCCCTGCAATGCAGGAATAAGGTAAAGGGTAAAGGGACCCCTGACCATTAGGTCCAGTCGTGGACGACTCTGGGGTTGCGGCGCTCATCTCGCTTTATTGGCGGAGGGAGCCGGCGTACAGCTTCCGGGTCATGTGGCCAGCATGACTAAGTCACTTCTGGCGAACCAGAACAGCGCACGGAAAAGCCGTTTACCTTCCCGCTGGAGCGGTACCTATTTATCTACTTGCACTTTGACGTGCTTTCGAACTGCTAGGTTGGCAGGAGCTGGGACCGAGCAACGGGAGCTCACCCCGTCACGGGGATTTGAACTGCCGACCTTCTGATCGGCAAGTCCTAGGCTCTGTGGTTTAACCCACAGCGCCACCCGCAAGTATTCCCAATGCAGGAATACTTTTGCTCAACAGGGGCTCGAACCCACGACCCTGAGATTAAGAGCCGGGTGCTGTACCAGCAGAGCTCTCACTGCTATTCACTAGGTCCTGTGCAGAGTATCAATGACACTTGCTGCCCAGGAAGCTCATAAACTGCAATTAATTGTTTTTCTGATCCTACCCACCCCCCTTAAGGAGGGGATTGGGGCCCTCCTTTAGCACTTTCCACTGATTAATATTGTTATGAGTTGGTGGGGGGTGGCAGGGAAGTAGAATGTATGTGAAATCCTTCTAACCCCTGGATCCAGTAAGTGTTAAGATTATAAACCAGGCTATTGTTGTTTTTGTTGTTGCTGTTGTTGTTCCTGTTTCAATTTATATAGTGCCCTTTATCAAAAGGTCTCAGAGTGGTGTACAGCATTAGAAATACATTACGAAATATCAAAAACATAGTAAAAAGCATGCTGACAGACAGCCTGATAGTAAAATCATCCATCATAATAACAGTCCTCTCCCCCACACTTTTGCAGGCCCTCGATTATTTAAAAGCCATAGGCTTGGGTAAGGAGGAATGTTTTTGCCTGGCATCCTAAAGACATGTAATGAGGTCGCCAATTGAGCCTCTCTGGGGAGAGCATTTCACAAATGGGTAGCCGCCACAGAAAAGGCCCTTTCTCTTGTTGCCACTCTCTGAACCTGTCTGGAAGCGGGACATAGAGAAGGGCCTCAGATGCATCTGCCCAGGGCCATCTTTAGCAGATGCAGCGCTGGGGTGCAAATATCCGCTCAGTGCTCCCATATTACCACAGATGGGGGGAGGCGAAGCTGCGCCCTGCCAGCCATGGGGTGTGTGTGTGCAACTGTCCCCCATGCCGCTGCAGGAGAGCAATCCCCGCAGAGGCTTGGGAGGCAAGCTGCGCATGCGCCAGCCATATAGTTGGTGAGGCGCAGCTGGCAGGTGTGCAGGGAAAGGGGAGGCCGCCAGCAAAGCCGCGCAGCTCCCCCACTTGCTGGGGCACCCCTGAGAGGCCAGCGCCCTGGCGCAACGAACCACTAAGCCATATGGGAAAGACGGGTCTGCATCTGCCTCTCCTAGAATAGTGCTGCTGTATTTTGACATATGTTTGATACATTATTGCTCATGTTAAATCCATAAAACTCATATAGTCTCTCTCTTTTTTTCGAAAGGAAGAAGTTTTGGTATGATAGTCCTGCACTGGGCTCTTCCCTGGTAAGCACAGACAGATTTTTAAATTGGAAAGACAACTACGATGGAAAAGTAGATCATGCTTGATGCACAAGATATTCCTCTCAGCAATCTTTTTTTGTTTTAAAGGCACACAAGCCATCCAACTTGGCAAGTATATTAAAGCTTCGTCCACCAAAAGTGAAGACAGAAGACAGCATACGTAAAAGAGCCCTAAATGTTCTTCTGCTTAAAGCCGTGAGAGATGTCCTGAGTACCTTTGAGGCTGGCCAAGAAGTTTATGACCTCAACGTGGAACTGTCTAAGGCAAGTACAAAAGGCGTCAATCCAGCAAAGTCCCTAATATAAAGTTGTGAGATCAGAAATGTAATGGGAGTGTCAAAGCCCAGTCATGAAACCTGTTCTATAGATTTCATGATGGTTGTTGAAGTCTGACCAAAGAACTGTAACAGAATTGGAAAAGGGCCTGTAGTCCAACCCTTGGTTAATGCAGGATATTCATCACTCCCTGTCGAAAGTCGGGCATAAGTAGAAAAAGTTGGATATGGGAAGTGAACAGCTAGATACACACGTATTGTTGTCAGGAATTGCTTTGCTTAGGTAATAGTAATCCTCTTCTTGAACCTCTTGAATGTAATGGGATTATTGTCACTGCCCTCTTCCAAGCTTAGAGTTCTTCACCATGTAAAATGTGCCCTTACAACTGGCATTTTGAACTCCATAGGCGTCCCTCACATCAGATTTTTCAGTATGTCGTATCTACTGGAAGACTACTGGCAGTGTGGAACATGATGACTACATTGAGAAGGTTCTACAGAAGAGTGGTCCACGTATAAGGTACTACAGTGTTGTATCCAGAGGAGGGTGAATGTCCTTGTCTAGAGGCCATATTGGCAACTTTAAAAGGGCACGTTGAGTGTTGGACTTAAGAATATGTGGTCAGTTGACTGGTTTATTATTTGGCTGTGGTCAAATTTCCAAAATCTAAAATGCCACTATGTAGGTGGTATAAAAACTTTGTCTAACACTGTAAAGATGGTGATTCATCTTTAAAAAGTGCTTCTGTGATTAGCATAAATATTAAACCTGTTCACAATTCAAGCATCTCTTTAACTAACACGTTAAAAATAGTTTGCCAATATATCATTGTCTAACTCAGGCATGGCCAAACTTGGCCCTCCAGCTGTTTTGGGACTACAATTCCACAATTCCCATCATTCCTGACCACTAGTCCTGTTAGCTAGGGATGATGGGAGTTGGTAGTCCCAAAACAGCTGGAGAGCCAAGTTTGGCCATTCCTGGTCTAACGGTGTTTTTGTTACTCAAATGCCCAACTTTAGCTTGCTTATGTTACACCGTTAGGCTCGCAAACACCTTCAGCACATGCGGAAACATGTATGTACTGTTTTCCTTCAGTTACATTCTTATGCAACATGCACAGACAGATATGCATGCTTGCTCATGTGCACACAAACAAATACACTTCCATGCAAGTGTTCAAAATAACATTTTTGTGTATACGCAGAGCAGTCCATGTTACTTTTCAAATACACACATACAAAAGACGTTTCTGCTTCCCTTCATTGGTACCTACTTGACTGGGATCTGCAAGAATCTGCTCTAGAAGAGGAAGCTGTTCTGCTGAATAAACAGGAAAGAGTGGCTTGTTTCCTGTGCATCACTCTCACTTTGCAGGAAATCCCCGCAAGGGTACAGTTAGCTGACATGGCCCTGTGGAATGGGGTTTGCCACAAAAGTTGGGTGGGCCTACTTCACACTTTGAAAACTGAATAATTTTCCAATAGAGTAATTAGAAGATGTTACAGTGCTTCATTTTTTTCATTCTATGTTTGTTTTTTGATTTTCATTTTCTCCACTTAACAAAATTGTAGCTGATTTTAATATTAGAGATTTCTCCTTCCTTCCTTTTTTTTACAGACACCTTCTGATTTCACATCAGGTCCTAGGAACTGTTCCTTCATTAGTGTTTGTCAGAGACAAAGAAGATGCTGCTATAAGAGAGGTAAGGAAGAAATTGCATAACTGTATTGTTAATATGCATTGTCAGGATAATTGCATCATGGAGATGGGATGCTGCTCCCATCCCTCCCCCATCCCACTGCCACAAAAACCAGGAAAAGCCATTTTGGGATGCATTCGTAGCAACTTGTTAACAGAAATATCCTATTGCACTAGGCTGATCCAGGGTGGGGTCCATTTTTCAGTCTAAAGGCCACATTCCCTCATGAGCAACTTGCTGGGTGGACAGGAGTCACATGCCAGCAGTGAGCAGTGTGAAGGGGTGTGGCCAGTGGCAAAAATGGTAAAATCAATGGGTACGACACTTATCTGTGTACAGTATGCTACATTCCAATTGTGCATGTCAGAATTTTCTACACATGCATCCATCCAAGCAACTGAAAGGCATTATCACATTTCAGGAGCATATCATTTGCACAACACATTAAGCCAAACTATGGCTTACTGGAAGTGCACAAACATGCAAGCTCCTGGAGATGAGCTTGCAGCCATTTTGCTCCTTCTCGGTCCTTTTTTGCTCTCATACCGCACCAAGCTAAGTCAAGGATTTGACATAGTTTGTCATTCAGACCCAGACCTGTGATTAAACTGTCTCACTAACCACTAGCTGTAGGCAAGGTTTGTTCCTTTTTCAGAATCCACACCAGGCTTCCTCAGCCTCGGCCCTCCAGATGTTTTCGGCCTACAACTCTCATGATCCCTAGCTAGCAGGACCAGGGGTCAGGGATGATGGGAATTGTAGTCTCAAAACATCTGGAGGGCCGAGGTTGAGGAAGCCTGATCCACACAGTAAACCCTAGATTGACTTACCATGATGCCATGTGTACCGGACCACTTGCACGGTAACGAGGGCTTACAACTTATTTAACTTCTTGATTGTGCAAAGAAACGGCCCTATTTCTGGATATCTTAAATGCATGTGAATTTATTTTCTTGCAGATTGAGAAGTTATTGGCAACTGCTGATTTTGGGCCTGAAGAAGAAGAAGGAAAGGAATCGGTTCAAAATGATTTCAGGTATAAAATCATAAACACAAATGTAACGCTTTGGAAAAACTAGTTAAAATATTTTAAGATGCGTTTTCAGGCTACTGTTGGTTTGGTTAAGAGTTGTGTGCCTGTGGTGGGTGAAAGACCACCTCCTTCCTTCCTACTGTAGTCTCAGTGTTCCCTTCCTACAGTGCAGTATCTGTCTCTCTAATTGAGGGACCCTCCAGAACATTGTGGGCTGCAGTGGGTGGGGGGAAATCAGCAAAAATTCGGCAAAGGGACAAGTATCACATACAGTTAGGGCTACAGTTCTTACTTTTTCATCCCTTTCTTGCAGTGAACAACGATACACCAAAGCCACCACATACCTGGACTCGTCCCTTTCCTGCATGCGTGATAATCTGTTTGGAATTGATCATGATGCATTAAATAAGCAAATAATTGAATACAAAAAAATGACTAAGGACAAGGAAATAGAAGGAGTTGGATTGTCAGAGCAGCAGAAGCAACAGCTGGCTGAGATACAAAAGCGCAAGAAAGTGAGATGGAAGAAACCCAAGAAACCTTTTGATGATGGAATGACACCTCAGAAATACCTAATGGACAAATACAGTGAAGATGATTGGGACAGTGACACTGCGTCCTCACATGAACTGGAAAATGAACTGGAGGATGAATTGAAGGAAATAGAAGATAGACTGGAAGTAGATAACAGTACCACCGAGCACAAGTAAACTTGTAAAACAAAACTATGGCTTACCTGAGAGCAAACCCCATTAACCTCAGTCGAATTTATTTCTAAGTAGGTATATACACGAGTTTAAAATAAGGATTTTGCTTTTCACCATTAAAACAGCATATAGAGGAGGAAAACCAAAAAATTTCATAGAATATTTTTTAAAAACCTGGTTTCAAACTGTTTTTATTAAACAATTGGACAATTCTTCTCAGCTGTTCAATTTCATTTACACAATAACTTACATTTGAACAACTTTGACAGTACCAAACTATCTTCATTATAATTTGTATCACTGGAACTTAATTGGTATCCCAGTAATAACCATGTTTACCATTGACAGGGTCAATCTTCTATCACCTTTTTTCCAGCAATCTTTACAACAGCACTATGAGGTCAGCTAGTAAGAGTACCCCCACATTATAAGACAAGATGACACTTAATGTTAGTAGTTTTCTTACAGCCACCCACTGAGATGTGTTGCGATTAGGAAGAAATACCTGGCTAATGCTCTTAACTGTTTTCCTATACTAAGTCCAGATCCTATGACCGGGTTAGTAGACATGAGATTCTGCAACGCTGGCAGTATCTCTAATGAGAGACAGAACAGTGGCTCCAATAATTTTACTAAGAAAGTGGTCTGTGGGTGATAACTGTGGCAATGGATTGATGGATATTACTGTGGCTCCTTCCATAATTCTCTTCCCCAAAGCAGCCATATCAGAAGTGGTCCCAAGATAAAGACAGTAACCTTGTTATCCAGCAAGTTGACAGGTAAGCCATGCAGCTGTGTGTAGGCTGGAGGAGAAGGGATAGATCTGGCAAAGTTACTACTAGTACTACTACTACTACTACTATTACTTCTATTCCACCTTGCCATCAACAACTTCAATGTGGTATACTGTACTAGCTTCTTTCTCTCCCCATTTTATCCTTCTAATGGCCTTGTGAGGGCAGGGAGTGAGATGATGAATGGCCCATGGTCACCCACCGAGTTTCATGGCTTAAGTGAAGGTTTGAACACGGGTCTCCCAGACCCTAGTCTCAACAAAATTGCCAGCACCCTTGAGGCCCCAGGGCCCATTTGTAAACCAGAGAAACTCATGGGCACCACACACATCATAACATGTTGACTAAAGCAGAATGCATCTTCCATGCCTAATTTTAGAAGGGGGGAAAGGAACTTGTGAACATCAGGTAAGGTCTCTGGGCACACCTGTGTCCATTGGCAACACCTGCTCTAATCGTACCACACTGGCTCTGAATAATGGCCTGCTGTTTTCCCATAGTTAAAACTATGGAATTTGTTACTGCAAGATGTGACAGCTGCCTCCTTAAATGGCTTTAAAAGTGGATTAGAAAAAATCATGGATAATAAGGCTATCAATGACTACTATTTGTGATCGCTGTGTAGCACTTCAGGTATCAGAGGCTGTAACGGCATTGAATGCCAGTTATTGGTGGGTAGGGAGACGATATTTATTTGGGCTCATGCCTGCCTGCAAGCTTCCCATAGGCTTCTTGGTGGCTGGCCACTAGGAAACTACAGTTAGAACGGGACTACAGCCTGATCTAGCTCGGCTTTTCTTATTTTGTAGGCACTGAACACATCGTACATTTAAAGCACCAGCGCCGCCCCCAAGAATCCTGGGAAATGTAGCTTCCCCCATCAGAGCTACAATTCCCAGTTTTCTTGACAAACTATAGTTCCTAGGCTTCTTTTGAGGGGAATATGTGCTTCAGATATATGGTTTTTAGGTTTTTTAAAGCCCACTTAAGAACATTAGCATTAACATTGGTTGCCAGCTAGCAGAGGAACAGCAGCGTTCTCTTACAACCACTTACTTGGGATTAAGCCTCAATGAACTAAATTGACTTATTTCTGAATAGGCATCCGCAGGATTGTGCTTTAGCCCTGCTGACCTCTTGTCAGGAGTCCATGGCACCTTACAGGCAAATACTTTTCATTGTGCTGTGAATTCTTACCCAATAACCTTTCTCCCTCAAAAGCTTTGAAAGAGTGAACACTTATAAAACAGAAGCTGGGCCAAAAATTCGTGTTTTCGCCTATGGATTTTAATGCATGTTCTCCCAGTTTTATCTCATGCCAAAGATTCTGCATGGCTAATTTTGTATCCACTAACCGAGCAGCACTGCGACGAGTAGAACAAGGAAGTGTCTCTAACCTGCCGCTTTAGGAGCGAACATCAAAGCCAGCCCAGTAAGTCCCTTTGAGGTGGCGGCGCTCAGGCTGCCATTGGCCGAAGAGGGTGTGACGTATTCTAAATCGCCGGGGTCGGCGCGCCATCTGATGGTTCTAACGAGTTTGCATCGGTGACCCACGTGCTTGTTGGACAGAAGCGGCTGCTAAGGAGGTGGGGATACGGGAAAGTTTCTTTATTTTGTGGGGGCGGGAAGACTTCTATAATGGCGCCAAATTTCCAGAGAGTTACTGTGTGTGTGTGTTGTGATTCCCAAAATGCAGGTGGATTCCATATATTCATTCCCCCAACCGGGACGCGGTGGGGGGGAGCCATCCCCACGTGCGTTTCAAGCCCTAGGTGGTCGGATTCCAGAAGCACCCCTCCAGGTTGTTTCCTGCTCCCGTGCATCCGGCGCGGTGGCTGAATCCTTTCGCTTAAAATCCGAATCGGTTTCCAACCGACTTCTTTTGTAGGCTGCTGGCGATAGTTTGGAGATAAGCAGAGGGTTGGAGTCGAGCTGGGAAGGAGGTAACGCGCAGGCGACCACAACGGGCGGGCAAGCTGCCGGGTGAGTCGGCCGCTTGGGCGCCAAGATCCACGCTTGGGGAGTAAACGGCGGGCTTTGTTATGCGTGCAACGCCCTGGGGATGGGGAGCGGGGTTTGGAATGGCTGGGCGCTGCATGCTTTGGAAGTGGGTGCAGCTTTTGAACGCATAACTGCTTTGAAAAGAGCGCGGTCTGATCTGGCACTGCACGTTAGGAGCTGCTCTCCTGCACCGATCCTAGATGTGCACGAGTTTCTCGCTTTTGCTCCCTTATCCTCGCTTTCCCCAGTGCTCTTCCGGCGTTTGCCGGAGCAGCTGACCCCCTCCCCCGCCCCGCCTACCCCTGGGGTCGAGCAATACGCAAGGGCGGTAGTAGTAGCCTTTCTAAAACTGGGAGGGGAGTGCGGCGCTGCGGGTCGTTGCGTTTTTACAAGTTCGCGAGAGATCAGAAGCGTGGAGCCGACAGTCAGTTTCCCCGCTGACCTCCGGATGAAAATGGGTGCTGTGCTTCTTTACGCCTGAACGGAAGGAGCATCTATCTACCTACTCCAAGTCAGCACGTGAGGTGTCCAAGCTAAAGGAACCCCATTAAAGGCGTTTGTGGATCGCGCAGCCTGATCTCACGAATGTTTAATGGGATCGGAGATCCGCCCTGCACCGTGAGGCTTACACCGAAGTAAGCCCATTGGACCCGTTTCTGATGACCCTTTGCATGTTTATGCAGAAGTCCCCTTCAATTTAGTGAGATTCTCCAAGTAAGCCTGTTTAGGGCTGCGCATCAGAGTGCCGTTCTATGCATGCCTGTTCCCAATGCATCCCATGGGATTTACTTTTACCTGCGTGGCACAATGGACTGCAGCTTTACTTCTTGATCCTAGGCATGTTTACGTGGGCGTCCCACTGAATTCAGCTGGGCTTACTCCAAGAAAAGTTTCATTGGATTATGTAGCCAAATCCTATACATGTTTACTTAGAAGTTCAACGAGTTTCCAAGTAAATTCTGAGTTTGTCCAGAAGATCAAGGGCAAACCTAAACATGTTTATCAGCAGTAGGTCCCGCTGTCATGTCTTACCCAAATGATAAGCAAAAGGAAAACAATAAATTGAAAATTTCATATCTGAGTTCTTGTGCAACTTTAATGTTCACTCTTTCACTCCTACTAAGCTTAAATGTGACCATAACCGGCTTACATTGTACATTTATACCTCCAGACATAGTTCCATTGTGGGTGGGCTTGTGACTGTCTAGGTTTCGTTAATTAAACATGCCTGACGTTAGTTTTCCCTTTGTAGGCGTGCAAAATGGCAGAAAGACCTATTTGGGAGCAAATTGGAACAAGTTTTATACAACTGTATTACCAGCAGTTTGATACCAACAGGGAACAACTAGCTTCACTTTATGTATGTACCAACTTACCTTTGTTTAGACTGCTTTCTCATTGGTCCTGGGTTATTGACTTGGCATCTTTGCTAAAGCAGCAAAAGTTAAGATGTGGTTGAGGGGCCTAACCAAAACTTGGGTCTGTCGTTGTTGTTTGTGTTTGTTAATAACAAAATACTGTAAATTTTAGATCCCAGGCAGCTTCCTTTTATTCCTATCGGTAGTTGAAGGTAGAGTCTTGTGACTGAAGTTTTCCAAATATTTTAGGCATAATAGTGTGTTTTCTTATCGGTCACAGTGTTGCCCCCTTCCAATGTGAAGTGCTTGCAGTTTGAGCCAAGGACCCAGAAAATACTGCCATAGGCTTTGCCAAACTTTGGGGGGGGGGGGCGGGTTGCAGACAATTGTGGGAAGCTGAGTAGGATGAGGAGTGGAGCTCCCTGAAGGCATCTTGCCTAGGGGTTGAACCTGTGTACTTTGCTTTCCTTTGGTCTTTTTAATGTATAATTTTAGTAATGTATACCTTTTTGCAGACAGATGCTTCTTGTTTATCATGGGAAGGGCAGCAATACCAAGGAAAAGCATCAATCATGGAAAAATTGCTGGTATGTTCCTACTTAAAATCAGTAGTTCATAGAATCGTAGCGTTGGGAGCGATCCAAGGGTCATCTAGTCCAACCCCCTGCAAGACTAGCTTGCTGCCTGTTGTGTACGTGTTTTAAAATAATTAAATCCAATAGTTTAACCGAGGAACTGAAAGGAGAGCACTGATTGACTTGCTCTGTTTCTCATGTGGTTTGCATGTTGCTAGTATTCTGTATCTAGTAAGCTAGGCAGGTCTAACACTTGTTCTCTTTATGGTACTAGAGACTCCCTTTCCAAAAAATTCAGCACAACATAACATCCCAAGATCACCAGCCAGCTCCTGACAACTGTATCCTTAGTATGGTTGTTGGTCAGCTGAAGGTAAGTTTAATTGCATCTTTGGCATGTGCAAAGCATTTAAATCTTTAGCTACCTCAGTGTTAAAGCTGAAACATTAAAGCGTCCGAACAGAATTTTATTCATTTAAAATATCATAAACCGAGCAATAAAAATGGAAAGTGTGTGTGTTAGATGCTATACAATACATCTGCCACATAAAATGAAACAGAAGGTACAATGTAATCAAAATGACATACTGTAAGATTTCACTGATTTATCTTTTCACCGAAATCAGCGAGGCATAAAAAGGGCTTAAATCTGGTTGGATTTTGCTTTATTATGTTTAAGATGTACTATGGGGCTTCTGTTTACATGATTGCCATATTTATACAGAATCTAAAATGTCATCTTCTCTTAATGTAGGTGGATGATGATCCAGTGATGGGATTTCACCAGTTGTTTGTTCTCAAGAACATTAATGACAAATGGATCTGTTCCAATGACATATTTAGGTTGGCTCTGTACAACTTTGCTTGAAATCTCTGTTCTCAAGCATGCCTTTGAGATCGTTCATCTCAAAAAAAAAAATTGTAAACAAAAATTGGTTTTAAAATTGCTTGTATTCTTCTTCATTCTTTTGCTTGGTGATTGAAAGAATATGTATATTCTGTTTTAAATGTTAAGCAAACTCATTAGGATGATCACTTCCTCTGATATACCTGTACTTCGCTCCTGCACATCCGTCACATAAAACATTGTGTATATAAAGTACTGTAAGAATGCTCTGCTTGTCTATTTTAATTGCATTAAACATGTTGAAACTTGCATAAAGGATCACTTTTAAAATTGCTCTGAAATTCAGCTTTGAAGTAACCACAAGAAGTCCTGTTAGTGGACATGAGGGAATAACCATTTTTCTTAAATGCATTTCCTTAAAAGACTACATATTTTATACCCTCATGTTATTTGTTGATATGATGGCATGAACTCTGGGTGAATTTGTAGTGCTAAGTTTGCATTTTGAATATATTGTTTGCATGAAGTCTGAGGTGGCTGGAGCTGTTCATTATTATGGCAAGACAAGCCCCATGTATGTACCATTGTGCTGCCCCGTGTTTATGGAATTTGTTACGGCTAAAGATTTATCAGATATGAGAATTTGCCCATTCATATGGACAATTAAAGCTTTTCTTTTCAAGCAGGATTTAACCTCTCAAGTAGAATTGAGCTGTATTGAATATTTGGTTTATGTTGACTATATTGAGCTCACTATGAACACTTCCCTTATTCTCTTATAATGGCAATGGCACCTACTTGAGAGGTGACGGAACTGAATTCTGGCTGGAAAAAAACCTCTGGACAGTCGTCTTCAGCAGAGGCATTCTTAATGGTCTGAATAGGGGCGCTGTGGGAGGAAGAACTGAAAAAGAAGCTCCACCAGTTTAGGAGCTCTGCTGTCCTGACAACTTGCCCTGACTTGGTGTGAATAAAATAGAGCTCATCAAATGGATCATCCAGAGAACTTCTGTTAACCAGAACCAGAGAACTGCCCTTATAGGTATTCTCATTGCCACCTTTCTTTCCTTTGTAGGCCTGGCACAATTTGGATATACCTGGCTGGACAAAAAAAAAGTCAGGCACCCAATCTTTAAGGCTGTCAGTGGCTACTAGCCAGCATGGCTATGATCCATCTCCCCATCACAGGGAGGTGGATCATACCAGTTGAATACCAGTTGCTTGGGAACACTGGCATGATTCTCAGCTTGGCAGACACATACCTGCACTAATTCTTCAGGCCAATCTAGATGTTCAGGACAACGCTTTGCTCTTATTTGCCGCAACTCCATAAACTTAAGCAATTGGTTCCCTGTCCAGTTTATTTGTGGCATTGGAACCAGCGTGTGCAGAAAGAGCTTAAAAACAATAGAATGCTGCAAAGTGTGCCGGGGGAAGAAACTAGGTTTTCCCACTTTTCATTTTGATTTTTGTATAACATTTATACCCCGCTTTTCGATCACATGATCAAGGCAGCTCACCATAGATTGTAATAGTAAACACACATATACACACGGTCCAATAGTTCGTGGTTAGGGAACCTCCAGTCTGCAGGCTAAATTTGACCTGGCATGGGTCCCAACTTCATTCGCAAAGTTTTTTTCCTCAAACCACACCCACTTCCCCCCCTCCTGATGGTATATGTGACTGCCTCTCCCCATATCAACAAAACTGGGCCCTTGGATCATCATATGAGGTGATCATCACGAGGTCCAAAGGGCAGCAACCTGAGAACGGGCCTTTTCTGTGCTGGCTCCCCAGGGAGCCTCCTTGGCACATTCATTACCTATCTTTAGGCAGCAGGCAAAAATATTCCTCTTCTCCCAGGCCTTTGACAAATTAAACGGTCTATTACCTTTGAAACTGAGATGGGGGGGTTATTGTTTTTGTTTGTTACTGTGGTTAAGTATTTTTGTGTTTTTATATTGTGAACCATCCTGTGATCCTCAGATGAAGGGAGGAAATCTAATAAAGAAACAATATAATAAGATGAATAGGAGGCTGGTAGAGATGTCGCTTGATGAGCTGTGCAGCTGAGTCCCCCATGAGGAACTTGATTGCTTGTGCTGCCAATTCCTGCCTGAAAAAAGCAGGGTTGAAGTCACCCCGCTATCAGATGATGGGCAGTGACCAAGCCTACTGATCAGCAGTGCTTCAAAGCACCATGCAGGACTGCTTGTAATCCTTCAGTAGTGCTTTGAAGTCCCAGCATCTCTGCGGTCTCAGGTGATTGGCAGGTTGGCTGCACTGCCCACATGTCAAACTTGGTACACAGGAGGGTAGGGGAGCTAAGGAGCAACTGGCCCCACCAGCCAGATCAGGTCCCCGATCCCTGCCTTGGCTAATGGAGGAGGCCAGAGGATGTTTCCCTTCAGCTCTGAAGCCCCAGGGCAACTGGCAGTGGTAAAGATTCTTTCTGGCAGGGACTGGGGATGCAAACTCCCTGCAACTGCTGCATCCCTGGCTAATGGATAAAGCCAGGCTGGTCTTGCTGCAACATTGTTCCTGGGAGACACAGAGTGCAATTAAAGGAGCAGCAGCCCATACTTTTCTTTTCCATGAAGGTAATTCCTAATCTAGCCGCCGCTCTGAGATGGGAGCTTTTTTTCAGTAATGGATATCTTGGTATTGAATGTTTATGCTGGCTGTTGCTTGTAATGTGCAAAGACAGACTCATCAGGTTTCGCGTTTGATGTGGTGGAAGTCAGTGTGATGTGCTTCTACCAAGAGGGGGAGGAGGAACCTGTCAAGGGCTGCCTGACCCAGGGAATGGGGATCACACTGTCGCTGACGGTGTGCCGGCAGCAGACAGACCCAAATGCCAAAGTCAGCTGTCTCCCATTTTTTCCTTCCATCCACACAACATTAGGCCAAGGCCAGCAGGTTGCCTATAACGTTTTACAATATCAAGTTTAGATAGTGAACTCTTCATTTACTAAAGAGTCATAAAACTATCAAAGGCTGCTAGCTATGATGTTTATGACCTGTCTTTGTTGTCAGGATGCAGTAGGCCTCTGAATACCAGCTGTTGAGAATCACAGGAGAGCTCTGCTGTGCCCAAGTTCTGCTTGCAAGCTTCCCTTGAGCACCTGCCTAACGGGGGGCTGGACTATATGGGTCTTTGGCCTGGCCCAGTAGTTTCTTTTTATGTTCTTTCAAGCTTAATGGTAGAGCAACTGCTTTGCACACCAAAGGTCCAGTCCTGACATCTCCATGAAGGGATGGACAGACTCCTGTCTGAAACCCTGAAGCGGTATTTCAAATCAATAGAAGTAGCTAGATGACCGATTTAGTATAAGGGAGACTATTAAGTGCCACCTGTTGCAAGTACAGTCATACCTCGGGTTACAGACGCTTCAGGTTGCACGTTTTCGGGATACGGATGCGCCAAAACCCAGAAGTACCGGAACGGGTTACTTCTGGGTTTTGGTGCATGTGCAGAAGCGCCAAATCGCAACCCGGCACTGTGGGTTGCGGACGTGCGCAGGATCACGTTCACAACCCGAGCATCCACTGTGTGTGAAAAGGATTGATTGAGGGTTCTTAGTAGACCACAAGCTTAGCATGCGTCAACAGTGTGATGCAGGAGCAAAAAAATTGAATGTTATTCTAGGCAGCATCAACATAAGTCTAGAGTCCTACAGCACCTGGAGTACTGTGTCCAGTTCTGGGTGCCACAATTTAAGGATATTGACAAGCTGGAATGTGTGCAGAGGAGGGTGGCCAAGATCAAGGGTCTGGAAACCAAGCCATATGGGGAACGGTTGCGGGAACTGGGTATGTTTCGCCTGGTAAAGGGGATTGAGAGGAGAGATGATAGCCATCTTCAGATATCTAAAGGGCTGCCATGTAAGATGAAGCAAGCTTGTTTTCTTCTGCTCTGGAGGATAGGACCTGAACCGATGGATTCAAGTTACAAGAAAGGAGATTCCGATTAAACATCAAGAACTTTCTGAGAGTAAGAGCTGTTCGACAGTGGAACAGACTCCCATGAGAGGTGGCAGACTCCTTCCTTGGAGGTTTGGATGGCTATCTGTCTTGTATGATCTAGTTGAGATTTTTGCATTGCAGGGGATTGGACTAGATGACCCCTGGGGTCTCTTCCAACTCTACAATTCTATGATACTATGATTTATGTTAAGCATTTAAAATGCACTTTTTGCGCCGATGAATTCTCAAAGCAAAAAACATCCAAAGAAAAATACAAAAATAAATCAGCATTATTATGGTACCAGCAAGGAGAATAATACAATGAACTACAGCTCAGTTATACTTAATTGTCCATATGAATGGGCTAAGTTCTCATATCTGATGAATCTTCAGTCGTAACAAATTCCATAAACATGGGGCAGCAAGAGAGAACATTCTTTTAGTTGTCAAGGACAACCTAGTTTTTCAAAGCAGCAGCACCTTCAGCAGAGATTAATTACTGGACCTTGATCATGGAGATACATATGGAAGTAGGCATGCCATCAAGCAAACAGAAATTACACTCTATAGGGCTTCAAATGTAAGAACTGCTGGTGCTGTGAAAGTAGCCCCAAACAGATTGGAAACCAGTGGAACACGTGTAGTATTAATGCTCCTGGTGGCTACCACTCTTCACCAGACTTGTTGACACATTTTTGCCGAACCGAACTTTTAGAAGTGCTTTCATGGGGTGTCCTCCGTGGAGCACAGTAGCATAGTCCAATCAAGAGGTCACCAGGGCATGCAGTTGCAAGGTCTCTCTTTTCAGAAAAGCATAGAACTGATAGATGCAAGCTTAGCCACAGCCTTCACCTGAGAAAGCAGGAACCCTGTATTCAAGGCTTCCTTCCAACCTGTGAACTTGTTCTTTCAGTGGGAGTGTGATTCCATACAGGACAGACCATTCTACCACTTCTTTGACTTTAGAACCATCCATTGTTAGTATCTGCAACTTCTCTGGAGTACATTTCACTGTGTTTACTTTGGTCTAGTCTGCTTCTGACACCAACCAGATGTTCAAGGAAGACATCTGGTTCAGATGGAAAGGAGAAAGAGAGCTTGGTGTTGTTAGCATTACAAGGACAACCCACTCCAGATTGCCTCTGCTAGTAGTTTCATGAACATATAAGCATGGGAGGCAGAGTAGATCCCTGTAGGACACCGTGAACAAGGTTCATTGGGAAAGAATGTCTTCCCATCATCGCTTTCTGGAATCTTCTGATCAGGTAGGAGCTGCATGACTGCAAAATAGTGCCCTCCAATGCCCAACACATGTCAGACAGAAGAATACCATCATCAGTGGTATCAAAACCATCTAAGAAGTCCAGGAGAATTAGTAGGGTCATACTCCTGTTTTTCTGCTGACAAAGGTCATCAACCCTGACAAGCAAGGCAGTCTCAGTTGGAAATACAACCCTTTCCTACTGTCGTCATGCTTTGTTTTCAAGTGTTTGAAAAGGTTCTTTGCCACTCTCTGAATCAAGCTCAGGTGTTTAGTCCTTATTTAAAGATGCCCAGTTCTCATCCCCAACTACAGTCTATATTATTGTAGTAGCACAGTGGACGCTCGGGTTGCGAACGTGATCCGTGCGGGAAGCATGTTCGCAACCCGCAGCGTCTGCAACCCGCAGGACCGCGTCTGCGCATGCGCGGGTTGCGATTCGGTGCTTCTGTGCAGGCACAAAGTGTGATTTAGTGCTTCTGCACGAGCGCCGAAACCCGGAAGTAACCTGTTCCAGTACTTCCGGGTTTCAGCATGTCCGTATCCCGAAAACGTGCAACCTGAAGCGTCTGTAACCTGAGGTATGACTGTAGTAGTAGTTTAGGGAAGCTTTTAATGTTTAATAGGTTATTGTATTTTAGTGTTTTGTTGGAAGCCGCCCAGAGTGGCTGGGGAAACCCAGCCAGATGAGCAGGGTATAAATAATAAAATTATTATTATTATTATTATTATTATTATTATTATTATTATAGTAACAATACCCTGCCCATCTGACTGGGTTGCCCCGGCCACTCTGTGTGGCTTCCAACAAATATAAAAGCATAATAAAACATCAAACTTTAAAAGCATCCCTATACAGGGCTGCCTTCATATGTCTCCTAAAAGTTGTATACTGTAGTTATTTATCTCTTTGACATCTGATGGGAGGGCATTCTACAGGGTAGGCACCATTACTCAGAAGGCCTTCTGCCTTGGTTCCCCGTAACTTCACTTCTCGCAGTGAAGAAACCGTCAAAAAGCCCTTGGAATTGGACCTCAGTGTCTAGGCTGTATGATGTGGGTGGAGACGCTCCTTCAGGTATACTGGGTCGAGGCTTTTTAGGGCTTTAAATGTTAGCACCAACACTTTGAATTGTGTTTGGAAATGTACTGGGAGTCAGTGTAGATCCATTAGGACCAGTGCTATATGGTCTTGGTGGCCGCTCCCAGTCACCAGTCTAGCTCCCACATTCCGGATAAGTTGCAGTTTCCAAGTCACTTTCAAAGGTAGCCCCACGTTGAGTGCATTGCAGAAGTCAAGTGGGAGATAACCAGAGCATGTACCACCCTGGCGAGACACTGCACAGGCAGGTAGGGTCTCAGTCTGTTCCAAATGATCTCTTTGAAGCGTGGAAGCTGTTTCTGCATGGGCTGATCCTGCATCTCTTTAACAACGTGTGTAAACAATAGCACATGAATGGGAAATAACAGGAGTTTCATGGGAAGTAACCTATACAGGTAGTTCAGTGTTCCATGTTCCAAACAGCACCAAGTGTACTATTGCCAAGGTATAGTCAAAGTGATATTGTTGACCATCATCCATGACCATCCTTGGCTGAGATTGATGGGAGCCCAACACCACATGGAGAGCCCCATGTTGGCTACCTCTTCTGTTGCCTATATGTTTAATTACAATGGAACTTGCTTACCTCTTGCCATTTGTATTATCACAATACTGACACCATATTTCAAATATATATTATATAGTCACCCCCCAAAAAATTTTCCTGCACGTTGGGTAGACAGAATCATGGAAGTCCTATTTTGTTGCTGTCACTTAGATTAGCAATTCTTCAACAGATCAGCACATTAGGCTAAGAAGGAAAGTTGTAGCTCTACATTGGGAAAACCCAAGACCTTAAAAGACCCAAGACCAAGAAAGATATAAAATATTAAATTGCCTAGTAAGAACTAGGCTGAGATGCTCCACAAGGATTGGTCTGTGTTCTGCTCTAGTTGCATTTATTGGTTGGTGGTTCCATCTATCATATAGTGGTCCTCATTAACATTTCACAATGGTTCCTAAGGCTCATGAACAATCTTATGAAGTTATGATAGACAATCTAGTTTATCCTTCTTCCTGCTCTTTGAGGAATACTCTTTGAGGAAAGAGTACTCCTCATTTTTTTTGTATGTCAAGGTGTATATGCTGTTGAAAAGTGTGAACCTTGTGAAACACTTTCCCTCAGAGGCTTCAGTGGTTTCCTCACGCAATGAGATGCAAAGCTTTTTGACATGTCAGCATTTCATTGGCTGCTGGCTGTAAGGTGGGATTTCACCAACATACTGATTGCAAACAAGGCTTCCACAACATTCTGTGCAAATAGGCAAGGGAAATACTGCATGGCCACGTGGTGGCATCACATGATATGATGTCACAGCGCCACGCCCCCTTGAAAATGACGTCATAGCACGAAATCACGCGGGAGTTTCCACTTCGGAGTTGTTCCAGGAGTTGTGCCAAGGGAAGGGGAGAGCACAGGTGAGTAGTTTAAGGGTGGGGGACACCTCTATAGCACTCCCAGAGCGCTCCCAAGAAGCCCCACCATCCTTCCTGGAGAGTTGGTGCTGATGGAGGGAACCAATGGGAGCCCTGGACCACGCGCCTCCCTATTGGTCCACCGACTGGCATGCAAATGAGGGCCGACGTCACTTCCTTGGACAAATCGAGCGCCATTTTCTCTTTCTGGCTTGGGAAGGAGGGAGGAGTAGCAGCCGGAGGTGGGTGGATGGGAGCGCGGGCTCAGCGGGGCTGAGCGGGGCACCGGGTCCGACGCTGCACGGCTGCAGGGCGAGCGGTCGGGGCGAGGATGCTGCGGCTGGTCCTCCTGCTGCCTCCGCCGCCGCTGCCCGTCCTGCTGGGCCACTGAGCGCGGGCTGCAGGTCGAGACCGGGAGGCGGGGCAGGGCGGGGCGGCCGCGGAAGGAGTGACCGAGCAGCCGGCCGACCAAGCAAGCGGCCGCGGACGGAGGAGGCGGCGCCGGAGGCTGCAACGCGTCCAAGCGCCTCGGGGAGGCGCGAGCGCAAGAACCGGCGGGCAGGCAGCGGGCTCCCCCTGCCGCCCGGGCAGGTAGGTGCAACACTGCGGCTCCCTGGTGCCCAGGGCGGCCTCCGCCTCCCTCAGGCCGCCTTGGCAGGAGCCTCCTCGGTGCGCTGCCAGCCAAGCCACAGCCAGAGGGCAACCCCAGCCTCGTGGGGAAGCCCGCCTTCCCTCCCGCGGGCGCGGAGGGGGGGAAAGCCGCGAATGGAAGAAAAGGCCTGCTCGCTTCTGCCCGGCGCTGCCACCAGCTCTAATAGCTGAGGGGCTTAAATAAGGTCCGGGGGCTCCTCGGAGGCTAGGGAGGATGGAATGTCGTGAGGCATTCGGGTTTGCAGCAGTATTTTTATTATTATGCGTTTAACACCACCAGCTTTGCCGCTCTCCTTCATGTGGAACACCAGTGATTTCAGGAAGCCTGTAAACTCTCGACTGCTTCTGTGTGGGGTGGCCAAAGCTAGACCCATTTTTTAAAATAAAAAAAATCATTTTGGAATACTAAACCGGTTGCTTAAGGCTAAATAGAATTGTGATTTTTTTAGGAAGTGCATTAACAGGGTTTGAGTTAAAGAGATGGACTGGAGCAAGCTGTCGAGGCTGTTTATAGAGTGGTTAATGGCTAGTGTGGTACTTTTCTGGTCCCAAGACTTGAGGCTCGGTTGATAGCGTTGCATATTTTAGGATCTTGCATTTAATTGTCACTGTGGTACTGTATGTGTGATTGGTCTGTTTCCAGCAAGTGATCTGTATTTCCATGGAAGAGTCTGTGAGAGAACTCATATTCCACTGAGACCTGGAATCCAGAACATTTTTCACAAAGTCATGTGTCTGTATGGCCTTAGAGGTGCATGCCTCTCTTTGGTCATGGTGGCTAACCATATGGCAGCTGGAGAGATCATGACATTTTAGGCTTGTAAAGGCTTGAACTTGACTCCCTTGCAAATGTGTTCCTGACCCACAGTTAGATTAAGAAAGGGAGATCATCAGGAAAGGCAGGATAACCAAAGGTGCAGAGGGTACAAGAGAAGAGGGAAGAAGTCCTGTGCTCACATACAAGTGAGAAGGAAAATGAGAGAGGTAACACTTTGCAGCTCAGACACATTTTGTTTCTGTGATTTTGCCCTCTTTATCTTACTAAAGCACTATTTTTTTCTTTACTCCATTTATATGCAGCTTAATGTATTAACAAAATCTCTCAAATGAAGTACTGTAAACTGAAACAGCAACGAACAATAAATAATACAGAAATACATTTAACAAATAATTGCATTAATGCAATTAACAGTTTACAGAAATACAGTTAACAAATCATTGCTGATACAAATAAGCCACCCCTCCATTCACAGTTCCTTCTCCAGCCTCTGCCCTTTCTCCTGCAGCTTCTTTATTGTCTCTTGGGCAGGGCTTGCATTTATAGGCAGGTACCAAGGTGGGCTCCTGCCAACCTAGCAGTTTGAAAGCACGTCAAAGTGCAAGTAGATCAATAGGTACCGCTCCGGCAGGAAGGTAAATGGCGTTTCCGTGCACTGCTCTGTTTCGCCAGAAGCGGCTTAGTCATGCTGGCCACATGACCCGGAAGCTGTACGCCGGCTCCCTCGGTCAGTAAAGCGAGATGAGCGCCGCAACCCCAGAGTTGGCCACAACTGGACCTAATGGTCAGTGATCCTTTTACCGTTACCTATTACCACACCTGGCTCCAGGTACAGTAGGTTTGGTAAATTTCCCAGGGGGTGCTGAGGATGGGAAAAGGACACCCATCCACTCAAAAGTTATTTCGCCAGCCTCTGCCCTTCTCTTCAGCTAATGTAGTAAACGATTCAGGAGCTCATAAATTGATGCAGGCAGGTGCATCAATGTAGTCTTTTAAAGAAAACTTAGTGTGTTTGTTGCCTCTCCTAGTCAGCAGTGTTGTCATGGCTGCCTTGGCCTGAGTGTTTAGTCCAGAGTAGACATGCTGAATGATGCCAGGTTAATGATAGAATTGTAGAGTTGGAAAGACTGAGGGTCATATGGTCCAGCCCCCTGCAATGCAGGAATCTCAGCTAAAGCATCCATGACAGATGGCTTGAATATGCAATCTTGATTGCCTTATATTAGTTTTTAAAAAATTGTTTAATGCATCTTCACATCTTAAGATCAAACTGGAGAGGCTTTCAAATGTAGTTGTGCACAGAATTGTTCTTCAGATCATGATCTTGAAACGAGGAACAGCGGAGAGATCTGTCATGGCTGGAATTTTGCTGCTTAAGAGTCAAAACACCATTCATGTTCTATGACAGATTATCGTTTCAGCAATTGGAATTGTAGCCAAGGGAAGGCTTTGAGTGAAGTGAAGTTCTCTCCTGTGCACTGATATAAATGTAAAATTTCCTTATGGTTCTTTTGGTCTTGGTCTTGTAACTCCACTGCTGCTCAAACTTATGTCATTTATCTCTGTCAGCTCTTTGGCCCTTAATATTCAGTGATGTAATTTTTCTGGAAAGTTTTGGAATGGAATTTCTTCCAATGCAAATTAGGCTAATTAACATAGTGGAATTTGTATTGGAGTATTTTCAGTTTCCATGGAATTTCTTTTATGATTTCCTAGAGAGTTCTAATTTAGTATGCTTATTTATTTTATATATATATATATATATATATATATATGGTAAACAATGGTTAAAAACTTTGCTTGCCTAACATATTTTAAGGGGTAACTGTTACCATTCAGCCTATGAAGCAGAACATTTTTCATGGAAAAATAAAGCACTGGAATATTTTCTGTCTCATGTTGACTATGTTGTTATGCAAAACCTTATTCTCACATGAGAAAGTGGTGAGCAAACCAAATTATTTATCATGTATAAAGTGGAGCAGTCCAGTCCAGGAATTACGTTTTCCAGTTCACTAGGGTCAAGAGCAGCTCCAGTCCAGGTCTTGCATACAAGTTCTATAGAGATCTGATCCCGAAGCAGCTGAAGATGTAGATTTATGGTGGGCTTTCCCCTCTATGTGCTCAGGGGTCCACAGTTTTAGAGGGCTACATCAGAGGCAAGACCCTGAGTCAGAAGAAGGTGAGACCTTTGTCTCACACGCTTTCCAAATAAATGCAGACAAGAGAAACAAAGGAGGAGAAAGTTCTTTGTTCCAGTAGGCACAGCTTACCTTCCATCTCAGTGCTCCCAGGCCAAACATAGACACTTTTGTCTCCTTACCTATGAAAGCTCAGGCAGCAAGCATGTATCCCAGGAACAGAGTTCAAGAGGAGCCTGGCACATGGTTCAAGATGGAAAGCAGGCATGTATGTGGTGGGCTGCACTGTGGGAAGGTTCCTTGCTTTGACTTTGGTCAGCTCCAGTCTGATACTGCTAAGAAGAGTTTGGATTTGATATCCCGCTTTATCACTACCCGAAGGAGTCTCAAAGCGGCTAACTTTCTCCTTTCCCTTCCTCCCCCACAACAAACACTCTGTGAGGTGAGTGGGGCTGAGAGACTTCGGTGAAGTGTGACTGGCCCAAGGTCACCCAGCAGCTGCATGTGGAGGAGCGGTTCACCAGATTACGAGTCTACCTCTCTTAACCACTACACCACACTGGCTAAGTAAGCAGCTGTGCGTAGCACAGTTAACAACTTATGCATGGCAGTTACTTGCGTACCAGTGCAATGTGTTGTTCTCTTAGATAACAGTTCTAAGTAGCCACAGCATGCTCAGGGGATGGAAAGGGAAGAAGTACATGCATGGTGCTGGATATGTTTTGAAAGCTTTGGTTGCATCCAGTTGCACTGGAAACTTTGCCTGCTCCTTCCACCTGCTGGAATCCTACCACACTGGCTATTTAGCATTGCAGTCTTCTGTTTGTATGTGCATTTCATCCTCTGGTTATGCCGTGATATGGCTTTTGCAAAAAATGTGTTAGCTGAATAATGAATAACTTGTGGCTAGCACTGAACAAAAATATGAAAAACCTGAACATTGATAGCTTATAAAATTAGAAATGGTGGGGGAAATTGAACTTGAAGTCACCTGATGAAATTGATTGGTACTAGGCTGAGGGTAGAACAGTAAATAATTAAGGCTACATCTTACAGAATTCACTGCCACACTATTGCAACTGCGATGGAAGCATAGGATGTAAGTTTTTAAAATTAAGATGTGGCAATGGCTTTTTAAAAAGGATTGGAGCAATTCATGGGTTCCTCATTGGACTGTGGATATTGCCGTACTGGTCAGGAAGGAAGGGACTTTGCTTCCTCCACACCACAGCTGTTGTGGAAGCTGAGTGTGCTGATGGAGCATGGACAGAGCAATTTCTCTGATCCTCTTGCATTTCCATGCTAGCCTGGGAGGAAGGTACTTTGTTTCGTAGCATAGAAGACGGATGAGCTGACAGAAGAGGCACACAATGATTTGTACCCCACTCCACCAGCCTGCTCGCTCACGTGGATGAAGTTCCATGAATGCGCCTGCATGGAATTCCTGGTCACCCATGATGAGTAATTCAATACAAGGTGGTTATATCTTATTTGTGTACAAATAAATCGGAACTTAAAAGGTTAAAGGCAAGCAGTTCTAAGAGAAGAATCATAGGCTGGCTTTATTATACAGGAAGTAAGTTACCATGCCCATCACATTGAGTTGGAGAAGATGGTTAGACACTAGAAGTCATTCTGGTTGGAATATTTAATGCAGCTATACAAATACATCCTTGAACAATCTCTGTTCTTTGGAAAAAGAAGTGCTTGAAACATCCATATAAAAAAACCTCTTAATACTAAGCTTTCAAATGACACCCATATCAGTTTTTAGAAGTCACTACATACAAAAGAACATTCTTGGCTTCATGGAATATTTTATTGTAGTCAATTGATGGTATTATTTTTTACTTGCCAACTGAAAAGTGTCTCAGCCCATGGAGGTATAGCAGTTTCTGTTGCTTTCAGTTTTGCATCAGGTAATTACATTCTGGTATACAGTCGTACCTTGGTTCTCGAATTACCTTGGTACTCGTTCAATTTGGCTTCTGAACACTGAAAACCCGGAAATAAGTGTTCCGGGTTTTTAACGTTTTTCGGAAGCCGAACATCCGACGTGGCTTCCACTTGAGTGCAGGAAGCCCCTGTAGCTAATTGGAAGCTGTGCCTTGTTTTTTGAACGTTTTTGGGAGTTGAATGGACTCCCGGAACGAATTAAGTTTGAGAACCAAGAATTAAGTTTGAGAAGCAAGGTTCCACTGTACTCTTATAAACAGACGAATGACCTTGTGATAGCATTTTGAATGTTCTGCATCTTGGGATCATATTACTAGGTATTCCCAAAATCTTAACATCTCTTAACATATCTCTTGAGTAGGTAGAAACTTGGAAGTGCATGTGATACTTACCATAGTATGTTTTCAAAGCTGGGGGTGCATGGGGGGGTCCCCACTGAGGACCTGGTATGATATTGCTCTTGCAAGTAGCAGTTGGCTCGGAAGATTGTATATACCTGTTAGGGAACACAGAGGGTAGTGAGGTAGTATGGCTTTCTGGCTGTAACTGTGTTTGCCCTATGGATTGTTTGGTGGTGGTGTTGCATAGCATGCACATCATATGTCTTGAAAGATGTAGCTATTTTTGTCAGCTAGTATTGTGACATATCACTTAGTGTATAGCAATCAAACTGAAGAGGTGTGTATCTGAAATTCACACCTTGAGTTTGGCTTCTAAACTCGTAATACAAATTACTACTTATTTCAGTAACTTAGGAAGGAAAATACTGAAGTTTTGTGGTGGTCTCCACTTGCAAATTTATATTTGGGTTCTTTTGCTAATATTTGAACAGCAGAATTGCACCTCTTTGGTAATAAAGTACTTGAGCAGTTGCATTCATGTACAGGCAGGGTGGATAAAAATCAATGATTTTTTTTAAAAAAACAACAACCAGAATTTTAAATTATTTAAATCAGGCTTTTTTGATTTAAATCAGATTTCTTTGATTTAAATCGGATTTCTAAAATAAAATGCTTTTGGAGGAAAAAGCTTTCTAAAGATGGTTTGCTATTTAAGTTACCGTATTTTTCGCACTATAGGACGCACTTTTTTCCCCTCCAAAAATGAAGGGAAATGTGTGTGCGTCCTATGAGTGCGAATGCAGGCTTTCACTGAAGCCTGGAGAGTGAGAGGGTCGGTGCGCACCGACCCTCTCGCTCTCCAGGCTTCAGGAGAGCCCCAGCGCCAGCCCCACAAGGTCGGGGGACAGAGGGAGGCGGAGCGCCGCCATCCCGCTGTCTCCCGAAGTGGTTTGGAGGCTGACGGCGGGAGACCCCGCCGCCGGCCCCGCAAGCTCCGGGGACAGCTGGGAGGCGCAGCGCGTCTTCCTGCTGGGCCCGGACCTTATCTGAAGGCGGGCGGGGGGGAGAAACGGGCTTCTCCCCGCTGCCTGCCCCGCAAGCTCTGGGGACAGCTGGGAGGCGCAGCGCGTCTCCCCGCTGTCCCCGGACCTGACCTCAAGGCGGGCGGCGGGGAGAAGAGCGCTTCTCCCCGCTGCCTGCCCCGCAAGCTCCGGGGACAGCGGGGAGGCGCAGCGCGTCTCCCCGCTGTCCCCGGACCTGATCTCAAGGCGGGCGGCAGGGAGAAGAGCGCTTCTCCCCGCTGCCTGCCCCCAAGCTCCGGGGACAGCTGGGAGACGCAGCGCGTCTTCCCGCTGTCCCCGGACTTGATATCAAGGCGGGCGGCAGGGAGAGAGCGCTTCTCCCCGCTGCCTGCCCCAAGCTCCGGGGACAGCTGGGAGGCGCAGCGCGTCTTCCCGCTGCCCCCGGACTGCTATCAAGGCGGGCGGCGGGTAGAAGAGCGCTTCTCCCCGCTGTCTGCCCCCACGCTCCGGGGACAGCTGGGAGACGCAGCACGTCTTCCCGCTGTCCCCGGACCTGATGTGAGGCGGGCGGCGGGGAGAGAGCGCTTCTCCCGCTGCCTGCCCCCAAGCTCCGGGGACAGCAGGGAGGCGCGGCGCGTCTTCCCGCTGTCCCCGGACCTGATGTGAAGGCGGGCGGCGGGGAGAAGGCGCTTCTCCCGCTGCCTGCCCCCAAGCTCCGGGTACAGCTGGGAGACGCAGCGCGTCTTCCCGCTGTCCCCGGACCTGATGTGATGGCGGGCGGCGGGGAGAAGAGCGCTTCTCCCCGCTGCCTGCCCCCAAGCTCCGGGGACAGCAGGGAGACGCAGCGCGTCTTCCCGCTGTCCCTGGACCTGATCTCAAGGCGGGCGGCAGGAGAAGAGCGCTCTCCCCGCTGCCTGCCCCCAAGCTCCGGGGACAGCTGGGAGACGCAGCGCGTCTTCCCGCTGTCCCCGGACCTGATCTGAAGGCGGACTGCGGGGAGAAGAGCGCTTCTCCCGCTGCCGGCCCCACAAGCGCCTGGGTGAAATAATTTTTTTTCCTTTATTTCCCCCCCAAAAAACTTGATGCGTCCTATGGGCCGGTGCGTCCTATGGTGCGAAAAATACGGTACATTATAGTCCAAAGGCTATTCATCAGGAAATAAGGATTTGTTTTAAGTTTTTCATGTGTGCTAAAACTCAGTCTGTTGTTTTTTTTAAACGGTCGTTTAACCACATCAGTTAACAAACATGGATACATATGCTATAATGTTATTGTTTTAGTTAAATAAATTGTTTAAATTGTTATTAAGGAAATTATTTTTTCCCTTCTAATAAAGTACAGCAGAAAAGCTGTCCAAATATAAACAATAATTTCATAACCTGTCTTTGTATTTCTGTTAGTATAACCAAATCAGTAATTTTTGATATAACTGTAAAAACTACTCTGAAAATTTATTATTCCAAAAATGAAACCTTCATCTGGTTGTAAATATTAAGATTATACCAGCAATAATGAGTCTTTCTGTAAAAAAATGATTTAAATCAAGTCTTACTAACTAGTGATTTAAATCAATTTGATTTAAATCAAATCCACTCTGTGTACAGGTAGTGCTACTGTATTTTTATTGTGTTCAGTGGCACTTACTCCCAGGGAAGTGTGTACAGGAATTGCAACCTTCCTGTGATAAATATAGCTGCATATGTATTATTTGTTGTCTGCCACAGAAAGTGTAAAATCTACAAATATACTCATTTGTTGAAATACTCAGTAATGAAAGTCAGATTAATCTGAATTTTCTAAATGCATAAGCATAATTTGAAATATTACATTTAACAAAATGATGTATATATGTTGTGTCACCTTGTTTTCTAGGCAAAATTCAACATGCTTCAAATTCCTGTGCAAAATCTTGATAATATAAGGAAGGCTCGGAAGAAAGTAAAGGGTATTCTAAAGGATATTGGGCTTGACAGCTGCCAGGAGTTACTTCAGGTAAGACCCTTATAGTTCTCTATTGTCATTCTTCTTAAGTGAGCTCATGAGTCTTATAAGTGTGGAAATATTGGTTGAAAAAGAGGAGTGGAAAACCAATTCCAGTACAATTGTCCATGAGTAAAACATCATGAGATCCTCTGTAAGTCACTGTGTGAGTGATCATAGGTCTTCAACTGTCTTTTTATGGGATTCAATTTGGGGATTTACTTGTAGCATGCATATTGACTCTTTCTTAAGAGAGAGGTTTGCAGATTGGAACTCTTCAGTTATTTATTTATTTATTTATTTAATACATTTTCCTCATATTTCATTTAGGATGACTCTTAGATTACATCCTATGAAACACGACTTGATATATTTCATGTGTCTATTTTTCTTAAAATAAATATAGAAGTAGGTGAAAGCTTTGGTTTGCACAAAAGAAAGTAGGAAGTACTAATATACTAGTTTGGCTTGTCAAGAAACAGTATTTACATAATACACAACTGCTTCAACACCTGTAAAGCTAGAAAAAAGACCAACTATGATAGGTCACATGAAAATATGAATGGAATGAGAGATCTTTGTTTAGCTTACAGATTCAAGCAAATTGGCATTGGGTACATTAATCTGGGACACGGGTGGCGCTGTGGGTTAAACCACAGAGCCTAGGACTTGCCGATCAGAAGGTCGGTGGTTCGAATCCCTGCGACGAGGTGAGCTGCCGTTGCTCGGTCCCAGCTCCTGCCAACCTAGCAGTTCGAAAGCACGTCAAAGTGCAAGTAGATAAATACCGTATTTTTTGCACCATAACACTCACTTTTTTCCTCCTAGAAAGTAAGGGGAAATGTCTGTGCGTGTTATGGAGGGAAAGCCTATGGGTGGCGGGGGGGATCTGCTGCAGTCGTGAGCAGAGGATCCATGGTTCCCCTTCCTTCCCTCCTCCGTGGCTCGCTTTGAAACAGCAAAGCGGGAGAAGAGCCGCTGAGTGGGGAGGAGAGATGGACAGAGAGCCTGCTTCTTTAAAGGAGCAAAGCGGAAGAGGAGCCACTTACACAAGTGTAAGCGGCTCCTGTCCGGTTGGTTCCTTTAAAGCAAGCAGGCTCTCTGTCCCTCTCTCCTCCCCACTCAGCTTGCTACATAGCAGCAAAGTTTTTCAGCTCGCTAAGCCGGGGATGAGCGGGGAGGAGGGAGAAAAGCAGAGCCTGCTTGCTTTAAAGGAGCAAAGCGGGAGAGGAGCCTTCTCCCCTTATACCCCTCTTCTTCATTATTAGTAGCATCCTTCTCCACCCACCCCACGCATGTTCCTTCTCCCCTTAAACCCCTCACTTGCATTATTAGCAGCATCCTTCTCCACCCACCCCACGCATGCTCCTTGTCCCTTGAGTGCTTTTCCTTCCCTCCCCACTTAAAACGTGGTTACAAAGCACGGATCCACATGGATCCTCAGGATTTTTGCACTGGGTCACCCCAAATTCACCATCAGATCACATAGCATGTCCATGGCTACATCTTGCACCAAAAAAATCACGCACCCACTGTTGCCTGGGGCCGCAGTGGTGCAAAAACGTGGTTACAAAGCATGGGTCCACATGGATCCTCAGGATTTTTGCACTGGGCTACTCCAAACTCACTGTCAGATCACATGTCTGTGGCCACAGCATGAACCACAAAACTCATACATCCATTGTTTTGTTTAGAATATTTTTTTTCTTGTTTTCCTCCTCTAAAAACTACGTGCGTGTTATGGTCGGGTGCGTGTTATAGAGCGAAAAATACGGTAGGTACTGCTCCGGCGGGAAGGTAAATGGCGTTTCCGTGCGCTGCTCTGGTTCACCAGAAGCGGCTTAGTCATGCTGGCCACATGACCCGGAAGCTGTACGCTGGCTCCCTCGGCCAATAAAGCAAGATGAGCGCCGCAACCCCAGAGTCGTCCATGACTGGACCTAACGGTCTGTGGTCCCTTTACCTTTACATTAATCTGAGGCTGTGAAGCTCAAAACATAAGATTTTAAAAACATGATTACTTCAAATACAGTCACCCTACTCTCACTTGGAGTGGGAATGCACGTCAGTTAAAAAGACTGGGCATTCCTGCTTCCTCCTTTATTGTGAGAAAAGAATGGGAAAGAGGAAGTGTGTCTTTATGGAACTGGTAGCAGAGATTTGACTAGGCTTCCTTCTGGATAAAGGGCTAGTAGGACTTTGCTCAGATAATTTTGTCTTGGTGGCTGCTGGGGAGCTGTTGGAGTGTGTGTTTATCTTCAACACCTATATATTTTGCTATCGGTGCGCATGCTATGGAAGCTTCAGTAAAGCTGTTAAGCTCACCAACACGAACTAGTTATTTTACTTGGCACACACAACACAACACACACACACACTACATATTTACACACTATATACAGGTAACATGTAGGCTTCTCTCCTTCTGGTACCAGAGGGGTTTCTGTACTTTAAAGTCCTTGCTGAACAAAGTCCACACACAAGCCAACTTGCAGTTATTCTTGCAACAACTTAAAATCCTCTGGTCCCGAAGTCTGGCAATTCTCCCAAGTCTTCTCAGACAAGCTCTTCTCAAAGTGTTCAGGTAACTCCACAGTTACACAAGGATCCACTCCTTCCTGATAATGACCACAACCAACGACCCATGACCAGTGCTGTAATCTGAGCTCTTTCATACACAAAGTTCAATCTGCCCAGTAACACTAATAGGGAAGTCACCAGATTCAGCCAGGTGCATCTCAGCAATGAGAAAGCTCTTCCCTCACTAAATAAAACTAACCCCTTAACAGGAGGTTGGCATGAGTTTCTGGTGAATTTGTGCAGGAGTATTAGTCATTGTATTGCTTTGACTATTTGTTGTGCATGATAAATAATATTTTAATGGTTTTCTGAATTTTGGAAAGACTGAGGGAAAAGTAAAACAAGAATAGAATAGTATTTTTTGCTGTATAAAAGCAGCAGAAGCTGCTGGTGATGTTGTAGCATCTGGAAACAACATACACACAGTGTGAATACAGTTGACTAAGTTAACATGTAGCTAACGGGGCCACATTGTAAATGTGTATAGCAATTCAGATAGCTGTGCCTGGCTTTGCTATAGTATCATGTACATATTGCTGTTGCTCCACCCCTAGTTACTGGCTAGTTCATTGCTATGAAGTGAAAATCTACCCTTCCATGCATTGTTGCCATGATTTGTCACTATTTCCTGTTTTTTTTTGTTTACAGAAGTTGATAGTCTTAAAAGTTTGCACCAAGCAGATGAGCAAAATATTGTTTACTCTTTTTAGGAAAAACTGAAGTTCCCCCAAGTTGTTTTTCAATTTCGTATTACTATTATTTATACCCCATCCATCTGGCTAGGTTGCCTTAAAGAGTATGCATAGGGTTTTTAAAGTTATTTTTTTTAAAAAAAAACTGAAATCAAGGTCAGTCACAAACATTCCATCACGGCACTTCATTACATCAAACACGCAGAACTTTAACTTCAGAGATATGACTATAGTTTCTTGACAAGCAAAGCTTGTTCAGATACACCAGAAAGTGTGCATTTTAAAAGTCTAGCTCAATTAATTGCAAATATTTAAAACTTTCAAATTGCATAAACTACACTTGAAATAGATTAAACTTGAAATCTGAACAAAGTTGGAAAGGCAGGGGAGACAAGCTGTAAAGAAAACTCTAGCTGTGAGACTCTATAGCTTGGGTTAATACCTTCCACGCTCAGTGTAACCTGTAGATTACCCACACAGAAGCAAGTAGTGTGGGGAAGCCTTAAGATCTGATAAGCACACCAACTTTACCACACTTTGAAATCCATTATTGGAAAAAGGCGACATAGCATATATATTTTTCAAATTGCAATTTTAATTTTGAGGTTGTATCCAGTATTGTGTGAGTAGAGCTGTGCTTGTGCCGCCTCTACTCACTAGCCCCTAATCTGCTTCAGAGGGTCCCCCAACTCTCGAGCAGTTTTCGCTGGTGTTTTGGGACTGCAGGGCAGGGAGGAGTCCTGTTGTGCTAGGGAGGTGTTGTGAGTGAATGGAGCAGAAGCATTGGATACAGCCTGCAGTTTATATCCAACATAATGAGCTTATTGACTTAGAATTGTATAAAATAGGGTTTTCTTTTAGTTGCATGCTGTTTTAGAAATCTTTGTTTTTTCGTAGACCCTGAAAAGTTTTGACCCAGGAGAAAAATATTTCTGCAACACTTCGTGGAGTGATGTGTCTCTTTGGGAGTCTGTGACCAGAAGAAGGGTATGTTTATTCATTACAGTTTTCAGAATGCTGTTTGAGCCCACTGGTTTGTAAATACCTAGTGGATTTTTTTTAGCCTTTGTGATACAGCATGGGATCAACTGTGCAATGCAAACTGTTTCTTAGATGGCTATCGATCTTAGAAGCTGATTGCAATATAGTAAGAGGTGTGCATGCTTTTCTTAAGTTCACATGGAACTTGGTATTTTTTTTTTTTTTTTTAGGATGCCATTATAATGACTGATTAGAAGATGAAAAGAAAATGATGGTCTTGAAAATGATGATCTCAAAGAGTAAAGAAACTGTATTATTGTTTCCTGGTGACTAACTGATCACCAAGCAGTAGCTTTCCCACATTGTTTTCTGTGTTGGCTAGAATCCAAATTTTCACCCAGTTTTTGAATGGGGCTATGGGATGGGGTTATGTTGCCAGCACAGCAACATAAAACATCTACATCATTTTGCTTGTTCTGCATACAGTTTGTGTTGTTATGCAAGCATTAGTGATGAGAAAGTTGTGTTCATATAAATGCATAAGATGTTGGCTTTTTGTTAATACTCTCTTGGATGTGGAAAGTTCTGATCGCCTGAAGAAACTTTTATGTTGACTGAAATTAGTATAGTGGCTTTCAGTACTTTGGTATTTTTATTGGACAATCAACATAAATATGCCTTTCGTAGATGCCAGTTGAAGTAACTGCCCCTTTTTCTTGTTTTTCAGAGATATAGAACAAATCCGTACTGCTGTAGCCTCTGCAAGTTCTCATCAAAATTTCTTTCTTCTTTCAAAAACCACTTGAACCGTTACCATGAAGATGAAGTTGACCAAGAATTAGTTGTTCCTTGCCCAGAATGTGCATTTGCTTCTCATTCGAAAGTAGTGGGAAAACACCTTCGTATATTTCACTCTAAGAAAAAAATTCAAAACTATAATGTGAGTGGTGGCATGAGACAATTCCGGAGTGATGCAGTAAACTTCATATGCCAGAAATGTCAGTTTACAGACACATTATACTATAATACGAAGAAACATGTATTGGTAACCCATTTCCAAAGCCTAATAAGCACATACTTTGAGGAGAGGCCTGATGAAAGTGAAGAGAATTTTACTGATCACTACTGTAAAAAGTGCAATGCTTTTGCAAACAGTCGGGATTCTTTAATATACCATGTCCTAACATCTGAAGTACACAAAGACCTGGAGAATATATTGAGACCTATAATTTCAGTGCAGCCTAAAAAATCAGGACAAGCAAAGTCACAGCATATCGTCAGTATTGCACCCAAGCCTTCCACAGTTGGAGCCACACCATCGCTGAAACCTACCACTGCTTCAGTGGGTTCACCTTCTCCTACATGTATCCAACTTTCACTTCCATCAGTGAATCAGAATCAGAATGTGGTGCCAACAAAAGCAGTCCCAAACACAGTTGGACCAAGTGCCTCCAGTAGCCTGACACATCCATCATCGTCAGCTACAGTTGCCCAGTCATGTCATACACTACTGCCTAGCCAAGCAGGTCCGAACAATGTGACTCTTCGGCCTGCAGTTCCTCATCCAGTCTTTGTTTCTCATCGACTTCCTGTGAAGCAGCCAGTGAGACCTGACATTCTCTGCCTAAACCAGCCTCCTGGGAGCATAAGTCGAACTGTTCCTCCAGGAGTCCTTTCATTCACTCGGCCTGTCCGGCCTACCCTGCTTCCTGTTAATCAATCTGTTAGGGCCGTTGGCAGTCCAGTTTTGCCGGGGTCTCTCCCTGTAACTCAGCCTGCTGGTTCTCTGAACAGACCCATTGCGGCTAGCTCTGTTCCTGTAAACAGACCTTCTTCACCTGGCGTCCTTGCTGTAAACCGACCTGTTGGTAGCTCGAACCAGCCCAGTGGTCCTGGGGTCCTTCCAGTCACCCAGGCGATCCCACCAGGGGTTCTTCAGTTTAATCATCCTGTTGCACCTGGAGTTCTTCCTGTAAACCAGTCAGTTGGACCTGGGATTCTCCAGTTCAATCAGCCTGTTGCACCAGGAGTACTTCCTGTAAACCCGTCTGTCAGACCTGGAGTTTCTCAGAATGCTACTTTACTGACTGCGGGACCTATCCTTCGACAGTTAATTCCAACTGGCAGACAAGTTAATGGGATACCTACGTATACCCTTGCCCCAGTTTCAGTAGCTTTGCCTGTGCCAGCGGGTGGAGGGGTGACAACAGCTCCACCTCCTCAGATGCCTGTTCAGCTGATGCAATCTAGTACAGTTACTCAGCAGTCTCAGGCTCCAGCTACTGTGCCTTCCTCTGTAGTAGTAACTTCTTCCACGAATACCCTCGCCAAGACTTCTGTCTCTGCCTCTGCAATGAGCCTAGCCCTTAAACAGGCCAAGCAGTGGAAGACTTGCCCTGTTTGCAGTGAGCTTTTCCCATCAAATGTCTATCAGGTGCACATGCAAGTGGCTCACAAATGCAGTTCAGGGAAGACGGGCAAGCTTGATACAGACAAAGTTGCAGCCTGTGCACCTTTTCTGAGATGGCTAAAAGATAAGACGGTCAGGTGTTTTTCTTGTAAATGTTTTCTCTCTCAGGCAGAGCTTATAAAACATATTTTCATACATGGATTAGCTTGCCTGTTTTGCACCAGTACTTTTCACGACCTAAAATGCCTTGTGGATCATACTAAAACTGTACATAAGGGGAAGAAGAAACTACATGCAGATTATGATGACAAAGGTTTTCAACTTGAGAGTGATTCGGAAGGTGACCTGGTGTTTCCTCACTTTGACTTCAACATAACTGTAAAAGAAGAACTTTGTGAAAAAGAAGTACACCTAGCATTACTTGCTGGGGTAAATTCAAGGACACTTATTCCTCTGTACATGAAGCTGCAACATGAGACTGCTGATATGAATAATGGCAATAAGAAAGTATCAACTTGCCCTTTTTGTTACGGTGTTTTCACTAGCCTAGAAGCCTACGAGTTCCATTTGAAGGACAGGCACCATATCATGCCAACTGTGCACACCATTTTAAAGACCCCAGCTTTCAAATGTATCCACTGCTGTGGTGTATATACTGGCAACATGACTCTGACTGCTATTGCTGTGCATCTGCTTCGCTGCCGGAGCGCTCCCAAAGACAGCACCCCAGCTGTGAAGATGGAGCTTGAACTCGACGAGAAGAAAGATCTGGCACTTGTGAATGGTGAAAATCATGATGATCCTTCTCTCTCAACGAAGAGGAAACTATCTGATCACCTTTATTCTGTTGCAGAGGACCAAATGAATGATGACCAGCCATTCCTGATTATAGACAGTGGCACAGCCCAAGTTCCAGCTAAGGAAATGACTTTTGTGCCTTCCAAGAGACAAAAGACTGATCATAAGTCTGAAACTAAGGGCCAGCCCTCCGTTGAGAATCTTCACATTTTAGCATTAAATCCAAAGCCATTCCAGCAGTGCTCAAATGAAGTTCAGAAACTGTTTCTTATAGATTATTTTAACAAGAAGCCGTATCCCTCTAAAAAGGAGTTAGAGTTACTGTCATCCAGTCTGTGTGCTTGGAAAGTTGACATTGCATCATTCTTTGGGAGAAAGAGACACACCTGCCTAAGGGCAATAAAAAATCTTAAGCCTTCTGTGCTTTTGGGATTCAATATGTCTGAACTTAAAAATGTGAAGCACAGTTTGAATTTAAAATGTGAATCAGAAGATGTGTAATTTTTTTTTTAAAAAAAACTCTCATAAGGCAATCAAGATTGCATATTCAGGCATCTGATATGGATGCTTTAGTTCAGATTCATGCATTGCAGGGGGTTGGACTCGACCCTTGGCATCCTTCCAACTCGATGATTCTTTGAATTGTCTCACTGATTTAGTTTCTTGTGGTTATTAAAAGATTAGTACGCAGTGCCTCTTTCATTTGGGCTGTGTGTTCTTTGTGGCAGTAGGGTACAGTATAGTATACCTGAGGCTCTGGGTTTTTGTTTTGTTCTTTTTTGCTGTTCATGGGGTAGTTTTCTCTACCTATGGTTTTTATACAATTGTGTAACAATTTTCCTGGCTTTTTTTTAAAAGTACAAATTGTTTCTAAAAGTGTATATGTTTGATAAAATAATAAAACTATTAGGAGGGCCATAATTTAAAAAAACCACCTCCTCTGTCTTTAAAATTAATATGGTTAACTTGTAACCTAATCTTCAGATTGCTCCCCAAATTAACAACAGATTTACCAGTGACAGCTATAACAAATGCAGAAACTTTGATTAATTGAAAAGTAGCAGTTGCTGCCTTTAGTTATGAAACATGTAAGCCAAGGATTTGCAAGCACTGTTTTCTAAACTATTTGTTTTACAATAAGAAACTATGAAGGCTTACATAAAAAATGGCAACTTTTCTCCCCTGAAGTTAAAACTTTGGTTTAATAATTCTTGATTTGCATTTTGGAATAAATAAGAGAGAGGAGCTGTCCATTTGATATTGAGCTATAATGACAACCTAGGGATCTTTTCATATGGCTCTATTGCTTGCTGGGAGCTCTGATGACATAGCATACTGTTCCAGGCAGCACTTGGCTATGTACACTTTATGAAGGCTTTTCACTGGCTGCTCTGCTCTATGTTAGCAAATAATCCCAAACCACTTTTGTTTGGGGCAAGGGATCAAAGACTTCAGCAACACTAGCCTAGTGCAGGCCCTGAATTTATTCAAGTTTCTCACTGTATTTGAATCAATGTTTATTGAAAGCTCTTGCTATCATTACAGTAGCTGAATTATTTCCTGCGTCACCCAGATGACAACCTTGTCTAAAGTTAGGCAAGAGATTGCACATGCAGAGTACTCTTTAAAAACAAATAGGCCTGCGAACAAGGGGCAGGTTTTATTGCTTCTCTTGTCTCTTACTTTTCAGCAATGTATGTTCTGACATCTCTACAGAATACTGTTGTTTTAACCACTAACATTTAACATTCTGTTCAACTTGACTAGGACACCTTATTACTTTAGCATCAAGAAAAGAAAATGATATATTTGGTGTGCTGACTTGACATTGTCTTCTAGTTACTAACGTGTCTTTTATGGCAAGAGAATTTTTGTTAAGGTGAAACTGCATGTAAATAACTGTGCAATTTAAGCAGTTGCATTATAGGCTGTTCAGTTTCTATAAATGTCAGAAAATTGTTCAGAGGGCTTTTTGGTTTGGTTCTATTCTTTAATACAATCTCATCTGACAGTGAATAATGCCAGTGCAAAAAATAAACAAATTCTGCAATGGGGGTCCTGTAGGCACAGGTAGATTATTTACTTTTGTTTCAGCATTGATCCTTATGTATATGCCAGAACTTGGTGAAAGAAATGGATTCAGGGGTGAGCTGAAGTAGTGGTGATTACTACTACTTCTACTGTTTTAACTTTGACCTTCATCCATTCATGTGAGAATGCCCAGAGAATGTGGAATAGTGCCTCCCTCTGCCATTTTGTGGAAAAAAACTAGGAGGTAGAAGTAGTGGCAAAAGCAAGCTGCTTTTACCTGAAACCCAGATGCTGGCAGTAAGTACAAAACAAAAATCACTGCAGACATTAAGGAAAGGTCAACTTGGCTTTGGGAAATGACGACCTATAAATCAAAACTGACTGAAGTGCAAATATCTGTGTTCAGTGCCAACCAACTAAGCTGAATTTCAACTTGGCCAAAGTTAATATGTGAGCTTATTTTAAGTTGCAGGATAAATTATATGACAGTGCTAATTATTATGCTTGGCTCTCACTACAGCACATGCCTGAATACTGCATGTATGATCTGCCAAGAATGGAAGTGAATAGAGGTGCATTAGTGGTGCTTTCGTGAACAGCTCCTCTTTATTTTTCTAGACGCCAAGGATTATGAAGGAGTGAGAAGAGCACATAAAGCTTGAGCTGCTCCTTACAGTAGGAGAGAGCCTGGTCTGTTACATGTTAGAGCAATTGATCTGTTGACTTCAAATAAACCCAAGTTTTCAATTTTAGATGTGTATAGAAGTTTTTAAAGTGACGTAATGAAGCAGCATTCAAGCAAGCAGCCCTTTGAGAACTCTTTGTTTCCTGTATACTGTGTCTTAGACCCTGTAGGCAGGCTTGAGCTGTAAAACTCCCTGGCAGCACTACTTCAGGCCACAGGTGTGTTGGGTGTTTGGATATGCACTGGTGAGGGGCATTGCCTATGCAGGCTGTGTATATTAGTGAGACACTTAGGTTGGATCCTCTTTCCTGACAGGTAGTCTTTTACATGAAACATGGTTCCATTTAATTGTGTAGCAGCCCACTCAGACTGAAAGAGAATTAAGAAAAAGCTTTGTTTGCCACTGCATTCTGCTGAATACATTCTGTGCACCCTTTGATTCTGTAGAGTTACGTTAGTCATCTCATGTTTGGGTGAGATTATAATACATAACTAAGAACTACTATCCCGAAAAGAACCACATTCTATCTCCCCACCAGTATCCCCTGTACAGTAGTGAAGAATTGATTATCAAGAGGGTGCAGAAAGTACTTGTGCTTGCAAAAGCCTTTGGATAGGTTTCTCAATATGGCAGCATTGAAAATAGTTTCACTGCTAGAGGAAAAGTCCAAATTCCATAATCCTCTTTTAATAAAAATACATCCTAGTTTCTGTAACAATGTGAGAGTTGACTTATATAGATGAGGGGTTGCCAGTCTTTTTTAACCAGTGCACACAGTTTAAATTTTGAGAGTTAACAGGCTGCCATTGGGGTGGGGTGATGGCATGCCATAACACTATATTAGAGAGTATGATCTTGATGAATTCATTGGCCATAATCCCAAACAAGTGGGCTTATGAGTGCAACCTTACATATTTATAGTTTAAAAATAAAAACATACGCTAAGGAATCTTATTTAAACTTTAATTAGATTTTAAGTTATAAGAGCTTTGGCCACTGCTTTTGGCATTTTATATACAAACGTTTTAAGGTATTCATCAAAAAGGGCTTTGTCAGCAACAGTTCCCCAGAATTGTTGCAGTAGGCAGCACCTATAGCTGTTTGACTTGACTTTGCAGCTTTTGCCTCTCCTTGTTTAAACAGTGCATTTCCACCCAGTACATTGAACTGAATCCAGATACATTCATTAAAAGGGCATGAATGTATAGTTTTGGTCCTTATTGCACTTAAAAGTACCACAGAATATTTTTTTAAAAATATCCTTGTGGTATGTGGGTTAATACTAGCAGCAGAAATAAAAAATGTGAGATGCAAAAGCATACATTTCCTGTTTTCTCCCCTCTTAATCTCTTAACTGCAGATGGGTATTTATACATTTTTTTATTCCAATTTCTGAAATGAGAATAACCAAGAAAATATTACTAGAGTATGGCAACTGGTTGCCCATATGCCAGTCTACTCCTGGGCAGAGGAAGACAAAAATGAGTTCTATTGCTTGGCCTCTTCCATTTCCCCACAATTCATTTTAGGTCCAAAGAAGGGGCTGTAGATCTAAGGAACACATAGAAAAGTATACCTGCTTCTACCTAGCCTTTCAATGTTGACAAGTAAAAAAGGCAGGTGTGTGTTTATGGCATCCTTAGGGGGCAGCTGTAAGAAAAGAAGGTATTAACTTATGTGTTACTTCCCCACTTGCCTTCCCTGACACTCTCTAGCCTGGAAAGGTGTTTGGTAGGTAGCTGATCATAAGGAAGCCCATTCTGCACACACTTACCCTCTTTCCTACACATAAAATCAGGGAGGGGGAAGGACTGCTTATGTCTATATGGCATGAGAGTGTGCTTGCCTCCACCCAACCCCATCTCCCTCTCCCTGCCTTCGAAGTGGGTTACTTGCAAGGTTAGCTGCCAAACATGAGTGTATAGTTCACCTTGTTGGAAGACTGGAAAAACAGTATATTCTATACAAAACTAAGCTGAAATATGTTTGAAGAGGGCCTGGGACACATGGGAAGCAGCAGGACATAATTTCCAAAGAATTGCAACTACCTAAGATCAGCACTGAACTCGCTTAGATAAGACTCTCTTGTCACAATAATGTCATTGTCAAGCTAAATCACATATACTGTGCTTCACCAAGGGAAGGAAAGTAGTCTTCTGTCTTGAAGAGATCAGGAGGTTCATAAACTGTTTGATTCTGCCTTGAGGAAGATGTTTTCTGGAATTAAAACCTGTATGTTAAAATACTTGCTCACAACAGAATAAACAGAAATAAATCATGAATTCCCCACAATTTTAGTGGTAGCTTAAGAGGAGCCCTGCTAGTAGTATTCTGTTCCCACAGTGGCCAAACTAGATTAGAAGCCCACAAGCAGGTTCCAAGTGCAACAGTACTCTCCCCACTTGTAATTTATAGCAACTTGTAAGGCAAATGATTTATGAGTCATCGTGCCCGGAAGCACAAAACAGGCAAGATCCAAAAAGGAACTGAGAAAGAATGGAGCTGACTGTCATTCATTTCTCATGGAAGCAAGTAACTTCTATTCACCTGTGGAGGACTTATATGAGATAGCAAGGTGAATCATGTATGAATCTTTCTGTTGGTTGGTGGGGTAGGTTGGCCACTGTGGGCATACCTTTGTTAACAATTGAGTACTTAGGGGTTACATTTAATAAAACAGTATTTTGCAATCATGGCACATATAGCATGTTCCAAATCTCCTGTCCCCCCCCCAAACCATTTCCCATCTCAGATAAATGCAGAGGTGGGGTGGGGGGTGGGCCGCAACCCTTGAAGGGAAGAAGCACACTGTAAGCAAATGTCTGTGAGGGATATAACACTCCAAGAAAGTTATCTAGATTGCATTATGTTTCATTCCCTTTTATGTATCTAAATCCACACATCCATATGTTGACTGTCAGGATCAACCAACCACACCTCTACTTAATGAATCACCATCATAATCATCTCAACAGTGGGGAGATTTGCCAAAGTTGTTCTCCTGGGCTTACAAACTAATCTAGTAAATTGACATCTGAACATAACAAAAGCTTATGATATTTGATATCAAATACATTATTATAGCAAGCATTTCCATAGTTGAGGAACAAAACTTACATTAAGGAAAGATGGCACATTGATTGTGTGTAGAAATTTTTTGAAAGTATTTGGGAACGTTCCAAGGTCTGATTCTGCCTTTGTGATCTGTTCTTCCATCCCTGACACACTATTTCCAACCATTTTTACAAAGGCCTGAAAGACAGCAACAGATCAATAGCAATGAACAGGTGCAATATGGGAGAATATTAAAGGGACATTTCTTTGCTCAAATAGTTCTATTGGTCATATAAAAAACCAAATTTTCTGTACACATGTCAGAAACCACTGGCATCTAATCTACAGCCACATTCCAAATTCCAGCTTAGACTTAGTACATGAAAATCAATGCATTTCAAAGCCCATTTAACTGCATTTGATTGTGGAAAAGCATCTGTTCAACGAAGACAGAAGTGCCTGGCGTGCTCTGGTCCATGGGGGTCACGAAGAGTCGGACACGACTAAACGACTAAACAACAACAAAATCTGTTTAACACATGTTACACAGTGGTTGAATAATCTGTTGTTTTTTTAAAAAAATTAGAACCTTGAGAGTCAGTGTTCCCTATGTCAAGAGTTCTAACTACATAATTACAAAAAGTATTGGAAGCACAGTAGGGGTTTTTTGGGTGGTGGGAAACAGAACAGAAATTAAGAATCCCAAGATTTCTTATATGTTGAACTTCTAAACTCCTTTGAAATCTGAAGAGTGAGTCATAATTTTTACAATGTAAGATGACTGATTATACTGTGATACCTTGGTTTTCGAACGTCTCCGTTGACGAACATTTCAGTTTTCAAACGCAGCAAACCTGGAAGTAAATGCTTCGGTTTTCGAACGTGCCTCGGAAGTCAAACATGTCACGTGGCTTCCGTATTGAGTTTTCCATATTGAGTTTTCCATTTTGAGGCTTCCATATTGAGTTTACCATTTTTGAACGTTCTGGAGCTCTTAACGGTCTTCCGGAATTGATTATGTTTGAAAACTGAGATACCACTGTATATGCCAAGACAGCATAGCAAGCTCTTCCCCTAGTGTGCCTGGATACACTGATTTACGCTACAAAGCCACATTCCTCCTCTTTTATTTGAAATTTACAGGAGCAAGGATTTTTTATTTTTTTTTAAAGTGACAGTTTAAACTTAAGTTTTAAGAACAGCAAGGGGCCATGTGACCAATCTACAAGATCATCTGCATGCAGGAAAAGGAATGGACATGGAAACTTCTCCTTTCCAGCTGGGAAGTTCTACACAAATTTTGGAGCTCAATTGTTTGGATTGGGTGAATATATTTATGTTACAGGATCAAAAAGAAAATAGCCCAAAGATTATTTCCAAGTAGTCCTGTAAAAAGGGCTGTGATACTGACATCAGAAACACATACCTCCAGTTTGTCAATCTTTCTATACAGTTGCTTCATTTCCGTTGCCTTTGCATGAATATGAGGCACACTTTCACTTACTACTTGAGAGGAATCACTTCGAATCTAGAAAAATATCAGACAAGAAAAATTCTAAACAACAGCATTAAGATTACTTGAGATCTCAAACATCATCTAAATGAATGAATAAAATGTTATTTAAACCCACAGGCCACTACAAGTAAAGAATTTGTGTCTAAGTGCTCATATAAAGAACAATCATAATCTAAACAAAACTATTTGGCTCAGAACAATTGGTTAAGGCTATTTCATTTTTTGTTTGGTTGATCTGAGCAAATCTGCACATGCCTGCGGGTAATGTTGGGATGCCACAAAAACTGGAATGCTACATGTTAAAACAAGCTAGATTCAGATTATTAATTTCATGTTGGTGAGAAAGCATGCCTAAAGGTAGTTTGATTTCAGTGGCTGACCGTATCTATTGTGTTCTTAGACTTACCATGTCTAACATCCCCACAAACTCATCTACCCTTGTCAGCAAATCTTCCAGACTCTTGTCTAAGGTTTCAATCTGCAAAAAATAAATAAAAATGCAAACGTCACAGGGCATTCTTATGTGGAATTCTCTCCCTAGAGAGGCTCGCCTGGTGCCACCTTTGGGTACCAGAAACACTCTTCTCCCTGGCCTTTGCCTAATTAAACGATAACCTTTTTAATTTGTGTCTGCGACGGGGGTGGAGTTTTTGTTTGCTACTATGTTGTGTCTTTTTTTGTGCTTCTTGGATGAGGGCATTATAGAAATTAAGAAATAATGATAACACATGGACTGGAAGAAACTCAGGGCAAAGTGGAGCTTGCTTCTGAGTAAACAGACACAGGTTTTGGTTGAACAATGGAAGCAATACCCATTAACCTCCAAGAAAGAAACTCCTCACAAAGTCCAAGGCCAGTAAGACCATAAACTAAAGTCCTACAGCTGCTGCGTTGCATAAAATCGGAGGTGAGAGGATGGGCGTAGTCATAATTTCTTTTTTTTGGGGGGGGGGGGGGCTAGGACACCCATCTGTCATCCTGCGGATTCTGAAGGAAATGTCTCAACGGTTGTTTCAAATTACTTTCTTTGGACCCAAAGTGCTCAGAAAAATCTTGTCAAAATCTTTCTACAGTTTCTACTCTTAGTTAAGTATTTATTTATTTAATTGATGGGGGGGACTCGCTACGCCCATGGGGTGGGTGAGTCCAGCCTAAAGGGGTGAGCCCACTTCGCCCCCTTACCTGGGACCCCCCATTGAACTGAGGGGGGGGGCCGCTTTGCTTCGAGGTAAGCACCGCGGCGCGACCCAACTCTCCCTCCCCGCTCCGAGGCTGCGGTTAAGCGGCGGCTTCCCCTCCTGAGGAGACGCGGGCGAGTGATTGCGCTCACCTGCCCGGTTGGGGCGACTCCTCCCAGCGGCGAGGGCAGCAGGTACCCGGCGTAGTCCGCCGCGGCCGTGGCCAGCAGCAGCTCCGCTCCGCAGGCATCTCCTTCGGCCGCGTCTTCTTCCTCCTCCCCGATGCCGGAGGCGCTGCTGTGGCTCTGAGAGACGTTCCCGCTGTCGCCGCTCAGCTGCGGAGGCGGCGGCAGCAGCGGCGGTTCCTCAGCTGCCGCCTCATCCATTCAGCCCCCTCCCTCGCGCTACTACTCTCCGCCCGCGCGCATCAGGAAGCCAACCGCCTGTCACCTGACGAAGCGCTTTTCAACGGTCGGCCCGTCAACTGTCGGTGGAGTAGCGGGAGGGTGCCTTTCCTCATCTACGGAAACCCAGCGGGGACACGGCCAAAGGGAAGGCTCGTTTGTTAAATAATGAGGGGCGTAGCGGAGGCGTGGCGTTCTTTTGAGCGGAGCCCGTGATTGGGTGTCTTGGGACTAGAGGCCCCGCCTGAGGCCTGGCCCCCGAGAGCGGCCTCCCTCCTTTCCTCAGTCTAGGCTGGAGAGCGTCCAGGGAGGTGCTTCTGCTTTCGTTTTCCCTTCTTTTCTCCCCCGCCCTGTGAACTTAGGACCGCATATTCCTTTTAAAAGCGAGGTGCTGCTTCTCTCTCCTCTCGTTTTGTCCAGCACCTGCAAGGTAGAGGAAGGCTAGGATGCGCCAAGCAGACTTCGGAAAGGAGCCCCATGGAGTTTCATAGCACTTGCTAACAGGTAAAGAGGTATACAATTGCAGCCGGAGCCACGTTGGTCTATCAGCAGAGTAGGGCCGATCCAAATGTCCACGAAATAATAATAATAATATTTTTTTATTTATACCCCGCCCTCCCCAGCCAAGGCCGGGCTCAGAGCGGCTTACAAGCAATAATAAAAACAAGAAGAATGATTACAACTTAAAAACAAAAATAAAATACAACATTAAAATAATGGAACATTAAAATATTAAAATGTAGCCTCATTGCAGGAGGAGAAGGAAAAGAAAAAAGAAAGAGAGGGAGGGAGGGAATCAAATTGGCTCCAAGCCAAAGGCCAGGCGGAACAACTCTGTCTTACAGGCCCTGCGGAAAGAAATCAGATCCTGCAGGGCCCTGGTCTCATGAGGCAGAGTGTTCCACCAGGCCGGAGCCAGAGTTGAAAAGGCCCTGGCTCTGGCTGAAGCCAATCTAACTTCCTTAGGGCCCAGGACCACTAGGGTGTTGTTATTTATGGACCTTGGAACATGCTGTGCTGAGATGTCAACCGCCCAACCACAAAAGAGGAAAACCTGCTTTAATGGTGAAGTTACAAACGCTTGACTTCAGTCACTGTCTTTTTAAAAAATAAAAAAGATTTTGGGACGAGAAACGCAGACATGGGGGTGGCAGGTGCCCCTAGATCAATAAAAATCAATAAAAATACAATTCTCAGGTTCTGACGCCCCCAACAAAAATCCTGACTACGCCCATTAAAGCAGACTTAATTAGATTAAGCACTTTGTAGCTTTGAGCTTCTGTCTTGGGCTGCTGGGACAAAGTAGTAAGTAATCACTCCTCCCTTTGTATGTGTGTGTGTGTGGAAATGTAGCACTTACCTATGCATCTGGATAAGGACTCATTTCTTCCTTGCCCTTACACCTGCCTTCCTCAAATAAATATTCAGCCCACAAATTTTGGAATTCCAGGACTGTAGATTGGGGAGCTACTGCATTTCCATGGAAACGTCCTTATATGGACTCAGACCATTGGCCAATTTATCTCAGCATTGTCTTCACTCAGTTGGCAGTGGCTCTCCAGGGTTTCACATTGGAGTCTGTTCCAGCCCTACCTGCATATGACAGGCATTGAAATTAAGAACATAAGAGCCCGCTGGATCAAGCCAGTGCCTCATCTCATCTAGTCCAGTGTCCTATTCTCGAAGAGGCCAGCTGGATGCCTTTGGGAAACTGGTAAGCAGGACCTGAGCACAAGAGTACTCTTCCTTCCTGCGGTTTCCAGCAATTGGTATTCAGAACCAGAATACCTCTTGACCATGGAGGCAGAGCCTAACTACTCTTATCCTCTCAGGAATTTGTCTAATCTTCTAAAGCATTGATTACATTGTGAAACATTGTCAACAAGATGTAGAAATACCTAATTCTATGCCTTCATCTTCCCCAGCTGCAATAAAACATGTTTCCTTCGTTTCTGTCTGTACAGTGGTACCTCGGGTTACATACGCTTCAGGTTACAGACTCCACTAACCCAGAAATAGTACCTCGGGTTAAGAACTTTGCTTCGGGATGAGAACAGAAATCTTGCCGCCGCGACGTGGCAGCAGTGGGAGGCCCCATTAGCTAAAGCGGTGCTTCAGGATAAGAACAGTTTCAGGTTAAGAACGGACCTCCAGAACGAATTAAGTACATAACCAGAGGTACCACTGTACAGCCATAGTAGGCACTGTAGGGGACTGACGGACGGGAGAGAGGGACTGGGGTGGCAAAGCTTAAGTTCTTTTATTTAGTGTATGCTTGGGGTTTTTCTGTCAGTATCACTTGGGGAAGTTCTCTTTCTATTCACTTGTTATGTTTCCTTGATGATGAGAGGTTGGGGTGGCCTAGGGTGTGGCTGATTGTCTTTGGCTGGCTGCAGTGGGATTTGTTTGTGCATGGGTGAGGGGGGTTGTCGGGTTAAGTTAGCCATATTGAATTGTACGTTGTCAGTGGGTTATGAGCTCTTTATAGTGTGAGTGGGCATTGTTATCTTGGAAGGTGTTCAGTAGGGCCAGTTCTGGGGTGACGTCTAGTACCTGTTTAGCTATTTTGCTTATTTCTGGTATGACTGCGCACACTCCTTTTCTGACTAGATCCTCAATTACTTGGTTTGGCGGGATCTGCTGGTTCAGACACAGCATATGTTTGGAGAAGGCCCCACGGGGGATCATGGGGAGGAGGTGCGAGGAAAAAACTGTTGTGACATTGATTTCTTTGGCAACTTGGAAGGGCTTTGGAGGAATCCAGAAACGGCAACCTGGAGCCCCACTGACCACTTAACTGCTCTCTTCTCCATCAGCTTGGGAGCTTTTTCTGAGATGCTTGCGGGGTATGATAGCATCCTTTGTCATTTGAGCATCTTTATCAAGATGCTAACAGATCTGCCTGCCTTTGATCAGTTGTGCTTCAAGGGAAGCTTACCAATCCTCTGATTCTTTAATATTTTCCAGCCCAGATAGATGTTAACCAAAGGATCTCACAATAGTCACCTCCTTGCAGGAGCAAGGAAGCATAAGAGAATCAGATGCACCACAAGAGCATCTTGGATGGGATGGCTTTCAAAGAGGGCTAGACAATTGCCTATCAAAGGCAACTAGCCATGATAGCTATGCTCAGCCTCCCCTGTTGGAGGGAGCATTGCTTCTGAAAAGAACTTGCTGGAAGCCACAGACTCCCCAAACGTGTTTCACAAGGACCCCTTCCTTCCCTCTGCCCCAGTACCTGAGGGTCATCACGTCTTTCCAGGGATTTGGCCAGAACAAAGTATATGCTGGGGAAAGGCTCCTTCCCTGCAAAGAAAATGGAGGAATCAGCAGGCGCCTGGCTCCCAGCCATGCTAGCACCAGTCTGGCGCATGAGGGTGGAGGACACAGGAAGGAAGCATTCCTATAGTATAGGGCACTCAATTGGCATTTCCACCTACATGAACTCTAAGCCTTCCCCCCTTGTTCCGGCCTGCCTCTCTCCTAAGGAAGATGCAAACTCTTGCAGGAAGCCACTGGTGGGAAGTGTGTTCCTATGATTCCCAAATGTTTCAGAAGCATCTTTTCATTCCTTTAGCTGCTTGATATAATCATAGCATGGCAGAGTTGGAAGGGGTCCCAAGGGTCATCTAGTCCAACTCCCAGCAATGCAAGGATCCTGCCCACAGCCAGCCCTGGTTGGGCTCCAAACTCCAGCCTTCTGGTTACCATTGCAATTCTGCATGGTGTGGAGAACGGGGAGAGAAATGTGTTGCTTACACTCTCATAACACTGATATGAGATCCACACCATGCAGCCCTTTCAATAACTAAAGGGCTGTCACATGGATGGAGCAAGCTTGTTTTCTCTTGCTCCAGAGGCCCTTAGGACCTGAAGCAGTGACTCTCCTTCCTTGGAGGTTTTTAAGCAGCGCTTGGATGGCCATGGATCATCTAGTTGAGATTTCTGCATATGCAGGGAGTTGGACTAGATGACCCTCAGGGTCCCTTCCAACTCTACAGTTCTATGATGCAATGTTTTAAAGAGCATCCAATGCGCCTTTAAAGCACATGACTTCCCCCGAAATGATTCGTGCCATTGTGGCTTCCCTCTCACAGACCTACAAGCCCCAGAACCCTTAACAAGCTATAATTCCCAGGATTGTTTGGAGGAAGACACCTGGTTTTTAGAACAAGGATGGAGAACCTGCAGTTTGCTCACCCCCATTTCCTAGGAACCAGGAATGAGAAGCTCAAGTGCTTCTAACAGTACAGTGGTACCTCGGTTTACAAACTTAACCCATTCCAGCAGTCTGTTCTTAAACCGAGGTGCACTTTCCCTACTGAGGCCTCCCTCTGCCGGTGCCCTTCCACCATTCGACTTCCGTTTGGCTTCCAGGGCAAAGTTCGCTAACTGGAACACCTACTTCTGGTTTTGCGGAGTTCTTTGTCCGAATCGTTCATTAACAGGGCTGTTCGTAGATCGAGGTATCACTGTATGGTTATAGGGAGCAGCGTGTATAAAATATTGAATGTATAGGGTTATTAAGGTAATTGTAGCAGAATTATTATGGGAATGTGGAGGGAGGGGGACAGAGTGAGTATGGTGGGATTCTGGTGGTGAGTGATGATTGGATGAGGATTTGAAAGGGAGTTTGAATGCGAGGCAGTTGAGAGCAGTGGGTTCTGGAGGGAGTGGTTGGGCAACTAACTATTCAGTTTAGGATCAGTAGTCTAGTCATCATTTTTGTAATAAAGCAACAGATAAGATAAAGAGAATTTGAGGCCATGAGCTTAGTTACATACGTCATCATTTAGTGAATCATTCATACAGTCTCCTTTAATGAGGGTGTAGTACCTAGATTCTGGACCAAACATTGATATTTTTTGCTCTTTTCTAGTTTCATAGGTTTATGTTTTGGTTCTAATGATGTAATAGGGGTGGGGACTCTTTAAATACTGGGGGCGTTGCACACTCCTTTTTAAAAATAAAGTAAAATAATTTCCCCTCATTTTCAAAAACACATGCATTGTCTCTTTCTTCAGGTTCTTCAGTTACTGTTGTGAAACACTGGTGTTATATGCAGTATAGGGCTGGGAAGAAAAGAGGGGGCCTGTAACTCTCCAACAGTTTGATTTCACCACCAAAAACACAAATAAATACTTATCTACAGTCACTGTTTCAGTCACCTACCCAATCACGGACAGTTATATGCCTTAAGTGAGAAGCCTGCTAAACTCATGGAGACTTATCCCCGATTTGTAATGAGGACTAATGACACAAAGACTGCAGGTTGTAGTCTGGTTAACTTTTCAGAAGAGGTTAACAGAATCTGTATTCGCTTTAGAACATTTATGTGATTGATACTTTTGATCATGAAGTATTTGTTACACAACAGTGAGATTGATCAAAAGCCAACTTCATGTGATTTTGACAAAGTGGTTCTACAGGGATCCCATTCTGCATAAATATTGGGGGCCTCTAAAAATTTAACGTGGTCTGTTCACCAACGGGAATCAGTGTCTGGTATTTTTACTGGCTCCATTTCTCCAACACAAAGTTCAATTATTTGCTTTTGCTGCATCCAGCTCTCAGCAACTCTGTATAGGTAAAATAACCCTGCCATCTAGTTTCCTAACATATTCACACTCTTCCAATTGTTCCATACAATCCATTTCATTCTGTATGGCAAGGTATTCAATGGCTACCTAAAATTCTCACCCCGGTACACTCTTCAGTAGCACAGGTGGGGAACTTGTAGCCCTCCTGATGTTACTGGACTCCCATCTCCCATCAGCCCCAGACAGCACAGCAATTGGCCAGGGATGATGGGCGTTGAGTCCCAACAACATAGATGGCAACACATTCCCACCTCCTATTTCTTCTGAAGCACCAAAGGTATTTTTATTGAGATGGCTTTGGTGCCCAGGACGTGGGTTTGGGGTGATGGTGGCATTGTTCAGTTAAGAAATATTGAAGCTTGTACATAACTTTATTCCAAGCAGAACAATAAAAGGCTTTTTTATTAAACAACCCCAAAGTGTTTTGAGCCCTTTATAGTACAAAATAAGGGTGTGGAAGGTGTGGGATATAATTTATATAAAGAATTTTCATTTGTTTAGAAACGCTTTAATACACAAAACTACACAGTAAAAAACAAAGAAAATGACAAAGCTAAAAGTAGAAAAATACATTGTAACACAATTATATTTTTTCCTAGACACTTCATAATATAGTCAACCTTTTTTCTACTAAACATTGTAACAGCTTGTGGCGTTTTATAGAACAGAAAAACAGCTGGGAGCAAAACCGTTTCTTTTGGAGTAGCCTATTATTGATTTGCTTTATAACTAATCATGATCCCAACAATCTAAGATAGTCTTTACTTGAAACACTTGATATGCTGTCGAATTGTAGCATTTTAGATTCCAGGGACAATAAAATAAAATAACACTCTAGCTTAGGAAATCGGTACATACCAAGAGGAACCAGGTTTCATTATTAAAGACTCTGGATTCAAGTTAATTCTAAACAGTAAGACAATTTTAGGCTGCATTCCTAACCAAAACTTTTCAGAAACAAGTCCCATTAAATTCAATGGGGCTTACTCCCAGATAAGTGGAGTTAGGATTACAGCCTTAGATGAGTTTCTTGTGGTGACATAGAATGCAGTCCAAGCAATCTTATTATTTATTTGCAAATTCAGTACTGTTATCAATATAAAAAAGTGAAACCAACAGTCACTAAAATTTGAGTATTTGTCTAATAAATATTTTAGCAATAAAAAGAGAACACATATCCTGATGGTGCAGCAATTAAACCAACCTCCATGCTGCCTGTTGTTGTTTTTTCACATCATATGAAGACAGTTTATTCCAACAGTACTACAAGTCACCAGCAGGTGGTGATGATCAAAAAGAAATTATGGCAACAATGTGACGCTATCCCACTTTAAAAATATACATATAAAACACAAAATCATTTGGTCAAAGTTTTGTTCCAAAAATAAAAAACAAAAACAAATGCAGCATTCCCTCAACGCTATTTCCAGGATAGAAAGTTGTTCAGTTAGCCCTTTCCAGATTTAGGGGCAAGACAAGTAAATTTTCTGTGTAAACAAACTAGGAAGCAGTATATAATGGCAGAAAGAAAAATTTCAAAATTTAAACACATTGCATTGTATCCAATCATGCTATTCAACTGATGGTAAGGCTTTGGTCAGTATACTGGAGCAGTCAGCAATTTCCCCTTCCTAAATCTGCTCCAGAGAACTCGGGAACCCCCCAGAGCAGATTTTTTTTGGGGGGGGGCATTGTAGGAAGAGGGAATAAGGATTTCCCTGTTCAGCTGACAGAAACCTGACTGAGCAACCCTGTTGGATGCAATCCTTAATAGTAGTTTTCCCCTCAAAGACTAATTTATGAATGCCCATTCCATGTTTACTGTGTCTGTTGTTATTAATCATCAAAATATATACAATTTACATGTATATATTGCAGCATATATCCATACATGCAGCAGACATACTTTCATAGATGGGATTCTTTTTAAAAAATGCAGCAATCTTTACTTTCCCTCATTCTGACCCTAGGAGCAGAAACCATATTTACAATTTTTCATGGGTTGCAATAGGCAGCACTTTTATGTATAATCCTGAATACCACCATGTCCGGAAAGCAACACACAGTGTGTCACACCTCAGAAGGTCTAAGAGAATTAAGATTCCCTCTCTTCGGGATGTGTATAGATTTGTTCCAGTTGGCACTTCAGACAAGAAACACACACACACACACACACACACACACACACGGAAGCACCCACTAAAGTGTGATCACCGTTCCATCCTCCTCAATGCCTCCTTTGGGAATAACCAAGCTATGACGAGGATCAGTTTTTAAGGAACTCAGAATTTTGTGAATATTGCCGTTGCTTTCTCGTCCCAAGCTGTTGTTGAGTACCAGGTCCCTCTGTAGTCTTTGGCTAAGACTGCTGCCGTTAATTCGGGAAAGGCTACCAGAAGGAAGGCTGTGCGATTTCGGAATGGGCTGTGGCTCCAGACAGCCCTCAATTACAATGTCAGCATCCTCGTCACTCTCCATTTCATCAGGGTGGAAGTTCTGCAGGACATGAGAAGAAGGCAAACTGTGATGACTTGCAGTGCTGTCCGTAGACTGGCCAGAACTCCCAGACATCCGACTGCTTCTGATAATATTGTTCCTTTGGTTTGCTGGCTTGACTGTGATGATAAGATTATGGCTATTGGCGATCATCATGTCCGTTACCTGATCAAGAGTTTTCCCGGCCACTTCTATGCCATTCACTTCCAGGACTTCATCATTGACAGCCAACAAGCCTGTACTCTCAGCTAAACCACCAGGAACCATCCGAGAGATGAAAATTCCAGGTACCTTTTCCAGCCCATGAGGAGTTACTCTGACACTGGTCCCATCACGAATGTAGAATCCTAGAGGCTTCTCACACCCATGTCGATACAATCTCACTCTCCTATGAGTTTCAGGTAGGATGTCCACATCAATGATGGAAGACACGGGTCTAAAATCCTGAGGCATGCTGATATTAACGTGGGGGCGTCTGCGAAGGTTGTCATTCCGGAGGGTCACCAGAGCTTTCTTTTTCCTGGTTAAGGTGTTTGAACCAAAGTTACCATAATCTGCTTCATCTGAGAAGAGAGGAGAGGAAGAGTTGAGTTTCACATGCCACTGAGCCATAAACTCTTTCCAGCAAGCAATGGAATTTCATCTCCAACATTTATAAAATGTAGTCATTTGCCCATGCTGCAAACAGTTCTTGCTTTGAACATCTTTCTCCTCCCCACCCCACATTTCAGGGATTTCAACTTCCATCTGTCCCAGCCAGCATAAACTGTTGCTAGCAACAAACCATAATTTATAAGAGTTTTTGTGAGATTGGAGGAGGATGTGGGCTGCTGCTGTGCAATGCAGAAGCAGCCCTTGTTGTGTTATCTGTAGATAAGAACAGTTAATGAATTTTTACATCAGGTTATGTTGCAAATACACCTACGAAGAAATCTATCAGACAGAAATTCCCAAAAGTTAAATAGGATTTCTCAGATGAGAGATGAATACAGTGGTACCTCGGGTTAAGAACTTAATTCGTTCTGGAGGTCCGTTCTTAACCTGAAACCGTTCTTAAGCTGAGATACCACTTTAGCTAATAGGGCCTCCCGCTGCTGCCGTGCCGCCGCTGCACAATTTCTGTTCTCATCCTGAAGCAAAATTCTTAACCTGAGGTACTATTTCTGGGTTAGCAGAGTCTGTAACCTAAAGCGTCTGTAACCCGAGGTACCACTGTTACTTTGCAGACCCATCATGGAGGGACATTTGTTATTATTAAATATATTTTACAGACTTCTTTCTCAAGTGAACCCAAGGCAACATACAACAGTATACAAATATACATTATATGGAAAAAAAATTAAGGAAGAAAGTCACATCCATATAATATGCCAAAGCTATTTAAGTTGGGTATATATGCTGAGCAAACCAATTGCCAGGCCTTTGGGAGGGGCTGGAGAGTGCGATGAGCTATTTAGCTGTGATTATTCACAGCCTGATATTTTGCTTGATTTTGTTTATTTTAATAAAGATTTTAATAGCATGTGTACTTGAGCTTGTTTTTATTGCACTGTTCTAATTATCTTGTTTACGTTCTACCCTGGGACCATTTGGTGATGGGCAGATTATAAAATCCCATCAGTAAGAACTGGTGGGAGCTCAGGTTTTCCTGGCAAAGGGAGATATTTCTGCTCCCATAAATATTTCTTCAAAAAGACACCTAATGGTGACAACCTGGGCATATTGCCAAGCACATCTTTAAGGAAGCAAGTATCCTATTTCCCACGCCGCCTAGGAGGAGGATTGGCAGAAATTGCAGAAAGGGATAAAGGTATACAGAACCAGGAGCAGGGGATGGTGATGGCTACTTTTCTGTGCCCAGTGGTTTGTTAGTGCAGGGTAGGAGAGTGAATCAATAAACCCAGGCTACTTGGAGCACACACTATACTAATCATGTCCCAGAGCAGCTCATTGGCAAGGTTGGTGGTATCAGAAGCAACAGTGTGGCTACTATGTGTCAGGGACTGGCTGGACTTGGAGTGGTGGGAGACACCAACAGGGAAATCTCCAAGTGAAATGCCAGAGGAAGAAGACTCAGAGCCAGGGGATTGGTAGTGAGACACTGAGGAGAGGTCAGAGGAAGCAGTCAGTGAGCAGGAAGAGCCAGTGATAGAGAGCAGTTCAGAATCTGAAGCTAAGGCAGAGGAGGGGCGGGGCAAGGGGCTGCTGAAGAATCCAGGGAGCCTCCCTCTCCTGTTGTGACAAGCTTCCCTCCTCCCTGGTCTCCAAGAACATGCAGAATAATGAGGAAGGCTGAACAGAGACCAGAAGTGTGCAGGTGCAAGTTTGAGAGTGCTTGGGAAACATCTAGGAGAGGAGGAGCCTTAGAAAGAGTGGGAGGCAGGAACCTTCAGTCCTGGCAACTGCTCCACAGGGGCAAGGCACGCTGGGAAGTGTTGTATGCTGTTTCCTGGAATAAAGAGTTAACTTCACTGACAACGGAGCCTTGTGTCTCTCATGCTGACCTGCATCTGACTCCAGCCCTGAGACTCTGAACCCAGTTCTGTCTTCACTCAAGTTAATCGGAAGGTGGTCTTCAGAAGAAAAATGGGAGTTATGCAAACAGGATAAGACTTGTGGACTATGTAAGCATGGTTTAGGAAACCATGATTTAAAACGATTCAATCAGAGCTAATAAAGAATGGAAAGTGGTGGTGAAAATTCTTCAGCATAGCTCACACACTCAGTGGTCTTAAATACAGTTCTGGAAAGCCTAGGAAATTGGGCAAGCATGAGGCTAAGCAGGAAGACACCCACTTGTGTTTTGTCAATTTCTAAAAGGTACAGTATGTTATTAGACGTGCAGGCAGAAAGTAATCAAAGTAGTCATGGTCTTTCAACAAAGGCAGAGCTGAGAAAACTGGTGCCCCCTCCCCAGAAGCCTGGCATCAAAAAGTATGTCAAGCACAAGGGAGCATGGGCAGGCATTTCCTGTTACTGCTCCCTAGTTTCCTTGATGCCAAAAATGAGCCATGAGTGCCAGGACAAGTTATAGCAACTGGTTGTGTGGGTGGAGTTGATGAATTGATGACTACTTGCAAAGCTGCTTTGATTTATGGCTCCAGTTAAGCAACCATGAGGTTGGGACACGTCTGTGCCGCCTCCTGCGTGTGGTCGGAATAGCCACTGCAAGTTACTGTTTTATCTCCATGGCGTTTGGAAAAGAAAAAGCTATTTGTTTTAACTCACTCAACCTCCTCAGCTGCATTCTGCTTATCTTTTGAGTCATTCTTCTGAAAGTGACTTTTCTAAGAGTTTCAAATTAAAACAGCACACACAAACAAATGTTTGGAGGAACCCAAAGACTGATAATGTTCATTCCAAGATTTCCTGAGCAGAGAGTGTTAGAAAAATAGGATGACACTTTCTAGCAAACTGGGATTTCCTTTTCCTCTTGCCACCTCTTTTTAAAAGCTTCGCATATTCTGGTCATCACACAATTATGCATGTGTGCATTTCATTATTAATTGGTTTGTTAATTAATTAATTAACCAACCCTATTTCAGGGTGTGGAGATCCAGTACAGAGGTAAAGAATACCTTCAATATTAAACTTAAAAGTCCCCTAAGTCTAAGTAGTCTTTTCATTTTAAGAAAAGTCATGAGGGACACCTATACAAATGAATGTTAAATATTGAGCATCTGGTCTTAGGAGGAAAACAGGTATACTTCGAGCAAGATATTATAGACAACCATCACCACCACACAAAATCCCTATAACCAGAAGTGCCACTCCCATTGCTTGGACAGCTGCTTTTTATAGGAATTGCCTGCCAGATGAAATACCAAAGCGTAGCCAGATAAGATTATGTAAACAAGCAAGATTCCACAGAGAACCAGACTGCCAGACTCCTATAGGAAGAATTCATTTTGGAGTTTGCATTTCTAGTCTGCATACACTCGTAGGGTATTATTTCTTCTGGGAACTGTGCAACTTTAGTCGACAGCTCTGGAAACTACATCAAAGACAGAATTACTTCCACTAAGGAGAACAGCACTTCAGGCAACTTTGGGAAGGAAGCCAACAACTCATTAAGAGCATTTGGGGTGCCCCTCAACCCAAAAAAAATCTCAATTACTGAATGCAGAAGTAAACAGAAGGATAACTTAAAACTGGGGAGGGCTTTAAGCCTTCACTTCATCACCCAAGAAAACTTTTCAGTGGATTTATTTATTTTTAAAGCCTTAAAAATCTGCACCACATGGCCTTTTCCTACAGAGAAAGATACACAAGTGGTTTCGGAAAGTGATAAAAGCCTGGCCAGGAAACTTACTCCATCGTTTGTTATAAAATGATGGAACATGCAGAGATACAGAAGGATTCAAAAAGGAAACAGATATATCGTGAACTCTGACTTAGGCTGCTTCCTTTACCCAACTCAGATACAAGTGAGCAAGTTGGATAAGGCAAGAAAGAAAAACACAATGCGATGCCCAACCAAAACCTACTTGTGCTGTAGTCAAGCAAAGTCATTGAACAAACAAATGCTAAAGTAAATTGGGCTGAGTTTATTGTTTGAAAGGCTGCTGTGCCTTTTGGGTTAAAGTAACCTGTTTTTACAATCCTACCCAGTTAACCCCTGGGGAGGGGAATCTGTGCTGCAAGTTCAAACAGAAAATCCTGGCAGATCAAATTTTGTACACAAGAAAGTCTTGTGGTTTTTTCTTCACATGCACTGTACTAAGGGTTTTTATATTATTATTATTATTATTATTATTATTATTTATTATTTTATTTGTTAAACAGTGACTCTGATGTTCTGGTTATCTCAGAAACTGTCCCCTCTTCTGTTCATTCTATCTTGAATTCCAATTCTTGGCTCTTTTGCCTTGATCATCCAATGAAAGAGGTGCTCCTTTAACTTACTTACTTACTTACTTTTTCCTGTTCCACCTTTTTGACCTCCAAGATGGCTAAGCATTAAGAACCAAATGTAAATAAGCTGAAATACACACACACACACCAAACACCAACCAATGAAATCAAGTCAGCAGCAACTTAGTTATCCAGCTGATGAGAGTAGGCCAAAAACCTGAGTTCAGCACACAAATTCACAGCTCAAAAAGTGATAATGGGTTAACCTAAAATAAAGCAACTGCTCGCCTTGATATGTATAGGCTCTCATCTGGTCTATTAGAACCAGCAGGTGGTTTTTTTAAACAGAGGAATGCTAAGTAATTTTTTTTACTTTTACTTGAGCTATTTTAATTGCATCAGGAAAGCTAAACTAAATTGCATTAGGAAAGCTAAACCTAATCCCTTTCTATATACACAGACAGCAATTCAGACTTTCAAACATTTGAGAAAATCAGTATTCGCTGATATTCCAGTCGTGCTCTCTGTAGCTCCAGTTGGTGACCACCAGGGGTCATTGCTCAGCTTCTATAATTTTCCAGTGCAGTATTGGGATTGTTAAAGGAAGGGATGGGGAGAATGTAGATTTGGTTCTTATTACCTAATCCAAATGAACTGAGGCACAGCTATCTTTCAAAATGTGCACTTTTCCAAATTGCAGTGCTGTTCTTCGAGAAAGTATTTTGCACAGAAATGTGTATTGTGTTGGGGGGGAAATAATTTATCAGTAAAAAGTAACAAAAATGCCTCATATTTGAGAAAATTGCTTGCAAAAATGTGTGTATTCAGAGAAATACACAGTAAATTGCTGACAATTTTTTTTTGGCAATTAAAAAAAACCTTCTGAACTAAGCTGAGAATGTGTAAAAATGAAGATTGCGGGGAGGTGGGGATGCGCCAGAGAGGAAACGAGAGAAAAATCAAACCTAGCATATAGATACGGATGTAGATTGGTTATACTTATAAGACTGCTGTTCTTATGAGTGAAAAACAGACTGGTACTTTCTTTTGCAGGCTAAAAGTACAGCAGGCTGTTGAAGAAGGGACACTCATGTCTCCTTTGCCAGTCTGTTGCCTTTCCAGAATGGGTGAAGAGGAAGAGAAGCCAAACAGGCTGGCAACAGAGGCAGAGTGCTTTGCCAGCTTGCTCAGTCGCCTGGAGAGAATTCCTGGGTTGGCACTGGCGACCAGACAAGGAGTTCAATGCAAGGGCTTCAGTAAAGGGGCACTTGGCACCAACACTTCCCTTCTCACTTTCACTGCCTTCACTCAATTCCTCAAAAGTGCTCATCCACATGTGCCATCAGTCTCACATCTGTGGCGTTGGATTATACAGAACTAGAGATAAAAGGTTTTTGGGGATGGAAAGCAATATATGGAAACAATGCAAGGGGAATAATCCACTAGTTATGGTTTTCATGGGGGGGGGGAGGAGCATGTCCCTAATCTGTAGTTTCCTGGAATTTTGTGGAAGGGAAACGATATTTTAGAGACTCATCCACAATTATGGTGGATAGTGATACCAGATAGTGCATAGCAACTATTCTGTGCCATGATCACCTCTCAACAGTGAACTGCCATGTATAAAAACACTGTCAACTGCTGTATATACAGGTGAAACTCGAAAAATTAGAATATCGTAGAAAAGTTCATTTATTTCAGTAATCACAATTATAACAAATAAAGGCTTGACATATCTGGCTTTGCATGTCATGAGTCTATCTCATATATTAGTTTCACCTTTTAAGTTGAATTACTGAAATAAATTAACTTTTCCACGATATTCTAATTTTTCGAGTTTCACCTGTACAGTCCAGCTGCATTGCAGGGAGCTGCTTCTACTTTGAATGCCTTTCTTCCATATCTGCCTATCACAAGTGATTTATTTAAGGGTGGGTGGGAATAGCCACATTGATATTTTGGGGTTCAAGACAGGTAGCGCTTCTTTGACTGGAGCCCTTAACATCTTCCTCTGAAGTACGAAGTGTTGGCTACTAGAAAGAATAATCAGGAGGTGCTTATCAGGGACACAGAAGGCTGTCATGCAGGCAGTTCTAGTTTTTGTCTTTCTGAGGGGGGCAGAGAGAATGCATTCATGACTCTTTCCTTTTCCTGTCAGTTAAACAAAAGGATTGAGAGTGGCCCCCCACTTCTCTGGAAGATTTGACACTATCTCCCTAGTGAAAGTACATCCAAAATAAGCAGGCTGCTGTGCTGGGGAATCCCACAGCTCTGTTAAAGGAAAACATCCAGTTTAGTAAACTCAGTTGACACCAGGCAGCTTCCAAACAAACAGCTGCAAGTGGTTTTCTGCAAGTCTGTTAAGCCTGACACATGACATTCCAAATCAGCTCTCCTTGAATTCCCAGAGCCTGGCATTACCCAAGTATCAAAGCCTCCCCAATAGCTGGCTGAGTTACTGGTGTAGTATCGTGTGCCCTGTTCCTACTGAAGCAGAGAAGCATTTCCAGGGCTTTGTGGATTTTACACACACGATGCAAAATCAAAATTAAAAAGCGGAACCTAGCAGCACAACTCTGTGGTCCTTAACCCCTTCGTGTGCTAACTAGCAGTCGTGAATTGTTATGTTTGACTGCAATCTCCCACATATTTCAATTGGTTCCTGGTCTAATTTCTTATCGGTAAAAAGAGCATAAAAACAGGTGCTCAAGAAAGAGTTGTGTATGGGATGGTCCCATCTACCTTTGGCTCTGGTCTCCCCTACTATGCAGCCTCACACTCAGATTACCTCCGGGGGGGGGGGGATAGTTACTCAGGCTTGGCCTAGATATGTGGGAAAGTAATTCTCATGAATCTCCAGCGCTTACAAGTACAGTCATACTTTGCAAGTTGAACGGAATCCGTTCCGGAAGTCCGTTCGACTTCAAAAACGTTCGGAAACCAAAGCACAGCTTCTGATTGGCTGCAGGAAGCTCCTGCAGCCAATTGGAAGCCCCGTCACACATTCAGGTTCCAAAGAACGTTCGCAAACTGGAACACTCACTTCCAGGTTGGTGGCGTTTGGGAGCCAAAACAGACGAGTACCAGGGCGTTTGGGACCCAAGGTACGACTGTAATAGGCTTTCAGCCCGAAATAAAACAAAAGGAGGGGCATGATTTCTAGATTCCAGCCTATCATATTCCAGCATTACTATGCAACATTCATTAGGCAGTTAAAGGGGTTCTGTGACCTTTCACATAAGAAGAGCTTTGCTGGATCAGGCCATTGGCTTATCTGGTCCAGCATCTTGTTCTTGGTGGCTGTGGTAAACCTGAAAGCAGAACTTGAGTGCAAAAGCGCTCTCCCCGTTTGTGATTCCCAGCAACTGGCAGATTGTTACAGTTTTTAAATTCAGGTGGTGAACTGATGCATGTATGGCAGAAGGAATTCCTCCCCCCCCAAAAGATACTTTAAAACTGCAATCTTAAACACACTTGCCTAGAAATAAGCCTCACTGAACACAGTGGAATGCCTATCTAAAGGTGAATAGAATTGCACTGCAAAAGCTAAAATTAACAAGATTTTTTAAAAAAACAAAAAACCCCTGAAGAAATCAGCTTCTCACTTTGAGCTTAACTGGAATGTGGTTACAAGAAAATCTAAAGCTTATGCTCTGGGATGTATACTTGATATTAAACCAGAGTTTCCCAAACTTGGGTCTCCAAACTATTTTTTGGACTACAGCTCACATCATCCTTGACCACTAGTCCTGGTACCCAGGGATGATGGGAGTTGTAGTCCAAAAACAGCTACAGACCCCAGTTTGGGAAACCCTGTGTTCAACAAATAAGGTGCACCGAAGAACAAGGATTCCCTGGGAATTTTTTGACTGGCTTTGGAATACTGTGCTGTAGCTGTTCCAGGTCATAAAGGAAAAATATAATCAGCCACCAAGAGTTTTCTAGCTTAGACAATAAGCTGGCAAATACCACCAGTGGAAAGGTACTCCACATCTATGAATCCAAACAACAAGGCATCTGAATAAGAGTGCGTGATACAAGAAACCTCAACACTCTTTCATGTTCCGACCTTTGGGAGCATTGCTGGATAAGATTTAAAGTTAGTCACAAGATAAACACCAATCGGGGTCAGAACACAGCTGCATACTCTCTTTAATCAGTTCTGCACAGTTGCAATCCAGGATATCATGATCTTTTCTAAACTGGCAGGCCAACATGTCCACCTGTACATGAGAAGGAAGAACAGCACTTTGCTCCTAACTGACACACGGGCCAAGGCTCTTATTTAACCGTCTGTGTCAAGATGGAACAGGAATTCATTCCATCGGCTTGTGTACCTCAGCTTCAGATCCCAGCCACTCAGTTCACATGCAACAGAGTTACTCCAGAGGCCGGCTGGTGGGAGTGCCATGAATTACTTCAGAGCAGCCCTGCAGGGCATAACAAGGAGTGGCACCAAGGAGTTCCAAAGGAGACTCATAGACAGTCATGCCTTGTTAGGAAAAAAGGCTGGTGCAACCTAGGGCCTTTAAGACAGGGCGTGTGTAGAGAATGAGAGAACAGGAAATTAACAGCATTTAAAGAAACAAGGGCCACAAAGTCAACACCGAAGGAGGGACATCCACCTTGCCTGTGCTGCACCTCCTTGATCTAAGCGCAGTTCCCCTCTTTTAAAAATTGGGTAAGTTCTGAACCAAGACCTTGGCAGCAACAGTGTCCAGTCCACAAAGCATTATTCCCACATGGTACCATCCTTGTCAACCTGCCAGGACGGTATTGCACAAAGACAGGACAAGGCTAACGATTTAAAAGTGATCATTTGTGTCTGGCTGGCTGTAGCGATTCAAAATTATTCCTGGATTCAGTTATCTTTTATTTTCTAGCTCTAATCTACAACATGTAACAACAAAGACTCAACAGTGTCTGGCAAGGAGAAATAATGCAATAGACCTCCCCCCCCCCCAATATTTGAACCACTTTATGTTCCTGACTCATCTTTTTCTGCTCTTTTAGAGGCAGCAGTCTTTTGTGTTAGGTCACACCCCTGGCAGCAGTCATTTATTGATTGGTGCCCTTGGCACTTCCTCAAAATGCCAAAGGTGCCCCGAGACCCAAAAATGTTGGTGACCACTGCCTTAAAACAGCAGCGAAGCTGGAATGAGATATGAGCCAATGTTCCACAAAACAGCAGCCAGGGCTATCCATTAGTGAGATAATGCACCCTAGAGCAAAATACTTCTTGGACCTACTTGATTTTGGCTACTGATTAAAAAATTGGCAATGTCAATTAATGTCTGTGTTCTACTATACAGAATGCTGTAAGATCCACATCATTCCCAGAACAGAACTCAGCAGTAGGTCAGTTTCCCTTTAAATTGTGCCAATCAGCTTAGAGCGCAATGCCCAAAGATAGCAGACAGTGAGCCCATTGCTAAGCCAAGTTTTGAATTTTACCATAACCACTGAAATATATTCAGATATAGAAAAGCCTACATCTGGAAGCACCAGAAAAACAAAGGATTTATTCAGTATTTAATACTGTGACAGCCTTCCCCAGCATGTCTGAGGCTGATAGCAGTTGTTGCCATCATGATAGCACCAGGCTGAGGAAGGTCTGATCTTTGTGAGAAACGCTATAAAGGGTTAGTTTCACTGCAGGAGGAAAATGCACAACCATCCTTGTAGCAAAAATGTCTGGAATGTACAAGATAACCAGTTTAAACTGAAATACCCCCTTCTCCAAGGGCAACACATCTATTATATATATTAGACAACTCAAATAAATTCTAGCCTGGATTGGATCATTTTAGAACCAGTTTTAGAACTGTAATCCCATGTAAAGCAACAATCACAACAGGAACAGCAGGATTCAAAATAGGTTTTTTGTGTGAAATTACCATAGTGTTTTGCTCCACTGAAAGCAGAGCAAGGTAGTTCAAACAACACTCCCAAGGTGGGAAGGAAGGGAGAGAGACTAAGGAGAATAGGAAAACTTAAATATTGTTTTAAAGCTGCAATAAAAAGAGACTAGAGAATCATTGTTCTCAGCTGACCCTGAGAGCAGGTCAAGAAACAACATGCTTATGCTACAAAGAAGAAGACGGGTTAAAAATTAAAGAAGCATCTTAAGGTAAAGAGAAGCTAGACAATGGAATCAGGTAGATAGGGATTACATAGAATTCCTCCTTTGTGGGGGTTTCAAGAAACAGAAAAAGGTTGTGCCAGCAACAGTTTAGGAATAATCTTTGGTCACTGAAGACCACTTTTAAAAAAACAAACCTGAAGAGGATTCATCAGAAACATTCTTTTTGGAACTCACTGGCTTTTATAGCTGTTCCCATCCTGTGCATGAACTCATTGTGCTGCAGAAAGAATAACTGGAACCAACCGTTCTTTAGCTATGATAAATTGGTGGGTTGTTTAAACCATGGTGTCGTGTTAAATCAGTTTCCTGGTTCAGTGGTGAGCCCTGCTAGTACTAACCAGGCTATAAAACTGGTTTAATGGCCTGAGATAGTATATCTTGACCAGGATATATGTATGTAATCCTCAGCCATTTTCCTCCTAAGCCAAAACCATACACTAGCATATAAATATAAAATGGACACACACACAGGGTGAAACTACTTGCAGGTATCTAGACAAGAATTGCTCCTATCTGTTGCATTAAAAGGCAAAAAGAGGGTAAAGGGAGGCTATTTCATGGTGAGACTAAACATACGTAACATTACTTTATATGACAAAATTGTTGGAGAACATGGTAACAAATTCATTTTTTTTAAAACTTTATATATATTGTGGTTTTTATGTTGATATTTTCTGTGAACCGCCCTTAGACCTCCGGGTATAGGGTGGTATACAAATTCAATTAATAATAATAATAACAACAATAATAATAATAATAATATTTTTTTAAAAAACATCAACTTAAAAAATCAATAATGATTTGTAGTGGCAGGCAAGCTTCACACTTGGTGTGTGTCAGAGAAAAAGTAATAGCATTCTGAAATTATTGTATAACTTATCATATGTGATAATTTACAAAGATTCCTGGGGGTGGTAGGCCCCCTATGGCCTGCAGGCCCTTGCGCACCCCACAGCCCTGTACACCCTATGTTGGAGAGGCAAGAGAAGTAGGGAAACCACTTAACTATGGTTTGCTCAGTGTCAGTGTAATACTTTGTCATGGTTAATGCAAACCAGTTTGACAACCCATTCCAAGCCACATTCCACATCTTGTTTGCTGCTCTGACTATGAATGGAAAATGAACCACGGTTAAGTGTTGCCCTTGCAGAGTCTGGAAAGTAGCTATTCATAGCTGAAAACATGATCTTGGAGATGCAACATTTGATCCAAATGCAAGGAAAACAGCACCCCAGACTAGAAACAAAACAAACAAAAAAAATCCTTCCAGTAGCACCTTAGAGACCAACTAAATTTGTTATTGGTATGAGCTTTTGTGTTCATACCAATAACAAACTTTGTTGGTCTCTAAGGTGCTACTAGAAGGAATTTTTAAATTTTGTTTCGACTACGACAGACCAACACGGCTACCTACCTGTAACTAGCACCCCTGACTGTTAGGGTTTGCTTCTAGGCTTCTTGCATGGAGATAATAAGCTTATTTAAAGAAAACCCAATAGCGCTGAGGCACTAAATAATATGCCTGCTTGAGCAAAACATAGTCCGGGAAACAGGGTGAAATCAAGTGACTGGTGTACAGAGCACTGCTGTACAGTATTTCTTGGTAGCATGCATGATGCGGTTTATTTTTCCAGTGAGGTATTGTATGCTTGGGAAAACATGCAGGACTTGTTTGCTTTTACGCTTCTGCAGTCAAAGGCCAGGGCAGCATAAACATGCCGTAGTTCCCATTTACTCCCTTCCCCAAATGATAGCACAACACAATTTAAGCTGAGCAATGCTCTTCTGATTGCTACATTAATTAAAACGTGCCCATGCCCCATTCTGATCCAGCACCCTGAGCAAAATGCAATCACAGCAGCATCCTCCCGCACTTTGCCACTTTGACAGAGTAGGAAGACTAGTCACATTTCTGCAGAGCCCACCGCCATTCCTCAATAATTAAATCCCCCCCCCAAAGAACCAGGAAATGCACAAGTGCACCCCAGCAGACTTGGCTCAACTAACTCTGGAACTCTGTAGTCTTATCCAACAGAGCTCTTAGGGTTTTTTTTGGGGGGGGGCAGAACTTGGTGGGCTCGGTTAAAAGCAAAAGGTTAGCAGTTCAGCTGGCAAAATCCTTGGTGCATAACTGACCAGGCAGTGCTTATTATATAGTTTGATTGATTTCAGCACCACTGGACCAGTAGAATGGTGACATGGTGAATTCTGAAGTGCGAGAGTGCACCGTGACTGCTCCCAGAGCCGTGTTTTCTGGGAATAAGTTCAACTGAATCTGTGGTGCTGACTTTGGACCCTCCCTGTGGGATAAACAGCAATGTGATTTTTAAAAGGCATCTGAAGGCAGCTCACTTATTCAGGGAAGTTTTTAGTGCGTGGTGTTGTATTGTGTTTTTACTATTTTTTGTTGCAAGCTGCCCAGAATGGGTGGGGCAGCCCAGTCAAATGGGTGGCATATAAATAAATAGATAAAGTATTATTATTATTATTATTATTATTATTATATTAGTAGTAGTAGTAGTAGTAGTAGTAAACACCTGAGCTTTAACAAAAGATATTCAGGCAGCTGAAATGCAAACTCCCTAGCTTTTAATTAGAAATGCAAATGAGATTGCAAACAAACACTGTCATTTAAATGGCTAGTGTGAGGCGGGAGCCCATCAATAGGAAAGGAAAGTTGTGCTGAACCTCTGATTATTTTCCTCATAGTCCAATTTCCTCTATGCTAATCTATCATAAATGAAGCTGAAAGCCTCATTACCTCATTCACTCGCCACAGCAAGGGCACTACACCTCTGGCAGGATAAATCATTGAAAAATGAGTCCCCAGAGTTGTGCTTGCCTGCGTTCCCTCTCCACTACATCACTGCAGAAGCAGCAGCTGTGATTAGGAATCAGAGGCAAAGGATTGCTCCCACCCCCGTAGCAAGGCTACAGCAAGTTATTCTGTTACAGATCTGAACTGTGGGTTGACATCACTTCTGTTGTTCTAGACTATATAGTGCCCGAAACTTTCCAGGAATATTATTACCATATTCTACAGCAAGTAGGAAGTTAACACTGATAGCACACCACATGCAATATTGTTACATCCTTGGTAATAAATCTGACAAAAATAAACACATTCATGTTCACTACCACCAATAAGATCTGGCTGTGTGAATTAGTCCAATACAAAGGGGATGTTACAACTATATATCTTCCAAGCAACTAATGTATCTCTAAATAGCAATAGTCTGTTTGCTTCCCACCCCCACCCCCCATCTCAACACATGTTGTATCGCCATGGGTGGGGTATAAATATAATCATCATCATATTTAAGACTACAGCCAGGAAATTAAGTTGTTGCCTTATCATATAAACTGGGAATTATAACTTGCATGAACCCCTAGCTACCTCTGTTGTCAATATACTTCGCTTGAACTGTGCTAAAGGAAATATCTGAATAAAATTTTGTGCCGATAATGGAGAAATACAGCTGGAAACTCATGGAGTGGGGATTCCCCGTTTGAACCAGCACGAGGCTACAAGAAGACTCAAAGGATAAATAACTGGCCAAACAACAATATAGACATACTTCCAAACAGGTGAGGTATCATTGCTGAATACCAGTAAAGATTAACAAGAACAGAACTGCTTACACAAAGTGAATATTACCCAAGGTAGGCAGGCATATTAAGGGATGCGAGGAAATGTGAGTCACCTGGAACTGGTTCTGGAAAAAGGAATGTGGTCTAGTTTTGTAGGAATTTTTACAGAGGAAGCTGCCATCATTAGAAAGGATGCTATTCCAGTGCCAGAAGAAAATATCTGGAAGATCAGGACTTTAAATGCTTTCAAAATGGGGGTTTGAAAATGTTTTTCTGTATAGTGAGTCTCCCCCAAAACAAACAAACACCACTAGGGAAATGCCAGGAGCAATCAGACCCAATGGGGTGGGAGTGGCAGCATATTTATCCCCCACGGAAATGGAATAGAGAAAAGCCTCACAAATGCACTTCAAGAATCTCATGGTAGGGATACAGTCCAGCTCAAGCAGCAGAACCCACTCAGGTGTGGGAAGGAGAGGCAGCGATGTCAAGCAAGGGCACAGTCCAATTCTCATCCTGGGTAGGTTTCCCAGTTGGAGCCACAGTGGATGGCAATACCATCTAATCACAAACACATTGATAGGATTTCCTGTTGGCTTTCAGGGCATCTACGGCACCACCACCTGACTGCTGTGTGGACAGAACTGCAACTGAGGCTTCAACAGCCGTACCTGCTAGACTGTATCCTCCCCTCCCTGGACTCCAATCAGTTGTGCTCCTAATCATAAGAAATGATAAGGCTGTTCATGGATTATTGCATGCATGTCCCTAGGAACTTTTTTTTTTTGAGGAGGCAGTCAATACTCCAAATAAGCACATACAATCTCCATGTATCTAGCATGAGAATATAGTTTAATTATTTCTGGTAGAGGAGTTCACCGATGGCTCTTTCATCCAGCAGAGGCTTCTGAGAATGAAATCAGGGAGGTGATATTCTCATTTGCCTTTTCTTGTGCAGCTCCCCAATCTATTCTGCAGGGCTGGGAATCCCCAGAACTGGAGATCCCCACTGTTGCATAGGGAGACGATGCAAAATGTTGTATCTTCCATTCACAGAAGCCTTTGCTAGATTTAAGAACCTCCAATTAACAGAAGGGACCACACGGGATACAGCACAGATTTATTAGCAAATATGTGCTTTTGGTTTGTGTTTTCGTTTTTTAAAAAAGGAAATAAAACAAAGCAAAGCAAAGCAAAACAAAACAAAACAAAAAGCTGCCAATGATTCCCTGAACTTCTAAACAAGGACAGACAATGTGCTACTTTTACATCAACCATCTTTGTCTTCCAGGTCTTTAAAACTGGAAAGCTTTTAGAGAACCCTACCCATATACTGTACAGCAGGCACTGGCCTAAAAATTATTGGATATTTCATATATACTCCCCATTTCTCCAAGGAGTGCAGAGTGGCATACAAGATCCATCCCTCCTTTTTAACTCCCAACACCCCTGTGAGGTAGGCTAGAGAATTAATGACTGGGCCAAAGGGCATCCAAGTAAGCTTCAAAGCTGCATGGGAACAGTGGCCCTACCTGGAGAAAGGTGTCCTCTGAGCCCCTCCCTATCACTGCACCACTTTCTCTCTTGTGCTACCATGGCAACTACCTCCCCCTCTTGCAAGCAGGGTGGTGATGGGGAGATTGAACAAACGGGTTCCCTTTTTTGTTTTTGTTTTTCTGGGAGGGTGGAAGCCAAGGAAAGCAGATCTGCTTGCTCCCTTCTCTCTGCCTAGTAATGGGGTAGAGAGGATGGGCAGGTCCATTTTTTGTTTTGTTTAGTGGAAGAAAAAGAAAGAAAACATGGAACCATTCCTTTTCATCCCTGCTGCCTTGGGTTGTTATGAGGCACAAAGGGACTGAAGAGATTTATTTTCTTTCCCCCACAAAAAACCAAATTAAGAAAAAGGGACCTATTTGTTCCCTTTCTGTTACCAGCTCAGTCTTTCCTCCTTCTTGCCTTACCAGGTAGCTGCAATGTCAGAGACTTGGGGGGTTTTTTTTAAGAGAGAGAGAAGGCACACTATTCCCATCAGTCAGCCAGTCCTGCCACCTTCATGGCCCAGAGCCACGGCATTCTGGGAAAGGAAGATAGCAGGTGCTACTGTCTGGAACTTTTTTGACTTCACAGCAGCACACCCGCTCTGTAAAAAGAAAAAGGGAAAAGGCTGCTGCTGACATCGTGCTCACTTTTGCCTCCACTCAGGCCGCAGGGTCCTTTATTTGTGAGTTGTAGTCCAACTCTATAGAGGCAATGCTAAGTGAGAATTTGAACTGGGTCTCCCCAGTCCAAGTCCAACACTATAACCACCAAAAGAGGGAGGAGTAAGAGAGAAATATCACCTTCTTATCTGCCCTGGTTATGTAACAGGGAGACTGGATCAAAAGAAGTAGTAATACTTCGTGGAAAACGAAGATGACAAAACCAAACTAAATTGGGAGGACAGGCAAAGGAAATCAAGAAATTTCTTATTCAGAAGTGTTGATGACTCCTCTTTTCTTTGTCTGTTGCCCGGCCTGTTTTCTATCCTGGATTAAATCTTCCACTTATGTCACTTCAGAAATAAAGATTGACAAATTATAAAAGCAATCGTGTGCATGAAATGTATTTACAGCACATTTTGGAAGGCACTATTGCGCCACAACAGGAACTCAAAACACACACACACACACACACACACACACATACATATACATATACAATGACACTTCATGTCCCTTCCCCTCCATCACTGGATTTTCCAGCTGGGTTTGCATCTAAGGTAATTGGCAGCAGAGCAACTCAAATGTGAGGAATTGTGGCCATGCCCTAGCCATGTTTGCCTGAACCAAGCTGGTAATCTAGCCAAGGTGCTTCCCAAACCTAGTTCTGTGCCATGCTTTCCTGACAAGTGTGCTAAGTGGGGCATCCCATCATGATATTCTTTTCTCCCTCTAGGTCAACCTGTTGGGAAAAGGCTGTGTTGGTGAGGGGGGCGGGGAATCATGCCACTTCTCTACCAGACAGAAGAACGACCACCAAGTCTAATGGCAGATCACAGAAAATAAAGAGATGTACAGTTCATAGTGGAGCGATGAGCATGCCCAGAGGTGTGTGGAGTTTGCAGCTCCCACCTGAGAACTGCACTAGGAAGGAGGGAGGCTTACGGTACTCCTGTCAAGTCAGCCACTAACCCGGGCTAACTTGGCGAGCTCACCACATAGGACGCCTACAGTTTCCGAAGCCAAGTTGTTAAGAGATATGATGCAAAACAAACAGGGGAAGCTGAAGTAAGTGATTTTGAGGAACACTTGGTGCAGCAAAGCCCATTAGGGCAGAAAAACAGGCTTTTGAGTGGAAACTATGGAAGCGTGTCAACATTATTGTGTGATATTATTAATGTTAGCTAATACTCGTGCTGGAATCATCACAATCCCATGAAAAACAACTTGAGCAACTCACATAGAATATTTAAAAATACAACCCACGCTACAAAAGGTTAAAATCAATGCATAAATCAAAACCTATATATATTAGAATTGAGAATTGTGTAGCTATTTAAAACCCCTGGCTGATAATCCAGTTAGTCTTGCTCAAAATAAACTCAATGAAACAAAGTTATCCACTAGTTTCAATAGGTACTTGAAGTATGGTTGACACTGGATCCGTCTCCTTATCATTTGCACTCAGTGAACAATATTAGGAATTCTGGCTGTGTATTTATTTCAAATCACTCTTCATCGAAAAAGAGCTTTTAAAAGTAGAACACAAAGTAAGATAAAATTACAAAAACATTACAGCAGGACAATAAAATACAACAGAATTAAGAAGAATAAAACCACCCAACCACCTAAAACATATCAAACGAAAATCAGCTAGAGTAACGTAGAAGTTCTTGCAATTATGGGGGCAGTTCATCTCAACAGAACTCAAGGCACAACAGATCAGTTCAAGCAGAAAGCAAGTTATTTCACTGCAGCAGCATTTGGAAAATAAAATAAAAATAAAATAATGTAGTGTTAGATAAAATTTCAATGACTGTACACAGAAATAAGGTACAGGCTGTTTGGTATAGTAGTCTAAGACACTCAGTCCTCTTCCACTGGCTCTCAACTTGTTCCATATATAAATATAACCACAGTTAAATAAATTAGTTATGTAAGGGCAGCTGTGAAAATATTTGGGTTGATTGTTGGTCTTTAAAAACTGAAAATGTACTTTAAAAAAGAAGTACCCATTCAAGTTTCCTGAATGGCTTGTGGGAGGGGGTTGAGCTACCCCCTTTGCATGTGATCGGTTGTCTTTTGGTTAATACAGAGAATTTTCTGCTTCATTCTCTGAGGAAGGTTCAAATATTAACAAATGGCTCTTTTGTTTTTAAAAAAATCTACAGTCGCCACGTCATGCCAAAACATTTTTATGTTTCCCACCAGCAACGCTGACCTGTGCCAGGCAAAGCTCTGGGAAAATATGGTATATGAAAAGAAGAAAAGCTCATTGTTGCCACAGAACCAGCTGAGGATGCATAAAACTTTAGTTGACCGCACAAAACCCTGAAAATAACACTCACGGCCACAAGGAGTCTGGAGATAACTTTTATTATCAAAATTCAGCACAGTGTTAAGAGAAAAACCGAGTCCTAGCTCACCCTTTCTAATGGGCTGAATACCTAATAAAACTTTTGGGAAAGCGAGAACCAGGCCAAACTATAACTAATGCCTGTAGCCACAGGGGATCCTGCAGACACAGATATACAGTCAGGTCCCAATGCTCATGTGGGCAGATTCCAGCTTAACTATTTTCCTCCATGGAGGAATGCTCTTAAAAATTAGTTGTAATGCAAAACCCATGTGGATTTTGTACAGATGATCTGACAGCAAGGCACTAGACTCCTGCTCCACACATATTATAAACATTTCCTCACATTTTTCTCTGCAGCCGAGAAATTGCTCCGATCAGCAACATTCTACCATTAGTAGCACCCTGGAGCTGGCACTCCAAGTACACTTACTCCCAGGATGCAGTGAGTAACCTGATACATTCAAAAAATTGTTTTTGAATGAGGGTTACAGAGCTGTGGGTTATTAGAACCATAGATGGTTCAATGAAGCACAATTAGTCTATTTTTTTAAAAGAAGTGCCCTGAAAGATCTAGAGAGCAGGAATTAAGTTTTAATATTACTCAAGAGGCTGAAGCAAATAAATTATGCCTATAAGGTAAAGATAAAGGACCTCGGACGATTAAGTCCAGTCAAAAGGCAACTATGGGGTGCGGCGCTCATCTCACTTTTCAGGCTGAGGGAGCCGGCGTTTGTCCGCAGACAGCTTTCCAGGCCATGTGGTCAGCATAACTAAACTGCTACTGGCACACGGAGGACCGTGCCAAGTGCCAGAGCGAACGGAAATGCCATTTATCTTCCCGCTATTTATCTACTTGCACTGTATGCTTTCGAACTGCTAGGTTGGCAGAAGCTGGGACAGAGCAACGGGAGCTCATCTCGTCATGGGAATCAAACCGCCAACCTTCCAACTGGCAAGCCCAAGAGGATCAGTGGTTTAGACTACAGCGCCACCCTGGTAAATTACCTAAATTATGTCTATAGCACGGAGAAAGCAAAAATTGCTCCACTGAAGTAGCCACTGAAGTAGCAGAATATTATTTTGGCACTTAATAAGGCAGAACAGGGCCAAGGATGAACACTCAGAGGTCCTAAACCCCAAACCGAGCCATAGAGAGAAGTGATGTTTGGCCAGTTCAGAGATTTAAAGAGGAGTGAAAGTGGGGGTGTCAGCTGTAGTAACAGGATCTGCTTTGGGGAGGGGACCTTAGGCAGTCCACCCACCCTTTAGCACCCCCCAAAAACACTAGTTGTTGATCAGAGAGTTCAGACCATGACATCTGCAATTGTCAAATATTTAAGACAAGACCCTGTTACTCTGAAGAAAGAACATTCTTTAAAATGCAGAGAGAGATACTTTGGACTGAATGAAGGTTCAAGGTCATTTTCACAGAAATGTGGTCTTTATACAATATGTCCTGGTGCAGCCATTACCTACAGAAGCTGAACAGACCCTTGTTCCGGATATAATGGCAGTGTGGGAGATGCTGAGCAACAGGGAACAATGACAACAGCAGCAAAGCAACAACACCCTAATCAGACAAAGGGATACAATTTATATGTTTCGCAGCTGAATTGAGCACGGCATAGCAAGCTATTATAAATCAGTAACTTCATCCCGCTCAGCACAGCACAGTCACTCGCTGACCTCTAGAGGCCCCCAAAAAGCTGCAAGCAGGGCAAAGATTAATGCATAAAACGAGGCTCCCAGCATCCTGCTAGGCCACATAAACCATAAGAGAAAAGTAGGAACACATGTTAGTGCAATTAAAATCCATTTTGCCCTAATGGATAAGATTTCAGCTTCCCAGACTTACGTAAAGCAAAACACCAAAGCTTGCAAGACTGTCATTGTGGTTTGCAAGCCAGAGTCATCGGCTTAAGAAGAGATGAGAGCTTCAAGTTCCCAAGGAAAATGGAGTTTGCAATGCCAAAAGCTGGGGTGGAGAATGGGGCCAGTTAGGTATGTTGGCAAAAGTCCTAGGCCTAGCTGTCCACCCTGCTTGGTCCAGTGGTTTATCAAGCACTACTCTCACTGCCACATCGTCACCACATGCGCGCACACACACACACGTTGCTAGGATACTCAGCCAGTCTTCACCTACCACAAGCCCCCAATCATACTGCCACAAGCTCCACTGGATAGCTCAGTTGGTTAGCCCATGTTGCTGATAACACGAAGGTTGCAGGTTCGCCCTCCATATGGGACAGCTGTGTATCCCTGCATTGCAGGGGGATGGACTAGATCAGTGTTTCCCAAACTTGGGTCTCCCAGCTGTTTTTGGACTACAACTCCCATCATCCCTAGCTAGCAGGGCCAGTGGTAAGGGATGATGGGAACTGTAGTTCAAAAACAGCTGGAGACCCAGGTTTGGGAAACACTTTAATAGATGATCCTTTGATCCTACAATTCTAGGATTCTATGCTATTCCGCCCAACCATTTCACGTCCTTTGGCTGTAGCTGCAGTGGATGCAAGATTATGGTTTCTTCACACTTTAGCACATCTTAAACAGATCCCAGGATATGTCACATGCCACCCCAAGTGCGCTTGAAAGTATCCAGCACCAAACGTGCGGTTTTAATTGCAAATCAAATCAGCTGGAGAATTCAGCTTCTTTTAAAAGGAAGAGAGAGCATTCCAAAATGGTTACTGGAACACAGCCAAAACAGTCTGCTGAAGTCCCAATTCAGAAATCGAAAACAAGAATCAAGGTGGCAACTTTGAGTTGTGCCTTGCAGTGGGAAGGCGAGTCAGTTCAATGTTAATGAAGAGTATAGAATTTAAGACATATAAAAAGCGTGGTGCACATACTGGTCAACCATAAACTCTCCAGATTGCGAAAGTAAATCTTTTGATATGTATCAAGAAAGTAGTGCTTAAAAAAACAAACTCTTAACATTTCTCCTCAACACTGAAAAAAATGTTTAGATACATTTGTTCTACAAGTTATAAAACCTAATCCAAGATTAGGATAAACCAAGTCTTTCCTTTTCAGTGCAGTGTCAACAAGCAAGTAATTCGAGTGCATTGCAACCTTGACATAATTTTAAAACAATTATTCAGAATACCTGGATTTACACAGGCATGTTTTCCCCCTAATGTCTTTTTTCGCCTGCTCCAATTCACATTCAGGTTCTAGAACATAAATGTCTCAGCTAAAAATGCTCATCACAACTTATCATTATTTTCCTAAAGACTCCACCAGATTTGAGGTGGTGGCAGTGGCAAAAAAAGAAAAGAAGTTATAAAGAGGTGTACAAATAAATGTATATGTTTACTTCAGGGTAATACGATTATTTGCTGCTTACCCACCCAGGTTCTTTTTCTAGTCTCAGCTTCGTCAACCCTTCCACGTCATCTACATTCCTATTCATCAGTGTACGTGGCTACTTCACATAGCTTTGTTTTTAAAGAAGGCAAGTTTCAAGTCCTCATGATTATATGGGGGGAAAGCTGAAACTGGGTGGACAGGTTATGAGGATATATTTATTCAGTGCCTCATGCCCCTCTCCTGTTTCCTTCTGCCTTCCCATTATGTCCCAGTCCCTGCCCCCCAAACTCCACCTTTTGAAACTTCCCAGTTCCTCTTAATGGTGACCTTCCAGGCTCACTCTGGTTGCAGCAGTCACACACACACACCTCTGGTGGTTAATGAATGACTAAATCAATGTCCAACAAAAGCGAGTCACTAGGCCTCACCACTCAACATCCCTTCAAGATTAAGAGCTCCGTAGCCTCAAAGAGGATTACAGGACAGTTCTTTTGAAAGCCAAGCAGCAGCATCCGAGGAACGGCTACAGATAAATCGATGCTGCACACTGAAACAGTCCAGAATCGCTACCTGTAATCAAATGCCCTATTATCTTTTTTGTGCTTTCTGCTGATAGAAAACAAGGTATTTTGGGCTGGGCTGCAGCTTCCATTCTGAAAGATCACAGAAAGCCTTGCAAAAACACCTTCCAGTCTAAGCTTGTTTAAGCGCAGCGAAGGCAACAGATCTCCTCCTGCACCCTTTAGACCAGCAAGAATCTAGTACAGCTACACACCCTTGGCTAAAAGCATGCCTGTTCAAGCCCAGACACTTAGACATAGCCTACTTTTTAAAAAGTGTGCACTTCATAATAGTCAGATGAGTGCCAGCTGGCTGATTTACCCCGATCCACCAGGCCGGATCCACCAGCCTTGCTGCCGGAGGCTGAAGAGTCATCCTTTTGTGCAAACGATTAAAGCTTTCATGTGTTTAGTTACACAAGTTTAACAATTACCCAGAAACCTTGTAAGCCCATCTACACACAAGCAGCTAAAACTCAACCCCGGAGGTTGCTGTCATGCTGTCCTATAATACTGTTTCATGCTCTTGAATGTTCTTTCCCTTATATTATCCAAACCACCCTGTATCCTAATCCACTTCAAGTACTGAATTTACATGAACAGTTTTGCTTAGATGGTCTCCAGGCCACTGGAACGGATGCTTGCACCAGACTGAGCAACAGAATACCAGGGTCACTGCAGAGGCCATTGGTTTTTTCAAGATAAAGGTAAAGGGACCCCTGACCATTAGGTCCAGTTGTGGCCGACTCTGGGGTTGTGGCGCTCATCTTGCTTTACTGGCCGAGGGAGCCGGCGTACAGCTTCCGGGTCATGTGGCCAGCATGACTAAGCCACTTCTGGCGAACCAGAGCAGTGCACGGAAACGTCGTTTACCTTCCCACTGGAGTGGTACCTATTTATCTACTTGCACTTTGACCTGCTTTTGAACTGCTAGGTTGGCAGGAGCAGGGACCGAGCAACGGGAGCTCACCCCGTCGTGGGGATTCAAACCACCAACCTTCTGATCGGCAAGTCCTAGGCTCTGTGTTTTTCAAGATAGAGTGAATACAGCAGCTCTGATATGAACTGGCTGAGAAAGCACAGTGCACACACCCTTTAATCTGCATGTATCACCGATGGTCAAAGCAAGATTTGCACACAAGTGAATGGCTTCGTTTCCCCAGATTAGGCTTTCCTAAAACAGTCTTTCACTTTCACTAATGGAGAAGAATCATCCAAAGAACAAACACACTTCTACTGCTTATTTTATTTCTACAGTGGTGCCTCGCAAGACGAAAGTAATCCGTTCCGCGAGTCTCTTCGTCTTGCGAAGCACGGCTATTAGCGGCTTAGCGGCTTTAAGAAAAAGGAAACAAACTCGCAAGAACTCGCGTCTTGCGAAGCAAGCCCACAGGGAAATTCGTCTTGCGGAATGACTCAAAAAACGCAAAACCCTTTCGTCTAGCGAGTTTTTCGTCTTGCGAGGCATTCGTCTTGCGGGGCACCACTGTATCCTGCCTGTTTCCCCATCCCCTCATTTTCTCCTCACAACAACCTTCCAAGATAGGAAAAATAGCCACCTCAGCTCAGTCACAGAGGGAGGTTCATTGCAAAGCAGAGATTCGAACTAGGCCCCCCCCCGAGCTGCCCCAATGCTCTAACCACTATACTACACTACTGCGCTTCTTACCGTTTATGACTCCTAGCTTAGTGGAAAGCCTGGAACAGGTATCTTTCTGCAGCCCAGGGGCCACATTCCCTCATAAACAGACTCCCAGGGGCCACATGCCAGTGGTATGCACAACAAGAGGCAAACGTTTCATCCAAGCTATATTCCAGCTATAAAGAAGTTTTCTACCCAACCGTCCTCTGCCCCTTGCACATCTCTCCATCCTGGTAAGACAGGGGCATTAACACATTTCAAAGACACATTCCAGCCAGGGAAATGCTTTAAGAGGGGGAAGGGGGCTTGAAAGTTGAAAGTTTTAAAGGCAAGGCAGAGAGGTATGGAGGGCTGCATTCAACTCATCCCAAATTAATATGTAGAAAGCCAGACCTGGGTCAGTACAGTAGCTGGGGGGTGGGCTAGCCAGCCAGGGGTTTTTTTTTGCCCTGGGTGAAGCCTCCAGAGGAGCACCATTCAGGCACCCAGTCTCTGTGAGAGAGTATGCAAATGCAAGTGGGGTGTGTGCGTGCCAAACTGGGTCTTTGACTCTGGTGAAAGAAAGCCTAGTTTTGCCCCTGCATGGGGTCCCTTCCACCTCTACAATTCTATGATTTCCTCAGTCCAGAAACCGGGGGCGGGGGGGGTGTCTCTCTGAGGCACCAATGTTATTTCAAGTCGCTGCAGAGTAGAAATTGCACTACCACATAGTAGTAGGACATAGGAGAACTCTGAAAATGAGTTCTCCCTACTTTAATGTGAGTATGAATGAAACAATACATCGTTTGCTGCAGGTTGTCAAAAGTTCGACATATATATTTTCCCTCAAACAGGGCATCAATTTAAGCCCTAGCAGACTTTCGGGACAAGGTGCTTACAAACATTTCTCCTGCCCACGGGAAATCACTTTGCACCCCAAGTTAAAATGGCTGCCCCTGAGGCAACTAGATTGATACAAGTGGAGGAGCTTTGTCAGATAGCCTTAAGCCAAGCACAGTACCGTATTGCCCCAAATATAAGCCACACTTTAACTTTTCACTGTCAGAATTTGGGGGGAAAGTGTGGCTTATTCGGGCCGATACGGTATATAAAGTTTCCCTCTAACTGTGGTTGCGCAAATGACAGGACACCTCTGAAGATGGTTTGTCTTGTTTAGATTTTGGACTGGTCCTAAACCAATCAGAGATCTGTATTGATCAGAGAGAGAAATATATTATTTAGGAGATTAGCAACTGAAAGGGTTCCATTTCTGCAAAATTTCTCCAATGGGGGATGATCTAGTACACGGAGAAGTACGTAAGTCAAGGGGGTTTGGCTGTAGGTCTCTCTAGGGATTAGTACAGAGCTAACTTTTGGGATTTTGCTTGAATGCAACACACATATGAGCAGAAAACACATCAGACCTAGAGACAGCCCTAAAAACAAAATACTAGCATGGATTTAGTTATGCAATGCTGGAGATAAGATTTGGGATTCTTAAGAGGTCCATGTAACCCCCGTGAGCAAGATCTGAAAAACAGATGTGCTTTTTATTAACAGAAAAACAGCAAGCAGACACACATTCCCTGTTCCTGATGACCGTAGTTGTTCTTAAAGGAATGTGCTTCACCTGGGGGATAAAGAATCTAGCAGACATTCATTAACCCATGCATTTTGATGGCAGCTTTGAACAAATAAAGACTCCAGGCCTGTCACAAAAGTACCGTATTTTTTGCTCTATAAGACTCACTTTTTCCCTCCTAAAAAGTAAGGGGAAATGCGTGTGTGTCTTATGGAGCGAATACAGGCTGCGCAGCTATCACAGAAGCCGGAACAGCAAGAGGGATTGCGGCTTTCACTGCGCAGCGATCCCTCTTGCTGTTTTGGCTTCTGAGATTCAGAATTTTTTTCCCCTTGTTTTCCTCCTCCAAAAACTAGGTGCGTCTTGTGATCTGGTGCGTCTTATAGAGCGAAAAATACGGTAATTGACTCCTGGCTTTGTAATCCTTCAGAGAACCAGCCAGCAAAACCCTTTGCCAGGTACTGATGCTCACAACGCCTCTTGCTGGGGAAAGCTTTGGTCCAAGAAAGTGCAGCCATGAAAAGGCAAGATAAGCAGGAGAGAGAGAGAGAAGCAAATCCACAAGACTAAAAAAAATCAGAAAATGAGCAGAAAAGAATGCAACGAAGGAAGGAACAGTTTTACAGCACAAGGCTATCCTTTAAAATTGAAACCAATACCCCCCTTTTGTTCCCATAAAGTTAGAACATGCAAAAAGCAGATTTGCATCTATTTACTCATATCATAGTTTGTTATTTCACTTTAATGAAGTTTATTGCTTGTTCCCCATATTTAAAAAGTGCCCTCATTTTTATAAAAATAAAAATCTTGCACAGAGACCATCAAACAGTTTCTCTTAGTTTAGCGATGCTTGCTACGATAAAAAGTTTGAGAAACTTCACCCAAAGCATTTCAGCTGAGAGAACTAGATTTAACACAGTTTGAAAAAGTTTCAGGAACTATCTTTCGACATTTACAAAAACGAGGAGCTTGATACAAACCATTTGCCATCACTATATTCCTATTTAGACACAGGCAAGTGCCTTCACCACAAGGAATATGCATGCACAGCTGAACCCAAGGCTAAAATCAAAACAATTTTGTTCAAACCTGGGTTGAATTACTTACATTGCAAGTGGAATGCAGTTCTGGGCTGTAACCCCAGCGGAGCTGGGATAAGTTGCCAGTAATGATATATTTAGAAAGACATCCATAAAGTCTGCTTTTTGAGATAGCCTTTCATCCTTTATCTTGACAAAGGAACCTGTGCAGAATGATCTGTTGGTTCTGTTGCCTGCTGGCTGATACCGGGAGCCCTGCATTATATTGTTTACATTACACTGAAGCACAAGGAAGGTGGAATCTCTATCTACTATTCATGGTAGAAATTCAGTGAGGTGGGGACACAAATTCACTTTGTGAGGTCTGCAGCAGATGAGAATGATGCTCACATTCAGAGAGGCACAGCCTTAATTTGAGCTATACTAACTTGAGACCATAGGAGCATCTGTTAGAAACTCAGATATATAAGCTAATCACCAAATTGCAACTTAAACCTACGTTAAACCACAGTGGAATACAGTGGTACCTCAGGTTACATACGCTTCAGGTTACAGACTCCGCTAACCCAGAAATAGTACCTCAGGTTAAGAACTTTGCTTCAGGATGAGAATAGAAATCGTGCTCCGGTGGCGTGGCAGCGCCAGGAGGCCCCATTAGCTAAAGTGGTGCTTCAGGTTAAGAACAGTTTCAGGTTAAGAATGGACCTCCGGAACGAATTAAGTATGGAACCAGAGGTACCACTGTATAACTAGGTGCCATTTTTAAATGAAATTTGTTGTTGTTTATTTCATTTTTATACCACTTTATATTTTAAAGAACACATCTCAAAGTGGTTTGCAACATATTAAGACATCAAATAAACAAGCCAGAACAGAAGAAATTCAAGCTTCAAGGAAAATATTCCGGATCCTTCTCTAAGCGATGTTTTGCTTTCCCCAGCTGCCAGCCTGGCATCCAGAGCTCTCTGTGGTCGCAATTTGACCCACGCCAGTCGCAAAATGCACCCGGCGCCTGGCCAATTTCTAACGCTGCACAGGAGAGATGGCATGTTTAATGAACCCCGTGTTCTTCACTGCAACAAGGTGTTAGGATGTGGTGATTGTGCAAATGCAGGAATTCATGGGGACTCATTCAATGACCCACTTCCCTATATTCATTTAAAATGGGGTCTGCACCAAGTGTCTTTTCTGGGCATTTGAAATTGCTCCTAGCAAGCCTGTATGAAGTAACTGCCAAATGTAAGCATGAAGGCCCAGAATCAAGCTCCTTAGCGAAACTTTTCAAAATCCTTTCGAGTTTTCAAAATATATTTGGCTCTAGTTGTTTATTTAGTCATTTGGTTTTGGAACGACCTGTAAATCCACAATCTTGAAACAATAATTTAAGCACAATAGCTACAGTTATATGGCCCTTGCATATTTTCATTTGTTTACCCCGTCATAAATATCTAAAAGAACACAGAATATACTCTTCTAAAGGTCAGATGTGAAACATGTTCAAACTTAAATACCTAGTGGATGTTAGTGATACAGCCCTGCATACTGATGATGATTATGTACAACATGAATGTGGAAGGAGTAAGGTAAATTAGGCTGAATAGTGTATTATGTGCTCTTAAATTAGAGATATGAGATGAGACAAATGAACTCTTCTCAAATCAGGGCCTTTTGATAGCTAAAAGGGAGTGGAGGAGTTCGTGGCTAGCTGCCAGTCTTGCTAACACTCTTACACAGCTGGCTTAAGCATGCATTTACTTTAAACCATTGTAGGTGGTTTATCAAATGAAATTATTTGCTTCAAAACTGAAGAGGCCATGTTCCTATCTGTTCCTCCCCACAAAATGAGAAGAAAAAAAGACACAACTCATGCCAAACACATTTGGCTGCTTTCAAAGGAAGAGATGACATATATTGTTGTCTTTCAGGGAGTAAAAGGAAGTAAAAAAAGAGATGTCTCCTCAAGCCAGGTGGAGAACTCCAAGAATTCATCTCCAACGCAAACTTTTAACTGGAGCTGGTTCCAAAGGACCCACCATTTTGTAAAAGAGCTTCCAGGTTTATTCAACGCTGGCTAAACAGTCCAGGCAATTAAAAGAAAGTCTGCTGTACACTGTACATTGTTGGACAGTGTTCTCGAAGCTACAAACATGAGTCTGACCAAACTGCGGGAGGCAGTGGAAGACAGGAGTGCCTGGCGTGCTCTGGATCATGGGGTCATGAAGAGTCGGACATGACTAAACGACTAAACAACAGCAACTACAACTACAACTGCTGTACACTCCTCAGGTGTCAGGCCTATCGATACAGGTGTGGCTGATCAAAATGTGGTCTACAGCACATATAAACAAAAGCACCAGCCAGAAACTTAAATGAGCAATCACAAACACAATGAACTCCAAAATACTTCACCAGACTCTAGCCTTTTAAAAAAGCATGCACACAAACAGTACACTGAAAGCCCATTCAAGTGCCCCCTTTTTAGGCAACAGCTCTGCCAGATTACAGTGTTTTACAAATGTACTTTATCCTCACACTCACTCTGCGGTATAGGTTAAGCCAAGAGCAGTGCTAGAAACTCAGATATATAAGCTAGGCAGCAAATGGCTCCTTAAACCAGGATTACAGTCACCAAAATAAAATGCCTAGTTGCCATCAAAGATCCCCAGGCATGCACCTCCAAATGATGGAGATGTCAGGCACCATACTTGTGTATTGTGCAAGTGGCCGATAGCCAGGTGCAAAATGCACATGGCGCCTGGCAAATTTCGAACACTGGCCGAGAGATTCAGCTCCAATACTTTTTATCCCATGGGCCTGCACAGGACTCCCTTTAACGCGGGGCAATGGAAAGCTACAAATTATCTACCCAGTAAGAGTAAGAGGCAAGTTGCCTAAGATTTAACTTCAACCTGCTCTGCCAATCTGTCGGTTATAAAAGCCAGAGACACTTTAATGAGGACTCACGCATTTGAGCGCTGTTTAAAAGTGACTGCGGCTCAGGAGTAAAGGGACGGCGTGTTTTATCATCATAAACAGGGCCACGGTTTTTAAAGAAAACCCTTCAGGCCTGGCTCACCTACTATAAAACTATAGTAAAAACACACAGCAACTTGCCAGAAAGCACTAGGAGAGGCACACTCAAAAGAAAATGGGAAGCAAGATTAAGTTTGCAGAGTGTGTGTCCATGGTTTTGCAAGCGAGGTGTGAGCAGTAGTTGATCCACTGACGGCTGGTCATTGTCAATCTACAGAAGAAGACACAAGGATTTCAGGAAGAAGATTCCAGCCACCCAACAGCGTCAAGTGCATGTAGCCGTGCTCTGAAAGGCCAGTGTGGATTGCGTGGGAAGAGGGAAATGGAATGTGTAATTTACTAGTGCAGGGACTGCTGACGACAGTTGTTTTGTTACCCTCCCTCCCTGCGCAGCAATTCAGAGCTTGGTATGATGAACGCTGCCGACACACCGCATGCAGTACAGGCAGGAAAATAAATTCCCCCACAGAAGCTTTATGTTTGGATTTTGGCAGTGGCCTCTGGACAGACATCTGCTTGAGAAAGGCCCATACACAAATAAGGGGAGATATGTCGACGCAGCTAGCATAGGCTCAAGAGGAAGAGGCAGGCAGGGTGTGGAGTCTGGTGTCACAGGGAACTCCCAGCCGGGTAGGTTCACTCCTCAATCTGCCAGGTAGCAGAGAAAATTGTGCCATTAGCAGCAGCATACCTACAGAGCAGTAAAACTGGATTTTCCCATTCTTTCAATACACACTTCTAGGCAAAGTGGGCATTTTTCCAGGTTTTGGAAAGTGATTCGTTGAGTTCAGAACGAAGGATTGGTAGCTATGTGTGGCTACCTTTGAAGATGACTCGGAAACTACAACTAATCCAGACTGCGGCAACTAGACTGATGACTGGGGGCAGATGCAGGGACTGTATAACACTGGTCCTAAAGGATCTACACTGGCTCGTGGTACGTTTCTGGGCACAATTCAAAGTGTTGGTGCTGAGCCTTAAAGCCCTAAATGGCCTCAGCACTGTATAGCTGAAGGAGCATCTCCATCGTTCAGCCCAGACACTGAGGTCTAGCTCCAAGGGCCTTCTGGCAGCTCCCTCACTGTGAGAAGTGAGGTTACAGGGAACCAGACAGAGGGCCTTCTCGGCAGTGCCACCCCACCTGCGGAACGCCCTCCCATCAGATGTCAAGGAGATAAAGAACTACACAACTTTTAGAAGACAGCTCTATATTGAGAAGCTTTTGATGTTTGATGTTTTATTATGTTTTTATATGTTTTGGAAGCTGTCCAGAATAGCTGGGGCAACCCAGACAGATGGGTGGAGTATCAAATAAATCCTCATCCTCATCTAATTTGGACTAATGAAGGGTGATATCCAACCATGTCAATGCACTTACATGACAAATCTTCCCCTTCCTCTCCTCCCCCTGCTGCCCCATCCTGGCAAGATCTGCTCTGGGCTTCCCCCACAACCCTCTGGAGCAGATCTGGGGTGCATGTAGGGGAAGGAGAGGGAACGAAAGCCCTGTTGCACAAGCAGAAGTCCTTGTGCAGGCTGACTAGCTCCCAGACTGATTTAACGATCAATCCCTCTTTCCCAGGGAATTCTGGGAACTGCTGTTCTGTGAAGGGAGCAAGGGTTTCCTAACAGCTACCAGCACCTTTACAAAAACTACAGTTCACAGAGCTCTTTTGAGAAAAGCCAAGACTGTTTGAAGCGGTATGATACTGCTTTAAATGTATAGTGCAGATGGGGTCCCGGTTTGTTTCCTGAACAGGGATTTGAACCTGCCTCTCTCCCCAGTCTAACTTCAACCTGCTACATCACACTGGCTGTCCACATTGCCAGTGTAACTTATTATCATGAAAGAAATGGAGAGTGGAGGGGTAAGTAGGTTCACAAAAGGTCTACTGCATTTGTAATCATCACCTACTTTAGGCTCAAAACTTAATAGGAAGCTCTACAGTGCACTGTAGTAAATTATTATCAAATCCTACTCTATCCCTCAGTTAAGGCCTGGAATAAGAGAACAAAAGGTTCAGATTCAGAGTATTAGAACACTAAAGGATGTAGTGAGAGATCTTTCAATATAGGGAAAAAGAGTGACAAGGCAGCAAATTAAATTATGGGCTAATGTAAAAGAGAAATGATTGGTATATGGACAGAGAAAGCTTCTCTCCAGTGTGAGACAGACCTGTGTACCTCTCAGGTAAAATCTTATATTTTGTGAGCTGCCCTCAACAAATATTTTAAAAATCGAAGGTGTGTAACTGTTGCTCAGATACTGCTGGGGAGGGGGGGAAGTTTAGGGAGAAATGTAGAAAGTACCCAAGTCATGCAACTGACAGATGGCCAAATTAGCTCACATGTCCTGGGAAGTACCTAGGTTAAAAAGCTTAGGCTAGTTACCCCAGGTACGGGAGCCGTTATACGCCAAGAAACAGGATGATGATGTAATGAAAATAAAAGGATGAGACGCTTTTGTTCTGAGCCTCCTTAACCTAGGTGGTTCTATTTATATATGCAGCAAAATTATAACATAAAACTTCTTACTGCAAGAACCTAACGAGAAAAGAGAAAGTTGTGGGAAACCATGACTCCGTGCACAGCGTTAATCCGACAGAAAGCCAGTTTGGAAAGCAGCAGAGGGGGAAAGTGGGTGAGGGAGAAAGAGAGAGTAAAGGAGCCATATTTACATAATACACAGTGACTGCGTCATGTCTGTGTAAGGGGGAGTTCACGGTAGGACAAGAACCTAAGCAAAACAATAGCCTAAAACTGTGCTATGACCCAGTGTAGTGTGGTGGTTGGAGTCTTGGACTCTTGGTTGGAAGATCAGGGTTCAAATCCCTGATCTGCCATGAAGCTCACTGGCTGGCCTTGGCCCAGTCACCGTCTCTCAGTCTACTGTACCTCACAAGGTTGTTGTTCAGATAAAACAGGGTGGGAGGGAGGCAAAGCACACCCCCTTGGATATATATAAAACAGAACAACAATATAAGGAATAGAGCACTAGAAGAAACTGACAAGTTATCTGAAAAATAGCAGCAGTCGTCACACACTTCCCCATGTCTTCTCCTTACCGAGAAGAGATGAAAACAGAAAAAAGTGTCTTGCTTTTCAAAGAGAGAAAATCTGTTATAAATTGGATTAAGGAGCATTAGTCACTCCTGGATGCTTCTCAAACAGTGCCTGACTTCTGAAGACTTTGCCATTCACAAAACTCATGTATATAAATGAGGAGCCTTATTGGGCAAGAAGGAGGAAGGTTGTTTCTTACAGCACACGCTGTTAAAAAGGATGCAAAGGCTCTCCCCACCGCCTTCACGGTGCTCAGAAATGGCTGTAATTTTAACTACCATTGTTAGTACAAGATACGAGATTATTAAGGGTGCAGCACAATGCAAATTCAGCACTAACCATGTTCATAGTTTCCGTCGGAGGCAGCATTTAAAAGCCTAACCCCTCTCCCGCCTCCTAGGCAGCATCTTCCAAGCAAAACTTCCCGTCGCAACTCTGAAGTCAAAATATCTCTAACCAAGGATATTTACATTATGAGGAAAGCACTCAAGATCTTACAAGGGGCGGAGGAAAAGAAGACGGAAGAGGAGGAATGGAAAGCACACTGCTGCAAACGTGTCCTCTTCTCTCCAGACTCAGCTCCTTGAGCTCCTTGGTGGCTTTGCTGTCGCAACTGAGCGCCATCCATTTACATGACACCCGTGTGGTTGCCAGAGGAGGCAGGAGGAAAGAGGGCTGTAATTGAAGCCACCAAAAATAACCCATTGGCAAAAAGGCACTAGTTATTTCCTGCAGGCCCCCTTCAGCAATTCCCATGGCCATAATTCAAGGGACAGTTTTGCCAACACACCAAAAGCAAGGGTTGCTTTCTCCCTCGCAGTGAGGGGGTGGGAAGATTGCAGACCGGCACAGAAATCTGAGAGAAAACAAAAAAATCACAGCAATGGGCCTGTTTAGCCCACGCCACCAGCAACAAAAGGACAATGCAACAAGTTGCTCCATCCCTGTCTGAGCCGTTCCAAACATCTCGTTCCCTCCATGAGATAATTCAGCTAGAGTGGCTAGCCTGAGTCAGCAAGCTAATAGCAACAACAGCCTGCCAATTATGAAATGCTGGCTTAAGCCTTGCAATAACTATCCTTTTGTGGAGAGTGTGAGACTTAGAGACTGATAAGATATTCCAGATAAAACATTTTCCTTAAGCACTGCCAAAGTGAACCGTAGAGGGGGAAGGATGTCTCCACTCGATTTTCGGTGTGCCTGGGGTGAGGAACTGTCCCCCTACAGATGTTGCAAATCCCATCATCCAAAACCATTGGCCATGTTGATTGGAGCAGATTTGAGCTTGGATTCCAAGGACATCTGCATGACCATGGGCTCCCTAGCCAACAAAAGTGCAAACACACTCACACTGCACACCATGTTGCCTAACGACTGAATTTGAGCTTGGCTGCAAACACACATGGCTGCAAAGTTTTATCTACCCTGGAAATTAAGAGAGTCAAATGCACCAGAACCAGGAAATCCAAGAACTTTCTTCTGGGTTTGCATCCCATGTTGATGGAGGATTGGAAACACTATGGATCAGTATTTAGCAATTTGGATCCACTACAGTAAGCCCACAACTTATGCACATTTAACTTTTTTGCATTCAGCTTTATGTACGTGGCAAAAAATTTAAAAGGGACCGGGCTCTGGAAAAAAACAACTTGGGGCAATCCTACCTGCTATTGAGCCCAATGTGTTTTGACTATATGCGATTTTGGCTTTAGGTGCAATTCCGGAATGTAATCCGTGTGTACATTGTGGGCTTATCATACCCAATAGAGCTGAACTTGAGCCCTTTGATTTGTTCAATGGTTCATTTTCCCTCTATTAGAAACAAAGCAAAGTAGCAGTTCTTAAAATAGTGTATTTTCTTCTATGGGAAAGAAAATATACAAGTCAAGGGAAGGGATGGATCCTATTTCCACCATCACATGACGCTCACCTGGCATTGCAAAAGCTTCCTGTTAACTAAAGCACTAGAAATCTAAATAGATTCTAAGCATTCCAGAGTGGTAGACCCTCTTATGAAAGTCCTCAATATGGCGGCTGTGGCCTCTTCATCTGCTTACTGAAGCCTGCTTTGAGAAAGGCAGCAGCTCCCATCCCACATGCCTAAGTTACATTGTGAACCAGCTGCTAACTTGCCAAAATCACCTGAGCTGGGAGAAACAATATTTTTTAAAAGCCAACTAGATATTACAATGGCATGGTCAATTATTAGAAAACAGAATATGCTAGATTCCTATTGGGTGGGGGCAGGGAGTTTGAAGCACAACATGAATAAAAGGTGGGCCTGAGCCCAATTCTGACTAAATTGAGAATCCCCCATCCCCTGCAAAACAACAAGAATTTTGTGGAGATTTTCAATCCTTCCCTAAAGAATCTTTGGTGAAATGTCCACCCCTCTTTCACCACCCATGCATTATGGTTACATCTGTGAATCACATTCTAATATTATTTTATTATCATCATTGAAGGAAGCAGTGGGCTTGGCCCCTACTTCTTCCTCTTTGATAGCCTACTGCTCCCTTCCCTTCATCTATTTGAATTCATAAGAGTCTTATCGTTTTGTTTAATGCTGAGTCAGCCAAACTTTCTCAGAAGAGAGCTTTCCGAGGAAAAACAATTGGAAAATTTAATATCTTTCTCCTCACCCCCATAAGAATATTTGGCAAAACATTTCGCAACCCACAAAACAGCACTGAAGGTTTTTGAGAGGCAAACGGATTTTGGCACAGCCCTAGGTAAGGGATGTCAAACCCTTCCCCCTCCAGCCTTTCCTTTAGTAGTGATTACTTTTAAATCTAAGTTCAAGGAGAGAAAAGCAATGTTGGTGGGGTTAAGTGTGGGGAGAAGATGGGGCTTCAGAAGCAAGTGCAGCCTGGGAGAGTTCACCACCATATTCTGCATTTTGAAAACTCCCCACCCTCCATTTTATAGGAATTCTATAAAATTCTTAACATGTGTCTGCAATCTCATATTTCTCTAACACACAACTGTTGTTGTTTCACTCCGCTTAGTTATCGAACTGAAGAATCTGCAAAGCAAGTTTTGAAAAAAGCTTTACAGATCAGCATGAAAGGAGGAGGGGGATGGGACGTAGGCATACACAGAGAGAAATGTTTTCAACGCTGGGGTTTTAAACAACTGTGTGGTGGCTTTTTTGTATTTCTCCAGTCAATAATGTCCTGTATTTTAAGCATGGAAAATGAAATTCCTGAATACTAAATCTTGGTCATTCAGAGGCAGAAAAATAGTTCACGACTGCCATTTGAAAGTGCAGCTGAAGGACAGCAAGGCTGTTGCATTCCATTTATACTTGTGCATTAGCTTTGATAGAAATTTGTGTCCTTAGAATCTCAGAGAGCCAATACACAGAAAGAACCACCACCAAGACTCTTGGTTGTATAGGAGTGAGACCCTAGACAGCCCTTTAAAGAAAGTGTTTTTGCAAACAACCCTGTGGCAATATTGGTCCTTCAGAGGTACTGCTATCGGGGTGGGGTGGGGAGTTTCTGAATTGTTTTGAAAATTTAACATGCGAAAATCCTTAGTGGCAAGTGATGCAATACATTACTACAAGGTGAAATAGTGATTCTTGTACCTTTGAAGGTGTACAACTTGCTCAGAGATGTGAAAGCCCAGGAAAAAACCACAGAAAAATATTTTTTTAAAAAGTAGTCCTCCACATTTCCCCCCCTTTTTTCTTGGCATCTATAGACTTTCTGGCATCTTTCCAGCAGTACTTGGTTATGCCAGAAACTCATATTACCTGGGAAGAGACCATGCTGCTCACCACAGCAGCATGAGAAGAAGGAGGCATGTCCTGGGCTTCTCTCACATAGCCTCAGATTTCAAACATTACTGAGCAGCAAAGGAAGGGGCACTGCATCCAACTCCATATGCAGCTATTGAAAGAGGCAAGGCCTGGTCTAGATGAAAGCAGTGGCAAAACCTCAACTAGGAACCCTACATGCACTCCAGTCATTAAGCATTTGCTAGCATCATGATGAAAAGACTATCTCCACATGTTGTCTGCACCATTTATTCCAAGGATAGCGTTAGCGGGTGGTTAATTCAAAAGTATTTACAACATTTCCTGTGTTACATTTCTAATTTTAGCAGGGAGGGGTTTTTTGTTTTTGTTTTAAAGAAAACACCAAAGGCACTGCATGACTACTTCTGCAGATAATTCCCGCAGCAGCAGCACATAACACAAAAAACTTTTCCTAACCTAGTGCTTTGCCAGATGTTTGGGGTTGTGCTGGCTCAAGCTGGTAGTCCAAGGATATGGCATGAACTAGGGTGGGGGGAGACTGATCAAACATGTTCCCATATCTCACAGGAGCAGCTGAGAGTGAGCAACTTCAGTGAATTAAGTACAAGTAATTATAGCTTCGATCTTTTGTTCATGAGGCTGGATGAATTATTCCCATTGCTACTTTGCAAACTACAGAGGCACATTATATTTCAACATATGCAAGGATTTATTCCTTCAAAACTGGTGGCTGGGGGATGACGGCAGTGGCATTGCGTGGCTTGCCAGTGCCCGGGGCCGTGCAAGGCTTGGTGTGTGGGAGGGAGGGAAACGGATGGAATATGCATGCACATTAAACTGCCTAATGGCATCTGTGTCCTGTGTCACACAGGAGTTCATGGCCACAGAGATAAATAAGAAAAAAAGTTCCAAAGTCTGGAGGTGTCACTTCCTGGTTTGCACGGAGAAGCTGTTTCCAATGGAGCCCAGTGAAAGCTGTATTGAGGCAGCACTCAGTGTTGAGATTTTGCACCCCAACAATTCTGCGCCTGGGGCAACCACTCCTGTGCTCCCCCCAGCTATGCCACTGTAAGACACTGATAACCTTCAAAGAAATACACTCCCCTAAGCAGAAGCTTCCTGGGCTCAATGAGGTTGTCAATTAAGAGTGGCTCAATTGGGACGCAGGTGGCGCTGTGGTCTAAACCGCAGAGCATAGGGCTTGCCGATCAGAAGGTCGCGGTTTGAATCCCTGCAATGGGGTGAGCTCCCGTTGCTCAGTCCCAGCTCCTGCCAACCTAGGAGTTCGAAAGCACACCAAAAAGTGCAAGTAGATAAATAGGTACCACTCTGGTGGGAAGGTAAACGGTGTTTCCGTGCACTGCTCTGTTTCACCAGAAGTAGCTTAATCATGCTGGCCACATGACCTGGAGGCTGTATTCCGGCTCCCTCAGCCAGTAAAGCGAGATGAGCGCCGCAACCCCAGAGTTGTTTGCGACTGAACTTAACTGTCAGGGGTCCTTTACCTTTACCAATTGTTTAAACTATTGCCTTAAGGCGACAGCCCAAAGTATATATGCTAAAAGAGAAAAACAGCAACAGCATGTACAATATTCTGTGTTGCCAGATCTTAAAAGGGACAATGTCTGGATTTACAATTTCTCTTTTTATCACCGTTAACTGTGCTGCCCATAAAAGGCATCCATCTTGGTCAGTTCAACTCTGGCAAATCTCATGATGCTGAATAATCTTGTTGGCCAGGAATACTACATAATTCGGATTCAAACATGCAGAACAAAGAGCACACAGGGCAGCCCGGAAGTGGCTGTGATCTTTGTAATTATCTGCTTGTAAGGTTGCTGTAGAACTAGGCTTGTCACCACTTCCTTTTTTATAACTAATACACAAGATTAAGCAGGTAAAGCTTTCCCAAAAACTATACCACCATGCCAGAAAGAGTTTTCACCTGCACAATGTCTGGGTCAGGTGTTGTTAGAGCAGGGCTTCCTGAACTTGGGTCTCCAGCTGTTTTTGGACTACAACTCCCACCATCCCTAGGTAGCAGGACCAGCAATCAGGGATGATGGGAATTGTAGTTCAAAAACAGCCAGAGAGAGACCCAAAATTGGAAAACCCTGTGTTAGACATTGGAGTGAGAACAGTACACAAAGGGGGGCTTGGTAACCCTTCCATGTCATATGACAGTTCCTTACAGACAGCTTCCTTTCAATTGCCTTTTTACACAGCACACAGCACACAGCTGGAAGGGGTGGGGGTAACCTCACAAACAAGTGATCTTGCCTCCCTGCACTGGGAAGGTGTTTTATTAACAGCCGCCAAGTCTAGATCCAAGCTTGCTTTGTAATTAGCATATCAAGGTGACCAGAAAAATTATACATTATAGAAATCTCAGGTTTCATAACACAGAGAAGCCAGGATCAAAGAAGAGGAACAAGGTCTCACACATATTCAAGGGGACATCTCACTTTCTTCTCTTGATCTATGCAACATAAGGAAGGCCTTTGTGGAAGACCTCTGCAATACCATCCTATCTGTGTTTATTTGGGGGGTTTTTTGTGGTTTTTTTTTTGAGATGGGAGGTTGTCAAGCAACTGCTATTAAGAAAAGTGTACCTGAAGCCTCTACTGGGCATGTGCTTTTGGGATCTCAGCTAGAAGGAATAAGCAGCAAGATTTGTGCATTCAATTATTTTATCAAACTTTCTTTTAGTTTAACATACATCAGGAAGTAAAGATGTGCGTTCAGAAGAAAAGTTTCCCACATTGCTATCTCAATTATGAGGTCATAAATTTCTTATGCAGCAGACACCTCTCTCTATAGGAAAAGTTTTTGATCCAATTGATATTAAATTACAGACTTACAAGAGCAAAACATCCCAAACAGTCTTGTCTAGAGAACAAGGATATTAGCTGATGGCCTAGTCCTTAAAACCACTTCTCCGAAAAGCAATTGGGAAATATCTATTTCAGCTGAGGGAAATTAAGTCAACAGAATTAGCGCTTGCCTTTTATTGACTGTTTGGTGTTCAATTATGCAAGCATTCCCTTAAAATTGGTCATCCAGATTTCTCCTCCAGGCTACTGTGAAAAACAAAGCACCTGTACACTATTATCAATGCTTGAAATAGACAACTAGGAGAAGCTAATGAAACCAACTGTAAACTGGTGTGCTGGTTGCCAGAACACATTACTGAATCACCCTCTCTCTGTATGTGTGTGCATGTATATGAGTGTGTGTCTATATCTATATTTAAATACCCACACCCAGGTTGCCTGACCATTACAGTACTTCTGGATTCTCCCAGCACACTGTGGATATCCACTTTGTATGGCATGCCAATAATGCAGCCCCCACACTACCAAGGGCTTTACTTCTTCCAGATTCAAAACTGGCTCCCATTGGACATCTAAGGACACTTTCAGACTGATCTGAACAACAGGAACAGGAAACATTCTTTCAACACTGCCAATCCCAGCAGCGCAAACATGTCGGGTTCCTCACCCCACGCTCTTCTCTGATGAGCTGACAAGTGTGAGAACAGCCAGAGAGTCCACACCCAGCTTGTATCCCAGTGAGCATGGAAAGGCCTGGGGAAAACATTTTCATAGAAATACTTCCTTTGCTCAGTTTGGTACTGCAGTTCTCTCTTTTTTAAAGAAGGTACCAGCAGAAGATGCTGCCAGAAAACATCCCTCATCCATAACACCACAGGTTGAACACAAGAAGTATCAGTTTGCACTTAAAACATTGCTCTTTGTTTGCGGGTAATCGTCAGTTACCATTAGTAGCCTGAAGCCATCTGCTGTGGCTTTGCCTAAAGAGCAAAGTTATCTTGGCCTGGCCGGTACCTGGGACAGGATACACCTAGGAACTATTGCAAGCTGTGACAGGTCAAGAAATCCATAAATGGGATAAGAAAGAGGATGTGAAAAACAGCTTGCAACACCCAATGTAGTATAAAACTTACATTAAGCAGCTTCTGCAGAGATTCTAGTATTTGCATCGATTTAGGACTGTTTAAGCGCTCATTGTGCTGAAAGACTGACAACTGTGTTTGGGATAAACTAGCTGGCCAACATGAGTTGTGGGAGGCAGTGGAAGACAGGAGTGCCTGGCGTGCTCTGGTCCATGGGGTCACGAAGAGTCGGACACGACTAAACGACTAAACAACAACAACAAGCTGGCAACAAAGGGTGGATGGAGGAGAGAAGGAAAAAGGAAGGAAAGGAGAAGCATCTGAAACAAGTGGAGCGGTTTTTGTACATTGGCCTTGGAAGTAGATGATGGATGCTGCGCATTTCAGCGACCAAACTTCTTAGCTTGCACTTGTCTGCCTACCAGCCAGTGGTTTGACAGAGCCTCCCTATCGTCACCAATGCACTGACTGAAAAATCTCCTTGTGATAATCTAAAAAAAAGGGGAACGACCTGCACCACAGCCTGCCTAGGTGGAAGCAAACCAGAAGCCAAGGTGTACAGAGACCCAGGTTTTTCTACCCTTAGCAGAGGCCAACGGAGACTGGCTCACTTATTCCCTGTATTATTTGCATGCCTCCTGCTCTTATTCCCAAGGCTCATGGCCGATTTTTACATTTCATTCTTTATTATCACAGTGAGGCAAAACATCATTCCCATTTTGCAGGAGGAAAGTGTGGGACAAAGACTTAAGGGTACAGGATGGGTCCAAGGCCACCCAAACTAGCTCAAGAGGGATTTAAACCCAGGCCCAAATGCCACATTATATTCGCTTCTCCACCTGTGGGGGAAAAACAAAACAAAACTAAAAATGCTTCCCTTTTGATTAGCAGCACTGATGCCTCAGCATGCTTAGCAGAAAGAAGCCTAGAGCAGAACAGATGTGCCCTTGATGTTTAAGAGAGAGGGATACTAGTCCAAGATGGCAATCTAGCCACAACCTGTTCAACCAGAGTGCCAAAAACGACGACGACAAGGTGGTGATGTGCATTGCAGAGAAACACCCACTTGCTGTGCAGTCCTGGAGTCCTCTAGCCCCAGACACAAAGAGCAAACTGCCTATTGCAGGCCTGTACAAAGTACCTGCCCTTCAACACACACACACCCCAAACGCCAAAGTTTACTAGGTTCTGTATTCGAAGCTGTAATGTTGGGACACTGCAGCTGTAATATTATAATGGCTTGTAAGGGAATAGTAAAGTGGAACGGAGGAAGATACATTTTATTTTCCCCCAACTAAGCAGATTTAATGTTGGCAATGGATTATTTTTAAGTATAACATTCCGCCTCTTCCAAAACATGATTATCAAACCCAGGAGTGTTTATACTCTGGGCTCTACAGCAATGAAGTTACTTTCTCCAACCACTCCCTTTCTGCATTTTTTTTTTTAAATGGGGTCATTGTAACAATTCCATGTCAGGTCATCTGGTTCTAAACTTGCCAGTCCCCTATCTAAGATGTAACAACCCCTTTTATTTTATTTTATTTACAAAGGAGAATTGATACACACACACAGGTAAATTTGAACTGGTGCTGGCATAGGAAAATTAGATACAATTCCTTCTGATTCAAGGTTTGCTTATAAATTCAAAGCTAGTGGCCCATTTGCCAACACGGACACATACCTGTATTAGTCACTTGTGACTAAGGTACAGAATCCAGCATAATGGTACCCAATCCAGCACCCCATGTATCATCATATAATAAAACTGCAATGGTTTTGGACCAATACAAACTTTTGCACACTCCAGCTGCAAAAAGTCTGACTACCCTACATCAAAATCAATCTGTATGAGTAAAGACTGACATCACCATCATCATAATTTTATTTGTATGCTGCCTTTCCACAGTTAAAACAATGCTCAAGGCAGCTTACAATTTGAAAAGATTTACATAATTACAAATATAGCGAAGTAGTCATAAAAATAAATAAAACACATTAAAAACTACATAACCAAACTGAACAATTGCCACATAAAGATACAAAAAGTTAACATCAGTAACAACAGCAAAAACTTCCAATGAAACTTCTCCCCAAACACCCCAGTCCTTGATGGGGGCAGCAGCAGCAGCAGCAGTCAGGCCCCATGCTGCCAGTCTCGCAACATCTGAGCATTTGTGAGAAGCTCCCCAGAGTGATTTGTCTTGTTTGTTATTCCTGCTATTTCTACTCTATTCTGTTTTAAGAGTTTATTCTCCACTGTGCTGCTTCATTTTTCTTACTACATTAGTTATTTCAAGGCTGCCTGCCTTTGGCTCTGTTTTAAAGTCACTTGCTTCTTAAGCAAGCTTTGGAACTCAGCAGCTTAAATATGCTTCAGCAATCTTGTTTCAAACTGTTAACATACTTTAAGCTGCAATCCTATATGGCTGGTGTGGTGATCACACAAGGTCCCCGGATGTTTCACTGTCTATTGATCCCTGTGCCACCACTTTATTTCTTGCTGCCACCACCCAGGCCCTACCTGGTAAAATACTGAGTCCAGTCAGGGTTAAATCGGAACATAAACTTCTGTTTATTTATTGCAGTTTAACAAGCGTGTGGTTTCATAAACGATCTCAGTCAATTACAATCATGGGGTGCCTATCCAGACCTATAACTTCCGCTACCTGCTCTCACTCACTAAACCACCTCTCAGATATTTACTTGTCTTTCTAGCTCCTAACTGTTCCTGACTCAGCTTATTTCGCTACACTAACTCAACCTATCCCAATTCACTCCCACCAACCACCCAACTCCCAACGAACTCCCCCTCTTCGCCCCTCCCAGAGCTGGTTTTATAGTCCCTCTGACTCCACCCCCCGGGTTCTGATTGGGTAACCTGTTTAACTATTTCACCCCCAGCACTCTCATATGTTAACGTCACCGCTGGCAGTATGGCCTATTGAACTTGGTGTCGTTTATTTCTCAGTAAATAGATATATAGGATTGCCCTGTTACTTAATAAATTTTAAGAACAGATATATTAGGCAATCAAACCATGCTTAGTAGGGACTGCTAATGCAGAAGAGGGCGAAACAGAGCCTCCATATATGGTTCTTTCCTCTGGTAGAAAAGAGACACCTGTTAAAAATAAAAGAGTCCTAGAATACATTTTGCTCCCAAATATTATGGCTGCAGGGAGAAGCTGGAGTACTGGCAGGCTTGAACTCCCACCCCCATCTCTCATGAGCTGATGCACAGTGAAAGAAGCAAAACAAATCTCGTTGGCTGGGGATCCAACCTTCTTTGATCTTCAGCCATTATTTCGGATTTCTTAAGGGCCAACTTACATTTTCTACATATAAAGGAAGGACTTTCCAAACAGTAATACATGAGCAGCATCTCTAACAACAGCTTGCTGCTTGTCATATTAATGAAAGGAATATGCAAATTATTTTGAGTGCATGCTATTAAAATATGCTGATGCACTGCAGTCTTTTGTGCCTCGTTGCGATATATTTCTGCTATTTCCCTAACAACAACTTACCCACCCCACTCAAATATCTAGGTCGAGGAGCCAATACAAACAGGATTCTACTCTCCACAGGGGTTTTCAAAATCTAGAAATCAGTAAGAAAAAACGAGCAGTTCATGTTTTCAGCAGATGGGTGATCATTTAATCTTACCTTGCTTTTGTATAAAAATCCTAAGCAGCGGGTTTGCGCTTGTAACAGCCTTGAAGAAGTTGTCGTCATTATTAATAGGAAGAAGGTCTCCATGTATATCAGCATACCCAATCATCACCTCCATGTTGGATATGTGGTGGATGTGAAGAATCAGTTTGTAGAAGTCTTCAAATTTCCCTGGTTTGAAACGATCCAGGGAAAACCTTCGAAATTCTGCACCAAACTGGAATCAAGGGGGAAAAGAGGAGATGAATGGGTGTCAGGGTTTTTAAGGTGACAGAAGCTTTCAAATTTCACATCTGCTGTTCTTATTCTTAAGTAGCTTATGTGCTCTTCAAACTGCAACCTTATAATTGTACAGGATATTAAGATGATGGAAGAGGTCAGTTGTTTTTTAAATTTAATTCAAACACTGTACTAGATCGTGCTTTGCACTAGCTGTAGCTTAGAATTCCAAACCATGGTTTGAACTTCTAAAGCACTATTCTTTCTGGACTTATAATGTCCTTGGGACAGCAAATTTCTCAAGGCAGACAGATGGCTGTAACTATGGTTTGTCAATTCCAAACATCACACCAAACCAGTTAGAACAAATTTGCTTATTCTCTCCTTCCTCCTGTCAAAAGAAGACAACCCTGTCAGTGTTCCTTTGCCTACAGTTGCTTTGAACATGTCAACCAAAATGCAATGCTTCTGTTTTCTCCTGCTACTTACTATACCTCATGATTTCAGCAAATTGCTCTTGAAAGGTTTCCCAGAAGTTCATTTAAAATTGATTCTTTTTCACTTCCCTAATTTGACCAGCAACTGGGAAATCCAGAGGCTCACTCTGAAAGATCAGTTCCTGCCAGGTTTTTGAGGGACATAAGAACTCTGGTTCTCCATTTACTGATGAAAACAGAATCCTCAATGACATAGATTTCTGATGTTGAAGAGGCCTTGGACTCCCAAGACTGTTGATGACCATAAAGTACTCTGCAAGCCTACAAAGCCCACAGCATATTCCCCTCTGTGAAGATTGCCTGTGCAAGAGAGTTCCTTGCAATGGAACTTGCTCACATAACCGATGCCTGGAAAAAAGCCTCAGGAGCTTTAAAGCAACATGCAGGGCTCCTTGAAATCCCTGAGCAGTGCTTTGAAGTCCTGACATTGGGACTTCAAAGCACCCAGTTATCTTATATCATTGTGACACCAGATAATTGATGGGTGGGCAGCTTCACTCACCTGTCAAGTTTGGACTGTGGCGCCAGGGCCTGAAAAATATCTGGTTCATGGACCCAAAAGGCTCCCCACCTGTGGGCGTACATCCTTCCAAATATGTTGGAAGTCAGTTCCACTGAAGTCACTAGGTGACATTTGAGACAGTTTCCCTGAATGATAGTCATGCAAACAATGCTGATGTGGAACACACTAGGTTAATTTAATGAGGGGGAAATTGGGTGGAATTAAATTGTTCTTAACAAACACTAAATTCAGTTCAGGCATTTTAATATTCATGTAGCCCTAAGAGACTTGGAAGAAAGTCTACAAAGGTAATTTCCATGTTCATTGCCTTGGCTATATTTGAAACTGTTAACTGGGATGCTGATAAGCATCCTCAGCTCATTGCAAAAGGAAGCTTCTACATGGAAATTAGGAGATGTCAAGCATCAGCAAACTGTTACTCAAGTGAACAAGTCAGAGCTGGAGAAGTACCGTATTTTTCCATGTATAAGACTAGATTTTTTCCATAAAAAATAATGTCGAAAATTAGGGGGCATCTTATACATGGATAGTGCCAAGGGTGGACTGGTGATTGGTTGTTGCCGCAAAAGCAGAGAGCGTCTTATACATGGGGGTGTCTTATAGATGGAAAAATACGGTATATTAGTCTTTAGCTGTCAAGGACTCTGATTTTAAGTTACAAACCACTAAGAAACAAGTCAGTAAAAGGGAAAAGATTGATGAAATATTGCCAATCTGAACACTGCAGCTAAATCTTCCCGCAGCCATGCATGCAGAAGGGTTGTGTATGGTGCAAACAGCAGTGTCAAAGGGAATCCAGCAACACCTATTTTGTTGTTATTTTCTTGTAAAGTGCCTTGTGTATGGTAATATAGCAATGAGGTATACAAATTAAATGAGTTTAGAGGCGGAACCCCAGTGAACGGACTTGTGCATTTATTTATTTATTTATTTATTTTATATACTGTCCTATGCCTGGAGGTCTCAGGGCGGTTCACAGAACAAAATCAAAATATAAAACCACAAAATATATAATCAAAATAAAAACAACCCAATAACCCCTTTGTTATGATTCTCCTTTGTAACATTTATACAGTGGTACCTCAGGTTAAGTACTTAATTTGTTCCAGAGGTCCGTACTTAACCTGGAACTGTTCTTAACCTGAAGCACCACTTTAGCTAATGGGGCCTCCCGCTGCGCCGCTGGAGCACGATTTCTGTTCTCAACCTGAAGCAAAGTTCTTAACCTGAAGCACCATTTCTGGGTTAGCAGAGTCTGTAACCTGAAGCGTATGTAACCTGAGGTACCACTGTACGGTACAGTATATTAAGTACAGTAATTAAGAGTTTGTCCTTTGACTTCTGCATCTCTTGTCATTGGAAGCAACTCATCTCACATAAAATCACAATCATACAACACGTGTCCAAATGTGAGAAATGAAAGCTTTTTTTTTTTTTAATACAACTCTTCCTATCTGAAGAGTTTTGGGAAAATGTTTTTGTTTTTTTAAAGAGTTCTGTGAAGCCTGGAAAGCTTGCTTACCATTACTGTACAATGAAACTCGGTTAAATAAATAAATAAATACATAAAGCAATACAAGTCTCATTCTTTTGGGCAGACACAATTGTAACCCTTCATAAGAACCTAGAAATTAAGAAGTCAGGTCAACCGATGGAGTAAATATTTAGAGGTTTGCATCCAAACACACATGCGGAGGCAGAGACATAGCTAGGTGACCTTCCGCCCCTGGCAGAACTGTCCAGATTGCATCCCCCCTAGCCACGGACAACTTAGCTCTTCTTTCTGCCTCTCCTCCAACGCGCCCCCCTTCCACCCATTCAATCCACCCTCTATTTAAAACCATTTCCTATGAGGCATTAATCAATATTTATATTTACGGACATATTTTTAGCCGATTTTGCGCCCTCCCCATCGCCTGTGCCCCTGGTGTGGCGCCAACCTCACCACCCCCTAGATATGGCCCTGTGTGAAGGTCACAAAGCCCCCCTCCCACTTTACAAAGTCTGATGCAGAGACTTAGCAGAACCAAAGCAGAAATGACCAATTTGGCTTGAAGGGTTTTCATAAAGGCTGCAAGCTAAAAATAAAAAGCAAGCGAGAACACAGTGGCCTGTTAAGTTAACCACCCCTCTTCAGGCTACATACTTTTGGATCCCAACTGTTTCATTTTTCATTTTTTTATTTTAAAAAGGTTATTTCCATTCCCTTCTTCCCTAATTAAAGGCTGGTGAGCAGCAATGATATATTACTAAGCAGCACACTGGGTAGTAGAAGAAATAGGATACCTCATAGTTGGTATTGATCTGTAAAGGCCTTTTCCAGACTAGTCTCCTCAACTGCTTTGAACCTTCCTATCACTAGAGTGCTAAATGGCTTTTAGAAGGGTGTTCTGTAGCCTATCACCCTGGCTACACTAAGACAGCAGCCAGAACAATCCTTCATTATGGGAACCTAATCTACTTATTAGAGCAGTTTTTGAACAATGAAGTACAGTAATCTACTTTGGCCTACTTGCCTAACGCAAACATCTCGGCTGACATCGCAAAGCTAAAAGCAAGGGAAGGAAGGGCAATACGGGGTTGACGGTAATTTAGGCTGACAGTGCTGCGAGAACGGTGACTAACAAAATAGTATTACACATGCTTGCTCTTCAAACAATGGCCCCTCGTTCTAAGAATCTCCCTCAATATTAGTCACCGTCTGGTCGATTTGCAGATACAAGCAGCAAAAGATGTCTAAGGAACCAACCTGTCCTAGTACAACAGGGAATCTCATCTATTCCCATATTAAAATTAATGTCAGGGACGATACAAAGGGTAGAGAAGGTACGAAGGAAAATTCTCTGTTTCATGTGATATGAATGCCAGTTGTCAAATGGTTTTGATGGTTTTGATACAACAATCTGCATGTGCAAATGATGCTAATTGTTTTAACTTTTTAAAAAAAGGATTTACAGAGAAACTAAAATTTGGGCACAATACGTAACCTTAGAAAACTGATTAGAAGGTCAGAAAGAACCAGGTTGGGAAATGCTACAGCTCCAAAATTTAAGGAGGGTGTGTGTGTCATTTAAAATGCCTTCCAAAATTACAAGCTACTAAATCTGTTAAACATTGTCTCAAAAATCGTGTTCAAGCTTCTTTCTGAATAAGCTCAAATACTGGGCTGAATTCAGCATTAGAAATTAGCCGGGCAGAAGGCACAATTTGCGACTGGCATGGGTCCAATTGCGACCACGTGGAGATCACATAATGCCAGCTTGGCGACTGGGGAAAGCAAAATGTCACTTAGAGAAGGATCTGAAATATTTCCCTTGAAGCTTGAATATGTTTTATTTCTGATTGTTTTCTGTGATGTTTTAATGTGTTGTAAACCGCTTTCAGATTTGTTCTTTAAAATATAAAGTGGTATAAAAATGAAATAAATAACAACAAATTTCACTGGAAAAAGGTACGTACGTGTGTGTGTGTGTGTGTGTGTGTGTGTGTGTATACCCCCCGCTCATCTGGCTGGGTTTCCCCAGCCACTCTGGAAGGCTCCCAACAGAATATTAAAAACACGGTAAAACATCAAAAATTAAAAGCTTCCCTAAACATTCCATTATGGTGACCATAACCTAGGTTTAAGTTGCCATTTGGTGATTAACTTATATAGCTGAGTTTCTAACACTAGGGCTGAAGAAATATTCTCTCAAAAGAACAGGCAGGCTTTAGGCAGAGGGCTTCTTATTTAGTCATTTAATTGGCAAATATGCCAAGGAACCCAAGTAGCTTTTATGCAGCCTTCATGGAGTTCATGACAGCCTTTGGCAGAATGGACCAAAAATAGATTTATGGTTTAAACTGTGAAACACAAGCTCTTCATGGATCCAGCAATGGGTTTACTAGAGATATCTAGTTGACCATGGTGAGAAATAGGAGGCTCTATTAAAAGAGCCGTCGATCTGCTTCAACGGGGCTCTTAGGTATCTGAAAGCACAGGGGAGATAGTCCAGCTTCCTAGAAATTTTTTTCCAGTTAGTGTGTGCGCAACACAGATATTTGATGGACCTATTCCTATTATATTAGTGGCACACTCAAAAATACAACACGCAGAACATTTTCTAGCAGCACACATGTTGTAATGAAGCACCCATATTTACTCTGGCAGATGATATACTTTTGTCATCATGAAGAGAAGGTGGTTTACGATGACTCCTCAGAAATTATGACATGGCCTGCCAAGAGGAACAGTGAAATGCCAATTATACTAAACTACCGAGTTATTTCTGGAGCTCATGCTATGTACCACAAATGGTTGTGCAATGGTCAGGAGCGAGGGCAAGTTAGAAGCTACAATTTTCTTAGCAACTGGTTTTCAGAAACAAGGTACCGTATTTTTCGCACCATAGGGCGCACCGGACCATAGGGCGCACCCAGTTTTTAGGGGGGGAAATCAAGGAAAAAAATATTTCCCCCCCCCAGCCCCAAAGAGCAGCGTACAGGCTGCACACAACCTCTCCCTGCCAGAGGGGTTGCGCGCAGCTATGGAAGAAGGCAAGGCAGCAAGCGGGATGGATCCCGCTCGCTGTTTTGCCTTCCCCTTTAGCCCCATGCAGCCTCTCTTTGCCGGGAGAGGCTGCGTGGGGCTAAAGAAGCCATAGCCCCGTGCAGCCTCTCCTTGCGGAGGGGTTGCGTGGGGCTAAAGAAGCCATAGCCCCGTGCAGCCTCTCCTTGCGGAGGGGTTGCGCGCAGCTATGGAAGAAGGCAAGGCAGCAAGCGGGATGGATCCCGCTCGCTGTTTTGCCTTCCCCTTTAGCCCCACGCAGCCTCTCCCGGCAAGGAGAGGCTGCATGGGGCTAGAAGCTATAGCCCCGTGCAGCCTCTCCTTGCGGAGGGGGTGCGCGCAGCTATGGAAGAAGGCAAGGCAGCGAGCGGGCTGGATCCTGCTCGCTGTTTGCCTTCCCTTTAGCCCCATGCAGCCTCTCCTTGCCGGGAGAGGCTGCGTGGGGCTAAAAGCCATAGCCCCGTGCAGCCTCCCCTTGCGGAGGGGTTGCGCGCAGCTATGGAAGAGGCAAGGCAGCGAGCGGGATCCATCCCGCTCGCTGTTTTGGCTTCCTTTAGCCCCGTGCAGCCTCTCCTTGCCGGGAGACGCTGCGCAGGGCTAAGAAGCCATAGCCCCGTGCAGCCTCTCCCTGCCGGAGGGGTTGCGCGCGGCTATGGCACAAGCCTGCATTCGCTCTATAGGACGCACACACATTTCCTCTCAATTTTTGGAGAGGAAAAACTGCATCCAATAGAGCGAAAAATACGGTACTTTGAATACTCCTCTAACTGCAGCAAAAGGTGAACATTTCCAAATCTTTTATAAGCAATTGTGGGTTTTTTATAATAAAAAAAAATAGATTTTGAAAGGTGAAAATTGAATTTCATTTGTTCTGAAGATCCCTGCTGGAGTTGCCTTCAAGAACCCTGGCAGCATATATGAGTGCTGAAGTTGCGTGTTTATGTCAATAAAGCCCATATTCTCACAGCTGTTTTCAATATTATTTCAAGTTATGTAAAGAAGAGCTGCATTTTTTATGAGAATAAAATGCACTCGCTTGACATGGACCCACAAAACCCAAAGAGCTGGTGCCATTAGTAGTCACCAAAATTACTGTGGGAGAAGCCTGCCAGAAGTTAGTGGGACTGATCCAAGATTCACTACAGTCACTACTTGCTTGATTTTAACTATATAACACATATTGGGGGGAATGACTTCCATGCGTCAACACGAAGCTGCCTGCCTTTTTAGCATTAGAAGACTGTAAAATCTCAGAATTCCAACAGAGAAGTGTTTGGTACATCTAGAAGGCACTGCAGTAGAATTTTTTACAACGTTATGTATTGTACTGCAAAATTTATGCTGGAGCAAGGGAGACGCTTGTTTTGAATTTGTTAACAGATCTATCTAAACTTGCTGCCAAATCAAGTGAGAATGACTGAGTAGCAAGATTTGTGGAAACACAAACTGAGAATGAAGCAGGACGCTAGCTAAACTGATGAACATGGAGGAGAGATTTCCACAAACAAGGTGTGATGTCTGACAAAACCCTCCTGACAACAGAGAGGTGAAATAATCCCACACTGCTCCCGACACATCAACTCATCATCGTTTCTACAGCAGTGGTAACCAACATTTCTGGAAAGAGCCCTACAAGTAAAGCCCAATGTATGAGGCATGACCTACAGTACACAAATGCAGTACACAAATACAGTACACATTTAACCTCTGAGAGAACCGTCTTCCCCATGACACTGGTTACAGTGCCTTCACTTATTAACACTTCCTAGTCGGTTGCCATTATTAAAAGACTTGAGGCTTATAAGCAAGAGGACATGTTTAAAATATGCTCCTTATGCCAGAGGGAAACATAAAAACTCAGGCCAAAATTGCTCACACAATGATTGTTTAGGCAATTCCACAACAATCCAGAAACCCAAGAAATTCAGAACTGACTGACTGAAATCTGGCACCATGTCTTCATTTATGAACAGCAGCAATATAAACAATGTGGTTTATTTTTTAATGTCTGGATCCCATTCCTTATGGTTTGAATAATCAACTTATTGTTGCTGTTTTTAAAATGCAATGGTGTTTTTAAAAGGATTTCTATCAGTTACCAGTGAAATGACTGCATTGCAGGGGGTTCAACTATAGGGCCCTTGTGGCCCCTTCCAAATCTACAATTCTATGATTTTGAGCTAGCCAAAGGTTTTCTATTTCTGGCAGCACATCATGGATGAAACACTGAGGGAGGAAAGATTGCTCAAAACTGTTGCTATCTGTTTAATCCACACAAACTTTAAAAGGCAATGGCTATCTCCCAAATGTTTTAAGTAGCTCAGGCTAAATACCTTTTTTGGGATTTGAATTTGAAAGCTATTGTAGTTGAGAATGCATTTTATTTCACTTTTTCAAGAAAAGAAGAAGTTTAAATTACTAGAAGTTCAAGAAAGTATACACACTTTCTAAAGTTGCCTGCAGAGAAGGCATATAGGCTAGGTAACGGGAGACACTTACAAATGTATCATCCGCATGGTAACAGTTCAAAAATTAGGGTATAAATTAGCAGGCTCTACTATCGTATTCATGATAATACACTATCAAGCAAGACAAGACACAAGCATTCTCAGTGTTCCTCCACTCTAGTGATTGTTGTTCATAGGACAGAACTGCCAAGTGGCTAACTGATTTCAGCATGTGTCAGAAATCCAAACTACTGCAGAGAGCCAACAATATCCACAGTTTAAACCAGAATAATCTAGACATTGTTGCACGGAAGACCTTCCAACCACAGGGAAGAGCTTCATATGCTGCACGAAATGGCACCATAGCGTAATCCAGGGGCAAAGCCGAGAGGGATGTTTGAGGAACTGGGTTTCTGCAAATTCCAGTTTGAACTGACCTAATCTGCTCCTCATGGGCTAATGTATAAATCAGAACTTAGTTACCCACAGAATTTCACACTTCGCAAAAATATTCCAATACCATTCTCTCAAAGAGATAGATACATAAAGATAAAACTAAGATTAAAGGTAAAGGTAACGGGACCCCTGACCATTAGGTCCAGTCGTGTCCGACTGTGGGGTTGCGGTTCTCATCTCGCTTTATTGGCCGAGGGAGCCGGTGTACAGCTTCCGGGTCATGTGGCCAGCATGACAAAGCCACTTCTGGTGAACCAGAGCAGTGCACGGAAACACCGTTTACCTTCCCGCTGGAGTGGTACCTATTTATCTACTTGCACTTTGACATACTTCCGAACTGCTAGGTGGGCAGGAGCTGGGACCGAGCAACAGGAGCTCACCCCATCGCGGGGATTCGAACCGTCGACCTTCTGATCAGCAAGCCCTAGGCTCTGTGGTCTAACCCACAGCGCCACCCTTAAAACTAAGATTATATGCAGATTAAATGAATGCAGGAACGGGACAGAAAAGACTTATGGCAGGGGTACCCAAACTTTTTTCAAAGAGGGTCAGATTTGATGAAGTGAACATGTGTGAGGGCCAACCAGATTAAATCAACCGGTCCCTGAAACGGACTTTGGACATGCCTGACTTATGGGATAACAAATGCTGAAGTGACGTAGACCAGAAATAGTCTGATTTGCTCATCCCTGCCACCAACACGGTAAGAGGCCCTGGTTATAAAGTGTAGTCCCTTTAAAAAGAAATAAAGAATAAAATAAAATAAAATAAAATAGAAGAGTAGAATGGTGTGGAACAAAAGAGGGGCTGGACAGGCACCTTCAGAATTCTACTTCCCTTCTATACCTTACAAAAACAAAATGAAAGCTTGTGGGTTGACAGGTCTTGCACGCTGGGAGTTGGCCTAATTTCAGACATTATCTCCTTCCCATTTCAGATCATCAGTCATATCCCCAAATCAGCAAACAACTTGTCAAATGGAAAACATCGCGCTAGCAAAACAGGCAGGGATGTGGCAACAGCCCATTACACCTAAACGTGATTAGAGGCTATTCTGTCACACGGTAGTTATCCTCAGAAGACTAGCTTCTATCAGGTACACCTAGAAATTAATTATTCTAAAGGCATTCTTAAAGGACTTTGATTTTTTTATTTTTTTTGCCGCAGGAGATTCCTCCAAATAGAAACCTACCTGGGTAAAAAAACACAAGGTAATTCTTATGAGACCCTCTGGTTCTGCCCATTTCAAACAATAATTCCAGCAGAAAGATACAATGACAAAGAGAGGTGTGAGGTGTGTGTGGGGGGAACTGTATTCATGTATTCTCAGTTTAAAATTCTACAGGCAATACTTAAATCTTGCCCATTTTCACAATTCCCTTCCTGCATTCACTAATGTCCAACTAATGCAACACGTTATCTAAAATACTAGCAAAAATCTAATGCCTCAAGAAGCATGACAGTTCAGCATATTAATTCAGGTGTGTATCCCATGTGCTTCTCACAGGAACCTCATTGATGCGTCTGTCCCAAAACTACAAGTGATAGGAGCTTGAAGCGTGGATCAGCATTTAAAAAAAACTCACATTGAACAGGTTATGCCTACCAGACACATTGTTTCAACATCCTTGGAACCAAATTCCACGTTCCAAACAAGAGTTTAACTGAAGCCCAGCTCACAAGGTTGACACAGATAAGTGTTTTCCTTAGGGCCAGGTGGTACATTACATGCAATATAATGCACCAGCTGGAGACTGGTGGCTCTTTTTAAAGAGGAGAGAATGGTGTGAAGTAGCAGCAGAATGCTTAATGCTTTCCCTACTGTGGCAAAGTCCCGCAAAGCAGCTTTTCCCACTGCAGACAGTCAAATGCAAGGATGTGCACATATGAAAACCTGAAGGGAGCAAAATGGAGAACGGAAAGGGCACACAAAGAGTTAAATAGGCCCTTCCCACTCCAGACTAACTCTTGCAGAAATAGCCACCCCCCTTTTTAAAGGAGGCCATCAGACTACGGTTACATGAATTTGTATGTACTTATTGAGCCTTTAGGAATATCTATTATTTTGTGAATCTTGAAAATTTCAGAATACATGATTTTATCTTAAAAGAGAATGATGCTTGTAAATCCAAAAAGAACTAGAACAAGACTCTACTTAGATATTTTTCTGGTAGATCACTTTTAAGAAGCATGTAAATGGTATATGCACTTTTTTCTTTTTCTTTTTGCTATTCTATCTCTCTTTCTCAATAAAATATATTCTAGTAAAAGATATGGAACTGGGGTGGGTGGGGGTGTGGATAGAAATAGTTAAAAATGTAATGCTATTACTGCTTACCTGCTGAATTCAAACTCTGTTATGCAAAATCTCTCCAGATTTCCCATGCATCTGATGAAATCTGATTCAGCGGGTAAGTTTGGCAAGGCACAGCAGTGGAACAACAAGAAGAGCTCTCAGACCCCGGGGGAATTAATTGATACAGAATACAATTCAAAATATGGGTCAAAGCAAAAGTGTGGATGAGCCCTTTGTCTGAGTAATTAATGTGAAACAAAACCACCTCCAGCTGCAGGGTTTTAAAATCTAACAGCAATTTAAAGAGTGCATTGTATGGCTTACATGTAGGAATGGAAGATCCCTTTTCGACAAGTTACATGTAGCCAGATGTAATTTCTCACTCAAAAAGGACTTTTGCTACCAGTTTAGCAGAGTGATGATGAATAACCGCTGGTTCCAACAGTAGCTGGTATGGGAGTTGAACACCCACCCACCCCAAGAAAACCCTACACACATTTAGCTTTTTGTGAGTTGTAGTACATGCTAAAAAAAAGTGGAAGACATGACTAGTCAAAACTGCTAGAGAACTAGACCTTCCTGATTTTCAGGGTGCTGTCGCTGTTCTGGCCCCACAGAATAAAAGAGTGGAAGAACAAGTCGAGATAATAATCTTTCATTGAACTTGTTAGTGTAAAAGCCCAAGCTGTTCTTGATTGGCTGAATTTAAGCAAGTCTTCTAGCCACAGTAGAAACAGATAACCAAAGTCAGGTATAACTAAGCAACCCAAACTTTTATCATCACAGGAAGGCATACAAATACAGGATAGACGACTTGCTGGAAAAAAATAGGAGCTGCCATATGGACTAGGAAAGATGCAGTCTTATAGTGCATGCTTTTCATTGCCCTAGCTGAATTAGATTTCCTATTTAGGAAAAAATATATATTTAAAAGATTTGTGCCCTGCCTGTCTTCCACAGAAGTCCAAGAGGTCAAGAATACTCAAGCTAGACCCTTTAAAAAAAAGCTATACTTTCACCAGGCAACAAAAAGTTAACAGTGATAAGAACAGGAAGTAAAGTAAGGAGGACATTCTACTGATGTGGCAACTGAAACACCCAGACTCTTGTGCCTCCAATGTTGATCTAAATCAGTGGTTTCATAATAAAAATGTGCTCATGCCACACTTGATAAGAAATACATTGGAAAACAAAAGCTGGAGAGCCGCAGGTTTCCCCATCATACTCACAGTTCCAAAATTCCAGCCCAACTGATTGAAATCTTGTGCTGTGGTCTAAACCACAGAGCCTAGGGCTTGCCGATAAGAAGGTCAGCGGTTCGAATCCCCGCAACGGGGTGAGCTTCTGTTGCTTGGTCCCTGCTCCTGCAAACCTAGCAGTTCGAAAGCATGTCAAAGTGCAAGTAGATAAATAGGTACCGCTCTGGTGGGAAGGTAAACGGTGTTTCCGTGCGCTGCTCTGGTTCGCCAGAAGCGGCTTTGTCATGCTGGCCACATGACCCAGAAGCTATACGCCGGCTCCCTCGGCCAATAAAGCGAGATGAGCGCCACAACCCCAGAGTTGGTCATGACTGGACCTAACGGTCAGGGGTCCCTTTACCTTTACAATCTCAATAGATCTGCAGAGGACAATGCAAGAATCTGTAGTCGCTTACCCCAGAACACAAAGCTCATCCCATGACTTAGGAATCTAGAAGTTAGTGACTGAAATATCTCTCCAAGCATTGCAGTTATGAACTATTAATTACCTCTATCAAGAAGCACTTCAAACCAACATGGATTTTGACACCTTTCATAGTTCCCTGATAAAAAGACTCGGGCTGCATACACACAACATCTTATTCGAGAACCAATGGAGACCAAGTACTTGTCTTTTTCTACACAGTCCATGTACCATCTAGATCTATCGCCTATATTTTGCATCCCAAGAAGTGCTTCCTGAGAAACTGGCTTCATTCTGAAAATAAAAGCTCATTGATTTTGCATTACCCTGCAGTGTGTCCATCTGAAAACAGATGGAGGCAGGCTAGGGATGAACTAAGACCTTTTGGTAGCTGAGGCAAACCACAAAATGGTGCTGCCACACCCTGCTAGGGAAGAAGGGGCGAGTGAATATCCACATCAGGAACAAGGGGGGTGAGGGAAATAAATATCTTTTTTTTTTATAAGATATTTATTAAGATTTTCAAAATATTACAAAATAAAAATAGAAAAAAGAAAAACACAAAAAATAAAAATAATTAAAAACAACTCAATCTTTCCATTACTTATTTTTCATTAGCTTATTTCCCGGACCTCCTCACGCCTCCCTTTTTTGTATTCCAGTTCAGTTTGTTGGTTCAGCAAATCCTTCCCCTCTTTGTCTATCCTAATCATTAATCTTAAAATATTGTAACATTAAATTTTTACCTGTTAGTAATCCATTTTTCATATTCCCTTATAGTATTGCAGCTAAAAACCACTTAATTTCTATCCAACATCATTCTAACATTCATTAATTTTACAATATTTCTGTAAATAGTCTTTAAATTTCTTCCAGTCTTCTTCCACCGACTCTTCTCCCTGGTCCCGGATTCTGCCAGTCATTTCCGCCAGTTCCATATAGTCAATCACCTTCATCTGCCATTCTTCCAGAGTGGGTAGATCTTGTGTCTTCCAATACTTTGCGATGAGTATTATTGCTGCTGTTGTGGCATACATGAAAAAAGTTCTATCCTTCTTTGGCACCAATTGGCCGACTATGCCCAGGAGAAAGGCCTCTGGTTTCTTCAAGAAGGTATATTTAAATACTTTTTTCAATTCATTATAGATCATCTCCCAGAAAGCCTTAATCCTTGGGCACGTCCACCAAAGGTGAAAGAATGTACCTTCAGTTTCTTTACATTTCCAACATTTATTATCGGGCAAATGATAGATTTTTGCAAGCTTGACTGGAGTCATGTACCACCTGTATACCATTTTCATAATATTCTCTCTTAAGGCATTACATGCCGAGGGAAATAAATATCTACACCTGGAACAAGGTTGGGAGGAGACCCAAAGTGCCTCCTGTTTGCCAAGAGGCCACAATAGAGGTGGCAACAAATCTAGTCTCCAAGGAGTGCGCTACAGAAACGACATTTTTGTGCTACAAACATTCTACCCCTACCAGGTTTGTCATTTCTTCTCCTTTCAAATAAACAAAGTTCCTGATTACATCTGGAGGCCCAGGATGCAGGACTGCGCCCACTCATACCCATTTCTTCTAGGCTAAAGCATTGGAGGATAAACAAGAAAACACGAGTTCGCATTCTCAACTTTCTTGTTCCCAGACAGGTTTTCACAAGTCTTGGTGCTTACAACATAAAAGATGAGTTGATCCATTTATTTTTTTTAGGATGACGGCACAGGCATCGGCCGGAAAGAACAGCACACCCCAAGTGGCATTTTGAGCTGCATTTGATCTAGAGCAGTCTAGCCAAGTTGGTCAAGATCATGCTTGCAAACAGCTACCCACCTATGGCAGATAAGAATAGCCACTAGGTAGGGAAGTACATGCCACCTGTAAGATGGCTATTTTCTCTTTCAGGCCATCTGGGCTAAGAATAATTGCAGGTGGAGGTATTTGCAAAACGGAGCTGAGACACACTTGTTCTGTGTGGTTAAACAGCTGCCCACTTCATTAGCAAGACACCCATGTCCACCTAAGTCAGACAGGAAGCAATGTAGAGCAACAGATACCTTACTAGCTCGACGCATTCTTACAGATGGATCGCCAAGTCCTAATGGGATGTTATTTGTTCATAAATTATGAGCTGCTTTTCCAAGCGCTAAAAAGTGCTGTGTACAAGTCGAAATTCAATAGCAAGAAGCAAATATTCAAACAATACAGCTGAAGCCAAAGTGTTTCCCCTCAGTGCCTACCCTAAGTCACAAAGTGCCCTAAACAAACCTTTCTAAATTCATTCTTACCATCTCCCCCTACAAATAGAAGGCCAAACTAGACGCAATGGAGACACCATTCATGTGTTCATCCCATTTACATATAAAACAAGAACGGGAACCTGACTTCATAGGTCACCAACACATACCCAGAGGTTTTCCTTGGGGTGCCCCCAATAAATTCAGGATTGGGGAGATTAACTCTTGCCTCCCCAACTGCACTCTCCAGGAAAATCAGGGGGTGCGAAGGGTTCAACACTCTTGTATACTCAGCTTACTGCTGAATAAAGACCTAAAGATAGACAGACACACTTAATGCATGTGGGGCCAAGCACTTTAGAAGAAACACATTTCTGCCAATCATATCTACTTAATGCTGCTTCCAAACAGGATTCTGGAGTAATGATTCCAACACAAACCCTTTGAGTTACTATAGGTTTATTGTTCCAGAACATGAACACCTCCCTCAAGAAGAAAGAAAACTTGATGGGGTGCCCTCTTCTCACAAGAGTTATCATATTTGGTATTTTACAGAACTACCATGCTCTACTTAACATTTTGTTTTGGAGATGGAACAGCCCAGTCGTATGCGTGTCTGGACACAGTCAGATTACTCAGCAGGAAGTGCTACCTACTCCCAGGCGAGTATGCGCAGAATAAAGCTGCAACCCAACCAGTCCAAGTGAGACCGTGAGACTTTCTCATCACCTACTACAAAAATGCTGACTTTGTCTCTCAATTAAATAAGAAATAACTGTTACAGTTTTCCCACAAGTAAGGTAAATTTCAGTGCTAATCCGCCATTTGGCATATGGAAGACCATCTGTTATATACCTGACAAAATTAGTAACATGAACTTTAAAAGACAAGTTCAAAATTTCCGCAACTCTCAAGGCATCTGCACCAAGCAGTGAAAAGCCTTTTCATCACTGCTGAATATCCACCTTGACATTTTTTAAATATAAGCACTATATTTAAGTTTCACATGCCACTCCAAACCAGTGAATTAAACACCACCAACACACAACTATGTGGATTAAAACCATATGTACTTTAATGATAACATGCCTCCTGAGCTGAAGAAGCCATTTTCTTCTTTACTGGACAGCAGTTTTTGCAATTAAGGATTTCAGAGGCACAAACTTAAGCACTGTATATTTGTCACTTGATGACTTGCATGTGCGTATGGGCCCTGTGCTGATACATCTCATCACATCACCACAAATGCGGTTACTTTTGATTCAAGAGAATCATTTCAGACATTCAACTGCAGGTCATCAAGACATACAGCAATTCAGTACAAAGAAGCCTAAACACAACTTTTCTGTAGCAGGCTGTGTGGATCAACAACATCTGGAGGCTTGTAACTCCCATCATCCCTGACCATGCTGGCTGGGGGCAATGGGAGTTGGGAATCCAACAACATCTGGAGGGCCATAGGTTCCCCATCTCTGGTCGACATTAACGGTCCTGGAGTCTGTGTTTGAAATTAGCCAGGCGCCAGGCGCATTTTGCATCTGGCTTTCGACCACTTGCAACCAAGTGAAGATGGCTGGGAGCCAGGATGCCACCTGACACCTCCACCATCTGGGGATCATTGGATCTAGATCGTTTTCACACACTAATAGCCCATTCTGTAGAATTCTATCAGTTATATTTTACATGCACAATCATAATGAATTTCTGGAACCAAATTGCTTTTTCTGTGCAGCTTGAGCAGGAGCAGGAATCACCATTAGGAAAAAGAGGTAGGACTAGGCTAATATATATGTGGACTGTCCCTGGATCAAGTGGCTTTTCTTCTTTAAGTTCCCAACATTCTTCACCTAGCTCAAGGTTGTCATCTGAAGTAGCTAGATGTTTAACTGAGAATTCATCACAGTCGATCCATCGTTTGAAAAATAACAACCTCTGCGCCACCTTGCCCCAAAATGGCAACTAGACATTCCATTTAGGTGACTGTAAACCTTGGTTTAAGGAGCCATTTGGTGCCTAGCTTATATATCTGAGTTTCTAACACTGCCTGGAGTAAAGGCTAAGCATCACTACCAGAAGGATCGTGGTCAATGAAAGTGTCTACATGTTGAAGTACCTTCTCATATCAAAGTAGAGGAGGCACACACTTTGGAGATACTTTGTTTATTATGTCCGGCAGCCTCTTTACTTAAATATTTCTCAAGACTCTAGTAAGGAACATTACCTCTGCCTGGAGCAAGACCTGAGAACATGGATGCTAATCGTCACAATCAATCAATTTTCTAGAAATGTAGTTGTGTGGAGTTAATCATCCAAAAGTATGTTACTCTTGGTCAAAACAACATTTTTCCTTAGCTGTCTAACAACCTCTGCCCTGCCTTCCAGGTAAATCTCACAGAGCCTATGTCACAACCTCATGCCATAGATGGTTTTAAAAAACAAACATCCGTAGCATTCTCTCTTCATTAGTCCTGTAGTCATGTCTAATGGGAAAGCATTCCACCACCAAGGCACTCAATATATTATGATTGCTACTCTAATATACAACTTGAGGGTAATTGATGGTAGCAATAACGGTCCTAGGAATCAATGTTAAGTGACAGAATACCACCAGTAGTAACTGATTGTGTAGAGTGTGCTGCTCTCTTACATCTAGTAACCTGTATGTACTTCTGAGTATGACTGGAAAACAAATATTCTCACATATCACAGGAGGTATGCTGCTGGTTAATAACTACTCCAGGTACTTGGTCAAACAAATACTCTTGAAAAGGAGTTAACATGAATGGTACACCATCAGTGTTGCAACTGTCAAACCTTGCCTTTGAGGGTCTATAAGGTAAAGGTAAAGGACCCCTGACAGTTAAGTCCAGTCACAAACGACTCTGGGGTGTTGTGATGCTCATCTAGCTTTACAGGCCGAGGGAGCCAATGTTTGTCCACAGTTTTTCCAGGTCATGTGGCCGGCATGACTAAGCCACTTCTGGCGAAACCAGAGCAGCGCACGGAAACGCCATTTACCTTTCTGCCGGAGCGGTACCTATTTATCTACTTGCACTTTGACGTGCTTTCAAACTGCTAGGTTGGCAGGAGCTGGGACCAAACAACAGGAGCTCACCCTGTTGCGAGGATTCGAACCGCCGATCTTCCGATCAGCAAGCCCAAGGCTCAGTGGTTTACACCACAGCGCTACCCGCTCCCTTGAGGGTCTATACTGTACAGTGGTACCTCGGGTTACGTACTTAATTTAATCCGGAGGTCCGTTCTTAACCTGAAACTGTTCTTAACCTGAAGCACCACTTCAGCTAATGGGGCCTCTTGCTGCCGCCGTGCCGCCAGAGCACGATTTCTGTTCTCATCCTGAAGCAAAGTTCTTAACCCGAGGTACTATTTCTGGCTTAGCAGAGTCTGTAACCTGAAGCGTACGCAACCTGAAGCGTATGTAACCCGAGGTACCACTGTATCACTAAAAATGTTACTATATCATTATGAAACACTTCCGGTTTAATAGGCAGCAACACAAAGCAGCCAAAAGAGTCTGTTACCTATAGATATACTTTATGTGTACTGTATATCAGATTGTCTGTATGAATCCCAGCAAACTAGTCTGGCTGACAGGGATTAAGGACTAGTATTTACATATACACAACCAATTCATTCCTTCAGAACAGTTCATTCAAAGGATGCTAAGTACAGCTCACACTTCTGACAGCATGGCCTTTCTAGTGCCTATTATCAGAGCTTGCACTGCAATGAAGTTTCAGAACTCTGTGTTCTAAATGTACAATACTAAGACCATTGAGAGAAATACAAGCTTTATTGGAATATGAAGGGGGAAGGCAGCTAGCTGGCTATTTCATGCAACTCGGTTGCAGAACATCTGCTCTGTATGCAGACGGTCCCAGGTTCAAATCCCCAGCATCTCCAAGAATGGAACGGAAGTACCTCTGTCAGATGGACCAATGGTCTGGCTGGGTGCAAGGCAACCTCCCCAGTTCCCTATATTTCACCCAAAGTAAAGTCAAGCACCCATAATTTTGAAACAAAGAAAAGCAACTCATCCCTAACATAGAAAGATACAATACCCAGAGACCTCTGTTGGTTTCACAACAGGGATGGGGAACCTGTGGTTGACCAGAGGTTGTTGGGTTACAACGCCCATCATGCCTGTCCACTGGCCTTGTTGGCCAACACTGATGGGTGTGAAAGAGCCCAACAAACATAGACATATCTTAGTGCACCCCCCTTAAATGACCAAATAAAGTGGGCAAAACAGTGAGGAGTTTGCTCAGTCAGAGGCAGAACAGGAACTAAAATCCAGCTCTTTCTAATTTCAGCATGCATTGTCCACAGAAGGACTCTTGCCACCATCTAACATTGATTTAAACATTTTGCTATGAGCTGCTGAGAACACAGAGGCGATGCAACCCCCACCCAGAGGTATTGCTGTGGATCTTACACACGCAAGGCAAGTTTGGAAGGCAAAGCCAAGAATAAATAAATAAATAAAATAAAGAATGAGAAATAAAGAAAGAAAAGTGGGCGGGAAAGTAAGGTAGCTGTAGGAATACAGATAAGGTGAGGCTAGAGTGATTTGGGAAAGAGAAGGCCTTCCAGATGTTGGTGGGCTACAATTCCTATCATCCTTCCCCGATTACTGGCCACAATGCCTGGGGGTGATGGGAGCTGGAGTCTGGCAACACCTAGAGAGGGCCATGGCTACTCCACCTGGCTTGTGTATTTCATTAACATACGTCTCACAACCACACATACATTTGTCATAGATAAGCTGCCTGGAATGGCACAACTCCTGACAAAAGCAGAGGGCAAATCTGGTCTCATGTTGTTTCAAGGATAGCTGCCTCCCCTGCCTGAACAGGGGCTTTGGGATGTAATGATGCTAAGTTAGGGTTGCCATACGTCCAGAATTTTCCAGACATAGCTGGTATTCAGCCCCCTGAAAGCGTCTGGGCAGAAATCACTGCAATGTCCAGGAAAGTCCAGACATATGGCAGCCCATGTCAGTAGTGTAGAGTTTGACAATTTGCATAAAAAAAAGCTCAAAAACTCAAACTTTGCCACAACCCCCCTGCAAAAAACACAGCAACTTTTCAAAAAAATGTTCAACAACTTTTGTATCCAGATTTTCACTTTTTGAAATATGGCACCTCTAGCAAACTTGTCATAGCAGGCATGCCATGCAAGCACACAAAAGGGCAAGTCTTCACTATGCTCAAAGGGTTCAAGTACCTTCGCTATGATGAAAGACTAAAGTGCTCTTATTAGTCCAAGGGGGGGGGGGAGAAATAACAGGAATTAAAAAAATTATGATTAGTAAGAAGAAGATAGCCAAAATGCATTCTTACTCCCCCCCCAATACTACTAGAACTTTGAGTCCCTGGCCAAAATCATCTATCTGTACACATTAAAACAGGAAGTGCTATTTCACACGCCTAGTTAACTTACAGAATTCACTGCCACAGGATGTGGCGATGGCCACTATATTAGATAGCTTCTAAAATGACAATTCATGACAGGTATCTCCATCAATGGGTACAATGGTACCTCGTTACATACGCTTCAGGTTACAGACTCCACTAACCCAGAAATAGTACCTCGGGTTAAGAACTTTCCTTCAGGATGAGAACAGAAATTGTCCTCTGGCGGCATGGCGGCAGTAGGAGGCCCCATTAGCTAAAGTGGTGCTTCAGGTTAAGAACAGTTTCAGGTTAAGTACAAATTAAGTACTTAACCCGAGGTACCACTGTACTGACAATGACAGCTAAATTCAACATCCATGTTGGGAGGCAATATGCCTCTGAACACCAAAGGCGAAGAGCATAAAATGGGGCAAAAGTTGTTGCCTTCACCGCTAACACCTGATTGGCTGGTTTATGGAACTGATCAGGGACAGGCAACCTGTGGTCCTCCAAATGTTGTTTGATGACATCTTCCATCATCGCTCATCATTGGCCATGTTGATGGGGGCTAACGGTTGGTGCAGGGTAGGCAAACATCATCTGAGGGCTAGATGGACCTTTGGGAAGATTCAACAAGCCTCTTCTTATGTTATGGTCCCCTCCCATCCCTTGGTTGATTTATCTGAAAACCGGAAGCTCTTGGAACTATGAAGCAGAATTCCAAGCATAGACTTCAGATGCCTGTAATTTATCCCTCATTACAAGCTTACACCTTCGTCCTAGGGCAAGAAAGGCAGGCTTTACTTAAAGGCCTCTTCCAAAAGACAGCAAGGGTGGGGTGGGGCGGACAGATTGAGAGGGTGTAGTAGTGCAAATAGATGCGACTGCACTTAAAGTCAGAGTTGTGTCCTTTCAGCGGGAAACACCAAAAACATGAAAACTACGTTTGGTAATGCGCAAGCACTTCCCCCCCCCCCCCCCGCGACGAAGGAAGAGCTGAGAGATCAGGTGGCACCGGGAAAAGGGAGAGGGAGAAAGGGAGTCTACTACTCTCCAAACAAGTTTAAACACGAATGAAAGAGAGCGAGTTCGCAGAGCTCAAGACCTGCAAGGCAGCGACAGGGCCAGGAGCAGATTCAAGAGGGCCAGTATGGGATTTAGCAGCAGGCTGCCTGGCGTTTCTTGAGGAGAAGTCCAGAGGGTTGCATTCAGGGGAGAGAAATAATGCTCTCTTTCCACCCCCCTGTGTCTGCAGTCCAGCCGTCCCTTCCCGCGTCCACGGCAATATTTTCAAACCAAAACACAAAGGTTTCGAAGTACTTCCATAAGGAGGAACAATGGGAAACGTTAAGCAGAGGCAGCCGAGCGTTTTGCAGGGACTGGACTCACTCACTCCCACGCGAGTGGCGATCAAGTTTAACTCGACCGCGAGCGCGTGGGGGAGGGAGGGCTTTGCGGCAACAGCATCCCCCCTCCAATCGGCCCTCCTCTTTTGAGGTTCACTAATCCAGATCGGAGCGAGCCTAACCTGCTTCTCTTTCCACCCGAGCTCCCCCCACCCCACCTCCCGCCGCCCTAGTTGGAAAGCCCTTTTGTTGTGAACGGCCCACTAGCAAGAAACGTGCCGCGATCGCCGCCTGATCCCAGCAAGCCGATGAAGCCAGAGATTAAATATCCAGGCGCCCCCAAAGCCACATTGAAACAAAAACAAAATCTGTGGAAAATGTCCAGGCGGAGACGTAAACCCACCCCTCACGACAAGCGCCCTAGAGATCTCGGGACAAGTTGCTATGGGATACGTCCCCTATGGTGGAGAGAGAAGGCAAAACATGTGTTTCATAGCAAGTCAAGGGGGGGGGGGCTGGCGGGCAGAATATTCCCTTATATTCTTTCATAAATTGACGCAGACACGTTTAAAAGGGAAAAAAGAAGTTGCTGCCGGAGTAAGTTTCTTCCCTCCGGTGGAAAACTAGAGCAATCTCGTTTTTTTCAGACAAAGCATCATAAGGGGAGGGGGCGGGAGGATGCAAGGAGATGGGGGTCTCCATTCATTTTAAAAAGAAGTTAGAGGAGGTGGGGGAAAGGTACTGGAAGGCGGGGGGGGGGGAAGGAAGGTTAATCCGGGCTGCAAGTAGCTATTCCTTCTGTCCTTACCTTACTTTTCACTTCCACCGCGCTGTAGCCAAAATACCGCAGACTCTGAGATTTATTAAAGCTCCGATTCATTTTCTCGGCCCCCAGTTTGAAACCCCCCCTTGTCCTTCGCCTCCTCCTCTTCGCCCTCGCTCAACAAGGGCTGGGAAGACCCACCGCCTCCGTGAGAAAGTGCCCCCCGGGCGGCCGCTTGTTGCTGCTGCTCCGACCCTGGAATGTAACTTTCTTTGGAACGTTCAGCCTCCCGAGATTCTTTTACTTTGTCCCAGCGCGCTAATCAGAACGCCCGCCTAGCTCGCTCTTCGGGCTTCTGTTTGTTACAATCGCTTTCAGCTCGCAACGCGCCTCTGACTCAATAGGAAGGCGGCTGCAGCAGCAAGGACTGGGCCCCGCCTCCATCAGAAACCCTCCCACTTTCAGTCTTCGCCCGTTTCAAAACCCCAGAGCTGCAGTCATCGCCGTCGCTCATCCTGGCCGCCGGAGGGCGCGCGTTTGCGGATTATGACAGAATAATGATAATATTTGCTTAACTTGCTCAGCTAGCTAGCTGGCTGGCCGGGTGCTCAACAGTGGGCAGTGTCGCACCAAGGTCTGAAAAAGCAACAAACTCTGCTGCGTTAATGAGTATAAAGTCGCTTCCTTTTTTAAAAAAAGTCACATAAAACTTTTTTCTTTGTAATATGGGTGAATGCAAAATGCCCTTTTTCTTCTTCTTCCAGTGAATACGCCAAACTTTCTTTTGGTCATTTTTGCATATGAGGGCGTGCAAGTCCATTAACACTGGAGGATATTTATGCAAGTATGCGCAGGACCAGTATCTTTACAGAAACAACCACAACCATGTGTAATAAACCAATAAAGATAAACTGCCTTTTTATTTGTTTTTTGCTTTGCAATGGAAGGCGTTGTGCTTCTATACCAGCCACACTGGCCCAAATGTACATTTTCATTGTGAGAGATTTACCCAGAACACCCACAATGTTCTGGTTCCTGCCTCAGATGAATCACTACATTAGGAAAGTCCTGATATTCTCTATTGGGCATGAGTTTGTTTTTTTAAAAAAACTACACAAACATATTTTTACTAAACTGGGCATATCCACACTTCCTCTTCTCCTGCTGCTTTCTCCCAAGTAAAACTACTTTTTAGCACTCAGTCGCAGGGCTTATCCATACTTAACTTTTGTGCTACTCTTTCCAGACACAGTTCTGCACTTTAAAACTCTTGTGTTGGAGTGCTTTTTTCTTCTACTTTTTGGTCCAGAACTTTCCCTGCAAAAACCTGTTCTTTAAAGCTTAAGCACAATTGGTGTTTTTGACAGATTGCTATTTGCTCTGCTTCAGCTTTAAAGAGTGTGTTTTTGCTGGGAAACTTCTGGAGGGAGGAGGGGGGAATCACTCTGACATGGAACTTTATATGGCAATTCGGGTTTTCTCTGGATTGACGCTTGCTCCAATTTAGAGCTAAAGAGCAGTTTTCCCCTTTGAAAGGATCGGGGCAAGGCTTTGTAAGCACAGGACAAGCAGAAGTGTGGGGTATATGGTGACTACAGCTTATCCCCAGAGCGTTGCAGGTTGAGGAATAGTGACAAATATGCACAGTGATTTAAATAAACCTTTTCTTTCTTTCTTATTTATAGCATTGTAGTTGGTGTTAGGTATTCTGATTCTGTATTAAGGCCACAGTCCTATGCCCACTTACTTTAGAGTTAGCCCCTCTCAATTCAGTGGGACTGAGGAAACTGAGTAAAACATGCATAGGACTCCACTGAAAAGGTTTGGAACAGCAGAGTCATAAGGAGCTGAAGAAAAACATGGTCATTGACTCTCTGTAACTGTACATAGATTTCATTACACCGGCTCCGCTAGAGATCAATTACACAAGCCAGCTAACCACATGACAAGCCATACTGCAGAAGCCACCATCCCAGTATGACTCTCAACGCGATATTAACTGTGTTTATGCAGTGGTTTCAAGTAGCTAATCAATTTATTCATTTATTTCCTGGCACGGCACATATACATGGTCGTGTGCGAGTTGGACATGCATACTGTATTTGGGGGGATGCCTGCATTCGTTTCTAGTTTGACCTTCAGCCAACACCTGAGTAGCAGATGCTAAACTAAAGACATTTTATGAAGCTCAACTTCGTGGCACCTGAGATGTTTTCTTTATTTTTGAAAGATCCGAGGCCACATAAGGAGGGAAAACAGTCCTGCAATCATACCAGTTTGACATCCTGACTCAGAACACCTGCATTCATGTCATGTTCTGGGATGCTGTCTGGGTGAAGCTATTGTTTTCACATTCCATCATTAGCCAGAAGGAAGTGAGAAGACAAGCCTTAGCAACCTTGTTAATTAAGAGCCACCTCCAATGGAAGATTTTGCAACTTTATTAGTCTGAGAAATGGTGCCACGAGCAGGGTGACATCACTGCTATTCAACCTATAGCATAACAACAACAATAATGGATTTTAGATTTCTTATCCACCATTCACCATAAGGTCCCTGGGTGGTTCATAGCCATGTAAAAATAGAATATTAAAATCATGTAAAACCATTTACAAACAGAAGAATAATATTCTTAAATCACCCACAGAACCCATTAGGTCCTCTTTTTAGCCTAATATCATTGCTATCTGCTTACGCCTATGCATCTTTACTCAGAAGTCCCACTTTTTTCAATGGAAGTGCAGTTAGAATTGAGTCTCCCAAAGCACAGTTCAGTCTGTTCAAGCATGATCTGTTGATATTTCTTAGTGTTTCATAAAAAATTAAAAGTTAAATTGGTATTTTGATCTATTCTCTCAGAAACAAGTTGATTCTGTTGTTCTTCATACTATATCGAAGGTTCTTTACTGCCATTAGGCACCCACCCAAAGCCATAAGCCAAGTGTAAACAACAGTAGTCTGATATCTTGAACCTAAATTCCATCAGCAACTGGAATTATCACCAGGTCATTGCTTCCATCATTCATTTCCCCCACAGTGATGTCTTCAGCTCCCATTATGTTTATTTATTCAGCCATTTCCTAGCTATTTGTTGTGATTTTAATCAGCTAGAGATTTCGCATTTCTTCCACATCTTAGAGACACCTCAGCAATGGTTAACTTTTTTGGGTAGACGTTATTACCGCTTTGATCCTGAGTTGACTGGACTGTGGAGAAGAAAATATAAATTTGTGGTCACAGTGGTGACACCAAAAGAGAAATTTCACAAAAGGACAAAGTGTGGGTGAGCTTTTTTTCTCATTGGTTAGATTTCTGAAAGAGAAATAATAATGTTATATTATATTATATATTAAGGCTCCAATTCTAAACACATTTTCTCCATGGTTTAGTTCTGAAGGAGTGAGCAAGCTTAGGACTGCAACCTGATTAAATTTTTCAGTTTATATTTCAATTCAGAAATGCAAAAAGTGCATTTCTTTCATATAGCTACAAGAGTCCAGGAATGGGGGAGTGAGCTGTTTGTCACCTACCTCCCCCTTGGGACTGCTTATAATTGTGGGTAGTAGAAGTTTACTAATCTTAAAGTCTCACAGAACCCCTTAGCCACTTTAGAATAGAATCCTGTTTGTAAAAGGTAAAGACCGCCGGATGGTTAAGTCCAGTCAAAGGTGACTACAGTATGGCACTCATCTTGCTTTTAGGCCAAGGGAGCCAGCGTTTTTCCACAGACAGCTTTCTGGGTCATGTGGCCAGCAGGACTAAACTGTTTCTGGCACAACAGAACACCATGATGAGTGCCAGAGCACATGGAAATGCCGTTTACCTTCCCACTGCAGTGGTACCTATTTATTTACTTGCACTGGTGTGCTTTTGAACTGCTAGGTTGGCAGGAGCTGGGAGAGAGCGATGGGAGCTCACCCTGTCGCAGGGATTCGAACGGCTGACCTTCTGATTGGAAGCCCAAGAGGCCCAGTGGTTTAGACCACATCCTGTTTGTACTGGCTCCTTGGCTTGGATATTTGAGTAGAGTGGGTATATTCTGGGTATATGATCATATAAAAAAATCCTTAGATGTGCAATAAATATCCGAAGAGGGCTTTTTTTGGCTTCCGAAAAAAGTTCGCAAACCAGAACACTTACTTCCAGGTTTGCGGTGTTTGGGTTCCAAGCTGTTTGAGTACCAAGGTGTTTGAGAACCAAGGTACCACTGTATATTTCTTCAGTGCAAATTTGAAAACAAACAGGATTTAATACATTTTCACTTTCAGTATGGTACTAAGAGGAAGCTTAGTGGAGAAACACCCCGTTTCTAATGTTATACAGTGGTACCTCGGGTTACATACGCTTCAGGTTACATACGCTTCAGGTTATAGACTCTGCTAACCCAGAAATAGTGCTTCAGGTTAAGAACCTTGCTTCAGGGTAAGAACAGAAATCGTCCTCCGGTGGCGTGGCAGCAGCAGGAGGCCCCATTAGTTAAAGTGGTGCTTCAGGTTAAGAACAGTTTCAGGTTAAGAACGGACCTCTAGAACGAATTAAGTACTTAACCTGAGGTACCACTGTATAGGCTTAAAGACAATGGCAATAAGCAATGGCAAATCTTCTACCAAGCAAATTGATCTTGTGCAGACCTTCAGATAAAGCCACACCTTGTACTTTAATCTTCTTGGTCATTTCAGGCTTTGCAATCACAAGTGGCCCCTTGAGAAAATATACAGTGGTGCCTCGCAAGACGAAATTAATTCGTTCCGCGAGTTTTTTCGTCTAGCGAATTTTTCGTCTTGCGAATCACGAATTCCCATAGGAATGCATTGAAAATCAATTAATGCGTTCCTATGGCCAAAAAAAGTCCAAACAAAGCCAAATTTGGTACAACAACCTCCCCAACTGTTGCAAACCCCTCCCCAACTGTTCCCCCAGTCACCCAGCACACAGAAATTCAAATCCAGAATTTTTTTAAAAAACAGCAGAGTGGCCCAGTGGTCACAGAAAATCATAAAAAAGCAGATAAATAACCACACAAGCTTCCAGATTCTTGCAAACCCCTCCCCAACTGTTCCCCCAGTCACCCAGCACACAGAAATTCAAATCCAGAATTTTTTTAACAAACCAGCAGAGTGGCCCAGTGGTCACAGAAAATCATAAAAATGCAGGAAAAAACCACACAAGCTTCCAGATTCTTGCAAACCCCTCCCCAACTGTTCCCCCAGCCACCCAGCACACAGAAATTCAAATCCAGAATTTTTTTTAAAAAACAGCAGAGTGGCCCAATGGTCACAGAAAATCATAAAAATGCAGAAAAAAGAAACAAGCTTCCAGATTCTTGCAAACCCCTCCCCAACACCAAGTCCTTGAATTCCAAACACCCCAACCCAAAATCCAAAAACCCCCAAAAAAGTTTTAAAAGCTTAACTTGGTTGCAAAAGAAGTTTTGGAAAAGCTTCAAAAATCACCAAAGTCTTTAAAAACCTCAAAAAAGGCTACTATGTACACTGCGTTCTA